CTCAAGTATTTACCAAATAAATGGAAAATAAGACATAAAGCCATTGAGTCAAAAGTTCTAGAGATACAAAACAAACAAACTTGGCTCACGATGGATAGCTCCGTCAGTAAATTCTTGATCTCAGAGTTCGAGCCCCACGTTAGGCAAAAGATTCCTGCAGGCAGGCAGGCTCCAAAGTTAAAGTGCAGGGATAGACCCTGATGACATCATTTATGGAAAGGGCTGGGTAAACAGAGAAATCTGAAAGTATCGCAAAGATGGTTCTGGAGAAAACTCCCTTGGAAGACTGTTCTGTCACCAGGGAGCCACTCCTGAAAAGGCCTCGTTCTCTGGTTCTCACCAGCCTCACTTCATCCAGCTGGGGGCACTCAGATCAGAGCCTCCCAGGAGGATCTTAAGGTTCAGGGAGGTATATGGTCGCGACTTGCACCCACTGAAACACACTGTACATGCTCAGGAGAACTTGCACCTCTCCTTACCCGAACAACACGCCGCATGTGCTCAGGGGACACCTTAAACTGTCCGTACTGAAATGTACTCTGTACATGCTCAGAAGCATGCCCAGTGCTTCTTACTGCTACGTAAGTTCTTGAATCTGTCCCTTTTGAAACGCACCTTCTGCATGTGTCCATTTCTACATTGAAATTTACTCTGCCCCTGCCAAATTTCAGGAAGGAAATTGTACGCAGGGAAACACACGCATCCGTTCTTCCGACTCTGATGATTCTATGAAGGCAGAGTGCACAGCCATCGCAAGCTCCTCTTCCTTTCTCTCCGTTTGCAACACCGATTGTAAGCTCCTCGGGGCAGAGAGCTGCTTTGGTTACACCATGCCGGAGCAACAGAACAATAAGGCCTGAGCTGCAATCCTGAGAGGTGTGTGTGCTTGTGGGTGGGGGGGAAGCAACCGCCGGGGCTGGGCTTTTGCGATCCCTCGGCACGCACCCGAGCCTTGCTGGGCCCAGATCCTGTATCCCTCTTGGAACGGGCTCTCCCCCACTGCTATGGGCCTTGGGCTCAGCCGCTTCAGTGAGATAATGTCTGTGCAAAGGGACCTGTTTGCCTTGGCAAGGGGTCTGCGAGCTTCCTCCAAGCTTCCCGCCCAGCTCAGCTCAAAACGCTCTCCTGCGTGTGGCTGTTTCTGACTCAGGCTGAGAAGGAAGGGAACAGGATTGGGAAGCCGGGAATTTTTCCATGGGGGCAGGACAAAGCTCCTGGCTGCGCACTGGGTGGGGCGGGAGGGTCTGTTCAGGTGAGGCCAGGTGAGTGTGAAGCGAGGAGGAACACGGTGAGCTCTTCTCCCGCCTGTCAGGCGGCAGCCAAACAGGTTGGGCCTGTGTGTGTGACCCCACCCAGTTACCTGCAAGTTGGGGGGGGGGCGTTGAGCAGGGATAAGGGAGTCTACACCACCCTGCCCAGCATGGCTGGAGAGTTTCCTTTGCATGGATCTGAGCCTGGGCACTTTGCTGGATCAAACCCCCCTCCCCATCTGCACCCCACCACCAGCTGTGGGGCAGGGTCCGTGGTTCATGCACTCTGGAGCCTGGGCTTATTTCATATTGCATAATCTAAACGGCTGCCGACGCACATTTAATGCACATGGCTTCCCCTGAAAGGAGCTGGGAACTGTAGTTCACCCTTCACAGAACAGGTCCCAGCACCCTTTAACAAACTACAGTTCCCAGGATCCCATAGCCTTGCACTCTAGAACCATATACAGTGGTACCTCGGGTTAAGAACTTAATTCGTTCCGGAGGTCCGTTCTTAACCTGAAACTGTTCTTAACCTGAAGCACCACTTTAGCTAATGGGGCCTCCTGCTGCCACTGCGTGATTTCTGTTCTCATCCTGAAGCAAAGTTCTTAACCCAAGGTACTATTTCTGGGTTAGCAGAGTCTGTAACCTGAAGCGTCTGTAACCCGAGGTACCACTGTAGCAGGCAAATCTTGAAGATGGTTTGTGGATATGACCGCCTTTCCATGTGCCTCTCTCTCTGACCCCCCACCCCCAGTTCTGCAATTTCTTGAAAATCATTCTGGATCCGTTAATACAAAACACATTTGCAGTATGTTCAGAGTCCACAGAGAGGAAAGAATCCACATATCCTCTTCTCAACTATTTGCTGCCAATCTTCCAGGCTTTGGTGTCCCAGGAGTCTTTTCTCTTTTTTTTATTTTTTAAATAATATTTATTAAAGTTTCAAAGGAAAAAAAATTCACATTAATAAAAAAAAAAATTAACAATAAAAAGGAAAAATACAAAGTAGAAAAAAAAGAAAAAACAGTTAAAAACAATTCCATCTTTTCCTCACTTCTTTTACGTTTACTTGTTTCCCGGACCTCCTCATACCTCCCTCTTTTGTATTCCAATTCAATTTGTTAATCCAACAATTCCTTTCCCTCCTTTTTAATCCTAATCCTTAATCTTGATATATTGTAACATTAGATTTTTACATATTAAAAGCCAATTTTTCCATATTCTTTTGTACCTATATAGCTAGAAGCCACTTAACTTCAATCCAACATCATTCTAACATTCATTAATTTTGCAATGTTTCTGTAAATAGTCTTTAAATTTCTTCCAATCTTCTTCCACCGACTCTCCAGGAGTCTTCTCTCTGCTAGCCCCTTGATCCCAAAAACACAAGGAACCCAATCTCATTTTGCTTCTAGTGGGGGGGTCCACCAGATATCCTCCCCTCGCCCCACTCCCTCCATTGTCAACCACTTTTTGGGATATCTTTGGGAGAAGAAAAGGTTGCAGAGTAAACATTAGACAAATCCAGAGTGGAGCCCCTAAGACGGTTGGGTGGTACCTGGTACGTCCCCTTTTGGCAATTCCTGCAGCCAAGCTGGAGCCAAACGTCTTGATCTGCTTTCCTCTGGAAAGCCCACAGCGATGCTAAGAAGGGGGTCTTGTCATCGGGGCAGCCCAGGACCCCCATACACCCTGTCCACCGCTGGGAGGTCACTTTGTGCTTACAAGTTCCCACTCCCTTCTCAAACTCCTATGTTGCATGCAGGACTCCAGATTCCAATTGGATGATCCTGGCCAGCTTCCCCTGACCCTTTAACCCTTCACAGACCCAATAGCAGGAGTTCTGCTGCCCAGTTGTTAAACCATGTAATCACACAGCCTTTCTCAACCTGTGGGTCCCCAGATGATATTGAACTACAACTCCCATCACCCCTAGCTAGCAAGGCTAGAGCTCAGGGATGATGGGAGTTGTAGTTCAACAATATCTGGGGACCCACAGGTTGAGAACAAGTACCCGGAGAACGCGGATCATACTCTGAGTAAAGAAGTATTTTCAAAATCTCTCAACAGAGTCCCCATCTGCACATTAATTCATTTGACGCAGTTAAAGGTAAAGGTAAAGGTACCCCTGACCATTAGGTCCAGTCGTGACCGACTCTGGGGTTGCAGCGCTCATCTCACTTTACTGGTCGAGGAGCCGGCGTACAGCTTCCAGGTCATGTGGCCAGCATGACTAAGCTGCTTCTGGCGAACCAGAGCAGCAAACGCCGTTTACCTTCCCGCCAGAGCGGTACCTATTTATCTACTTGCACGTTGACATGCTTTCAAACTGCTAGGTTGGCAGGAGCTGGGACCGAGCAACGAGAGCTCACCCCATCGCGGGGATTCGAACCGCTGACCTTCTGATCGGCAAGTTCTAGGCTCTGTGGTTTAACCCACAGCGCCACTGTAAACAGTCATGGCTTCCCCCAAAGAACCCAGGGAGCTGTAGTTAGTTAGGGGTGCTGAGAGTTGTTAGGAGACCCCCTCTTTCCTTCTCCCCAGGAATTGCAGCCCTGCGAGGAGAACAGAAGTCTCCACAAAATTCCCAGCAACCTTTACAGTTCCCAGGATCCTTTGGGGGGGAAGCCACACTTTCAAAAGCGGCGTCAGAGTGCTTTGTAGTGCAGACGGGGCCTAAGTCTCTTGAAGCAGAAATGTAGCCTTTTGGACTCTGAAAGCAAAACCATCCCCTCCCGTTCCAACGGTCCGGCTACGCATGCCAATGCTGGCACCGCCTAATCTCGCCAGGTTGAGTGGTCTCCGTAGAGGCCGCTTATTCACTTTCTCGCAGGAGGAATCCAGGGCCTGCGAGCTCGCTTGTTCACCTCTGCCCTTCCCCTCCCTTTTTCCTTTCGTGCCATGCCTTTCTAAAAAGCAGCAAGCTGCGCACAGGGTTATTTCATTATTATTGATTTGCAAGAAACAGCTCTGGAGAGCCTTTCCGAAGGCCAGGCTAGGTTCTTGCTCCAAAGGAACGGCTGCATAAATACAACAGGAGGAGGGAGCGGTGGGCCTCCACGTGGCCTGTAGATGGTGCTTAGGGCGTGTGCGCGCTTGGGGCTGATCCAGAGCCAGATGGCTTCGCTGCGGGCTAAATCATCCAGGCCAAGTGCTGCGGCGCAAGGGGGGGGGGAGGAGGAGAAGGGGGTGACCAATCCTCCCCCCTGCCCAAGTGGGAAGTCGTGTCCCCCCCCCCCCCACTTTCCCCTGCCCCACCGCCTGAGGATTAAATCATCCTTTCCGCTTGCAAACTTCTCTTCCGCAGCCTCGGATGATTCAGCTGTTCCTAGGACTCTCCTCAAGTGACCGAAATGACGCCCCCCCCCAAAAAAAACCCCTACCCATGCCGGATCTCCAGTCCCCCCTCACCCCAAGTTTGCAGAAGCCCGTTAACCCTTGCAAAGATACCCAGCAAAGGCGGGGAGGAGGGGTTGGAAAGCCTTTGCAAAGAACCCAGGCGTCCGGCGGATAAAGGGGGGCGGGGAGGAGAGAAAGGGATCTGATGGCCGCCAGCTTTTACGACCTGAAATAACCCTCTCCCCTCACCCAACCCACCCAGGCGCTTAGGAGGCGGGTGCGGAGGGATGAAGGGCGGCGGGTCCCGCCAGTGGGAGGCGAGGGATCGCCCGCTCCGTCCAATGGCGAGGCGGCGCAGGCGGGATCGTCCCCGCTGCCTTGGGAAGAGGAGGGAAAAAATAGGACGCGAGAGGATGAGATGGCGAGTGGAACTGCGCGAGCCAGGTGCGGAGAAGGCGGGGCGCCGGGAGGCTCGGGGCGGGGCTTGGCGCAGGTGGGGGCGGGGCTTGGCGCAGGTGGGGTGTGGGGGGGTACACGGGCGCGCAATGTCGGGGGTGGGGGTTGGAGAGAGGGAGAGCCGGGGAGGGCTGGCCTCCTTTTCCGGGTTGCGGGAGGCTAAGGTCGCCTGGCGCAGCTGGGTTGCTAAGCTGGAGGGGGGCGGGGGAGGAAGGACAGGTGAGCCGGGGGCGTGGCCAGGACAGGTGAGCCGGGAGGGGGCGCAGAGAGGCGGAGGGGATCGTGCGCGACACTCCGCCGCCGACACCGGCCAGCGCAGGCACGCGCGCAAGAGAGATCTCGGTACCTATTGAAAAGTGTCCACGGAGCGTCCCGAGAACCCGGCCGGAAGGGGAAAATATTGGGGTGAGTCCGATCCTCCGCGGCGGGGCGCCGATCCTCCGGAGATGGGGGTTCTGGGTCCCAAAACTGACCCTCACCAGGAATTTGGAAACCCGCCCCCCAAATTTCTCCTTCGAAACTTCCCCTCTGCTTCCCGGAGATTTAAACGCACACGCGGGGACCCCGAGAGCAGAAGTCGAGCCCCACATAGCAAGCTGCGTGGGGTGGCTGGGTGGGAATTTCCTTATGGCTCTTTTTCCTCCCCCCCCCCATCTCAAATCCTCCCCACTACCCCCCTCCCCCATCACCTGCTTTCCCCAGATCCCTTCTCTCCCCCCTCCCCCACTTCCCAATAAGAGGTGATGTTAGGACGCAAAAAGGCACGTTGGGGATAAGATCAGAGCAGGCGTGAGCCGTTTCCCTATCCCAGTTTTTTAAAACCTGATTTAGTCCGGGGGGAGGGCAATCTTTTGGAAGTCACGCCCGTTTTTTCTCTCCCTGGCTCCATACCAATCATTGGAGCCAATGGTTTGTATGGGTATTTGTTTCTGTGGATCGAGAGTTATGTTTCGGGGGGGGGGGGTTCCCCTCTTTTGCGGGCAGATTACTCCACCATTCCAGGCCTTTTTGAGAGTGGATCAACTCTGCCCCTCCTTTGACAGGTTCCCTGGTTACTCCCCCACCCCCTTCCTTCTTGAGTTTGAAGATTCCCAGCTTGGGGGGCTATTTTTACCAATTGCTAAGCTTGTAGACGTCCAGCGCATTGAAGGATGGACTTAGGGGGTGCTAGGTTCGTAAAGGTTTCCTGGCAACGTGGCTGGTGCCAGGTCTGGGCCATGGAGACATCAGAGAGGTAGGGATCCTCTCTACTGTTTATCCTTTGCCCTCTCTGTGCCGTGGGTTGGCACTGCCCTGGCATAAACTGTGGGCATGTTTGTGTGTGTCATTTTTTCCCCATCATATGCCACCTGCACCCCCTTGTCACAAAATCTTCTTGTCCAGGCAGGTATTGACTCTTTGCCAGGGGTGGGCAGCGTGTGCCCGCCAAAAAGGCGTCGTTCAAATAATGGTGGAGCCGGTTTTAATTGTTGGAGCTGTTAGGTTTGAATAGGGGTGAGACATGACCGTGGCTTGTCGTCGTCCTCGTATGAGCTGGGGATGGTGCTAAGGGCAGGTGGGCATGGTTGGAGGAGAGCGGGCAGTGCCCCACTAGTGCCCAGTTGCTGGACTGTAACCTGGGGAGGGACTTTATTAGGACAAGAGGTTCCTTGTTAGCTAGAGTTGCTGTCAGGCTTGTGTCTTACCTTTCGGTTGCGGCAGGATTCCTTGCTTCCGTAGGGCGGACCCCAAATACCATACCCCACTGAAGCTAAGACCCAGCCATTCTTGTGAGCAAGAAGGAGCAGGGGTGGCATCTGTGACTTCAGCGCTGCCAGGGAGGGAGGGGCCCAACTGGGATCTCGTCCCATGTGCATCCCCGCTTCCCACTCTCGTACCACCCGCAAGCAGGGAATGGATGGCAAGTGAGCAGAAAGCTGTTTTGCCCGCTTGGCACACGGGCATTGAAAGCAGGCCTTGTCTCAAATGCAGAAGTGCCCTTTGGCATCCAAAGGGTATGATTCTTAAGGTGCCCGTTTTGCTTGGGTGCTGTGTTAATAAGAACTGAGTGGGTGACTTCTTTTTTCTTCCCTTTTCCCTTTGGGCAAACTTTACTACTTGGACTCTGCCCTCCAAGTTCCACCCAGCCCCACTGATTACCCTTCCCTCCCTTACAGGGCTGTGTCTATAGGTGTGCTCACCTTGGCAAGCCTGGCAGCAGCCTGCGAGTTTCCTACAGGCAACTGTTTGGCCGTTGTGAGAACAGAATCCTGGACTAGATGGGCCATTATGTCTGATCCGGCAGCCGGCTTCCTCTTCTGTTCTTATTGGGAGCCTTGATTCTTGGGGTGGGACTTTTGCTCGGGATTTCGCCTGACCTTTCAGCTCTCCCCACCCTCCGCCGTGTCCCGAAACAAGTTTGTAAAGTTCTCCACTTTCAGTGGAATGAAATGCAGCTTATGGTCCAGACGGTAAAAAAAGCAATATTATTGGTAGCACTACAAAGAAAGTGCTTCACACATGTTAAATACTTCTTACTTTTAGGAAGTCTGCTTAACATCAAAGTCGATGAGTGAGAGTTACAAGGACGGGGAGAAAAAGAAAGGCAAGCATGATAATTTGAATCAAATAAATATTTTATTTTATTTTCAAGTACATATATATTTTTAATGGCTCACCCAGTAAAACTTTCAAATCGATCGTGATATGACAATGGAAGATTCCTTAGTTACGTATTTTAAACTAAGGAATCTCCCGTCATAGCTGTGGTGGTTTCCGAGCCTGACAGAGTTGATCCTTGAAAACAGCCCTTTCCCACTTTGGTTTCTTGCAAATACAGCCCATGAGAAAGAGACATCATCCTCTGCCCCTTGACAATAAAACTATTCCATCCGTCTTATTTCAGCGTACAGAATAATATAGACGGTCCAGATGGCCAAACGGGTCTGATTGATATGACTGATGAATATAAGCTGTTATGTTCCAATGTAGAAATGTCCTTTTTGTTGACTGGCAATCTCTCCTAGGCTGGTGAGTCAGGTTAATGACCCAGATTAGCAACTGGGAATCCAGAAATTGGAAGTGGTGGTTATTCCTGGAGACTTAACGCAGGGTGTGATCTTGCCTGTGTGGCATCAGAATTTTGTGGGGTCTTTGACAGTTGTGTGTGTGTGTGTGTGTGGATCCGACGTTCTCTTCTCCCTTATCACAACATCTTAATACTTTTTAAAACATCATTGAAATATGGATAGCTCAGTGGTAGTGTATCTACTTTGCATGGAGAAGGTATTGGGTTCAGTTCTTTGGCGTCTCCACTGCTTACCAGTGTTTTCCAAACTTGGGTCCCCAGCTGTTTTTGGACTACAACTCCCATCACCCCCAGCTAGCAGGACCAGTGGTCAGGGATGATGGGAATTGTAGTCTAAAAAAAATAGTGGGAGACCCAAGTTTGGGAAACCCTGGTGTACAGAACTGGATGTACCAAAGGCCGTTTGCTATGTTCCTATAAGTCTCTGCTTCTTATGCCGGCTGGGAGGTCCCTCCCCAAGCTAGATTATTTTATCACTCTGATTTTGACTTCTGTGTTTATATTATCCTGTCTAAGTATATATATTGTGATTTCTGTTTCACAAATAGGATGCTCTTAATTGTTCTAAATGCTTCAGTTGGACACTGCCCAGAAAACCAGAGAACAAGTGGTGAGCCGTATCCAACTAAGTTATACTCAAAGTAGACCCACTGGCCCAGTTAATCATATCCATTCGTTTCGCTGTGTCTACTCTAGATATGATTAAGCTTGGATGTGACCTGTAACCAGCCGTTCCGTCTCTGCGTTCTGTCCTCCGCACCCACACAACACTCACTGCCCCAGTCGGGATGTGGGTCACGTCCATACCATACATTTAAAGCACCCTTATGCCCCTCTTCCCCCCTGCCCCAAAGGATCCTGGGAACCGTCAAGGGAATTGTAGCTTTGTGAAGGTGGGAACCACAGTTCCTAGGATTGACAGCCAATCCTGCTTCCCAGGGAGCCCTGAGAGTTGTATATCTGTGAGGGCAAAGAGCCGAACAACTCTGCCCCCTGAGCAAACTACAGTTCCCAAGATTAACAAGCAATCTCCCTTCCCAGGGAACTCTGGGAACTGTAGCTCAGTGACCGAATGACTTCCAGCCCCCTTAGCAAGCTACGGTTTCCCAGGATTCTTTGGGGGAGGCAGCCATGGCTGCTGAAGTAATAATCATCATCATTTATTGTTTGTACCCCGCCCATCTGGCACGGGAGTATGGATCGTAAGCTCTTCTCGTGTGTAAAGGTGGACACACAGTTCTTTGCCCACCTGCGTGCCGGAGGAAGAAGGTTCCCGGAGGCGGGCTGCGAGGCGAGCCAGCCTCACCCGCCTGTTTGCGCCGACCCACCTCCCTGAGGGCTCTGAACCGGCAGCGCAAGGGTGAGCAAGGTGGGGAGGCAGCTAAGAATACACCTGCGCCATGTCCCCAGGTGTCCTCCTCATGTGCTGGAGGTGGGGGAAGGGGGGGCTTGTGAGGCAACAAAGTGGATTGTCGGTTGGTGTGTGTGTGTGTGTATGGGGAAGAGCAATAAATAGCAGGCAAGGACGTGAGGGCGACTGAGAAGGTAAATGCTCGGATTAAGGCATCCCAAAATTAAACCGAGCCCCCCAGCACCTCTTCGGCAGCCAGTCTTGGTTTTAACTCTCCCTTCTCAGTTTTGTTTGTTTGTTTGTTTGGTAAGATTTGTGTACCGCTCGATGGTTTTTTAAAAAAGAAAAAGCCTCTAAACGGTTTACAAAAACAGTTAAATGATTGAGAAGACCGATTAACGACAATGATTTAAAACATTAAAAAAATTAAATTAGAATGACGGAACGCTGGGTGGTATTCAGCTATGCTTCGTCCATTAAAAGTGATATGCGTGATTAAGGCTCATTAATTTCAGTGGGTGCTTGTGAGAAAAACGTAACTGAATGTCACTAGCTTTTTCGTGATGATGGTGTTTTGTGCTGGCTGGTTAGCCTTTCCTCTGAGCATGTGTGGAGTATCAGATGCTTATTTGCCTCAGCCACCAGCCTGTTCGTGTGCGAAGATGTGCACCTAATAAACACAACTAAGCAGATAAAATTGCCACCAATATATGAGAATATTCTGTTGCCACCAGCTCACTTGTAGGGTATTTTGCTGTAAAGTCCTCAGTTCATTTGCATGCATTAAGTCGTTGAGGGAAATGCAGATTTTAAAATGAACCTCAGAGCATGCGCTGAGTTCCCTTCCTTTATTCTCTGATAAAGAGTGGGTGTCAACTAAGCATGGTTTTGAAACAGCTGTGTTGAAACCCAGTTTTGCAGCTGCATCACTGCTTAAGACTCACACTTATTTTTTTTTCTAATAAAAAGAAGAAAAAGCTCTGGGTTGTGGGAGGTGGGGGGTTACACTTTAGCCTATTTCTGGCTCTGCTTTTCGCTTGGCTGGGTGGTCTCGTGGGTTGAGTCTTTGGGGACTCCTTTCCTGCTTCTCGCTCCTGCAGCCCAGGCAGAAATTCAACAGGTGCAGCATTCCTCTCCCCACCAACCCATGTCCTTCCTGAAAGTTTTGCTTTTTCTCAAAAAAGGTGAAGTATCTGGGTGTAAATATGACTGCAAAAAAATTGAAATTGTATAAAGACAATTACGAAAAGTTACGGAAGGATATCAAAAGAGATTTGGATATCTGGACAAGGTTGAAATTATCTTTGTTGGGCCGAATTTCAGCGGTAAAGAGGAATGTATTGCCTGTTATTTTTGAAAGTTTTGCTTTTTCTATCTGTTAAAAGTGTGTGGGGGGGAGGGTTGCTGGTGACCCCAAATGCCAGGCAAGGAGGTCGGGGTTTCGGAGGCCCGAGGGACAGTCAGCAGTGCAACAGGGTCAGCCACAACGGCCGCCCGCTCTCCGGCTTGGCTCCTGGTTTCGGAGCCGTGGCCTAGTTGGGCCGGCTGCGCCAAACGTGGCTTGGTTGCCGTGGGAGCCTGGGCTGCTGCAGCAGCCAGCCTCCTCAGGGGGCGGCTGATGAAACCACAGAGAAATCTCCCTGCGTGTGCCGCGCCCTGTTCTCTGCTGGAGGTGCCCCCCTCCCTCGCCGCCCCAGGGTGGGGGACGACGCTGCCCCTGAGCTCCTCCGCGCTCCATGGCAACCCTGCGTGGCACACATCCCTGGCCCGGCTGCCGTAGCCCAGGCGAGGCCTGTAACAGGAGCCTGGCTTGGCAGGGGGAAACCTGCGACGAGCCGGGCGCGGTGCCAACCGGTTGGCACAGCCGAGCCGAGGGAGGGCCAGGAGGGTTCGCCCACCAACCTTTCCTTTTATTTTTCCTGCAGCTTCCTTGGGAGCACCAAACAGTTTGCGTGCTGCTGGTGCTACCCCCCCTGCCCCCGCCCCTGCCACCAGTGCCAAGACGACTTGGCAAAGAAAAAAGTACTGGTGTGCCAGTTTGTGCCAATGCGCTGGTGCCCAGTGCCCAGCTGAAGGAGGCGATGGAAAGGCAAGGGGGAGAATCCCGTTTGCTAGCTGATATTTGAGGGGGCGCTTGTGGAAAGTGGGTATCCTCCCCGGCAACTGTTGGTATGACTTGGCAAAGTTCCCCTCCCCGGGGTGGGGTGGAGTGGGGTGGGGGGAGAGAGCAGGTGACAAGTCGGAAGCAGAAGTGGGTCAGGCCTTGCCACTGTGCCGGGCAGGGATCAGCGGGCACTGTTGCCGCAACCCTCCTGACTCTTCAGCTGCTCTTCCACCAGCCACATGGGCACCGGATGGGGTAAGAACTGGCGAGCCCAGGGTTGGGGGTTTTTTTTGGGGGGGAAGGAGGACTTTCTGCCTTTGGACTGCCCCCCAGGGGCTCCCACGATCACTCTGTCTTGATTTGTAGCCTTTAAACTTTTTAGACGAACCTCTAGTTGCCATCTCCTCCGGGGTTTTTCTCGCTCTACCTCTGACACACCAAGTGGGAGGATTCGAACTCCGATCCGGGTGGCTGTTCCTGATCATTAGCGTGCAGAGTCAATCATCCCTGGCATGAGAGGTGTCAGTGGCTGGGTGGTGGAGTGCCAGGGCGGGGGAACTAAAGGGCTTGCAGATGCTTCTGGACTCCATCTCCCATGTTCCCCGACCATTGGCCATGCTGGCAGGGGCTGATGGGAGTTGGAGTCCAACATTGTTCGTTCCTCATCCCTGCTTCCTCGTCCTCTGTAAATGCATTTGGTATGGGTTCCCTGATTGGCTGGGATATATAAGATGGGGTCAGGAATCTGTGGCCCTCCAAATGTCGGGTGCCCCCCCCCCGCTGCTACAGATTATTGCACCCCATAGCCTTGTTCTTCAGGTCACGGCTGTGGGCACGGGTGGGGCAGAGAGGGTGTGTATGCGAAAGAGAGAGTGTTTGCATGGTTCCCTTTCCTTCCCAGGAAACTCACTGCTCCTTTTGGCTTGGCCTAAATTGCCAAATTAATATTCATACATATACACATCAGTTAACAGTGATTGCGTGCGAGGCAGATGGGAGCGGGCGCTATAATTCCCTGGTATTCGAGGACGTGTGCAAAGGCAGTGTAGCGTGGATGTGTGGCTTTTGGGGGTGGGGTGATTGTCTCCCCCTCTCCACACACCAATATTTTGGCGTTCACCTGTGGTGCCCGGCTGTGCCCTGGTTCTAGACTATGGGCACCCTTAGGACCGCACTGCAAGGGTGTGTAAAACAAAGGAGACATGTGGCCCTCCATTTTGTGGCTTTTGGGTGGCAAAGAAGCAGTCAGGGCTTCTCCCCCCCCCCCCCAAGATTCTTGGGATCAGTCGTTTGGGAAGGGTGCCAAGAAATGTTAGGAAACCCATATTTCCCCTCAGAGCTACATTTCCCCAAATGGTTTAGCAATTCTGAGAACTGTAGTTCTGTGAGGGGAATAGAGGGCTTCTAAGAACTCCTTTAAAAAACTACAGTTCCCAGGCTGTCTTAGCAACCAACCAGGCCCCAGGCGCAAGCCCAGTTGCGACCACGTGGAGATCTCTGGTTGCCGTTTTGGCGACTGGAGAAAGCAAAACGCCCCTTATCTGAAATAATTTTCTTGAAGCTTGCATTTGTTTTATTCTGGATTGTTTTATTGGATGCTTTCAATGTATTGTGAGCCACTTTGAGATTTCTTCCCGAAACTGCAAAGTGGGATAGAAATGAAATGAACGACAACAGTAATAATAAACCCCGTTGTAAAAGAAAATGGCGCCGAGGTCTTCCGCTGTGGCGACCGCAACCCAGGTTGATGGTGCTGTTTGGCCGTTAGATTGTACATGACACTGTTCCCAGGATTCTTTGAAGGGAAGCTACAGCGGTTAAAGCGATGTAATTGTGGTTTAAACTGGACATAGTGAGAGCGTGGCCTTTGTCGTGGGGTCAGGACTGGGACTCCCTTGCTGGGAAAAGGAGGCTTTGCTTGGGGCCTGGCTGAGTGTGCGCACTGTGCAATTGTGGGTGGCTATAAACTGTGGCCGTGGGTGGGACTCAGGGTTGGTATAGGCCGTGGGATTAGCATTGCAGTTTTCCCTCTGGCTGGCTCAGCCGCTTGGAATTGGAGAGAGGGGTGGTGGCGAGGTCAGGTCAGATTTTAACTCTTGTGTGTGAGAGAGTGCCGGGGGGGCAGAATCATGGCCGTTTGGGGGGTGACTTTGTGAGGTGCTGGGGTGACATTGTAGGTTGGGACGAGGGCTCTGTCTACTTCCCGCTCCACACCAGAAGTTGAGAAAAACATGGGTGCCAAGTGGTCAAGGTGTTTTGGGTGCTTGTATGGGGAAAGCCTTTAAAAACACCCAAAATTTTTTGGGTGCTGGGTTTCAAAAGATGTGGGGCTCTGGGGTTGGGTCCCCCCTCAGCGTTGTTTTGAAAGCACAGCTTGGTTGACTGAGAGCTCTGTCTCCTATTCCCAGGCTGTGGTTACTCCTCAGTGTGGAAGGAACTCTTTACATGCTCAGAGGCACTCTTGGTTGTTATTTTTTGTGTCAGAGAAAAGTGCATACCTGGCATAGAAAAGGGTTCCTGGCCTAGATTTAGTCCTATATATAGTTGCTCCACCTGGAAGAAACCGCTTGAGACTTCCTGTTCCTCCAAACTTTGGAGGAACTTATATGGAGGCACTTTTGACCTTATTCCTGTGTCCTGGGTGGGAGTCAGTCTCACCTTTTCTCCTGGCATGAGGTGAATTGCTTTCTAACAGCAGTGTAACGGGCAGAAATCCAACAGGTGAACTTTCCCCATCCCAGGCAAGGACGTGTGGTGATAAGGATAGCTTCGCCTGTGGGATGCCTGCCTGAGATGCCACCGTCTGAGCCCCAAAGAGCTCAGCCCTAAAAGAGTTGGCAGTCTTGCAGTGGGACGGTCACACTTGCCTTGGCACTGCCCACTAGCAATGCCCAAGTCTAACTTTGAGGAATTGGGGGCACTACCAATCTCCCCCCCACACACTGCAGTAGGTAAATATATATTATTTTTAAGTAGGTTTCCACTATTCCCCCCCCCAAAAGAAATGCAAAACAGGGGTGCCAGTTTCTCAAACTGTGGTCTGTGGACCATTCTTGGCTCAATAGCTTTATCCAGATGTTTGCATTAACGATTCTTGCTTTTTAAAATTGTTTTTGATTCCTTTTTCTTTTTTCTTCTTATATTGTGTTTTCTCGTTTCACAATGTGGATGTCACGGATTAAAAAATACAATGGAAAACAGTGCATGACAATTGCTACACCAGGTGGGGGAAATCATGGAGTGGTCGGCTGGAACCCTCAGCAATTTTTTCCAGGGGTCTGTTTGGGTGGATGAGGTTAGAGAGGAATGTATTTATCTATTTATCTATTTATTTAGCCCATCCTTGGATGTAGCCAAGGGGGTGCAGGGGTAGCAGCTGCCCCCCTCTAAACCAAGTAAATAAATAGAAATACTTAACTAACTGACCAATTGCATCGCAGGTATCTCGGTTCTGTGCCCCCCCCCAAACATAAAACCTTCTCGGCCCACTAAAATAAAGCCAGGCTACGCCCATGTCGCTATCCCAGATTCTTCTCCAAGGAGCTCAAAGTGGTCCCCGCCTCCTCATTTAATCCCCACAACAACCTTGCGAGGCGGATTAGGCTGAGAAGTTCCAGCGTCGCACCCAGGGAGCTTCAGGGTCACGTGCGAATTTGAACCTTGGTCCGACACACAAATGTCTGTGTCTGTGAGGTATGTGTGTATGTGTGAAACATCAATCTATTTTTCAGAAACAAACACATGAGTCACCTTTGAAATCTCCATATCAAACATGTAAACGTTTACTTGCGAAGAAGTGAGAATCCTTTTCCTTTATAGCTGCAAACATTCTGACCTCCCCCCCGCCCCCGATATTTATTTGTTTATTCAAATTGATATACATAGTTATGGGTATCCAATTCCAGTTCTTCATGGCCTCCCTTGTCCTTTTATAGGAGCCTGTCATCCCAGCTGACTTTTTTATATTGCAATTTTATGTCGTGAACAGCCCTGAAATCTACAGGTACAGGGTGGCGTGCAGATTTTCATCGCAACTGCAATTTTTGTAGTTTCCAGCTGCTCTGTGGAGATGGGGGACTTGGGGGAGCTGCTGAACCTGAGGATATCTCCCCCCACCACCCCCTGCAACTGCTTCTAAGTCCTCGGACGCTTGTCTTTACTATTCCAGATGTTGATGGACTCCAGCTCCCATAATTCCCTGGGGCTGCTTGGAGTTGGAGTCCAGCAGGGCTGTCTACCTTTGTCCTGCAGAGATGCGCGCGACAACAGAGGCACAGGGTGTTGTTCCGAGCTGCCCCTTTCTGCACCCGGCTCAACGCCCACTCGGCAGCGGACCCCACCCAGCAGCCTCTCCCGAGTCCCACGGGGCCAAGTCCCACCCTGTAATGTTCCCTGAATGACTCCACCTTCTTCCTGCTTCTCTCCGAAGTCTCCTGGCTCGTGAAACGCTTTGCAATCTCTCCCTCCAGCTGTGCCCGGAGCCTGCGGATTGGGGTGGGGGAACCTTGGCCTGGTAGGACGAACCAGCCAACCTGCTGAAGGGGTTGCATCAAGCGCGCTTCCTACTCGGAGTAGACCCCGCTGAAACGAATGGCTAGATTTCAGCGGGGTCTGCTTCGAGTGGGACTTAGCCAAGGTACGACCTCAAGGTGCTGGCTGGTCCCTCAGCCAGAAACCAGGGAAGTGGAGTGTTCCTCTGAGCATGTGCAGAGAGTCTTCTGCTCTTTCTAACTGCCTGCAATAGCAGGACAGCTATAATTTTTCTGGCCTCCTCCGGAATGCAACACTGAAGGTCTTTGTGCACAAGAGGAAGAAAGGGGGAAATACATTTTTTTTTCTTTCTCTCTCCACCCCCTGGGGGGGGGATGGCTTGTGGCCGGTCAAATTTGTCCTTCCTGTTTCCTAGACTTGGGTTCTGTTTCACCAGATCCTTCCTTTCTCTTCTCCTCCAGCCATGCCTTCCGTTTTTCTCCTTGTGTGTTTTCCTTTTTTGAGAAGGGACAGAGGGGGTGACAGCAGAGCACGGCGCGTCTCGCTAAAGCTGCGCTGATTTCTATGCCCTTGCAAAACCCTCAAATTATTATTTATTTTAACTTATTAGTTGGGTCCCTCCCCCTTTTTATTACAAAAAAACCCCCTCAAAAGTGGCAATAAACAACCAATGCATGTTAAAACCAGCATAAATCTAAAATGGAAGAAACCTAAAAAATTGTTCATATTTTTAAAAGGCAGAACTAAAACGTCCCACCCGCTGAAGGAGGCCACAGATTAAATGAAAGCCCAAAGGCTTGGCGGGAAATAAAAGTTTTTGCCTTATGCCTAAAGATAAGTAGTGATGGTGCCAGCCGAGCCTCTCTGGGGAGAGCGTTCCAGAAGCAGGGGACCACCACCAAAAAGGCCCCATTCTTGTGTTGCCACCCTCCTGCTGGAAGGGGCACACAGAGAAAGGCCTCTGGATCAGTCCATGAAAATCTCTGCTTTCCCCAACCACCTCTTTTTAAAAATGTGTCTCTGCAAAACAGCCTAAGGTATTCAGATGGGGCCAATATCTCGTTGCTGCTGTCCTGAAGATTGGCAGTGCCCACCCTTGGCACGCAAACCCAGGAAGCAGTCGATTCTCTGCAAAGAGTTTTGGGGTGCCTGGAAGGGTGAGGTGGGGACCTGGTTTGAGGAGTATGCAAGCCTCTTTGCTCAGACAGGCTCTCCTTGCCAGTGATCGTGATTCTGTCCTACCTGACAAGGGTTTTGTAAGGTCGCCTGGGGGCCTGATCAGCCCCGATAGCAGAACGAGGCGGTGAAAACAGGAATAATCCCACAGTGCTTGGAGAGCAGCTGGGAGTGTTGGGACAGAGCAAGTGTGCCACTTCAGGGTGCAGGTATGTGGGGGGGGGGTGCAACTGTGGGATTTGCCATCCTCATTTGCTCCTTGCGCCAGCCCTGTAAGGTAGGTCAGACATCGGGTTCCAGGAAGTGATTGCAAGATTTGGGAAGAGCTGGAAATTACAACTGGGATGACACGTCCAAATAAAATTATAAGGGAGGAAATGACTAAATGGAAGTCAACAAATGTGTGTCTGTCTATCTATCTGTCTATCCATCTATCTATCTATCTATCTATCATCTATCTATCTCTCTATCATCTATCTATCTACACACACACAAACATAGACACACCCCAGATAATAAGAGATAAAGGGTCAGAATGTTTGCCCTTTGGAAGGAAAAGAATTTAAGCATATTTTCATGTTTTTACAAGCAAACGTTTAAATATTTGGTATTGATGTTTTAGAGATAATTCATCTATTTATTTAAGAAAAGAAGATGGGTATTTACCTTGCGTATCATTGGTTCCAATTTTCCCCTCTCACCAAATTCTATGAAAATTGCTTCGGGGGGGGGGGGTTCTTACTGGACCACTTTCTGATTTTTGTTCCCGTTGCAGCAATTGCAGATTCTGCCTCTTTAACGGCATTACAAAATATAAGAAATAAACGAAGCGATAAAAAAAACACAATATGGATATTTAATGTGATGAAAACACTGTCTCCTGTCTTTCACGACGTAGCCGAAGAACACCTGGAACGAAGCGTAGTTTGGGAGCCCCTGGTATAGATTTTTAAAGTCAAGATAAAATACAACGGAGGTGGTTTGTAGGATGGCATGATGCGAGTAATGAAGGCCACATCAGGCTGCCTCTTTGAACACACATGTCTTCCCCCAAAGAATTCTGGGAGCTGTAGTTCATTAGAGGTGCTTAGAGTTGTTAGGAGACACCCCTATTCCCCTCCCAGAACTACAATTCCCAAAGTGGTTCCGCAATCAATCCCTCTTCCCAGGGAACTCTGGGAATTGTAGCTCTGGGAGAGGGTGGGGCCAGTTGCAAAAAGTGGTGCAACTAGCATAGATTTTACCTTTGTGAAATAGACTTATATTCTAAGCACACAAAGTCCTATACTCCCTGCTCTGTCCTCCATTTCCAAGCAAGGAAGAGGCATATGTCAGAGTTCAAGAACAGCAAAAACCAGCAAGGAGGTTGCGCAGCAAGACTGGGGAGGGGCTTGGTGTGGGGAAGGAGGTGTATGGGGAGAGTCCTAAGGGCCAGAGAGAAGCCCTGGAGGGCCATCATGGTGCCTGGGCCTGGGGCTCCCTACCCACTGCTTGACAACTCTTATATTTTACCTGGGACTGCAAAAAGAACTCTGTGTGTAGATTCCCTGGCTGGCTCAAGCTGCTGCCAGCCAGTGCAAGCAATAAGCCTGACAGACAGTGAAGTCAGTCACTATCTCAGTCGGTAGAGCATGAGACTCTTAATCTCAGGGTTGTGAGTTCGAGTGCCACGTTGGGCAAAATATGTGACGCACTGGATTGGACAGCCCTCGTGGTCCCACCTGACGCTACAATTCTGTGCTGATTCTAAGGCAGTGTTTCTTGGCTTTCCAGCTGTTTTCGGACTACAATTCCCATCATCCCTGCCCGCCGGTCTTGCTAGCTAGGGGTGATGGGATTTGTAGTCCAAAAACAGCTAGAGACCCAAGGCTGGGAAACACCGTTCTAAGGCTTCTTCTTCTTGAAGTCAGCCCTTTATTCATAACCTTGAGGACGAGAATCTTCATTTTCTTTTTACGGGGAGGGCAGCAGCTCATTGCTGTGTGCAAGGTCCCAGCCCCAGGTGGGAAAATGGACCCCCCACACACACCTGAAACCTAGAAGAGCTGTTCCAGCTGCAGCAGCGCAGACCACCAGTCTTCTGCCGGGTGGGCCGGCCATTTGAAATTCCCCCTGGCATGGAGATATTTCTGATCAAAAAGCCCCATAACACAGCAAGGTATTGCAGCGTAAGAATATAAAATGGGGACGGAAGCAGCGGCTTTAGAACCAGGAAAGCGAAGGCAACGGACTCTGTGTCTGGATGAGGCCTGAGTCTAAGGCCAGGGTGGGGTCTCTTCTCTTAATAACCACTTCTGGTTTGCAACAGAGAACGAGAGAGAGAGAGAGAGAGAGAGAGAGAGAGCCCTTGCGACAGCAGCTCCCACCCAGGCTGAGTCACGGGCCTCTCAGGAGGTCTCCCCCCCCCTCATGGTACCACCCTGAACCCTCCTTGCCACACAAGGTGCCTGGGCCTCTCCCTTGCCTGCTTCGCCCTCCTTATCTCCCTGCTTGCCTCACCTGGATTTCCAGGAAGTGCAACGACCTGGCTGGTGCAACCAGAGTGGGGGGTGGCAGCTGGGGGAGGGAGGGGGGAAAGCTGCATTGGGCAAAAGGACAGGGAGTGGTTGTACTGCCCGGCTTTCGTAGCTGCTTTTAAAATGTCTTTCAAAAGATTTTCACTGAGGCTGGGGTTGTGGACTGCAAGGACTGTCACTCCCCAGTATGAACCTACGCGGGACCTTGAGATCATCCTCTGAGACCCTTCTCCATGTTCCTCCTCCATGAGATGTTCTGAGTGTGGCAACAGGAGAACAGGGCCTTTTTTGCAGTGGCTCCCCGTTTAGCTCCAGGCAAAAAGCGTTCCTCTTCAACCAGGCCTTGGGTTGATTGACATCCAGTGCCCTTTAAAATGTGTTTGTGGGAAGAGGGATTGTTGGTTTGTTGTTGTTACTAGTTTTGTTATGTGTTTTATGTTGTCATCTTGTAGTTTTACGTTGCAAACCGCTCTGTGATCTTCAGATGAAGGGCGGTTTAGCTCATCATCATTACAGTGGTACCTCTGGTTAAGAATTCAATTTGTTCTGGAGGTCTGTTCTTAACCTGAAACTGTTCTTAACCTGAAGCCGCTGCGCCGCCAGGGCACGATTTCTGTTCTCATCCTGAAGCAAAGTTCTTAACCCGAGGTACTATTTCTGGGTTAGCGGAGTCTGTAACCTGAAGCGTATGTAACCTGAGGTACCACTGTATCATCATAACAACAACAATAATAGAGCCTCCAGCTGCAGGAGTAGTGTACCCCTTGAATAGCAGGTGGCTATGGAAAAAACAGGAAGCTGTTGGCTAGCAGAGAGGAGTGGAGCAGAATGCCGCAGCGAGACTCCTTACGGGGTCTTCGCCACGGGATCACATTCCCCCAGTGCTATACCAGTTGCACTGGCTCCCGGTGGAGTACAGGATCAGGTTTAAGGTGCTGGCTTTAACCTTTAAAGCCCTATATGGCCTAGGACCCTCGGGCCTAGGACCCTCGGACCTACGGGACCGCCTCTCCTGGTATGTCCCACGGAGGACCTTATGGTCTTCAAATAAAAACATATTGGAGATCCTGAGCCACAGGGAGGTTAGACTGGCCTCGACCAGAGCCAGGGCCTTTTCCACTGTGGCCCCAGCCTGGTGGAACGCTCTGTCACAAGAGACCAGGGCCCTGCGAGATTTGGCATCTTTCCGCAGGGCCTGCAAGACAGAGCTGTTCCGCCAGGCCTTTGGTCAGGGTTCAGTCTGACTCATTTTCTCTTTGTATAAGAACAAGCACGAAGGAGGTTTCCCAGCCTGTTCACAGGTCCTTATAATATCAGTGGAAAACAGTTGGTCCTGTCTAGTATTAACCGCTTTCAGTTTTAACCTAAGGATTATCATTTGTCCAGCTTTAACTTTAATTTATTTGAATTATTTTTGGGGTGCATTTTAATCAATTGACTGCTTGTTTTTATGCATATTGTATTATTTATATGATGTTAGCTGCTCTGAGGCTGGAGAGGGCAGGGTAAAAATAAAAAAATAATATTATTATAATAATTATTATTGCAGGGATAGTATATACCACCTCCAAGTAGCAGGTGGATGGGAATGAGGCAGCAAGCTGTTGGCTAGCGTTGCTAAATATGGAGCCTCTGGTTGCCAGGGCAGTATACCCCCTGAATAGCAGGTGGGTGAGGATAAAACAGGAGGGGGACTGTCGTTGCCCTTTGTGCTTTGGGTCAAAATGTTGGATCAAAGCCCGTGTTGCAGAAGAGAACCTCTGAAAGATGGATGCCTCAGGCTGACTATGCAGAGCCTCCATGGATGGGGGCAGTCTACCCTGGAACACCAGCAGGGACAGAAACACAGGCCTCTCCTCTTTCTGCCCCATCCCAGAGACACCAGAGACCGGCTTCTGTCGGGAACGGGGCTCGGTGGCCCTGATCCCAAGCCTTATCGTTGCACAGAGGGACAGGGAGGTGTGGGTTGTCGCGGTTTGTGGCTATGCGCCGCTAGCCGGTCCTTGAGACGGCCTCAGCCATCCTGTTGCCATCTTAGGCGTCGTTGCGCAAGGGAGTTGCAGCGCAAGCGGGCAACCGCCTCTTCTTCCCTTTCCACCGCCGTGCCTGTTTTGGGGGCTACACCCTTGTGTCCTGGGCTCACCCTCTGGGACGGATGCTTGAGCGCATTTGAAGCGCATAGGGAGAGGTCTTTGGGTGCTGGTGGGAGGGAGAAATTGCCTTATATGGAGAGAGTCAGGCCACAGGGGCCTTCCCATATAAAGCAAGATTCTAGTCCTCAGGTTTCTGAATAAAGGGCTGATTTAAACAGGAAGCTGCCTTACTCCAGATCAGGCCGCCGTGCATCAAGCTCATTATTTGTCTACATTAGCAAAGCAAACACTGTGCAGAGTCGCTGGGGCAACCTTGCCAGATGGGCGGGGTATAAATAATAAAATTATTAGTATTTTAAATCCCCCGCTATGGTCCCTCAACTTGATCACATCTCCTTCGAGAAATAGACTTGAAGAGAGCCTGTCGTTAGCTTGAGGAACAGGTTCATCTATTCGTTATTTATTCTTTCATTTATACCCCATTATATACCGTATTTTTCGCTCTATAAGACGCACCAAACCACAAGACGCACCTAGTTTTTGGTGGAGGAAAACAAGAAAAAAAATACTCTGAATCTCAGAAGCCAAAACAGCAAGAGGGATCTCTGCGCAGTGAAAGCAGCAATCCCTCTTGCTGTTCTGGCTTCAGCGATAGCTGCGCAGCCTGCATTCGCTCCATAAGACGCACACATACTTCCCCTTACTTTTTAGGAGGGAAAAAGCGAGTCTTATAGAGCAAAAAATATGGTATTTCTTCCCAGGATCTCAAAGTGGCGGGCATGGTTCTCCCATTTCACAACACCCCTGCGAAGTAGCCTTGCCCTGGCCTAGGCCTTACCAAAGGCAGAGTGCCATTCCCTTCCAGCCTAGGGGTATAGTATAGGAGCCTTTCACTTTTTTTTTGGAAAGTAGCTCTCCCACTTCTAAATTAACCTTATTTTCAGCCGTTTGGGGCCCCTTATCTCAGCGGGCCACACAACGGCCCTCCAGAGCGGACTGGTGCTATCTCTAGGCCGCACCTGGAACGGGAAGGGTGGGAGAGAGCCAAGTCTGTTGGGTGGGAGACGACAATTCACTTTCGCCCCTGTGCCCTCGTTGGGCATGCTGCCATCTCCTCTGCTCACCCTCCTCCGAATAAACCCATTGAAAGGAACGGGCCTCAGTTAGCCGTGCGCATTCACCTTAATGGGTGCTGACTCTCATGTGGGACCACCATTGGCTATGGACATTAGGACGCCATTTTGGAGCCATCGGGCCTGGAGTCTTGCATGTCCCCACTCTCAAGACATATTGGTGTAGTGGTTAGAGTTCTGGACAAGGACCTGGGAAGAGACCAGGGTTCAAATCCCACCCATGGGAGGGGTGTCAGTTGCTCTCTCTTGCCTATCCCACCTCGCAAGGTTGTTGTGGGAATTAAACCCAGGAGGGGGGAGAGCCACGTACACCACCTCCTTGGAGGAAAAGGCAGGAAATGAACGTTATCCCTGGGATACCTCAGCTTGGTAGAGCATGAGACTCTTAATCTCAGGGCTGTGGGTTCGAGTCTCACATTGGGCAAAAAAGGGGGTTGGGCTAGATGACCCTTGGTGTCCCTTCCAACTCGACAATTCTGTGAAATGGGCCCAGGGAGTGTTGGTGCCTGGGATCCTGCCCAGAGGCAGTTGTGCCCACCCCATGCCTCTTGCAAAACGGAGCGTGTTTTTCATTTTCCGAGGTGCATGTCGTCCGATGCCCTTCCAGCCTATCCTAGCCCTGTTAGCAATCCCACCCCCCTTTTGCAAGCCGCCACGCAGCAGTTCCTCTTTCATATCAGCTGCTCTTCTTAAGTGGGTAGTAAACGGACAATCTTATTTCCTCGTTCCCTTGCGCGCTCTCTCTCTCTCTCTTTCGTTCTCTGTTTTCTTCCCCCACCTGGGTGGGCTGTTGTCCAGCTGGCTTGTTCATTTTATCCTCACCGGGGTTGAGGGGTGGGAGGGAAGCGGTCTGGCTCCCCACGCTGCAGCTGTGGGCGAAAGAAGAATCGGAAGCCGGCCTGGGGAACCCAGGTGTCCGGGCCGAGGCACCTGTTTGGTGGTGAGCAGATTAAGGGACTTCCCTCCCTCCTCCCATCCGCAGACTTAGAGACTAAGGGCCCATCTGCACTGAACATTGAAAGCAGGGTCACGGCTTTGCCAAAGGAATCCTGGGAACTGTAGTTTGCGAAAGGGTGCTGAGGCCTGTTAGGACCAACAGTTCCCAGAGTGGTTTGAACAGTCAATCCCTCTTCCTAGGGGACTCTGGGAACTGTGGCTCTGTGAGGGGAATGGGTGGTCTCCTAAGAACTCTCAGCACCCATAGCAAACTACAGTTTCCCAGGGGAAGCCACGGCTATTTAAAGTGGTATGGAACTGCTTTAAATGCGTAGTGCAGACGGCGGGTGTAACTTTGTTAGTTTGCTTTCTATCGGACTGAGTTCTGGTCATAGCTGTCAACTTACAGATTTGAAAATAAGGGACCAGCAGCCTTGAAAATAAGGGATCAGCAGCCAAAATAAGGGATCAACAATTACTTTGATAAAATACATATTTTGTTGCGTGCAAACGGCTTTAGATACCTATTAGGTCCATAAATCACCATATAGCATATATTCGACACAAAAAAACAGCAACAATTTGTTGTTGACAAAGCACAGCTGGACATAGAAAGGGCCCAATTACCTTCAATAGCTTATTTAAGGGACATCATCAATAAGGGACAGCAGCGGGACATGGTGCTGGGATAAGGGACTGTCCCGCCAAATAAGGGACGCTTGACAGCTATGGTTCTGGTTTGTCTGTTTTTTAAAAAACAGATTCGAGGGTTGGCAGAGTCCGGGACAAAGTTACCCATAGGCAGCTGACTTACTTGGTCACGGGTGTGTTGTTTCACACACACACACACACACACACACACACACACACACAGTGTTCGACTGGGACTATGGAGACCCAGGTTCAAATTCTCACCCAGTTGAGGGACTTTGGGCCGACTCCTGACCTACCTCATAGGGTTGTTGTGAAGATAAAACGAGAGTGGGAAGCAGTTCCTGGGAGGAAAGGTGGAATAGAAATGAAAACACACAAAGCCGCTGCTTTTTCCATATCACACACTCACAACCTGCATCTGGTCAGGTACTACCAGCAGACAAACCCGAACTCAGAGCATCTGGTTGGCAATTGTGAGAACAGGATACTAGGCTGGCCTGATCTAGAAGCCTCGCCTTACGTTCTGATAGGGGCAGAAACCAGCTCAGATTATTTTGATGGGTGAATAGCCGCAAGAGCCGTCTAGAGCCTCCTGTTTCAGGAGCAGTCTACCTCATTCTCCGTTGCAAGGGAGGAGAGTTGCTATTGAGCTCAAGGTCCTCCTGCTCAACCTCTGTGAGAACAGGATGCTGGGATTAGACGCGGCCTGATCCTGCTGGGCTCTTCTTAGTTTCTTGCGACCTTCTGCAAACCAGATCTGCAGAAGGCTAGGACCAGAGCACCTCCTTTGAGGGGCCTAACTGGAGCCCACTTCCAGTGCCAGGCTGCGAAATGATGTGTTTCTGAGCATGTTCAGAGTTCAAATGCCACATCCCTCCTTTGAGGGGTCTGGGCATTCCTCCCAGGAAGCTCTCGACACGAGCACCTTTACGAAATTACCCACCTAGTACTTGCCAGGACAAGGGAAGGGAGATTTTATTTTATTTTATTTACATCTTCCAACAAAATTTTGATTTGACGAAACCAGACAGGGAGCGTCCTCTCCAGAGCATGTCCCTTGCCACTAACCCTGGAGAGTCGCTATCAGTCACTGATGACAGTCCTGAGGTCGATGGACCAGATTCTGACTCAGTAGAAGGCAACCACCCATGTTCTTTTGACTAATGGTCCAAACTTTCTAGGTTCCAGTTTAAATCATCCCTTTATGCAAAACCATGACGACTAGGAACTTCTAATTTGGCAGAGGGAGTTGCTGGAAAGAACATAAGGACACAGGAAGAGCCCTGCTGGGAAACCAGAGCTCAGTGGCCTTGCATGCAGGAGGTCCCGAGTTCAAGTCCCGGCATCTCCAGGTAGGGCTGAGGACGCCCCCTGCCCGAAACCTTAGACAGATGCTGCCAGTCCGTGCAGGCAACACTGAGCTCTATGGACCGGTGGTCTGCTTGTTTATAAGGCAGCCCCGCCTATATCTGGTGCCAGGCCTGCCTCTCCTTGCCATCTCCCCTGGCGCAGTTCTGTGCCCGCCTTGCCCGATCTGTTCAGGGCACAGCAGGAGGGAAGAAGCCCTTTCTGCTGGCGCCGTTGCTACCCTGCAGGCTGAGTCAAGCCAGCACTTTCGGGGAGGGACCTGGGTGGGGGCGCGGCTTGGCTCAGCAGGGGCAGCGCCCACCTTGCCAGGCCGCTCGGCAGGGCAGGTTGGGACACGCCGGCTTGGCTCAGCCCCGCCAGGTGACACAACGTGGCTCAGAGAAGTGGGGCAGGAGGCAAGGAAGTAGGGCGAGGAGCGAGGCTGGCGGTGGACACCCTTTCTGGGTCGCTTGGGGCAGGTGTCGTAATGATGTCTCTCCCACCCACCCCACCCCCGGCGGCTGGTATTCAGAGGTACGTCGGCGCTCCTGGCAGCGGAGGGAGAACGTCGCCACCGTGGCTGGCAGCCATCCGTCTCCCGGGATTTGGCCACCAAGTGGGTGGCGATCTCTGCACCTTGTGGCAGGGAGTTCCAGAGGGGAATTCTAAGCAGAACCTCCATATTCCAAGGCAGTGTCTCTTGTCCTTGCTTCTTTCTTGCTTCCCCCTCTCTTGCGGTCCATTTTTCCTCCCTTGAGGGAGATTTGGGAGAAAAAAAGGGTCACCAGGGTTGTGATTTGAGGCAGGATAATTGAGAGATTCCCTCCCTCTTCTTCTCTCCAAAGGTTTGGTTCGACCTTTGTGGAAGGAGGGGAGACTCTGGAGCATGTGCAGAGTGCACTTTCCACACCGCAAAGCGCCCATTTGCTAGCCTCTGTGTGGTTGGTGCATGATAAAAGTGTCTGTGTGGAGGGGTCATCCTTGCTCGCTTGCCTTCCTCCCCTCGCCTACCCTGGTGTTTCAAAGGTGGAAATAGTGTCAACGTTGTAAAATCCTTGTTGCCTGAGATTCTTGTTCAGAACATCTGCACGCCCAGCCAGCAACATGTGGCTGAAGGCTCTCTTCCCCTTTCTGTATGCTGTTGACCAGATGTTTTGCTAGACTACAAATCCCATCGTCCTTGACCATTGGCCAGACTGGCTGGGGGCTTATGGGAGTCCAAGAACATTGGTCAAACTACAATTCCCAGCATCCCCAGCCATTGGCCATATTGGCTAGGGGGCTCATGGGAGCTGAAGTCCGAGAACATTCTTGAACTACAACTCCCAGCATCCTTGGGGGCTGATAGGAACCAGAGTCCTCCTGCTAGGCGCCTCCGCTGCGTAGATTTATCCGTCCTACCCTGTTCAAAAAGCCAAGAGGGTCTTTGCCGCCACCTCCTTGAGGGTTTGAAACAAACCGAAACCGCAATTGTCTGCTGCCAGAACGAGCCCAGGCATTGTGCGTTGTGACTGGCTGTGCGGTGGTGTTCTTGTGTGTGTCTTAACACGCATGTGTCCTGGAGACGAGGCCCGCCCACTTCTGAGATGTTAACTCCCAGAGATCCTGGCAAAGAGTTGCAGCCTTGAAGCAGGGAGTCACACATAGCAAAATCTGAACAGGACACCCCCCCCCAAAAAACCAACAGAAAATGATTTTACTTATATATTCATAACATTTAATCCTCCGACCTTCTCATCCAATGAGCTCAAAGCAACGTACAGAGTTCTCCCCCTCCCTCCACACTAACCCTGTGAGGTAGGTTAGGCTGGAAGATGGTAACTGGTCCATGGTGACCCCAGTGAGCGTCATGGCCGAGTGTGGATTCGAACCCAGGTCTTTCCCGTCCTTGTCCATCTGAACCATCGCAATCACCCCCGATAGGGAAGAGCTGGAGGGCTTCAAGGTCAGAAGGTTCTACGTTGAGGATGTCACGCAGATGGCAACTTTTATTTTTGTCACTCTGCAAAGTTGGGTGTGGGGGAGCGGAGGGCCGCATTCTGTTCTGGGCAGCCTGCCAAGGGCCGTGTGTGCTAGCGGTGGGCGGGGCCAGAGGCAAAAGTGGGCGGGGCAGCAAATAGAAATTTTGCCTTTGAGCATGGGGCTAATTTCTACACTTGCTCACCTCTCTCTCTCTCTCTCTCTCTCTCTCTCTCTCTCTCTCTCCCCAGGCGAGTAAATAAGGCATGCTTTAGTTGACATTCCCGCATTTCAGGGGGTTGGACTAGATGACGCTGAGGACCCTTTCCAATTCTATGATCAGAGCTGAAAGGCACATTCTGGCCAGGCAGAAACACTCAAATAGTGTGTGAAGCCGAGGGCCAGTGGGGGGGGGGAGTGTTGCCTGGAGAGAGTTCTGAGGGCCAAATAGCGATATCCCAAGGGCCATATTCAACCCCTGAGCCCGGGGCTCCCCACCCCAGAGCTAAGAGGCCTCCACTGACTTTTGTATGCATGTGTCTGTTTGCGAGTTGTACGGCTCACCGGTTCTGCAGCAGCTTCTGGAGTTGGCTCGCCATTAATGGAACCTCCCACTTCAGGGGCAGTCTACCTCCAAGCGCCAGCTGCTCAGCGCATGCCAGAAGGAAAGGCGGCGGAGGAGGGCAGCTCTTCCTTTCATATGCCTTTCGGAAGGCTCCGTGGCCTAGGCTGGCCAACTTCCGAAACGGCCTCCGCAACTGTGCCTTTTTTGGGGAACGGGATGATCTGTAGTCAGGCATGTGTGCTTTGATCCATGCGCCGTGGGACGCCACGCGGTCTCTCTCTCGCACGGTGCTTTCCACAGATTGAAGCACAGGAGCTGCCCAAGCCATGCCTTCCAGGACAGTTGGCAACCCTGCTTTGTGTTTATACGGATGGAGCACAGAGTCTGCGAGGAGCTTGTGTGCGCATGTGAATGCCAAAGGACTCCCCGCCTCGCTTTTCTTACAAGCTTCTCTTAAATTATCTGCTTGCTGATCAGCCTCAGGTAGCTTCTGTGCTCACCACAACGGCTTCTCCCGCACCTGGGTGGGTGAGTGGGTTTAGAGGCGAGGCCTCTAAACCGGCGCGATTTCCCAATAAATGTCACAAGCCGCCATTTCACATTTTCAGAGGCTTTCGAGGGGTCCCTGCACCTCTTGCCTCGCGTCCCAACAACCCTGGCACGTGGCGTTATTCCCCCCCCCATAGGGCGGGTGGGAAACGCCGAGGCCTGTGAGGGATGCGCACGGCGAGATTCGAACCGGGGACTGTTTCCTGACTTGTAGCCTTCGCCGCACTTGGCTGGCTGCTCGCTGGTGGTGGTTGGTGTGTGTGTTTTTTCCAGGTGGGTGCCTTTCCGGGGGGAGCAGGGAGAAAGCAGGGTGAATCCCCCTGCCGGGCTCTCCGTTCGAGGCTGGAGAGCGTGGCAAAGGGTTAAGAAGGTTTGAGGGTGGGGTGCTCACAACCTGGGGTGTGGGCGTTGCCTCCTGTTTGAGGTGGGATCCTGCCTGCCTGCCTGGCTCAGAACTGTTTGCTCCTTCGAGAGAGCGTGAGAGAGAGAGAGGGGGGGAGAGAGGTAAGTGGCGAGGATGAATCGCCAGGGGTGGCTGAGGGATGTGTTTGGGCAAAGGGGGGCTTGGAGAACAGTGCTGGGGCGCTCCAGGTGCCAGCCCTCCTGAAATCAGCTTTTGAGGGTTCGCCGGCGGCCTCTCCGCCAGAAATGTGTGTCCGCTTTGCAAGGTTCTGCGGAGAGGTTCCAGAACCAAGCAGAGCTGGTCGAAGGCTCTGCAAAAGTGTCGGATACTGCAATTTTAGCCCTTTCCGGAAGCTATAGGTGCTGGGTTTGGGTGGCGGCACCCTCTTGGGGCAGCTCGGCAAGGGGTTTCTGCCCCCCAGCTGTGGGGCCTGGCAGTTTGGAGGTGAAGGGGGGCATTTAAACTGGCTCTGCTTTTACGTTCTGAAGATGATGAAATTGTGTGTGTGTGTGTGTGTGTGTGTGTGTGTGTGTGTATTTATTTCAGTATCAAACATAACCTAGGCAAGTGGCTGTTTTTTGCATCCTTTAACTGCCCCATCGTATCCGCAGCCGAGCCCCCCAGTGTGTATCATAGCCCCACACGTTCCCACCGCATGCTTTTGGGTCTCTGTGGTTTTCATTCCCACCCCATTTCGTAATATATGATTTCCGCCTGGGTAGTTTTCCAAAGTGTGTCAGTTGCCGCATCCCCTTGGAATTCTCCCTCCCCACCCCAGATCGAGTGGGGTGTGTGTGTTGCGCTCTTTCTGTGGGGTGCTTTCCCTTCCTCTATCTCCTGCTGTCGGAGGATTCCTTCGTAACTGGAATCCACCGTCTCATTCCATAATTGAAATTTGGCACAAACTGATTCACCCTTGGAGAGGCATTGGTGGGAAGGGAGGAGAATGAGCTCTGGCAGGACTTTCATATCTCCGGTGTTGTGGCACAGGTTTTGCTTGCTTGCTTCCTTGAAATCCTCTGGATTTAGTTTGACACCTCAGCCATGCTTCTAGTCCTGTGTGTGTGTGTGTTTGCGGGGGAGAAACTGCAGAGATCTGTGAAAAGCTTTTCTGGTTCCATCGTCATGTTTTGCGAGGGGAACTCCGCTTTCTGTAGTTCAGTTTCCTTCTTTCTTTATTAAATGGCAAGTTGGCAGATTATTATTTTTTAATATACGTAGATTCTATCAGTGAAGTTACTTCAACATAAACCCATTTTGCACAACTCCCATGTTTCTGTTTCAATTCGTCCTGTTCATCTCCAGTTTCCCGCTCCCAAACCCTCCTTGCCCACCGAAAAAGTAAGCTCAAAAATTTATGAAGGGCAACCAGATTGCTATTAGGGTGGATGAGTCCAAGTTCAGAATTTTCGTATTATTATTATAATTATTATATTAAATTTATTACCAACCACCACCAGAAAGCAGCCAGCCCTTCACCGGCAGGTTCCAGGGGATGTTGAGACCATTTCAAATCTGGTATTAAAAATAGTTTAAACTGATTATAGTCTCAGGAACAGGGTGGGCCCTGAAAGCACACACCTCAGATGTTGTAGGCCGGAGTCGAATCATAGAATTGTGGATTGGAAGGGACCCCAAGGGACATCTAGTCCAACCCCCGCAGTGCAGGAATCTCAACTAAAGATGTGTGCCTTCAGCATCCCCAGAAAGCTGTGCAGTGGAGAAGCCAGGCGTACCTCTGTGCAGAGGGAGTCCCGCAACAGAGGGGCTGCCACCGAAAAGGCCCTCTCGTTTGCCACTGCCACCCCAAACATCTGAGGGAGGTGGAATTCCCAAGGTGCCCCCAAGGAGGGTCTGTGGGGAAGGAGGAGGCCTCTCAGATATTTGGAACCTAAGTCACCTAGGTCTTTGGGTGCTGGCATTTATTAGCACCTTGAATCGGGCCCGGAAACTGAAATTTTCCAGCCGCAGTTGAAATCGGGCCTTAAACGGGCAGTCAGTGCTGATTTCCGCATCTGTGCAAAGATATTTTTTTACAACTCATCAGAGACGTCGCTGGGAAACGATGCGAAACCCATCCTAGGTTGAAGTTGGATCTTGTTGTCCCAGGAAAGCTGGTTGTGTGGGGCTTAATATACATGCAGGTAGCTACAAATTCTGCTGCCCATCTCTCAGCGCTGCGGTTTGCAGGTTGGGAGCCCATTCGTAGTGCTCAGGGGACCAACCCTGTTTTTACCACCCTGCGCACCTGGAAGTGTGCAGTGTAGCAAAGCTTGGGGGGAGGAAAGGAGGAAGAGGCATAACCACTTTCCTCCACTGCCGCCCGAGCCACGCTGCAAAAGGATGTCGGTTTTTATTTTCTCAAAAGAGGCTTTGTCAGGGTGTAGGAAGCTGCCCTGTACAGAATCGGGTCCTCGGTCCGTCAAACTCAGTATTGTGATTGCTGACGGGGCAGCTGTGTACCTGTCCTTACCTGCAGCTAACAACAAAATTATCCAGTTTGTCCAGTCCTCCTTTAAAGCCATCCACGACAGTGGCCACCGCTGCAGGTTTGATCCCTGTCTGGGACAGCTGCGTATTCCTGCATTGCAGCGGGTTGATCCTCTACAATTCTCGGATTCTGCGTGGAGGTTTCTGGGTACCAGGTTTGGCGACCGCAGTTTAAAAACCTCTGCCTTACCTCCATATTGAGTACCACCTGGAGACGCAATTGGGGGATGAACCTGGGACCTTCTGCCTGCAAGGCTTTGCCACTGAGCTATGGCACTTCTCCCAAAGGAGGAAGAAGAGGGAGGCCTGTTGTGTCTCTGCATGAGTTCATGGTTCCGCAAGCTCTCCCATTAGGACCAGGCGATGTATCGATATACAGTGGTACCTTGGTTGTCGGAACTTCATCCGTTCCGGGAGTCCGTTTGACTCCCGAAACCGTTAGAAAACCAAGGCGCAGCTTCTGATTGGCTGCAGGAGCTTCCTGCACTCAATCGGAAGCCACGTCGGACATTCGGCTTCTGAAAAATGTTCGCAAACCGGAACACTCACTTCTGGGTTTGCGGCATTCGGGAGCTGATTTGCTCGGGAGCCAAGCCGTTCGACAACCAAGGTACCACTGTATCGTTCAAAACCAGTTTGAAGTCCATATTGCGATATCAGTATCATAGTTTTCGACCTCGCAATATATTGCGAATCATGACGTGTGCATTTGCTTTGGAAAAACCACAATGTGGGAAAAACCATGAAGCCTTGCTCCGTCCTTATTTCAGGCATTGTGATATATCAGAATATTGCGATGTTTAGTAAAGGTAAAGGGACCCCTGACCATTAGGTCCAGTTGTGGCCAAGTCTGGGGTTGCAGCGCTCATCTCGCTTTACTGGCCAAGGGAGCCGGCGTACAGCTTCTGGGTCATGTGGCCAGCATGACTAAACCGCTTCTGGCGAACCAGAGCAGCGCACGGAAACGCCGTTTACCTTCCCGCCGGAGTGGTACCTATTTATCTACTTGCACTTTGACGTGCTTTCGAACTTCTAGGTTGGCAGGAGCAGGGACTGAGCAACGGGCGCTCACCCGTGGCAGGGATTCGAACCGCCGACCTTCTGATCAGCAAGTCCTAGGCTCTGTGGTTTAACCCACAGCGCCACCCGCGTCCCATTGCGATGTTTAGCTGGTGATAGATCACAAAGTTGAAAACCAGATACCAACCAGCCCTAAAGAGTATTATGACCTAACCTTAACCCTTGCCTGCCCCTTACTGTCCTCAGCCTCCCTCTTTCTCCCTGGTGCGCCCAGGACCCACTGACATGGGCTCCTTCGACAGATGATCATTTTGTTTCTTTCACCGTTTAAGAACTGAACTTCGCATGGGCAAAATTCAGTGCACCTTGGCTACCGGGACTTTCGGCTTACTGGGTTTTTGGAATTTGGCAACATGTGCTGTCTCTGCGCGCTTCCATCTCCTTGGGAAGAGTCTTTCCTGCAAACAGGTCAAAGTGGCTTACATAGTCCTCCCCCACCACACATTTTCATCTTCACAACAACCTTGCGAGGTTGGTGAGCTTCAGAGATAACAGACCAAGGTCACCTAATGAGATTTGTGGCCAAGTGGGCAGGTGGGGAGGTGTTCAACCTAAACCCCGCCAGACTTGGTCCAACCCTCTAGCCACTACACCACACTGCCTCCTGTGGGGGGGGGGTTAGAAGCTACGCTTGCATTTTGCCAGCTGGCGTGTTTTGAGGTTGCGACTGGAAAGAAAAGAATAATAATGGTCTCTGTCTCACTTGGAGACCGAAACAGAAGCACCATTGGCTTCCGTTGTCTCGGAAAGTCGCACTTCAAAGCATCAGCAAACGCAGCGATGGCAATGAAAGGAACTTTTATCTGATTTTCTTTTAAAAATAGACAATCCAAATAGTCAGTGTGGGGTTTTATTTTTTTTATTCTGATAAAAAACAAAAACCCAGAGACTGTCTCCTAAAGACAGAACTGTTGTCCGTATTCAGGATGCTTTCAGACCTTGTTGGACCACAGCTGCCATCCATTCCCAGCCAGCAGGACCAATAGTCAGGGGGGGATAAAGTTCGGGGGAATCTAGAGAGCTACAGGTCCTCCACCCCAGACTTGGGCACATGGCCCAGGCAATCAGGGATCACATGGCCCAGCCAATCAGGGTTAAAGGCATTTACAGAGCTGTAAAGCAAGGTTGGGGAAGCAACGACATGTTCAAATGTCGTTGGGCCACAGCTCCCGTCAACCCCAGTCAGCCTGGCCCAGTGGTCAGGAGGGATGGGAGATGAAATTCAGAAAAATCTAGCGGGTCACAGCTTCCCTCTTCTCAGGCTGTGAGAGGTGGGGTCCTACAGATCCTGGAAGTGAGGAATTGGAGTCAGGAGGAGGATTAGAGTGGGAAGGTGGAAGGAGAGAGAAACAGAAGCCTATTCTCTCTCTCTTGTTCTCCCAAATTCATGGAGGATAAAGGCTCTCAATTGGCTACTAGCTGTGCTCCGCCTCCACAGCTAGAGGCAGCAGCGTGTGGCGTGGTTAAACTGTGGAACTCCCTGTGACAGGAGGCAGCGATGGCCGCCATCTTGGATGGCTTTAAAAGAGGTTTGGACAAATTCTTGGAGGCGAACGCTACCCAGGACTACCCAGTAGGACGCAGCGATGCTTCTGAGCACAGTGGTACCTCGGGTTAAGTACTTAATTCGTTCTGGAGGTCCATTCTTAACCTGAAACTGCTCTTAACCTGAGGTACCACTTTAGCTAATGGGGCCTCCCGCTGCCACTGCGCGATTTTTGTTCTCATCCTGAAGCAAAGTTCTTAACCCGAGGTACTATTTCTGGGTTAGTGGAGTCTGTAACCTGAAGTGTCTGTAACCTGAAGTGTATGTAACCTGAGGTACCACTGTACCGACCTGGAAACCACAAGAGGCGAGGGCCGCTCCTGTGGTCAGGTCATAGCTGTCAACGTTTCCCTTTTTTTAAGGGAAATTCCCTTATTCCAAATAGGATTCCTCGCAAGAAAAGGGAAACATTGACAGCTATGGCTCAGGTCCTGCTTGCTAGCTCCCCACTGGTTGGCCACTTGAGGAAACAGGAGGCTAGACTGGATAGGCCATTGGCGTTCTTGAGACGCTGAGGACTAGCCTCATGCGCTGTGGCCTTGCAACACAGAAGCTTACTTTCTTCTACTTTCAGCACCTGATCTGTTTCGGACCTGATTCACCACCCACTAGCCAAACTAAACACGCTCTCTCTTTCTCTCTCTCTCGGCCTGGTAGCAGCCCCTGTCCAAGTCTAAGACAGCGCTCCTTTTCCTGCAAGCTGCAACAACTGCGCTGCTGGACATTTTTTTAAATATGTTCCTGAAGCGTATGACTATTTCAGTCTCTTCCCCCCCCTTTCTTAAAGAGACCACGTTGTTTAGGGGCTGGAAATCCTCCCACCCATCTGAGCCACTCCCTTCCCCTGGGAACTCGCTAGCAGCAAAGTCACATCAGGGCGGCTGTGTGGTTTTGCGTTGTGTTGTGTGTGTGTGTGTGTTTTATGGTACGAAAGCCTTGCTCTCTCCTGCTTGCTCCCAGCTCTCTGGCAGGCGGGTTCCTTTCCTTGCCAGGGTCCTCCTGACCCAGGGGAGAGGCTCTGCGTGTACCGGGGGCCGTTCCCAGGACCTGTTTGGGCACGTCCCCTTCCCACCCATCGCCTGCCTGGCACCGCACAGGAGCTGGCGCAAAGGCCGCCCCCCCCTCCTTCTGTCCTTCGGGGCCGGCTTGCAACAGAGGGATTAATGGGCGTTGGGCAGGAAAAAGTACAGCCGGTTCCTGAGGCTGCCTGTCAGTGCCCAGGTGTTGCCACCCTTGGCTTCCCTGCCCCGCAGTCCGCTTCCTTGACTTAGGCAGATGAGAGTATCTCGACGCCCACGGCGGGAGGCCAGCGCCACACCCGAGTTGGGAATTTCTGATAAGAGGAGCCTGGTTATCCGAATCAGGCCAGTGACCCAACTCATCGGTCCTTCTGTTCTCTAGATGCCCCACTGGGAAATGGTTGAGTTAGCCTGACAACCATGCGTCTTTCCATTTTATTAAATTTTTTTTCCTGTGCTCAAGCAGGGCTGGATTAACCATTAAGCAAAATAAACTTGATGGTTGTGGACCCTCCTTCCTTGGAGGTTATTTTTTAAGCAGAGGTTGGGTGGCCCTCTGTCGTGGATGCTTTAGAGCTGAAGATTCCTGCATTGCAGCGGGGTTGGGCTAGATGACCCTCAGGGTCCCTTCCAACTCTCCAATTCTGTGATTCTAAGCCTGTGCTTCTAAGCATCAAGGGAAGGGAGGCACCATAATTTTTTCCCCATTTTAACCAAATTAATGGTCACAAACTGCTCACCTGAGCGTTCGTTTTCTCAGTTGAAGTACCGTATTTTTTGCTCTATAAGACTCACTTTTCCCCTCCTAAAAAGTAAGGGGAAATGTGTGTGCGTCTTATGGAGCGAATGCAGGCTGCACAGCTATCCCAGAAGCCAGAACAGCAAGAGGGATTGCTGCTTTCACTGCGCAGCGATCCCTCTTGCTGTTCTGGCTTCTGAGATTCAGAATATTTTTTTTCTTGTTTTCCTCCTCCAAAAACATGGTGCGTCTTGTGGTCTGGTGCGTCTTATAGAGAGAAAAATACGGTACATGAAAATAACCGCAACAGAACAACTTTGCGGCAAAGCGGGCTTGGGTGCCTTATGTCTCCTAAGTATTGAAGCAGGCGGGCTACGTAAGGATCTGATCCAAGACTTTTCAATTAGAAAAAGGAGGAAGGTTTTCCAAGTGTAAATAAAGTTGGAAGTACAGTGGTACCTCACGTTAAGTACTTAATTTGTTCTGGAGGTCCGTTCTTAACCTGAAACTGTTCTTAACCAGAAGCACCACTAATGGGGCCTCCTGCTGCTGCTGCGCTGCCGGAGCACGATTTCTGTTCTTATCCTGGAGCAAAGTTCTTAACCTGAAGCACTATTTCTGGGTTAGTGGAGTCTGTAACCTGAAGCGTATGTAACCTGAGGTACCACTGTATTCAAAACAAGCATTATTTTCCATCTTACTGTAGGTTTTGTTTTGTTTTGTTTTGTTTCAAAAAATTAAATTTTGTTCTACGGTTTATTATTGTTTATAGTTTGAATTGGATATATATGGGGGGCACCAAAATATTTTAAGTGCTTAGGGGCTTCGATAGGTCTTAATTTGGCTGGAGTCTTCCTTCCCCCTCCCTGCTTTTGGGATGGGGTGGGGTTCAAGCCAGGTGAGAGCTACCTGTGCTATCCTCCTCCAGGTGTGCTAGATGGGCTGGATCCAGCAGGCTCTTTTTACATTGCCGGACTCCAACTCCCATTAGCTCGCACCAGGCAGCACCAATGACCAGGGATGATGGGAGTTGTAGTCCAGCAACACCTAAGGCCCGCAGGTCCTGCATCTCTGCTTCTTAAGCTTCCTGCCTTGATGCCGCTCAGACTCTTGTTTCATCAGTCCCAGTGCTGGTTCCCCTGTTTGGCGGCAACTCTCTCTGGCAGAAAAGGGCTGTTCCCATCTCGTTCCCTCTGCTTGCGGGTTTCCCAGAGGGGCATCTGGTTGGCCACTGTGCCATCCTGGGCCACGTGGGGCTTTGGCCTGACTCAGCTGGGCAGAGTCTGTGGCAGCTGGGGGCACCAGGGAGGAAGAGGGCGACGCTGAACAGCGACTCATGCAGAGCAGCAGCAGGCAGCCTCCTCTAAGAGGCAGGCCCAGGTTCTGGCATTGAGGCATGGCAGGATCAGATGGGAGAAGGGGGAACAGCAAACTCATGCAGAGACACAACAGGGCCCCCTCCTCTTCCTGTAGCTCAGTGGTAGATCTTTTCAAGGCAGAAGGTTCAAGCCCCAGTTGCGTCTCCCCGTAGGGCTGCGAGAGACTCCCTGCCTAAAACCCTAGAGGCCTGCTGCCAGTCAGTGTAGGGAATCCTGCGCTAGGCTGACACCGTCGATGGTGGCTTCCTGCGTTCCTACTCAATGCATAGGCGTCGCTTCTTGAGGCAATTTTGCAACACACAAGTTTGGAAATGAGTAATAGACACATACAGCTAATAACTCGCACAGCTAATATTTGGGGATTGCAGGAGCTACCGAGTTGCCTTTCGCTGGCCAGTCTTTTCCTGGGCGCTTCACTGCGGCTTCTTGCAACACAGGTGTTTCTAAGACGATCCCTCAGACGTCACTGGGATCCCTTGGGGGCAGCGATGCAAGGTGTTTTGGGGTCTTTGGTTTGGGAGGGAGATATTTGGAAGAGGGGCAGTGTGCCATCTGACACAAAGCTTTCCATTTGGCTGCATAAGGTCCCGGGGTCAGTTCTGGGTTTTGATCATTCAGGAGCCAAAACGTTCGAGAACTAGGCTGCTCAACTTCCAAGGTATGACTGTACTGGAGACCCATTGTAAGTCAGGGTAGCTCACAGATGGGGAACCTGTGCCCAGACTCCCAGCTCCCCCAACCCCAGCCAGCAGGGCCAGGAGTTGGGGCCGTGTGGGGACTCCAGAGGGCTGAAAGGCCCCCCAGCTGTGGGCTAAAGCAGGGATCAGGAACCTTTTTCAGCCGTGGGCCGGTCCACCGGCCCTCAGACCATGTGGTGAGCCGGACTATATTTTGGGGGGGAAAAGTGAACAAATTCCTATGCCCCACAAATAACCCAGAGATGCATTTTAAATAAAAGCACACATTCTACTCATGTAAAAACACGCTGATTCCTGGACTGTCTGCGGGCCGGATTGAGAAGGCAATTGGGCCGCATCCAGCCCATGGGCCTTAGGTTGCCTACCCTGGGCTAGAGTGTCAGACTCGAAGCACAGAAGGTAAAGGTAAAGGGACCCCTGACCATTAGGTCCAGTCGTGGCCGACTCTGGGGTTGCGGCGCTTATCTCGGTTTATTGGCCGAGGGAGCCGGCGTACAGCTTCTGGGTCATGTGGCCAGCATGACTAAGCCGCTTCTGGCGAACCAGAGCAGCGCACGGAAACGCCGTTTACCTTCCCACCAGAGCGGTACCTATTTATCTAGTTGCATCTGATGTGCTTTTGAACTGCTAGGTTGGCAGGAGCAGGGACCGGGAAACGGGAGCTCACCCTGTCGCGGGGATTCGAACCGCTGACCTTCTGATCGGCAAGCCCTAGGCTCTGTGGTTTAACCCACAGCACCACCCGCGTCCCTAGCGAAGCACAGAAACTTGGCTCCAAATCCATAAAAGGTATCGGTGACCTTGGGCTGGACAGCATCTCTCCGGCTCGCCTACCTTGCAGGGCTGTTTGGAGGAAAGGCTACAGGCATTCCCCAGGCTCCTTTGGATGAAACTTAAGACAGGAACGTAATGCAAGGGTCTAACCGTCCCGATCGACTTAAGGAATGTTCTTCTTTGGCAAGATAGCATCCTGATTATTATTTTTTAATGCCTTTGCCATGAGTACTACAATTCTTTAGCTTTCAGCCCCCATCCCTTGAGCCAGAAGCGAAGTCTCTTGAGTTTCTTAAGCCGGTCAGGTTCTTGAGCATGTTTAAGCAGCCAAGCCAACCCCCACCTGCAAAGGCGCTTTAAAATCCCAAACTTGTACTATGGCTACGTCTTAATTCCCTAACGTTCAGCACCCGGAGCTGCCTGCCCGAGTTGGTGAACATTTGGCAAGCATGTCTCTTCCGTAATAAGTTGAACCCCATTGGTTCTGTTAGGTGGTGTTTTAAGTTAAAAAGGAGACTCTTGCTTTTTGGCCATCTTACTTTGCGTCCCATCGTAGCAGAAGTTGGCGCAGATCTTTGGATCGTGTCATGTCGACGACGTCTGTGATTTGCCGATTGGGTAGGATGCCTGAGGTCACACCCCCAACATACATCGAAAACACACCTGTACCGCTTCAGCAATCATGGCTTCCACCCCACCAAAGAATCCTGGGATTTGTAGTTTCCCCCACCACAGAGCTACAATTCCCAGCATCCTTAACAAACCACAGTTCCCAGAATCCTTTGCAGGAAGCCATACACTTTAAATGCAGCGGTGTGATCTGACTCCCACTGGTAGGAAAAAGCCCTACTTTTCAATCCTCAGCAACTCCAATGAGGCCTGGGAATCTTCCATCTGATACCCTGAAGAGTCTGTGTGGACAATCGTAAAATCTCTCCCCCTCTCTATTATATTGCTGAAATAAATCAAATCAAGAAATATGGGTGGATTGGGCAGGGAAACCAGGATTTTTGTGTGTGGAAGCACCGTGAGTTCCACATCCAGACAAGCGCAGAATTATTTCAGTTCTAAGAATACACGCTTGGCTTCAGTTAGTGGATTTGAAACAGAAAACGAAGTAGATCCTGCAAGTCTGAAGTTGTGTGGATGTACAACAAGTATACAATGGGCAGCAACCCGGGGTGTGAGAACCAGGGATTTTATGACCGCACAAGGCTTTGTTGTCTCAGGACTCTCAGATCCTTTAGTTCTGCTTTAGGATTGGAATTGTTTTTCAAGTTGTTCAATAGTTTGGCTGTGTGTCTGCCCTCCGTTACGACATAAAGACCATTAATTATAAGATGCTTTGGAGAGTTCAAAGCTCCCTCTGAACTTATCAGGCCAATCTTGGCTGTAGCCCTGTGAGGTAGGCTGGCGTGGCTGTCCCCTTTATGGGGCGGCGGAGACTGAGAACAGGGCAGCTTTGCCCCCAAGCCAAGTCATGCGTTGGCTGGTGTGAGATTCAAATCTTGAGACGATCCGACTCACACCCGAGGTTCCAGAGACTTGAGATCGCTTCCATGCTCGGCGCTTTGCTTCTGCCTTAATTAACTTTCCCATACTTGCAAAGCAGAGTGTGAACATTCAGCAACAAAACTTTGGTTTTTCTAAGCTTCTTCCTTGCGTTAAAATTTGGCTCAGATGTGTGTGCTTGCCATCGCCTCTTGAGGACTAGCGGCCTAAGGCGCCGGCTGGGCAGGAGCCGGATTTGCTAAATATCCAGTACATCCCAGGTTCCGGTAGGCAACTGGAACAAAAAAACCCAACGCAATTCCAAGCTGGACTGAAAAATGCGCAAATTTTAAAACTCTTGACCCTGCCCCTTGTCCCACCTGGCTCCGCCTCTGACTTGATCCTCCATGATCTGCCAAATCCCTCTAGGCTCCGCCCCCACCATGCCTGGGATTCCGTCCTAGCTGAAAATTCTCCTAGGCCCCGCCTTCACCCCACCAAGCCCCGCCTTTCCATCCAAGCCCCGCCCCTTGCACATCGCTGTTACTTCTGCAGTCTGCTGGTTCTGGGGCTGATGCCCAGGACGGCCGTCACAAATGCAAGGGGAACCGCAGGGCTTAGTGTCTCTTTCGGGGGAATTCTAGCTGATTCAGCTTTTCTCTAACCCCTGTGCGGCAAACGGCAGTTTCCAAATTCCCCCTTCGCTGCATTCATCCTCCCCCCACCCTTTTGCATCTGGTCACCCTCCATATTCAGGGCTTCCCGTAAATGTGCAGAGCCCCAGCGCCCATAGATGTGCACTTTTGGCCCTCCTGGCCCTTATCTCTCAGCATCTCCCCCGAGAGCGGCGGCGGAGGTGGAAAAACCCCTCCTCCAGTCACCGCCGGGATAGCTCAGCCCTGCTGCAACATCCGCCACCCACTTTTTAAATTCTTCTTAAAACGGAGGCGAACAACTGCCTGGAAGCTACATTCTCCCCCCCCCACTCTCTGCACCCCAGCCTTCCCTCAATCCTGACACCCTCCAGGCATTGAGGGACTACGATTCCCATCATCCCTGAGCGTAGGCTGTATGTGTGGGGAGGTCAGTGGGAGCCGGGAGCCCCCGTCAGTGAAGACCACCAACCTAGATGGCCTTGAAAGAGGAGTGGGGGGGCCTGTATAACTTTGCAGCCTAGACCGTGGCTGGCTCCCAGTGATAGAAACTCAAGTACGGTGGTACCTCGGGTTACAGACGCTTCAGGTTACAGACTCCGCTAACCCAGAAATAGTACCTCAGGTTAAGAACTTTGCTTCAGGATGAGAACAGAAATCGTGCTCCAACAGCGCGGCAGCAGCAGGAGGCCCCATTAGCTAAAGTGGTGCTTCAGGTTAAGAACAGTTTCAGGTTAAGAACGGACCTCCGGAACGAATTAAATTCTTAACCCAAGGTACCACTGTATATAAGCTAATTGCAAAATGGCACCTTGAATCTAGGTTGTGGTAGCCGCAACAGAATGTCGATTTGCCACTGGGGGGGTTGGACTAGATGAGCGCTGGGGTCCCTTCCAACGCTACGATTCCATGATCTCGACTACATTGCTTGCCCTTACAACAATTCACCTGCCCCAAGAAGGAGAAGCAAGCATAAGGGAAATGGAAATGGCATTAACTATGAAGCAAGGCAGAGGTTTTTTAAACTGTGGGGAAAATGCAGAGAATACTTCACAAAACAGTGCCCTAAAATACATACCTGGACTCGTTTTGATTAATGTCTGCAGGAGACTTTGTGGCTATTTAATTACAATTAGAAAAATCTTAATAATTATTCATAAAGGAAACAGTTTCTAAGAAGTAAATGAGGAGTCCAGGTACAGGATAAAGGAAGTCTTTTATTTGGTTGTTTGTATTGTTGTATGTTATGCTCATTGTATGTTATGTTCATGTTTAATGAGGGTGGATTTGTGTATTGGGGGTGAGGGGTTTATGTTGTGTTGTAAATAAAATTCCAATCAAAATTTAAACATTAAAAAATAAAATAAACTGTGGTAGCCAACCTGGCACCCAGAAATCTGCATGTGGTCGCAATTGGACCTGTGGCAGTAGCAAAACGCTCCTGGCGCCTGGCTAATTTCTAACACCGCCGGCTACGGGTTCAGCTCCATTGTCTGCCCCGGGGGTTATTTATCGAGCCTCTAAGGGGTTGTTTTGTGTGGATCACCTAGCCAGCTTGACTTTGAAGTTGGGAACCTTTGGCTCCTTTCATGGCCAGTCTGAAGAAGTAGCCAAACCCGACAGATAAGTTCTGAGTATTTGGCTGGGCATGGCGACGCTGAACCCCGCAGAGGAGGCATTCGCCTTGCCCGCTTGGCCATGCTCCGAGGGGCCCGAAAACGCCCCTGTAATTTGTTCCCCATCAGATGTTGGAGGGTATCTTTTCTGAAGCCTGGGCTCTGAAATCTCCCTCCTGGGTGACGGAGGAGACAGCTTTCGAGTGGTTGAGAGGCCGTGGGTGTGATGAGCCGCGAGGCACGCAATTCTCACAGACCCCCCCTTGGCCTGCCGCAGCAAAAAACTCTTTTGCTGAAAACAGGAAAAGGTGTCAAACCCCAGAGCTCCCACGTCAAAGGTGCAGGGTGGGGGGGACGGTGGGGGGGGGTTTGCTCCGTAAAGATCTGGTTTGAGTGTCGCTAGATTTGTTGCCGAATCTTCCCCTTGTAGACAGTCTTTCGGCCGACAACGACAGCTTGATCACACCCAGGGCATTTGCGATGGGGAAACTGCCATCTAGCTCAGCCTTTGAGCCCCACGTTGGACAAAAAAACCCATGCATTTTGGAAGTTTGGACTAAATGACCCTGCTTTGTGATTCAATGATTGTCCACACAGACTTGCAGCAACTGTCCAGGGCAGGCATAGGCAAACTTGGCCCTCCAGATGTTTTGGGACTACAGCTCCCATCATCCCTACCTAACAGGACCAGTGGTCAGGGATGATGGGAGTTGTAGTCCCAAAACATCTGGAGGGCTGAGTTTGCCTATGCCTGGTCCAGGGTATCAGATAGGAGATTCCCAGGCCTCCTTGAAGAGCTGAGGAATGAATGTAGGGCCTTCTTCTACCACTGAGTCATGGCCTTTTCCCTAGAAATAAGCTAAGGTTCTGGTCCTCAAGATTCTAGAAGATAGATTTGAATAGGAACCCAGGAAGCTGCCTTAGTGAGTCGTCTAGACCGCTGCCCCATCTAGCTCAGGACTGTCGACACGGGCTGGCAGGGGCTCTCCCGGATTTCAGGTAGGGGACATTCCCAGCCCCACCTGGAAATGCAGGGGATTGAACCCGGGACCTTCTGCATGCAAAGCAGGTGCTCTCCCACTGAGCTGGGGCGCTTCCCAGCCTCCCAGGGCTCCTTGCAATACACCTCCATCCTGCATTATTAAAGGGTGCAGTTGCAAGCTCACAGGTGAGACCGGGCTCAGGGCAAGATTGCTTCATCGCCCCAGCCTGAGCCAAATGGCTGCTGTATCAGATCTTGGTGTGTAAACTCTCTGCCATAGGTGGGGAAATGATTCGAGCACAGCAGGTAGCTGGAGTTTGTTTGGAGTGGGGTAAGGCGGCACGACGCACCGCCTTTTAGATTAGTTCATGATCATCTCCCTTTTTGGGATGGATGTGTAAGGCTAGAATGCCAGCAAGCATGCACAGAGTGCCTTTCTCTTGGCACCGATGTCTTACTGGCTTTGCAGGTTTGGGGCCCAAGGACTTCTCATTTAAAACAAGGCAAACAGATATCAGAATGTGTGGTGGTAAGAATTCTCATTTTGAATGATGAGAGCCTGATCTGAATGCCTGCTCACCCAAGGAATAAGTGGACTTGTTCAGACTCAGTTTTCCCCACCTGTGAAATGGAATCGGCAGTGCTCTGAGTGGATGTGATGACTAACCTGGACCATCATTTTAAGATTGTTTCTGAGACAAGCTTTAGTCCTCTGGTTTTTACACCTTTTGGATACTGGCTTGTTCCTTCATCTTTGAAATTCTAGTTCTCGATTCCTCATGTTCCACAGCCTTCCAGTCTGGACTACTACTGCTACTACTATTATTAGCAATGAATCCAGAACAACTTGGGCAAAAACATCTGAACACAACATCTCCACATTCTCTAGTTTCCATTTCCATTTTGTCTCTGCCAGCGAGCTGCAAAAGGGCATGTTATTTGAAAAATAAATACACTGCAGTTCTGATTTATCTTTAAATCTTGCATCAAATGCACAGTTAAACCGGAATAAATTACCCCAAACCTCTGTCAACCAGGCTATTTGGAACTGAGCTGGATATTCCTGCATTTGGGCAATTTTTATTTACATTATTTGGGTTGTTAAATGTGTACCCTGCCCTAACCTTTTAAAGGGCCCCTACGTACATTATTCTGCACCCTGCCCTTTCTGTTAATCTCACCAACCCTGTAAGGTAGACTAGGCTGAGAGAGGGTATTGACTGGCTCAAGATCAACCAGTGAGCCTAGTGGCTGAGTGGGGATTCGAACCCGGATCTTCTATCTCTCTAACCACTATACAACACTGCCTCTTAATGAACAAATGCATTTCCTGAGCAGTATTTCCTAAACCTCACATCCTCTAGGTGCAGATGTGCTACAACTCCCATCATCCCTGACCATTGACATTGATGGGAGATATTGTCCAGAACATCTGGATGAAGATTTTGGCGTGCCAAATTCGCCAAACAGAAATCTTATTGAAAGTGAAGTTTACTTTATCAGCAGTCAACATTTTATAACAACTGAATGCACATAAATGCAACTGAAAATCAGAATTAAAATACTAGACACTCAGGCAATATTTTCAGTCAATCCTAAGAAGTCTATTAAGGATAGCTGTGCCCAAAACCTTTGCCTCCTGATCAATGGTTGACTTATAGGAACCCTGCAGCTTGGAGGAGGGACCAGGGAGGGACTGTATTATGGGATATATTAAACCTTTCCTCACCTCTTCATAAAAGCTATAATAGAGAAGGACATGCAAAATAGACTCCGCCTCAACGTTGTTACAGAAGCTGCATCTGTTGTCCACTGAGGCCACAGTCACACCATAAGTTAAAAGCACTATGACGCCGCTTTAAACAGTCATGGCTTCCCCCAAAGAATCCTGGGAGCTGTAGTTTGTTACGGGTGCTGTTAGGTCCCCATTCTCCTCCCAGAACTACAGTTCCCAGAGTGCTTTAAGAATCAATCCCGCCTCCCAGGAGCTCTGGCGTTCGCTGAAACACATAAAATTCTAGTCCTCATGATAATCTATGGCAGGGGTAGGCAACCTAAGGCCCGGGGGCCAGATGCGGCCCAATCGCCTTCTGAATCCGGCCCACAGATGGTCCGGGAATCAGTGTGTTTTTACATGAGTAGAATGTGTGCTTTTATTTAAAATGCATCTCTGGGTTATTGGTGGGGCATAGGAATTCGTTCAATTCCCCCCCCCCAAAAAAAATATAGTCCAGCCCCCCACATGGTCTGAGGGACGGTGGACCAGCCCACGGCTGAAAAAGGTTGCTGAGCTCCGATCTATGGGAACAGCTCTCCTGGGAGACGATGGGGGTTGAATTGGAGATGCGCTGCTCACCGAACCACATTATGGGAACAGTGTGAAGGGGACATGGGGCAAAATATAATAATGGGAGAATCAGGGTATTGCACAATTGTCCCCATGTTTTTTTCTCTGTGAAATATTAAGCAGATGGTGAGTTTGGGTCATAGATGATGCAGTTTAGTAGGTCACTCAGGCTATGGCATTCATGGTATTATGGGAATGATTCTTCCTTGGCAACATAGGGGAACATAGACTTATACCTTGCCTTTGTCTACACTGACTGGTTGGGGATTGTATAGGTGTGCCTGCTTTCTATTTGTTTTGGGCTGGGCGTGGGCATTTTGACTTTTGCTCAGGGGGTGTTCCTTTCAAATGGGTGTTTTGCAGTTCCTCCCACTTCTCTCTATGTCCCTTCCCCTCAAAACTTTGGGGACCCCCAGTGTTGCACCTCGAAGCTGCCCCGTTTTCTTATCTCAAACAACACCGGGCATGTTGCCTGTGGTTTCTGCAGCGTGGTGACGCTCTTGACATGCTCAAAGGCACTCTCCGTAGCATGTATGGATGTGCAGGCGATAAAAGTGGGTTGTGCTCACCCTGACTATACAATGCTTGTAGAGGGGATTCTGGGTACTGAACATGCATTTATTTACGTACCGGTGTGAGGAACCTGTCGCCCTCTAGAAGCCAGCAATAGCCCCCCCCCCATGAATTTGTCTAATCCTCTTTTAAAGCCATCCAATTTGGTGGCCGCCTCTGCCTCCTGTGGCAGGGAGTTCCGTAGATTAACACCGCTGCAGTTAAAGTAAAAAGTCCCAAACGCTACCACTCATTTCTTTTTTTTTCTTTTTAAAAAATATTTTATTAAGGATTTTCTTGTTTTACAGAAGTGTAGTGCCTCGTATTTTTTTTTTCTTCATGTAACATTATTACAAATCCGTTTCATTTGTTGAGGCATTAGGGGGAGAAGAAAAAAGAAAAGAAAAAAGAAAGGGGGGGTGGAGAGAGGGAAGATGGATAGGGATGGGGTCGGGTGGCGGTGTTTCTATTATGTTTAATGTATGTAGAGTTTGGGGTCAGCGTTGCTTGTGTTGTTCACTTGTGTTCCTTTGGTGGTGAGAGAGGTTGGGGTTGGCCTAGGGTGTGATTGTTTGCTTGTGATTGGCTGTGGTGATCTTTGTTTTCGTGTGTGAGTGAGGTGGGTGGGTGTTTTGGATCAGGTTAGCCATATTGATTTGTATGCTGTTGGGAGATTATTGTCATTGTCCTGTTGGGCTGTGTATGTGATAAAGGGGAGCCATACCGGGGTGAAGGCGTCTTCTTCTGTTTGTCCCCGTGTCAGTTTCAGTTTATTAGTTAATTTTTCTAGTAGGGCTGTTTCCCATACTATTTGGTACCATTGGTCCATGCTTACTCCTGACAGGTCTCTCCAGTGTCTGGTTATGGTGTTTCTGGCTGCTGAGAGGAGGTGGGTTATGAGTTCTTTGTGGTGTAAATGGGCATTGTTGTCTTGGAAGATGTTTAGTAGGGCCAATTCTGGGGTGATGTCTATTACTTGCTTAGTTATTTTACATATTTCTTGTATGGCTGTTGTCCAGAATAGTTGGATTTTGGGACACTCCCACCACATGTGGAGGTATGTGCCTGTGGAGGTGCACCCTCTCCAGCATTTTGGTGAGGTTCCTGGGTGTATTAGCGCTAGTTTCCTTGGTGTTAGGTACCACCTGTAGGTGAGTTTCAGTGTGAGTTCTTTTCTTTTCGTTGATATGGATTTAAAGGGGGGTTTGGACCACATTCTGGTCCATTGAGTGGGGTTAATCTCATAGCCTATGTCATTCTCCCATTGTTTTTTGATTGCGTCTAGGGGATTTGCGGGATTTTGGAGTAGTATTTTGTATATTGCGGATACAATCCCTTTACCGTTTCCCTTTGTTGTTAGGAGGAGGTTTTCGAAGGTTGTCAGGGGCCTAGTTGCTGCTGATTTTGCTACCACTCATTTCTGATGCTTTCTTGTTTTTCTCCTCTCAGGGGGCTCAGTAGGAGGGTCTTCCCCTCTGGCAGTCTTTGCAAGAACCCTGAGAGGTAGGTTAGGCAGAGCAAGGGGAGCCAACCCAATGTCACACTTTGGGGGTGAATAGAGGATTTGACTTTGCACTGGCTCTGCCGCGGATACAGAGTTCTGCCCTCCTTCTGCTTTTCCTGATAAAAGCTCCATGCTTTCAATGCCTAGCAGGCAGCAGTGCACCAGGTGAAGCTTTCCCAGAAATGGCTGCACCAGTTGAATTTCTGCCCGCTGTGCAGTTTTTAGAGCCCTCTGCCCGCAAAGCCCTTATAGCTGATTGCGTCTGGACCCTGCCAGTCTCCCCTCAGCTCCCTTCCGAACCCTGATGGCTTCTGCCTGTGCCACAACCACCACCTCTAATCCCAGCCGATTGCTCCTCCTGCTAATCCCTCCTAATCTGATTGGCGTTTGTCAGGGTTTGTCAACCCAGAGGGGCATGATGGCTTAATTGCAGCTCAGCCCGTCCCTCTGCCTCCCACCTGTGCCCGCAGGGGCAGGTGGAGAAGGCCTCGTGGGTAATCTCAGGACTCCTGGGTTCTATTCCCAGCCCTGGGAGGGGAGGGAAATCGAGAGCGGAGGTTTCTGTGTTCTCAGCAGAGGCTTGCTGCCTTGTTTTGTTCCCCCTGCTGTTTTGCAGCAGCAGAAGCCAGGCAGAAATTCCACAGGCAAAGTGCTGTTTGGTCACCTTTCTCTGCAGTGGGAAGGGCTGTGCAGCTGCTCAGTTTGTTTTCCTGCACAGCAGCCAGGCAGAAATCCAACAGGAAAAACACAGCTCTCACCTGATCCCTGCTGCTCAATTTCTGCCCTCTTTCACAGCAGCCAGGCAGAAACTCGTCAGGTGAAGTGCCACACAGACACTGCGTGCAGCAGGTGACCTGCGACTGCTCAGCTTCTGCTGCCCTTTAGAGCTGTCAGACAGAAATTCAACAGGAAAGGCTCTTTCTCTCTCTCTCTCACACACACACGCAATATTCACTGTGCAGGGAAGATCGCGTCAATGTCTGCCTGACATCGTGACATCCTGCGGGGAAGGGGGCAAAGGCAGTAGCACTTAGACACGAGGAATGGGAGCACGAGGCTTGGGCTGGGGGGCGGGGAGAGGGCCGGGCGTGCAGTGTGGGAAAGGAGTGGGGCGCTGGGAGGGCCAGGGCGGCTGCTAGCTGGGACTTGGAGAGACCGCGGAGAGGAGACCGAGCAAGGCCTGTCCTGGGCATTTTGCCCCATTGCGCCCCTCCCTGAGGGAACGCAATCAAAGCCAGCCTCTCTCTCTCTTTTTCTTTCTTTCTTTCTTTCTTTCTTTCTTTCTTTCTTTCTCTCTCTCTCTCTCTCTCCCCTCGCTCCTCCATGCCAGGCAGGGGCTGGCAAAGTTCTGGCTGAGCTGGCATCCCCCCGGGCGTTGCCATGACGCGGACCGCGCCCAGCTCCTGGGTCAGAGTGCTCCTCCAGGAAGAAAAACCACGCCTGCCTGGCAGGTCCCTATCCGTCGTCCCCCCCCCACCCTCCAAGCCTTCCCACCGCCACTCTTCTCCTCCTCCCCGCAGAGCCAGCCTGCCCGCCTGCCCATCCCCTTGCCCGGCCGGTTGAGCCTGCTTGGCAGAGAGGGGAGCGGCTGCCCCTGCTTGGAGCCCGTCCCCTTCCCACCCACCCCTGCCCCGTCGAAGGCAAACACACAGCCCAGCTGGCTGGCACCCAAAGCGGGCAGGGAGCGGCCACAAGGCAGCCCCGTTCCGACTTCCGAGAACAAGGCGAGGCACGACGACGAGTCTCTCTCTCTCCCCCCCCCCCCATACCCCACCATCTTTGCCCAGCTGGCACCCAGGTTATCTGGGAGAACAGGATGCAGCAGGGGGAACATTATTAGAGGGTGCCGGAGGGAGTTTAGGATTATTTTACTTTCCTTTGTATAGCACGTTTTTATCCAAGCAGCCTAAGGTAGCATACGTTGCTCCCCCCCCCCCACTTCCCACAACAACCATGCAAGGCAGTTTAGGCTTTGAAGCAGTGACTGGCTCTGAAGAGCACCCAGTGAGCTTCGTGAAATTCGAACCCGGGTCCCTCCCGGGTCCTAGTTCCAACAAGTTGGAATTCGAACCCGGGTCCCTGCCGGGTCCTAGTCTGACGCTCTCGCCACTACTGGCTCTCTCTTAAAAACTGACTTCTTTTAAATGGTATTGGGTAGGGGGCGAACTAACCTTTTCATACCAGTTTCTCATTTCTACCACTGTTTGATTTTTTGTTTTCCCCAGAAAATGAAAATTCGTTCAGTGTGAATTTTTCCTACTGTACCCATTTTTCGTACGCAGTTTGCCAGAGAGGCATGTCTGGGTAGGGTGTTTTCACGAATACATGCAGTAAAAGTACAATTTACCCTCAACAGTGTTTGCACCATCATCCTTTCCCATGCCCCAGAAGTTGTTGGACTACAACTCCCATCATCCTTGACCACTGCCTGAGCTGGCTGTGGACAATGGGAGTTGTAGTCCAACATCAGCTTGGGGAGGAGCCAAAGCTGAAGAAGGCCATGGCCTAGAATATGCTGGAGAAACTGCATCATAAAATTCAGAAGAGTGCAAATTTCGAAGGCGGGCTGTGTTTCAGTTCTCGCATCATTTTGGAAATTGCAAAAATTAGGTAAAGGTAAAGGGACCCCTGACTGTTAGGTCCAGTCGCGGCCGACTCTGGGGTTGCGGCGCTCATCTCGCTTTATTGGCCGAGGGAGCCGGCGTACAGCTTCCGGGTCATGTGGCCAGCATGACTAAGCCGCTTCTGGCGAACCAGAGCAGCTCACGGAAACGCCGTTTGCCTTCCCGCTGGAGCGGTACCTCTTTATCTACTTGCACTTTGACGTGCTTTCAAACTGCTAGGTTGGCAGGAGCAGGGACTGAGCAACAGGAGCTCACCCCGTCACGGGGATTTGAACCGCCGACCTTCTGATCGGCAAGCCCTAGGCTCTGTGGTTTAACCCACAGCGCCACTGCCTTAAAATGTGAACTGGATCGAAATGTTCCCCCTTTCCTGGGGAACTGCACCTGGGACCTCACCTACAGCACTAAGGATCTTTATAGTTCTACTGGAAGTTTCTAGACTCCTGTCAGGCCCCAGTCAGCATGACTACAGGTTCAGGGAATGATGGGAGTTGTAGTCCAGCAACTTCTGGAGGGCCACAGGCCCCCCCTCTCCTGTCCTGGACCGTGTCACAACCTATCAGGGATCCCATATGAAATGATTCCAGCACGGCCTACCCCTGATCTGTACTCTGGCGCATAGAAACGGCAGTCTTCCTAAGCACATACAACATGCAATCGGAATTTCTACCTGGGAAGCGCCACGCAGCCTTGTTAGGAACATCTAGGGCAGCCAATGCCCTCCAGAGGTTGGGAGCTGTCATTCACAACCTCTGGAGGCCAGGAAGCCGGTCTAGGGAACGGCTTGGCTGAAGAGGCTATGCTGAGGGCCACATTCCCTTTGTGGGGGGGGGGCACATGCCAGCGGTGGGCGGGGCCAGAGGTAAAACACCCGGAAAGAGCAACAGATGTGATTTGCCTGGAGAAAAAGCGCTGTTTTGTGGAGGGAAAGCGTGGCACGAAATTGTGCCAGGGCACAGCAACCAAAATGACAGCCATGCTCTCTCGATAAATAATAATAATAATAATTTATTATTTATACCCCACCCATGTGGCTGGGTTTCCCCAGCCACTCTGGGCGGCTTCCAACAAAACACTAAAATACAATAACCTATTAAACATTAAAAGCTTCCCTAAAGAGGGCTGCCTTCAGATGTCTTCTAAAAGTTTGGTAGTTAGTTTTCTCTTTGACATCTGGTGGGAGGGCGTGCTACAGGGTGGGTGCCACTACCGAGAAGGCCCTCTGCCTGGTTCCCTGTAGCTTTGCTTCTCGCAATGAGGGAACCGCCAGAAGGCCCTCAGCGCTGGACCTCAGTGTCCGGGCGGAACAATTGGGATGGAGAAGCTCCTTCAGATATACAGGACCGAGGCCGTTTAGGGCTTGAAAGGTCAGCACCAGCACTTTGAATTGTGCTCGGAAACATACTGGGAGCAAGTGTAAGTCTTTCAGGACCGGTGTTATATGGTCTCAGCGGCCGCTCCTGGTCACCAGTCTAGCTGCCGCATTCTGGATTAGTTGTAGTTTCCAGGTCAAAAAACGGGAAGATAGTACGTCTGGGAAGATGGCGTCCTCGATTTTGCCTTCAGATTGTTGGAGGGTATGGGCTGCTTCCCACCCACCACATTCCTCTCTCTCTCTTGCTAAATCCAGGGCAGCCCGAGGCATGATGGGAGTCCAAGGTTGCATCCCAGCCAGCAAGGGCATGAAGGCAGGGTCCGCGAGGGGCGTGGCCTAGGGAGAGAGTTCCAGGGGCCAGACACACAGGCCTTAAGGGCCGCCTGAGCCCTCTCCCCCTCCTTCCCCCTGCAGCTTTCGCTCTGGGTCTTCTCTCTCTCTCTTTGGGCGCCCCGAGAGTGGAGGGTTTGAGGCTCTCAAATGCCATGGGTCGTGGGCGGCAGGAGGGAACTGCCCTATCTTTCCTAGGAATCTGCCTCTAACCCTGTCTCTATCAGGCCCCTGATCTCCTTTGCACCGTCTGGGGGCGAGGGACTTCCTCCCGCTCTGAGAAGAAGTCAGTGCTGTGCTCTCTCAGAGTCTGCACACTTCCTTTCCGTGTGTGTCTGTTCTTTTCTGAGTTTCTTCACATACATCTGCCATCTTCCCTGAAGGAGGCCTGGGTTTTATTGCTTTATTTAATTGAAGCTTCTACGTTGTCTTCTCTCTCCTCCCCCATTCAGTAGAGAACGTAAGACTCTTAATCTTAGGGTGGTGGGTTCGAGTCCCGTGTCGGGCCAAAAAATTCCTGCATTGCAGGGGGTTGGTCTAGATGACCCTGGAGATCCCTTCTGCTATTCCGTGATTCTGTGATAAAGGTTCTAAGAGCAGCTTACGTAAGATCAGTTAAGAAAACGACAACTGCAATGCTTGCGCTCTGAAAGACATGGCACGAAAGGAAAAGGCATGGGGAAGGAAGAGGAAAGCGAGCAAAACACAACCCCTTTTTGATTTAGGCTTGGAGGGGAGGCAGGCGGGAAAGGTGAGTCCTGCACTAAGAAGGCCTTTCTTCAAACCTCGCCTCCATCTTGGAGGTGCAGCTGTCGCGGCCCTCCCTCTTGGCCACAAAGCTCACTGTGGGTGACCTAGGCCCAGCCACTGCTGTTCAGCCTAACCTATCTCACTGGGTTATTTTGGGGATCAGTTTGAGGAGGAGAACCATGTATACCACCTGGGGGAAATGGTGGGGTTTAAATGCAAGAAATGTATAAATGGTAAGAACTGAAAGCGATCATTTCCCGCTTTTAGTTTCTTTAGCTCCTTTCCTGGATTGTCAGTTTCCTACAGAGACAATGTGTGCAGTTGGTGAATCTTTGGGCAGATCAAGAGTGAAATAGTCTCTGATGTTGAATGACGAAATACATAGGATCTTGGCGAGTGATTTAGTGAGGAACCTGCAACATCGCCTCATAAACACCTCAACAGACCCAGTTTCGGATTTTCTACAAATTAGCACACTCTTCAGACCCTATTTAACCAAGCCCAATGCCACTAACTGCACACAGGGAAATCAGCGAGGCTGGTTCAGTGGGCAATGCGAGGATGCAAAAAAAGATCTGCTAAGGGCTATTAGAATAAACTTTCCGAAATTAACAAGGGAAATAATGGGATGGAGCAGAGCAGCGTATAAACAGGACTAACGCAACCCTCTGTTAGCCTTAGTAAATGATTGCGAGTTTAAGGAATTGATTGCATCTTGAAGGATTAATTGATCAAAACTTCTCAAAATAAATGATTGTCCGTCCCCAAACACCTTGCTTTGAATGGCTTTTAAATACAAAACCTAAATGCTGCCTGTATTGGCTGGTTCTAACATCCCTGCTCTTTCCCCCCTGTTCTTGCAGGTGAGGCAATGGGAAGCCCTGAAGACGACTTGATTGGGATCCCTTTCCCAGAACACAGCAGCGACCTGCTGGGCAGCCTCAACGAGCAGCGCCGGAGGGGCGTTCTCTGCGACGTGACCTTGCGGGCCCAGGGATCGGAGTACCGGACCCACCGGGCCGTGCTGGCAGCCTCCAGCCGCTACTTCCGGCGGCTCTTCGCGGGGCCCGGCATGGGTGTCTGCGAGCTGGATTTCGTGGGGGCCGAGGCGCTGGGCGCCCTGCTGGACTTTGCCTACACTGCCACCCTGACCATCAGCACGGGCAGCCTGGCAGAGGTGCTGCGAGCCGCCCGGCTCCTAGAGATCCCCTGCGTCATCAAGGCCTGCGTCGAGATCCTGCAGGGAAACGGCTTGGAAGCGCCCGTCCCCGATGACGCCGCCCGCGAGCGCGCCCACCGCTACCTGGAGGCCTTTGCCACCCTTCCCAACGCCGAGGGCGACCTGCCCGAGCCGCCCATCTACCCGGCCCCCCGCCGCAGCAAGAAGATCCGCAAATTCCTGCAGGCCAAGGGCTCCCGCCTCAACAACCACCTCGGCGAGTTGTCGCCCTCGCCGTCCCCCTCGTCGACGGGGACGCAGGAGCGGCCGAGCCCCCCCAGTCAGGCCTCTCCAGCACCAGTCCTCGCGCACCCCCACGAGGACGAGGTGCTGGCGCCCTCTCGCGCCTTCCCGTACGCCCCCGGCCTCTCGCCGGAAGACCTGGGCTCGGACGAAGAGCCCACCGAACACGACATCATGTCCTACATGCGGGCCCTCAACCCGGAAGGGCCGTCCCTGGGCCTGGACCCCCCGGACAAGCTGGTGCGCAAGCGGCGCTCACAGATGCCCCAGGAGTGCCCCGTCTGCCACAAGGTCATCCACGGTGCAGGCAAGCTGCCTCGCCACATGCGCACCCACACCGGGGAGAAGCCCTTCGCCTGCGAGGTCTGCGGGGTCCGCTTCACGCGGTGAGCCTTTCCCCCCTTTCTTTCGAAACTGGCTCGCTCTGCCCACTGCGGCCTGGCTTGATGCCAGCAGCAGGACGAGGCAGGTGCGAGAGAACAGACTGTACCACATGGGAGTGTAGGGGTGTGTGAAAATACCACAACTTCCTTCTTTTGATGTTGGCCATGTTGTTGAAAACACAGCTCCTTGCAAAGGAGGAGGAAAAGGTTCTAGATCAGAGGGGAAGGGGGCTCTTTTGTCCGAAGGCCCCATTGCTTTGCAGGGAACCTTCTGGGGGCTGGCATGCCCATGGGTAGATACAGCGAGAGGCATTGAGCGGGTGGAGTTAATGGATGCGACTCTGGATCTTTGTTCGGGAGGCTACATCCGAGGTTTATTTTTATATGCGCACAACCTACCCCTCTCCATCCAGACATTCCAAATTTCCAGGGAAAAGGGGATCGGTTGTTAAACCACTCAGGGGGAGGAACGGGTGTGTGTCCCTAACAGCTCCGTTGGTATAGCATGAGACTCTTAATCTCACGCTAGGCAAAAGACTCCTGCATTTCGGGGTCTGGTTCAGCAAGCTGTTCTTACGTTCTTATGTTCCCCAGTATCCCAGCTGCATGGGAAGCAAATCTCCAGACTACGTGAAAAAGGCTGATTATTCAGCTCCTCCTTGGCAACATGGTCCCTTCCGACTCTGCAATTCTATGACTCTAAGATCTCTCAGCACTCCTAGCAAACTACACTTCCCATGATTCTTTGGGGGAAGCCACAGCTGTTTAAAGTGGTATCATAGTGCTTTAAATGGCTAGTGCAGATGGGGCCTAAGGCAAAACCTTATCACTCCCATTTCTGCTGAAAAGCTGGCCCCAGCTTCCTTCCTTTTTGTTTGTAAATGGGCCATTGGTCACCCTCCGAGAAGACCCATTGAAATTGGTGGGCTTAAGTGACTCAGGCTTCTACTGAATCCAGCCCAGTGTTTTTTTTAAGCCATGCTGGCTTGGTTTTATTATAATTATAGAATCTGTAGAGTTGGAAGGGGCCATGAGGGATATCTGGTCCAATTCCCTACAGTGCTGGAATAATTTTGCACAACATGGGACTCAAACCCACGACCCAGATGTCTTACTTGGTTCCCCCCCCCCCGAGCTGTGCAGAAGGGGGGACAGAAGTTTAAAATAAACAGTACCTTTTAATCCTGTACAAAGTGGTGCTCCCTCTGCTAGAACTGTCAGCAGCGAAGAGACAGGTGAAGAGACAGGCAGTGAGGACTGTTCCATCTGTAGCAGTCAAGGGAGCCTGCCTATAGCCAAACTTCAAAGAGGCTTCTCCTTTCCTAGAGCTCCCTCTAGAGGCCATTCTGCATTTATCTAACTGAGCAATTACTGCGGGCGGGGGGGGGGGGTTGTACCCCATTTGCCACCAGCCCCTGCTAGCAAGGCCAATGCTCAGGCACTGCGATTTTTGCATAGTGCACAGACACACAAATCATGATTTGCAATATATCATATCCTTCAACATTTCTCTGATGAAAATAGGGATTTATTATTATTATTATTGTTATTATTATTATTATTATTACTACAGTGGTACCTCGGGTTAAGTACTTAATTCGTTCCGGAGGTCCGTTCTTAACCTGAAACTGTTCTTAATCTGAAGCACCACTTTAGCTAATGGTGTCTCCCGCTGCTGGAGCACAATTTCTGTTCTCATCCTGAAGCAAAGTTCTTAACCTGAAGCACTATTTCTGGGTTAGCGGAGTCTGTAACCTGAAGCGTATGTAACCCGAGGTACCACTGTACTTACTATTTATACCCCACCCATCTGACTATGATGCCCCAACCACTCTGGGCAACATATAAGAAAACATAATAAAACATTAAACGTTTTTAAACTATACAGGTCTGCTTTTACATGGCCCGGGGGTTGGATAACTCCATATCCTCTTTTAACATTTCTCCAGTGAAAATAGGGACTTCCTAAGGAAAAGCAGGATGTTCTGGAATCAAATCAGAAACCAGGATGGCTTCTTGTAAATCTGGGACTGTCCTTGGAAAATAGGGTCTGATATATTGCCAGGTCAAAAATTATGAAACAGTATCACAATGTAGAGGGACGCGGGTGGCGCTGTGGGTAAAACCACAGTGCCTAGGGCTTGCCGATCGTATGGTCGGCGGTTCGAATCCCCGCGGCGGGGTGAGCTCCCGTCGTTCGGTCCCAGCTCCTGCCCACCTAGCAGTTCGAAAGCACCCCTAAGTGCAAGTAGATAAATAGGTACCGCTTTATAGCGGGAAGGTAAACGGCGTTTCCGTGTGCTGCGCGGGGGCCAGCAGCTTTGTCACGCTGGCCACGTGACCCGGAAGTGTCTCCGGACAGCGCTGGCCCCCGGCCTCTTAAGTGAGATGGGCGCACAACCCTAGAGTCGGACACGACTGGCCCGTACGGGCAGGGCTACCTTTACCTTTACCTATCACAATGTGGACTTCAAACCAGTTTCGGACAATAAATCGCCCAACCTTAATTCTGTGTGGTCCGCTGGGTTCCTCTCCATTTCATAAGGACTAGCTGCCCTCTTGTTTGAAACGGAGGTTGACCACAAGCAAGGAAGATGCTGCTGGGCCGCAGGCATAGGTTTCCCTCAGCTCTTGCTGACGCAAATCTCCTGTCTCCCCCCTTTCCCCCTCGCAGGAACGACAAGCTGAAGATCCACATGCGCAAGCACACGGGAGAGCGCCCCTACTCGTGTCCGCACTGCACGGCCCGCTTCCTGCACAGCTACGACCTGAAGAACCACCTGCACCTGCACACGGGCGCCCGTCCCTACGAGTGCTGCCTATGCCACAAGGCCTTCGCCAAAGACGACCACCTGCAGCGCCACCTCAAAGGCCAGAACTGCCTGGAGGTGCGCACCAGGCGCCGGCGCCGTGGTCCCGATCCCGAGCCCAACTCCTTGCCCGCCGCGGGGACACCCTTGGCCGACCACGACTTGGCCAACGGGCTGACGGATGAGCAGTGCCTCTCGCTCGCCCGCGGCTACTGGGATCCGGCCCGCGCCCAGCAAGCCCTGTCTCCTCACATCAAAGAAGAGGAGGACGAGGACGAGGATGAGCAGGAAGGCCGCGAGGAGGGAATGGCGACGGACGACGGGCCGGCGGCGGAGGCAGAAACGGCGTAGGGGCCCCCCTCCCCGAGACTAGGCCTCAGGCCTTCTTTGCTTTGGCCGTTGCCACGGCGACTCCGGGGACTAGGCCGTGGTCCAGGCCGAGATGCACTATTCCCCCACCCTTTCTGTTGCCGCGGCAACGGAGACGAGATGCACTATGACCCGCCCCTTCCTGGCGCACTGATTTGGTGCCTTTAGCGACCCCTCAAAGGGGTACGGGGCAGTTATGAACCAAAGCAGGTGGGGTTGGGGTGGTGGGAGGGCAGAAAAGCAAGGGAGAGGGTTCATATGCTCAGGATCAATGAAATAAGCAATTAAATAGGGGTAGTGCTATTTGGGGGGGGTGGCGTGGGAGGGAATCCTGATTTTTTTTTTCTCCTAAGAAAACATGAGATTTATATAACTTTGGGAAGGGGGGAGTGGTTGGTGGCCCCCAGACCCTGCACTTTTGGGGGGTGCTCTGACCCCCATGTTTGGGAGGCTAGGAGGGGATGACTAGATTTATTTATTTTTCTTAAGGCGAGGATGTCAGGTTGAGGAGCTTTTGAGGAGTGTGCCAGGTTTCCTGGGTTTGATCCCTGCCTCTGGCTTTCCAGAGAATTTTATTTCTGAGGAGGCAGAAGAGAGAAAAGAAGATCTTTCTATTATTCCGGGCCCTGAGACTGGAAGCTGCTTTTTGAGAGAGGGGGGTGAGTGGGAGGCCCACAACCTTTTCTTTGCATGGTGGGGAAAGGAAAGCAGGGGGTGTTTTTTCCACACCACCCAAGGCCGGTGCCTGCACCCTATATCGACAGCACCTCCTTTTTTGCACAGAGAGCCCCGCTCGGCCCTCAATGCTTCCTGGTGGCGTCCTTGCACAGTGCAATGGGCTGGTCCCAGCAGCAACCCGTCGTCGTCCCCAGTTTGTTCGTTTGGGGTAGGAAGATGCCCCCAAAACAAGGCTTCTGACCCACATTCCTATAGCTCTTCCACACCAAGACCCAGAACTCCTTGCAAGAAGATAGGTTTTAGCACTTGGCGGGGGACGGACCATCAACTTGGGGTCTCCCCCCCCCCATAAAAACCCTCCCCACAGAAGTTTCATTCCACAGCAACAGGTGTCAGGTGGACTTTTCCACAAAAAGGCAACGACCCCGTTGTGTTGACACCCCCCACCCCACTTGTAATTTTCCTCCTCCACCATTGCACTAGGGTTTTTGCCTGCGATTTGAGGACGGGAAGGATTCGGGACTGGCACACTCCTCAATGGTGGTTAGGGGTCAGGTCTAACTTGTTGCCCCTCACCCCCATTTGCACATTCCTTAGATTTCCAGGGGGCCCCCCTCACCTCTCTGGAGGGGGCAAAACAGCCGGTGGGTTGGGTTGGAGAGAGGCGGCGTCTGGGGAGCGCAGGGAAAAGTCCGTCCCTAGAGTATTAGCACAGAGTTTAATCTATATTTAAGAGATGATGTAATATATTATTCCCCCCTCCCCAAACTCTGCTTTCCCTTCCCCCCAACCCTGTCCCAATTCCCCCCACCCTCCCCGCAGGTGTTTTTTGGGGGAGCCTCCCGTCGGGTGAAAAGAGGGAGGGCAGGTCTGGTGAGAGCCCCATGTCATCTTCCCTGACTTTTTTTTAAAAAGTGCCTGTATGTTTAAACTTGAATTTCTAGCTACTTGAAGTGCAAAAAACCCCCGCTTGTTCCACCTTACCCTGCAATACCTCAGCTACACCTCACCCTGTCTTCCCTGTCTTGAAGACCCCCCTCCTCTTAGACTTTTCCTGCAGCAGCGATTTGGTGATGGGGTGTGGGGGGGAACAGCTGGAGATGAATGAAAATACCACCCTCCTCATTGCCTTTCTCTGGGAACGCTAGCAAAAATGTGCATATTTTCCTGGATGGCTGTGGGGGTGGGTATGTGGAAAAGAGGGATGGGGTGTTCACCTCCCCGCCATTTCATTTGGTGTTGTTGTTTTTTTAATTATTATTAATGTGCTGGTATTCCCGGTGTCCGTTGAGGCTGCTTGACAATAAAAAAGGAAAGCAGGGGAAATTTTGGGCTTGCGTTGGTGTCTGTAGGGGGGTGGGCCTTGCCTTCATGGACAAAAATTCTCCCAGAAAAGGTGGAGCGAGGTGGCTTGCCTTACCTGCTGCGTGCGACACAAGGGTTTACATTACCTGTGCCAGGAGGTGCCACTAGGCCGGCTGACACATTGTGCGTGTGGGTGTTTTTTTCTTTAAAAATATGTTTAGGGGTACTCTCATTTTGACTCAAGTAAGTCACCATTTTGTAGTTCAAATTGGGGGAAATAAATACAGTAAATGGATGAAAGTACAAAGATTCACAAAATGTATGCGTACCCCTACGTTCCCCCAGAAAAAAACCCCACTGTGTGTGTGTATATACACATGTCTTACACAAATTCCTGCACTGGACGGGAAAATATGCTGCAAGCAGAACTCTTCCTTCCTCTGCTAAGGGGAACTCCTCCTTCCTCTACTGAGGGGTGACCATGTTTTTTGGCTGTGGCTTCCACACGGGGGTGTGGGTGAGGGTAATAATTATATCCACGTAGCACCTCCAGCAAAACGCCGCAGGGTTCGCAGGATCCAGAGGGGAGGATGCTAAGCGGTAGATTCGAATGGCAAGAAACAAGATTCTGACTAAACCTTAGGAAGAACTTTTTTGACCATGGGATGGAGCACCTCGGAGGCTGGTGGACCCAGGGGTCAGCAAAGTTTTTCAGCAGGGGGCCAGTCCACTGTCCCTCAGACCTTGTGGGGGGCCGGACTATATTTTGGAGAAAAAATGAACTAATTCCCAGACCTTGGGAGGGGCAGACTATATTTTTTCCGGGGGAAATGAACGAATTCCTATGCCCCACAAATAACCCAGGGATGCATTTTAAATAAAAGGGCACATTCTACTCATGTAAAAACACGCTGGTTCCTGAACCATCCGCAGGCCGGATTTAGAAGGTGATTGGGCTGGATCCGGCCCCCAGGCCTCAGTGTGCCTACCCATGTGGTGGACTCTCTGTCGGACATTTTCAAACAGAGCCTGAACAGCCATCTGTCGGATTCTTTAGCCGCGATTCCTGCACTGTGCGGCCACTGAGAATGCTCAGTTGTCACTGGACTGATATTAGGGTATTCCCCCACGTCCCTTAGACTTTTCCTAAATACCTCTTGGGTGGGTGGGTGTGACATTTTGGCAAACCTCAGGATTCCCCCTCTGCAGCCCGCTGATTCCCTCCTGCTTGCGGGTGGGTGGTGCAGTTCTGGCTGCGTAAGGACCAGCACGCCCTGGCTGTATATTGAAAATAGAAGGCACTGATACCTAATTTATTGCCATGCATACTTCCTCTCTTTAAGGGAGGTGGCAAAGACTCATTCTCTGTCTCGCTCCCTACTTTTTTGGGGCAGACCTCTTTTCGCTTTTCACCTCCTCCAGCTCCTCGCCGCTGCTGGTCTCCACTTCTTTCTGGTAGCCGAAATCGAGGCTGCTGGAAGGCGGGGAGACAGGGATGGGTGATATAGGAGATCTCATTTAATTTTAAATGGTTTCATAGCCTCACTTTTCCCACTCGCCTGAGGTACTCAAAGCTGCTCGCAAAAAGCGACATCTTAAAAATGAGATGATCTTGGCAGAATAATTTTAAGAGATAGACAAAAGACAAGGGAGAAGCACAGGCTTGGTGAGTTGTTGTTTTTTAGCTCTGAAAGGTCAAAGTTTGTCTCCCACACCACCTTCTGGGGGGGAGCATGTGGGGGGCGGAGCCAGAGGCACATTAGGCGCAGCATTCCAGTTGTGCAGATGTCAGAGGTTGCTACAACTATGCACACAACTTCCCCCATGGCATCCAACAACACCTGGAAGGGCCAAAGTTCCCCATCTCTGGTGTATTCTCTGCTGTTACGAGTTGTCCGGCAGGCAGGAATCCAACAGACGCAGTTGCGGCCTCGGCACACCACCGTGGCTGGGCCACAGTGCCGCCGGTTGACTGCCTGCCTGTCCCGCAACTGCTAAAGGCACAAAACAGTGTTTGGGATGAACAGCCTCTTAAGGGCTGCTCTGCTTTGGGTACAGAAGGTCCCAAGTTCATTCCTGGCACCTCCAAGCCAGGCTAGGATAGACTCCCTATCTGAACCCCTGAAAAGCCACTGCTTGCCAGTGCGGGGCATCCCGAGCTAGATGAAGCAACGGTCTGGCTCTGCAGAAGGCACCTTCCTGTGTTACTGTTTTGATCAGCCCGCAACCCTGAGGACTGGGATCTTCGTTTTATTTCTAGTGACAAGGCCCCAGAGCTCCAGCTCATGGGAGCTCCCAGGTGCCAGCCCCCCAGTGGGCTGCAAGAGAACTGCTGCCAGTCAGTGTAGACCAGGAGCCAGCAAACTTTTTCAGCAGGGGGCCGGTCCACTGTCCCTCAGACCTTGTGGGGGGCCAGACTGTATTTTGAAGAGAGAGAAAGTGAACGAATTCCTATGCCCCAAAAATAATCCAGAGATGCATTTTAAATAAAAGCACACATTCTACTCATGTAAAAACATGCTGATTCCCGGAACGTCCGTGAGCAGGATTTAGAAGTCAACTGGGCCGGATCCGGCCCCTGGGCCTTAGTTTGCCTACCCATGATCTAGTCCAGGGGTCAGCAACCTTTTTCAGCCGTGGGCTGGTCCACCGTCCCTCAGACCATGTGGTGGGCCGGACTATATTTTGAAAAAAAATATGAACAAATTCCTATGCCCCACAAATAACTTAGAGATGCATTTTAAATAAAAGGACACATTCTACTCATGTAAAAGCATGCTGATTCCCGGGCCATCCGCAGGCCGGATTTAGAAGGCGATTGGGCCGGATCCGGCCTCCGGGCCTTAGTTTGCCTACCCATGGTGTAGACAGTATTGCGCTAGGTGGCCCCAGTGGTGTGACTCCTGGATAAGGTACTTCCCACGAATGCTTTGCCCTCACCTCGATGTTGACCCCGAGGAGCCGTCTTCCTCAGAGCTGCTAGATGTGTTGTCCTCGTCTTCTTCGCTGCTGCTGCTGCTGCTCCCTTCCTGCTCCTTCAGCTGCTCCAAGATCTTCTTGGCCAGTTCGGGGGGTAAGCGGCGGCAGCCCCCGCGCCCTTTCACGGCCCGCTCGATCCGTGCCCTCAGCAGTCGCCGCTGCTTCTGGCGTTCCTTGTCCGGCGACCCGCTGAGTGCCTGCACTGCCTTGGTCCACAGAGCCATGGCCTCTTCGTCACTGGAATCCCTGGATGAAAGTGAAGGGCTGTGTGGCTCAGTGAGTGGAGCACCTGCTCTACATGCAGGGGGATTTCAGGTTTGACCCCCCCGGCATCTCTGGGGAAGGCACCCTGCCTCAAAGTCTCAAGAGCCAATACTGGCCAAGAGGGACCAGCGGTTTCACTTGGTGTGAGGTGACTTTCTATGATGGGCAGGTAATTTTAAAAATTATTTATCACTTATTTTTACATCCATATCTAAAAATGAGAGGGAGCTCAAGGGGGCCTACACTCCTCAATAGCTCAGTCGGTGGGACATGAGACTCACAACCTCAGAATTGTGGGTTTGAGCCCCACGTTGGGCAAAAGATTCCTGCATTGCAGAGGGTTGATCTAGATGACCCTCATGGTCCCTTCCAACTCTAAAATTCTACGATGTAGGTTAGGCTGAGAGGTGGTGACTGGCCCCGGGTCACCCAGGAAACATCCTGGCAGAGTGGGGATTTGAACCCTGGTCTCCCAGGTCCCAGTAGCGTAGCGATGGTTGCCAGTACCTGGGGCAAGGCAAGTATTGCGCCCCGTAACCCCTGGTTCCTGTCAGGGCCAGATGGCAGCAGCGGAGAAGGGTCTTCCCAGTGGGGAGAAGGAAGCTGGGGAGGGGTCAGGAGCAGCAGGGGCCATTTATTTTATTGTTATTATTAGTGTCATGAAAATTTTACACTGCTTGATTTTTTTAAAAAAGGTAATATGGGTGTGTTTTTTTTGAAATTTTGCTGCCCGCCCCCCAATTTTGCACCCAGGGCAACAGCCCCACTGCCCCCACACACTACTCCACTGCCATGTCCTACCCCAGTGCTCTAACCACTACGCCACAGTTCCTTTGCCCTGGTTTCAGCACCAACGAACTGTAAGCTCTAAATCATTTCATCACTCTTCTTTGCCTGCATGCATGGGCGCTGCAGGAGAGGCGCTGCAGAATTAGCTTCTAGAGAGGCTGGCGTTATTTACTAGGGCTCCCCCAAAGTGAGGGCGATGGAAACACGAAGTTTCTCACTCACACCTCCTCGTCCATGTCTCCCTGGTAGGTTAAGGGCGCCATGCAGATGGAGCACATGTTGTCCAGGAGTTTGTAGCAGTCCGGACAGTAGATACCTGCGGAGAAGGGATGGGGAGAGTCATGTGGCGTAAGGGGAGCCAGGCTGGGATACCTTTATCAACCCTCTGAGTGGGCGGGGCCAGAGACAAAGGTAGGTGGAGCAATGGCAGAGTGGGAGGAGCAATATAAGGTGGTTCAATTTCCACACACCCCTCTCTGTACTCTTATCCAGGCAAGATCAGGGTGTGAAGGCAAGGCCAGTGAGGGGTGTGGCCTGGAGAGAAGGGGTGTGTCCAAGGATGGGGGTGTGGCCTGGGGAGAGTCCTGAGGGCCAGGCGGACAGGCTTGGAGGGCCGCATTTGGCCTCCTGGACTGTGCTTTCGCACCACTGCCGTCCAGATTTTCTGGGGGAGAATCCCAAGGGTTACATACGGAAACTTTTTCAGCTCAAGACATGGGCGTAGCCCGCTGCTGCACGCCCCCCCGCCGCCACAGCCAAAATCAAGTAAATAAATAAAAATACTTAACTAAAAGTAGACAGAGCAAAGGGTATAAATTTCACCTGTTACAGCAAGCTAGTTCCTACCCTCACTGCCACGCACCCCGCCCAGCTCTCTAGTCTCCGTCCAAGCGAGAAACAGGATCAGAGTTCAAGGACACAGTCCGGCCAGGCAAGAACATGCAAGGAGGGTCAGGGCTTGGTGAAGGCTGTGGGCTGGGGAGCGCTCCAGATACAGAGGCCTGGAGGCCTGCAACAGCCCTGCATCCTGCACAATATGATTTACCCCACCCTCCTTTTACAGCCTTTCTGGGCCTCGCCTTTGGCCCACAGCCTCCCTCACCCCGCCCCGGCTTCCAACCTCGGCATCCCTGCGTACTGCAGGTGACAAAGTCCTCGCTGTCCGTGTCCTTGCGGATCTTCCCGCAGCCCATGCAGTAGGACTCGTGGACGCCCAGTTTCTTGACCAGCCACGAGCACAGCCGAGACCTGTGGAGGAGACCCATGAGGGATGTCTCTTTCACACACACACACACACACACAGACACAGACACAACACACTGCAGGTCAAGATTCTGTAAAGGCACCCTCAGTCTCTGCTTTTATCTGTGTGCAGGTGAAACGTCGTTGTTTTGATATATATACCACCCTTATTCAAAGATCCTAGGGCATGAGCTTCCTCAACCTTATTATTACCACCTGTCCTTTACCAGAAGGTCCCTGGGCAGGTTACACCAGTATAAAATAAAGCATTAAAATCAGTGTGAAACAAATCAGAATCACAACTAGAGTGTGTTCTGAAAATATATTTCTCAATTGTAGGGGGATTGATAGGTTGTATTTCTTGTGCTCTGGCCAGAAGGAAAAGGATATCGGATGGAAAGTATTTCTGATGACGACGACAGAATTGTTTGTCCAATGTTTTTGACTACAACTCCCATCAGCCCTGCCGGCACGACCATCATAGACTACAACTCTTTCCTTCCAGTGTGGGGAAAAGGTTTGGGGGCTTACTTAGCTGCGAGGACCAGCAAAATGTTGGTGTGGCCCCCGTCTGCGGAGCGATTCCTCACGGCCTTTAACACAGCTTGGGCCAGTCCTGTCCTTCGTGTCAGGATGGTGTTGTAGAGGTAACAGGTGCGCTCCTAAAGGATCATTGCGGGGAAATAAGATCACTGGATTGAGCGGGAGACCAGGCGCCCAGGGAATTAGTTGGGGTGAAGGCTGCATGCAGAAAAAACCGGAGTTGAGGTGGTCAGTCAGCTCAGGGTGGTGGTGTGGTTAGAATCATAGCGTTGCAAGGGACCCCCTAAGCATCATCTAGTGCAGGCATGTTCAAAGTCCATTTTGGGGGCCTAATCTGGCCCCCCAGTCGGCTTAATCCGGCCTCTGTGACAGTTTATTTTTTCCTGGGGTAAAATCCTAAAAAACCTCAACAACTTTGGTCGGCCCCCATGGCCCTTCACTTCATCAAATCTGGCCCTCTTTGAAAAAAGTTTGGACACCACTGATCTAGTGTAACCCCTCCAATGCAGGAATTTCAACTAAAGGTAAAGGACCCCTGACCATTAAGTCTAGACGCGGACGACACTGGGGTTGCGGCACTCATCTCACTTTACTGGCTGAGGGAGCCGGCGTTTGTCCGCGGACAGCTTCCGGGTCTTGTGGCCAGCATGACTAAGCCGCTTCTGGCGAACCAGAGCAGCGCACGGAAACACCGTTTACCTTCCCGCCGGAGCGGTACCTATTTATCTACTTGCACTTTGTGCTTTCGAACTGCTAGGTTGGCAGGAGCAGGGACCGAGCAACGGGAGCTCACCCCATCGCGGGGATTTGAACCGTCGACCTTCTGATCAGCAAGTCCTAGGCTCTGTGGTTTAGACCACCCGCTTATTAGCCTACCTGAAGCTAAATTCCTCCCCGAGTGTGTGTATGTAGAGTCACTCACCTGTTCACGGGAGGGATAGTACCAAGCACACACGACCCGCCGCAGGCGCTGTATGTAGGTGCCGAAGATGGCGATGAAGAAACAGACGCCGTACATGAGACCTGGGAGACGGGTGGTTGGGAGGTTTGAAGAAGCAACACCACTTATCTACCTACTTGGCACATTTAGATCCATCCTTCCCGCGGTCCTAGCCCGACACTCTAACCACTGCCCCACACTCTTATATCTCATGGAGAATCCTGGGAACTGTAGTTTGTTAAGCCAGCTTGCCGGAAGAAGGCTTACAAGGCACCATCCAACCATCTCAGGGACTCCACTCCAGATTTGTGCAGTGTTTGCTTCTGAGACTTTTCTTCCCTCAAAGATATCCCACAAGGCAGCAAAGGTTTGGGATCAGTGTCAGGAGTGCGTGCAGGAGCCAGGCCCTGTGACCTGTAGGACTTTGCAGGACTGGGGCCTTCCTAAGTTTGTTCTGGAGAGGCAAGGCTTGGCCACACAGGTGAGGCCGATTGGTAACTCACAGCACCTGGTGGCAAGAGCCGGGAAGGGATATAAGGTCAGCATTTCCCTTTGGCTCTTTGCCACAGCAACACGTTCCCTGCCTTGCTGTGTTTGACTCCTTGCTTCTTGATCCTCGGACCCTTGACTTCCTGACTCCTTGCTTCCTGACCCTCGGACTCTTGACTTCCTGACTCCTGCTTCTGGACTCCCGTTCCTGTTTCAACCCCGCCATCTTGCCCCTGGTCTCGCCGTCCCCAGTCGGGACTTTGATCACCCGTGAACCGGACCATGGCAATCAGAGCTTTCCTTCTCCTAGGTGGGCTTCCCCTCACTTCCCTCTACAGCAAGTGCAGAAATCACCTTGACCGCTGGGCCCACTCCTGGTCTTGTCCACTCAATCCTTCAGAGCCTGTCTTTGCATGCAGGGGCATTCCCTAACTCCCCCAGGGTTTGTGACCCATTGTCTCTCCTTTCTTGGTTTAGAATATCAGTTGAAGCTGCTCCCTGGGGTGTGGCCGCCATCTCATGCTGACAGCTTCTAGGAGCCACAGGTGAGAGCTGAGTACAGGGTAGGGACCAAAGGTGGACAAACTAGCCCAGAAGGAAAACGACGCGTCCCCCGCCAGAGGTACTATCCCCTCCCCTAACACCCCGTGCACTGTGGTACCCTTGCAGAACATTTCCTGCGCCGTGCAATTCCAGAAGCAGCCACAAGAGGCTGGTGCAGAGCTGTGAGCTTTTAATGGGCGATTCCATGGTCCAGGGGTCAGCAACCTTTTTCAGCAGGGGGCCGGTCCACTGTCCCTCAGACCTTGTGGGGGGCCAGACTGTATTTTGAAAGGGCGGGGGGGAATGAACCAATTCCTATGCCCCACAAATAACCCAGAAATGCATTTTAAAGAAAAGCACACATTCTACTCATGTGAAAACACGCTGATTCTTGGACCATCTGCGGGCCGGATTGAGAAGACGATTGGGCCGGATCCGGCCCCTGGGCTTTAGTTTGCCTACCCATGGACCATAGCAATTCAGCAGTTCAGGGAATCTCCTTCTCCTCCACTTTGCCACTGTTATGAAGTTCCTGGTGCGCTTTCTTCTGAGCAATGCAGCTTAGACATCTCTTATCCCCCATCTAGTTTCTTCCCTGACGCGGGTGGCTGAGTCTACCTTGCAGCTAGACTTGTGGCTGCAAAATCCCACCGGGACCTTTCAAGTCTGCCTTTCACCAACCAATCCAGATGTTTTGGACTAAAACTCCCCATCAGCCCTGGGCAGCGTGGCTGTTGACTGATGGAAGTTGTAGTCCACAATGGCCCGGCTGCCTGGGGCCGATGGGAGATGTAGTTCAAAACAGCTTGAGGGCGCCAGGTGGTGAAGGTTGCTCCAGCCCACAACCTTAAGGCTTCCCCTCCCACAACCAGTCATGGAGTGGCTCTGTCTGTCACTGTTGCTGGTGCCACCTACTGCTGGCCTCCCCATGCCCTCTCAACACCCATCAGCAATCACATGACAGCAGAGGTTCTCAACCTTATGGGGTTCACGGATCCCTTGACCAACTACATTCTTTCTGCGGCACCCCTGTGGAAAGCCCCGTTATGGCACCCCTTACCTGCAGAGTTGGCAGCCTCTTAAAGTAATGGTAAAGGGACCCCTGACCATTAGGTCCAGTCGTGACCGACTCTGGGGTTGCGGTGCTCATCTCGCTTTATTGGCCGAGGGAGCCGGAGTACAGCTTCTGGGTCATGTGGCCAGCATGACTAAGCCGCTTCTGGTGAACCAGAGCAGTGCACGGAAACGCCGTTTACCTTCCTGCCGGAGCGGTACCTATTTATCAACTTGCACTTTGACTGCTAGGTTGGCAGGAGCAGGGACCGAGCAACGGGAGGTCACCCCATCGCAGGGATTTGAACCACCGACCTTCTGATCCGCAAGCCCTAGGCTCTGTGGTTTAACCCACAGTGCCACTCTTACCCTTTTTCAAATACCCTCCTTTGTGAAGTGTTCCCTCAGCCTCCTCTCCCCTCTGCTTGGGAGTCCTTTGGGCAGCCACAGCCACAGCCACTGCCCCTGGCCTCTGAGCTGCCTCCCCACCCCAAAGAAAGGTGCCTCCTCACACTGCCCCACAGGGGCCTGGGAAGTACCCCCTGGCCAGCCCCAGAGGCACCATTCGCCTGCGGAGCTTGTAGCCAGGGCCGCTGCAACTAACAGCTGTGCAAGCCTTGGGGAAGCAGAGGGCATTAGAGGAGGGAGGGAAGGGAAGAAAAAGGGTCAGAGGCCAGCGTTGCCTGCGGCACCTCTGACCATCATTCAACAGGGTGCCACGGCACACTGGTTGGAAACCATTGCTCTACAGGACAGAGACAGGAACGAAAGTAGGAGGGAGCTATTCATGTCCTGCCCATCTGATAGGCTCCCTGGAAGCATCCAAAGGGATGGCACTTCCAGGAATATGATTGGGACAAAGCTAGTTAAAGGTAGGTAGGCGTGTTGGTTTGCCGTAGTCGAAACAAAATAAAATAAATAAAATAATAAAATAAACTAATTCCTTCCAGTAGCACCTTAGAGACCAACTAAGTTATTGGTATGAGCTTTCGTGTGCATGCACACTTCTTCAGATACACTGAAACAGAAGTCACCAGACCCTTAGATATAGTGAGAGGGTGGCTCTGGCTCCACCTACTGTTGGACCTCCAGCCCTACCAGTCCCCAAAGGCAGCACCAGCCACCACCGGGGAGGAAGCCTTTCCCACTCCCCCCAGTTACCAATGGTGATGTAGCCGTCGTAATCGGGCTCTGCCGGGCGCAGGCGACATTTCCGGGACAGCACACTGACGTTGCCCCGCTGCAGGACCTCGAAGGCCGAGACCATGTCACGGTACATCTCGCCGGTGTAGCCCGTCCCGTTGACACTGACGCTCATCGTCACCGGGGCTGCGGGGAGACGTGGATCAGGCCCTGATCTGAACAGTAGCCCTTCTGTCTGAATCCGAAACTCCACCCATAATTGGTGCAAAAACAGATCCACCTTTGTACCCTCTTGGCGGGCTGCACAATAGACCACCATCCCACCAGTTGTTACCTCTTGCAACGATTTCTCCATGCAGCAGATATCGCACCAAGTCCAACAGCCAGAAGACCGAAAAGTCGGCAATGATCAGCAGGACAGCAAGGGTCAGTTGGCGGAAGAGGGAGACAATGGCCAGCGTGTAGCGGAGTTGCTCTTTGCGGGGCAATATGAGCGAGGCTGCAGAGGAAGAAGCAATAGCGGCTGGGTGGACTCAGGGCCACATTCACACCATCGGCTGGGTGAGGACTGCAGGGCCTGCTCCCTTCCAGGGCCTTTTCCAACTGGCCCAGGGGGCATGGCCCAGGCCCTCTCTCCCAGCTATAAAGGGACTCCTGCTGGGAAGCCTCGGACCATCGGCTGGGTGAGGACTGCAGGGCCTGCTCCCTTCCAGGGCCTTTTCCAACTGGCCCAGGGGGCGTGGCCCAGGCCCTTATTTGGAACAAACTTTTGGGGAAGTGTGGGAAGTGTTCTGCCATTGCTTCCCTGTTCCAGGTGGTTAATGTGCTTTAAAATGTCCTCAAGCAGTCGGTGGCAATTTAAATTTTTATTCCTTTTTTTCCTTTTTTCCTTTGTTGGGGGTGGGTGGGTGGGATGGATAGTTGGTTGGGGATTAATTTTAGTATAATTGTTCTGTTCCTTTTGTTGTTGTTGTTTTATTGGTTCTGTATAGTTTGTGTTTTGTTTTTAAGGGGCGGGATCAGGGCTGCCTGGGAGTGGCTCCCCAGCCAACACAATGGCTGGGACAAATTCCACAGGGGGGGAAGCACTGGGACATCCGATCTCGGTGATCATGGGCAGGAGGCGGAGTTACGCTAAGACCAGACCATGTCATTACCGAGGAGGCAGGTTTAGTCGTTGTTTGAAGACTATCCCTGCCTCCGGGTCTGGCCTTGACCGGATGGATACTGGAATCAACAGGGAAACCCACATGACCTGAAAGTGTTGCTGTGCAATGCCAGGTCAATGATGAATAAAACCACTGCCATCCACGACTTGATTGTGGATGGAGGATTTGACCTGGCACGTGTGTCAGAGACCTGGTTGGAGGAAGCAGATGGGCCTGTCCTTGCCGCTGCTTGCCCACCAGGTTTCTCTTACGCACAGCAACCCAGGAAGCCGCCCAGAGTGGCTGGGGAAACCCAGCCAGATGGGCGGGGTACAAATAATAAATTATATTATTATTATTATTATTATTTAAAGCACTACGATGTCCCTTTAAACCACCATCCTTCCCCCACAAGGAATTCTGGGAGCTGTAGTCTGTCCGAGGTGTGAGAATGATTAGGAGACCTCCCTATTCCCCTCACTGAACTAAACTTTGGAAATTGACATTGTGTGTAGCAACCTTAACACACTACATTTCCCATGATTCTTGGGGGCGGAGCTATGCTGTTTAAGGTGGTATGGTACTGCTTTAAATGTACAGTCATACCTTGGGTTATGAACGCTGCAGGTTGTGCGTTTTCAGGTTGCGGACCACACTGAAGCCGGAAGTACCGGAACGGGTTACTTCCGGGTTTTGGCGCTCGTGCATGCACAGAAACACAAAATGACATCACGTGCATGCGCAGAAGCGGTGAATAGCGTCATGCGCGTGCGCAGACACGGTGCTTCAGGTTGCAAACGTTGCGGGTTGCGAACATGCCTCCCGCATGGATCACGTTCGCAACCCAAGGTATGATTGTACAGTGCAGACGGGCCCTTGGTGTGTAATGCATTAATAGTAGTAGTAGTAATAGTAATAATAATAATAATAATAATGATAATACCCTGCCCATCTGGTTCAGTTGCCTCAGCCACTCTGGGTGGCTTCCAACACATATAAAAACATAATAAAATGTCAAACATTAAAAACTTCCCGATACAGGGTGGCCTTCAGACGTCTTCTAAAAGTTGTGTAGTTCTCCTATGTATCTGATGGGAGGGCGTTCCACAGGGAAGGCGCCACTACCGATAAGGCCCTCTGCCTGGTTTCCTGCAGCATACATATGCATGTTTCCCCCCAGCACCTCTCATTTTAGTGAATAATTTCCGGAGGCCAGAATATCCAGGCTGGGTCTTTCTAGAGCTGCTGCCTTACTTGGGCGGATGTACTTGGTACACTCCTTTGCAGACAATGGCAGGACGGTGGGCTTCTTGTTCTTCCTCCGCATTGCATCCATCTCCAGGAACGGCTTGGTGATGAAGATGTTGTCAAAACTGTCCTCGTGCAAATAATGCTTCCGGTACAGCAGAGCCCTGTTGAAGTCAAGCAGCTGACATTTCCGTGTTGCTTTCACATGAGAAAGGCTGATAGGTTAGCTCAGCAAGTATAAGAAGATCGCTGCTGGATCAGGCAAATGGCCCATCTAGCCTAACACCCTGCTCTCACAGTGGGACCCGAGCACAAAAACACTCTGTTCTCCTGTAGTTTCCAGCACATAGTCTAAATGTCCTTGTGGTGATCACACAGGGTCCCCGGACGTTTAACAGTCTATTGATCCCTGTGCCACCACTGTGCCCGCTTCCCCACTGCCACCAACCCGTTACTCTCGGGTACACACTGAGTCCAGACAGTTGTTAAAATTAAACCAAATAAACAAGTTTCTTTTATAAGTATTAACAAGTTTATGGTTTCTCAGATAATATTCTTGTCAGTTTCTTAACTTTAGTTTCTTTACTGGCCTATACCTTCCTAATACTTTCTGACTGATTATCTCAACTGTTTGACTGACTCCTCTTAACAGATTCTCAAACATCAGACTAGCCCAACCCACAGACTTATCCTCTTCCTCTCTAACACCAGACTGACTTCTTACCAACTCTAACTCTAACTCCTCCCCTTGGATTTCCTATTGGTTAGTCATTTTACAATTAGTTAACCCTTTCCTTATGAACCCAGTATGATGTCACACACCTAGGGGGGCAAACGCCACAGTCCTCCCAACCAATCAGGGATCACATATCAAATTGAACTTAACAGTGGTGTTTAGCCAAATGGAACTTATAGAGGTGAATCTTCAGAGGTTGTTGGACTCCATCTCCCATCAGCCCCAGCCAGTAAGGCCAATGGTGAGGGATGATGGGAGTTGTAGTCTACTGCCGCCTGGTTCCTTAGCCCTGCCTTAGGAATGGCATAGAAGCACCTCGCTCCTCTTGGCCTCCTCGCTGTGACTCACTTGATGTAGAGGTACAGAATGACCAAGGTAGACATATAGCCAAAAAGCCCTACAGCCTCCTTTGCAGGCTGCAGGCGCTTGGAGACGTCCTCCATGATGTCAAAGGCGACTTGGGACAGGCTCTTGCTGGCATTGACGGTCACGTCGTAGTGGTGCACAGCTGTGATGTTGAACTCGAACTCGTGTCGCACGCGGTTCAGCACAGCCACGATCGCTGGTGGTGCATATTGGGGGAGATGGGAGGGTAGGGTGTGAGAACAAGGGTGGCCATGTCTATACTACAACTCTAGCGGGGGCGTGAATCGCTTTGTTAAAAGGTCACCTTTTGGCGATTCACAGAGCCACAAGACTGTTAAGAATAATTGTTTAATCGCACGGTGAAATTGAGAATGCCCGTATGTATATTACTAAGGGTTTAACATTGGAATATTCCACTGAAGCATACTGAAGCACCCTGAGCTCTAACAGGTTGATAATTAACTGCTGGTGTTCTCTGCTAGCTTTATCGCGAGTGTTTAACCTTAGATCATGCGAGCGGTATTTGATTGCAAATCTCCACCTTGAAGGGAGTTGCCTGTTAATCTTTCTCTGGAAGCCACAGGGAGCAAAGGATGTGGTAATGTTTCTCCAGCAGCAAATAACCTTATGCTAGATGCAGCTATGGCAGAGACAGAGCTTTGATTTTTGCTCTGACCGTAATTATATTATATATTTAAGAAGAACCTCTGCATGAATATGCATATGCTTTATACTACTTTCTGGGTGTATCAATGATCGTTTTTGTACCTGTTTTGAATGAGTTATGGTTAGTAAAGCTTTAAATCATATTTATAGGTCTGGGCAATTTTTAATCCAAAAGGAGTCAGTTTTTACACATCGAATTGTTTCATGGTGCGCAATATTAAGCTCTGCAATAAAAACTGTCTCAATACGAGAGATGGAAAGCAGGATTCACCCCACTGGCTCTGCTGTGGCGGCACAGCCTCATCTGGCCTCCCTTCCCCTCCCATTGAGAGAAACAAAGCAGAAGGCTTATTCCATCAGCTTTGTTGGAGGTCCAGCTCCACCAGGCACCACCTGCCCCTGAACTGTGCCCACGTTTGGTCATTAGAGAACCCTGGTTTTGAAATCAGTGTCTGGGTTTTGGTTTTAGTTTTCCTCTGCCCTCCCTGTGCCTTTTACCTTGTGTGTCTTTTAAAAAAATAATAATTTAAGAATGCAAGCCTAGGAGTAGGGATTTCCTTGCTTTGATTGTATGTAGGCTGCTCTGTAAGCCTTTTGGGGTACCAAATGCTATGTATAAGTAAAGGTGTCCACTTAAAAACTTAGGGAAAGCCCTGCTGGATCAGACACCGGTTTAGGCCCACCTGAACTGGACAGGTGTTTTATCCCCCAACCTTTCTCCACACTCACGCTCAACAACCTTGCGGCGCAGGAACGGTGCTATGTACTGCGGGATTATGCAGAAGAGCAGGAGGACTGTGGGGGAAAAGACAAGACCATTAGGAGGGCAAGGCACGGTGGTCTAGCTCCCAGCTGCACACACATTCATTGGCTGGCCTCAGTCACAGCAATATTGCTACTCCTAAGCATTAATATAGTAATTCAGTGAGGTCAAAGCATGTTATTATCTCATTCACCCACATACAACAGCCCTCTAAGGTAGGCTTGTATTCCTATTCCTTCTTTTGTCAGTTAATCAGGGCCTGAAAAGCCAACTAACTGCAGCTACCATATCTTGCCAGCACATAACACAACCATAACACACCAGTCTCCCCCGCCCCAATAGCTCCCAACAGTATATTATTAAATGGCTGATTTCTGCGAATCTCTCTGGATTCAGCTATACAGCTGCAAACATAATGTTTTAAGTGTGTTTTAAGTGCATTATACAAATGTGACACTAGATGGCGATGGTGAGCTATTGGCAAATTATATATATATATATATATATATATACACACACACATATATATATATATATATATAAAATTATTATTTTTAAAAAAGCATTTTCACGGCATTTTTTAAAATAAGCCTAGATTCCACCGTTGTCTGGCCTGGTTAGACTCCGGGGCTGAGCTCTGGCATTGTTTGAGGATGGGCCATGCAGAGAACGTGAAGAAGCACCTGAGTCACGCTAGCTATTTGCCACAGACACCAGAGGTCAAGGCTCACACTAGGATGACGAAGGGGTCAGAGGTTGCACAAAGCAGTGACATGGCTCATGAGAGGTCAAGGGTAACGTTAAGCAGGTGGACGAGGGGCTCAGAGGCCGCTTCATGGACTTTGATTAAGGCCGGGGGTCACGGTAGGCAGAAACGATGAGGGGTCATCCTAAATAGTGACCAGGCTTGTAGGAGCTAGAGGAGCTATGCCGTGTCTATCCTGAATAAGCATAGTTTGTGCTGGTTAGGTCACAAACAGTGACTAGACTAATGTGGAGTCATGCTAAGCAGTGAAAAGTCCGAAGAGGTCATAGGTCAGGGGTCATGCTAAGCAGAAACTAAGTGAACCAAGGGTCAGAGGTCAGGAGTCACACTGGGCAAGGACTTGGCTAACGAGCGGCCATAGGTCATGCTAAACAGCGATTAGCTTAGCAAGAGGTCAGAGGTCACAGTAAGCAGTTGTGATGGCCTGAGACTTGGGCTCGGACTCGGAACCAGAGGAGTCTCAGTCTGCACCGGATCCTTTGCCTCAGGCATCACCTGAACCAAGTCTGGGGCCTGATCCTGAAGAGTCCCAGTCTGCACAGGTTCCCCCTGCAACAAGCACCAGCTGGGCCAAGTCAGGGGCCTGAGCCTGCCCTGGCTCCAGAGGCGGGGATGACCACGTTGCCTCCAGCTGGGCCATCACTTACATCTGCTCCACTACCAGTTGGGTCAGGGGAGGCTGAGGCGGCCCCTGGGTCTAGTAACCCACCGACGTCTCTCGAGCTGAGAGAAGGAGAGACCTGAGTACTCGCAGGAGGAGTGCTCGCCTTCGGGCGAGACAGGGAAGTGAGTTGCCGGGGGATCAGGACCAGCTGTTACCCCCGTCAGAGATAAAAGGCTGCTGGACCCAGCCCCAGGTTGTGGGAGCAACCAGTCATTTAAGAGAGGAATGCAGAGGGAGAGCTGGGTCTCCAGTAAGAAATGCTAGAAGCAAGGACAGTAGTTATGCGTCTAGGCAATTTACAAAGTCCAGAGAGATGCCCAAGAAAGTGGTTTGCTTCAATTGCACAAAATTGTATTCATTTAGCACAGGCATTCCTAGTTTAGCATCACTATCAAAAGCTGCTCTAGCCATCTTAGGATTCTAAAATTTGAAAAATATTCAAAATTCTAAAATTGGTCAAAATTCTAAAATCAAAATCTCAAAATACAAAACAAATCTTCACTGCCTTGGGTCACTGTGAACTCTGAGGGAGGGGGGGCGTTGCTTAATCCCCGCTGCACAATAGAACAAAAGACCATGTGCTTACCAGGAAGTTCTCTCAGAAAAATACTACTCAGCTCAAAATCACAATCCAACGCAATCCTTCAAAAATGCACAAAAAATATGCAAAGGTTGCAGTTTGCCAGAACCTGCCTGTGATCCTGTGTCTGACTTTGCCTGGCTTCCTGCCTGTCGGACTGACTCCTTGCGGAACCCTTGCATTTGGGACCAGACCTGGACCGCGTTACTCGGGTTAACCCCGGGCCCAGCACAGCAGTGACTAGGTTGATGAGAGATCGGGGATCACGCTAAGCAGTGACTAAGCCAGCGAAGGGTCAGAGGTTTGGGGATGAAGGGCTGGAGACAACAGAATCCCACTGACCGCTGCCCTAGTGCCAGAGGTCAAGTGCAGCCATCGGACGGGCGGCAGGAGGGTCAAGGGGTCAAAGTTCACGCTCACTATTAGCCAGGCCGCAGAGGTACTTGAAGAGCAGGACGACGGAGCAGAGGAAGTAGAGGAAGGGGATTGCCCGCTCGCACGTGTCCTTGGCGTTGTCAAAGAGACGGGCGCACTTCCGGTAGGGGGTGCCCATCTCCTCGTTGCAGACCTCGCCCAAGTTGAGGAGGAAGTACCACACGTTGCGCAGGCAGTGAGCTGCACGGAAGGAAGGGGCAGAGGAGAAAAGTGTGAATTTGACTGTCTGGTGCACGCGCAGAGTGCAGCAGCTAGGCTGATTGTGGCTGCTGGCCAATAACACCCTGTTGGCAGGATTTGAACTCGTGGCGAGTCTTCCGCTGGGCCAGTGGGGGAACTATTGCAGGAACGCCCCCCCCCATCATTGTTTGTACAAACACGACACACACACACTCACACACACGACATACGCGACGCTTCAGTTATAAATTCATAAAAAATCAGCCGTACATCGGATCTGTACCATTCCACTTTTATTTTACACCATGAAGGAAGAACTATCAAAGGGGGGGAGACTTGACACAAGGCAGCCATAATCCCCAAGCGTGCCAACACATCCGCAGCAAGCTCTACCCAGTTGGCATGCCAACCTTGATGGTCCTAGACAGAAGATCTTTACACTCACAAAGGACCTGCATATGGAAGTGGATTCAGTATGGACTGAAACAAAGGACAGTGACCAGCCCTTCCCTCTGGGGGCAGGAAACAGTGAACTCCTCTTTGTCCTCAGGAATGTAATCATGGGGAGGGGGAAAGGAGGAACCGGACAGGTGACAAGACACTCAGGTTACCACCACAACTCCTCCCTGAACCCCTCCTCTTTGTGATGTGTCAATGATGTAGTCATGATGTAGTCTTTGGGGTGTAGCATGGGGGATTAGTAGCTAATAAAAGTTGGGGTCTTCTTTTGTTCAGGGCTTCCATCTTGTTCCACCTGGTGGCAGGTGGGAGTCCTGTCGCGACAGTCTTCAATAAAGACCAAGCCTACTGGCTGCTGTTTTGCTCTGGTATTCCTGGCTGGTGTTCTTGGTTTTTGGTCCAAGGGAGCCCTCAGATTTCTCCATTAACAAAGTTCAAGGTATATTATGTCCTTCTCCAGCTCAGGACCAGGTTACTTGAGAGACGGCCTTATCCCTTATATATCCAGGAGATCACTGCGGTTTGCGGCAGGGTCTCTCCTGCAAATCCCAAATATTTCAGAAACCCACTCTCTCAGAGCAGGGCTTTTAGGAGGGCTGTACCTGTTCTGTGGAACAGTATCGCTGTCCAGATATGACAGGGGCCCCCACTAGCTGCACTTCCTGGATACTGAATATATTTTTGTCCTGGCAGGTTTTTCCAGCTGGATAAATGGGTCTTTACCACAAGTGTACACTTTGCTTGTCTGTTTTTAATTCCGCTTGCGGAAAGCTCTCCCCGAGAGACCAGCCTGACACCATTTTAGGCCCTGGGGGAAACCAATCTTCTTTCACCAGGCCTTTAACTTTTAATTTGTAGGCTGTTTTAAACTATTTTTAATATTGTGTTTTAATGTCGTAACTCATACCTTAGGGTGAAGGGCGGCTAATTAATAAATAATAATAATCTGTGGCATAGCTGTCAACGTTCCCCTTTTTTTAAAGGGAAATTCCCTTATTCCGAATAGGATTCCTCGCAAGAAAAGGGAAAAGTTGACAGCTATGATCTGTGACCTCCTTGACTGGGTGGGATGTTTTATTCCTGCCTTCTTAGAAGAGGATCGTGCTTTAGGTTTTTCTCTTCTTTTGTGCCAGCTTTAATGGATATGTTTGTTTGTTTGTTTATATACCATAGGTTGTTTTGAGTTATAGATGCATTCATTATTATTATTAAATTTATTGATTGCTTTTTCTTCTTTTTACCAAGGTAACTCAAAGCAACTTTTGGTATATAAACAAACGAACACATATTATTATTATTACATTTAGTTTTTATTACCTGTAAATTGGTTTGAAATGTGATTAGTAATTCAAAGATGATGAGGATGATAATCGTAATAATGACAGACAGTCTCTGTGGGTAAACTACCTGTCTTGTGGTAGGGTGGAGTTAGCCAAAAGCTCTCTTCTCATTTGATCCCACAGGTGACACCATAGGAAACCCAGCCAGAAGGGCAGGGTATAAATAATAAATTATTATTATAGGTGCAACCCCTTTAGTCCATCTCTTTGGCTTCTTGCATCCTTCCTTCATCCCAACCCATTCTTCGCCCATTCAAACTCACCCACGTGCCGTACAGAGTCCATGACAGATCGGAAAAGCTTTCGGACGCGGTCACCAACCACCTTTGCCTTCTGAGCGATGTCCTTGATTTTTCGTAGTGCATCTAGGCAGAAGATGTTGGGAGAGAGCCCACCTTAAATATGGTCGGTGTCTATTAAGAACCAAGAACAGTGCCAGGACTGAAGGCGTAGGCAGTGTTGGTGCCATTCTAAAGTTGCTAGACTCCTATTCCCATCAGCTAGGGTGGCCAGATTTCAGAAAGTAAAATTCCTGAGCTTTTTTGGGGGGAAACCTAACCCAAAAATAGCGATTCTAAGCTTTTTGAGCTGTTTCCGCTGCTTTTTCCATCATGTTACCATATATCCAGGTTTTCCCTGACATTTTGCCAATTCAGCAAAATTCCCCCCCGACGCCATTTTTACACCTGAAAACCAAGACGTGTCAGGAATTTTCCTGATGTATGGCAAGCCTACATCAGCCCACGTTAGGACAGTTAATGGTTAATGAGGATGTTTGGCGTGGAGAAAGTAGATAGGCTGCGTCATCAACACCGTTGGGCACCCAAGGGAGCTGAATGCCTGGAAATTTGGGACAGATAAGCACAGAAACTAAGGAATATGCTCCAAAAGGAGGCAGTGATGGCAACCAACTTAGATGGCTTTAAAAGTGGATTCAGCAAAATCACAGAGGCTAGCAACTGCTACCAGCCACAGTAGAGATGTTCTGCCTCCAATGTCAGAGGCATTCATGTGCCTCTGAATTACCAGTTTGGTGCTGCTGCACTCTGTCCTGCTTTGGGGTTTACCAGATGCATCTGGGGGTTGTTTGTTTGATTGTGTGTCTGACCGTTAACCAGAAGGTTGGTGGTTCGAGCCCACGTAGGGATGTCTGTGGGCAGGATTCCTGCACTGCAAGGGGTTTTACCCAGATGCCCCTCAGGGGTCTTCCAACTGTACAATTCTGTGATTCTACAATTCATTTTTATTTTGTTATTTGTTTATTTATTGGATTTATATACCGCACTTCATCACAAGATCTCAGGGGAGATGGCAAGATCTTTCCCCCAGAAACTTTTGCGGAATCACACGCTAGTGGTGGGCGATGTCAGAGACAAAAAGTGGGTGGGGCCACGGAGGGAAATATTGCCTTTGCACAGCGCAAGTAAGGCAAGCAAGAGACATTCTTCCTCTTCAAGGGAGCATGACAGGAAAAAACACTTGAGGAGGGTGTGAAGTTGGGTTGCTGAGGGGCGTGGTCTGGGGGAGAAGGCGTGGCCTGGGCTGCTGAGGGGGCAGGGCCTAGGGAGAGGAGGCGTGGCCTGGGGAGAATTCAGAGTATAGTGGTACCTTGGGTTAAGTACAGTGGTACCTCAGGTTACATATGCTTCAGGTTACATACGCTTTAGGTTACAGACTCCGCTAACCCAGAAATAGTGCTTCAGGTTAAGAACTTTACTTCAGGATGAGAACAGAAATCGTGCTCTGGCGGCGCGGCGGCAGCAGGAGGCCCCATTAGCTAAAGTGGTGCTTCAGGTTAAGAACAGTTTCAGGTTAAGAACGAACCTCCGGAATGAATGAAGTACTTAACCCGAGGTACCACTGTACTTAATTCGTTCCGGAGGTCCGTTCTTAACCTGAAACTGTTCTTAACCTGAAGCACCACTTTAGCTAATGGGGCCTCCTGCTGCCGCTGTGCCGCCGGAGCACAATTTCTGTTCTCATCCTGAAGCAAAGTTCTTAACCCGAGGTACTATTTCTGGGTTAGCGGAGTCTGTAACCTGAAGCGTATGTAACCTGAAGCGTATGTAACCCGAGGTACCACTGTACCAGACAGAGAGGCCCAGAGGGCCCCATTCAACTCCTGTGGACAGAGGTCTTCCAACCCCTGCCTTTCAAAAAATACACTTCCAACCCAGCCAGGGATAAAAGTGCAAGGCTGGTGCAAGCGGAGCAGCAACAAAACCCCGTCGTCTCACTGATCAGGGGCTCGCGGGCCCTCTGCAGCATTTCTGCCGTCTGGTTGAGGGCGAGTTCGGCGCCACACGACACGGCATCGGCGCACCGGGTGAAGTTGCGGATGATGTTGGCGAAGGGGCCCTCCATGGCCAAGCCGAATGCCAGGATCAACAACATGGTCTTGCCTTCCTCTGTAGGGGGCGATAGAGATGGGAGACAGAATAGAAAAGCGTCAGAGGCTGAGTGGGGTCCCTCTCAGGGAAGCCTTTCTCCTCCTGCCCCAGAACTGCAGCTGTCTGTCGCCGGCCCTGCCAACAGCACTGAGTGAGGCGCTTCAACAAAATGTTGCAGTGCGGAGTGTGGCTGTTTGCAGCTGTCTCCTCTCAGGCCTACCTGGAGATGCCAGGCATCGAAACTGGGACCTTGTGTGTGTAAGGCAGATGCTCTCCCAGCGACATAGCTGTTAACTTACAGATTTGAAAATAAGGGACCAGCAGCCAAAATAAGGGATTTTCCAAGCACAGGTATGTTCAACTTCTGAGCCCCTCCGAGCCAAAGGCAGAAGGCCCAGCCAGCAGCCAAACGAAGCCTCAAGCGGTGGTTCCCACAGCGCAGCAACCCGGCAAAGGGGATGCAGCAAGGAAAACCACTGTCACCTCTCCGCTGGGAAGCGCTGAGCAAAGGCGAGTCCCCAGGCAACGCGGCCGATTTGATCGGCACAAGGCATGCAAGCTCCACCCCCCAGTCGTCCTTAGACTCCTTATTGGGCGAGCAACGCAGCCAAGCAACACAGCTGGAGCCTCCCTCCTCCCTGGCTGGCAGGGCGGGAGGGAGAGGAGCTGCTTCCTTTGAAACCCGGGAAATTTAAGGGACATCATCAATAAGGGACAGCAGCGGGACACGGCACTGGGATAAGGGACTTTCCCGCCAAATAAGGGACAGTTGACAGCTATGCCCAGCGAGCTACAGCCCTTGTTCTCTCAAGTAGCCAGTATTAGGGGTAGGAATAGCCCCCAAAGAATAGCAGCTTTCGCTGTGGGTCGTTCTTCAAAATAGTGGATTCTGTTTGGCTCACAACGCCATTTCCTGCTCCCCGCCTCCAATTCTGTCTGGGGACTGTATTATTTTCACTTGTCTTGGGTTTTTCCACACTTACTTGAGAAGATCTGGGGCAGCATGAGAAGGACGGTGACACGAACTTTGCATGAGAAGGCCATACCAAGGCCAAGCCCAAGGGCCAGGGTGATGGTCGACAGAAGGCAATACCAGATGTTGTACCCCTGCACGAAAATGACCATTGCCCCATAGGCTGTGGCGAGGACCATGCCCAAGGCAAAGCCACCCACGCTACGGGTCACGGACCGGCCCAGGGTGTCCTCGACCACCCGTGGGACCGGTGGCTTCTTTCTCTTTCTGTTTCGACCCCCACGTGGTGAGAAAATAGACAGGAGACCCATGGCGGTGATGGCTTCAAGGAGGCTACCCAATAGAGTACTGCATGGAACAGAGCAGGGGGCGCTCCGTGGTCTCTGTGTCTGCAATGGGTTTGGAAGTGTGTCTGGTAAAATCGCAAACCAAGAGAAACCTGTGTTAAAAACTTATGGGGTGGTAAGATATTTGGAATGCGGGAACCAGGAAAGGAGAAAGTGTCCAGTCAGTGTGTTATCGTCCCACCAACAACTACACCAAAGTTCCTATTACAGGTCTGAAAAACCAGTACACTTGAGATTCCGCTAGGCTCCACACATCACCTGTCAGATTCTGTCCCTAGCCCCACCCACATTCTACAGTAGCTCCTCCCATCCCTTGCTGGATCCTCTCTTGACTCCACCCTAGCCACGCCCACATTATGTACTAGCTCCTCCCACCACTTGCTGCATTCTCTGTTGACTCTACCTTAGCCCCACCCACATTCCACACTAGCTGCTCCCAAACCCCCTTACCAAATTCTGTCCCGCCTTGCCCCTAGCCCCACCCACTTTCTGCCCTGGCTCCTCCCATCACTCGCTAAAAACTCTTCTTTTCAGATTCCACTGCAAGTCTGTCCCTATCCATTTATTTAAGCCCTGCCCTGATTTTGGGTGACTCCCCCTAGCCCAAGACCCAGCATTACACAGAGGATATGAAATTTGTGAAATCAGTGTTTGGCAACTTAAATCAGAGGGACAAGCCAGGAATTGCTCTAGAACTTCAGAGGATATTCTTTGAAAGGGGCATTGCTAATAATAATAATAATAATAATAATAATAATAATTATTATTATTATTATTATTTTATTTATATCCCACCCATCTGGCTGGGTTTCCCCAACCGCTCTGGTCGGCTCCCATCAGAACACTAAAAACAGAATAAAACTTCAAACGTTAAAAACTTCCCTAAACAGGGCTGCCTTCAGATGTCTTCTAAAAGTCAGATAGTTGTTTATTTCCTTGACATCTGATGGGAGGACGTCACTACTGTGAAGGCCCTCTGCCTGGTTCCCTGTGGTTTTGCTTCTTGCAGTGAGGGAATTGCCAGAAGGCCCTCGGAGCTGGACCTCAGTGTCCGGGCTGGACAATGGGGGTGGAGACGCTCCTTCAGGTATACTGGGCCGAGGCTGTTTAGGGCTTTAAAGGTCAGCACCAACACTTTGAATTGTGCTCGGAAACGTACTGGGAACCAATGTAGGTCTTTTAAGGACTGGTGTAATATGGTCTTGGCGGCCACTCCCAGTCACCAGTCTGGCTGCCACATTTACCCAGCTTAATCAACTCAAATCAATTCTGCTCTTGCAACTTAATCAACATTGCTTCTATTCATCCAATGATCTCAATAGATCACCCAGCAGAGCTGAAATTCTGAGACAGAAGGCAGTGCATCTTCCCTGTCCCTGGTAAACACACTTTGCACGGCAACGTAGAACCCAGATTGTGATGACACAATTCTCACAGAAGGGGCCGGGCTGTGTTTAGAGCTGTTCCGCTTCAGGTTACTTGTTGGTGTGTGTTGAGGGAGGGGTTTCCCCTTCAATGGAATGCTCATCTGCACAAATAGGATAAAAGAATCCCTACACTTAGAAATCTAGCCTGTCAGGAAGAAGGCTAGGCTAGTGGGACTTTCTGCAGCTACAGCTGTTGATAGATGACAGTGGATGGAGATGCCTGTTGGAGTTAATTACTCTGCACAAGGTTCTTGCATATAATTAACAACACCACCACCTAACCATTCTAATTTTCCTCGCCAGTGAATCCGTGCTTTGGAGGTCTTGGTTTTTTTGTTTTTTTAAATACAACATCCTGTCCCATTTTTGCATCAGGAGTCAGGTGCTATGGGGCACTCAGATGACAAAGGAAAGTACCAAAGAGTGAAGAAGCACAAGGGCTGGAAGCAAAAGCCCCCCAACACCAGTGAGTCTCCCCCTTTGAGCCCTTGCCCTACACTCAAGCCTTGGATGAGAGGTGGGGTATCCATACCCAAGGGTCAAAACCTTGTCCTCTAAGCCTCCCTGCCCGGCCCTTAGTGACTCTCCCTGGACACGCTCCCTCTCCCCCAGGCACATAGCTGTCAACTGTCCCTTATTTGGCGGGAAACTCCCTTATCACAGCGCCGTGTCCCGCTGCTGTCCCTTATTGATGATGTCCCTTAAATTTCCCGGGTTTCATGCTCACCCAGCTCGGGAGGGAAGCAGCAGCTCGGGGTCCTCTGCCGTGAGTGAGAGAGCGCGCTGGCGCCGTCATCCTGGCGCGAGGAGTTCCATCGGCCCTTCCCCACCCGAGAGGGGGGGGGAGGGAGAGAGACTCTCGCCCACGCCACCCGCGAGCCCGGAGGCGGCAGCGGTGGTGGCAGCTGAGGAGGCGGCCTGAGGGAGGAGGAAGAGGAGGGGATGGGGAGGGACGCAGAAGGGTGGCGCTTCAATGGGCGCCACGGCGCCGCAACCGCCTCATGCCAGATTGACAGCATCTGTCAGTCCTACCATAGCAAAACCCCTTATTTTGGCTGCTGATCCCTTACTTTCGAGGCTGCTGGTCCCTTATTTTCAAATCTGTAAGTTGACAGCTATGCCCAGGCAACGCCCTTCACTGGGTCTGACAGTGGAGGAAGAACATAGGAACCAGGGCTAGTAGCCATTGGCAGACTTCTCCATTAATTTGTCCAATCCTCTTTTAAACTTGTCTAAATTGGTGGCCATCCCGGCCTGCAGAAGTGAGTTCCGTAGTTTTAACTCTGCGCTGTGTGAAGAAGTCTTTTCTGTTATCTGTCCCAAGTCTTCCAACATTCAGTTTCGTTGTATGTCCATGAATTCCAGTGTTCTATCCACTCTCTCCACGCCAAGCGTAGCTTTATAAACTTCTCTTGCAGCTCTGAAACGCGCTCTCAGCTTCCTCCTGCCTCGCTTCTGCATCACGTTCCTTTGGAGCCAGCCGGACGAATTTTGGGCTGCCAAGTTTTTCCTGGGGGCTGGAATCGGGAGCTTGTATGCTCTGGGTGAGTCCACTTTGATCCAGTAAGGGCTGGAAACGTGATTGCAGACGGAGGTAGAAATATATATATGCATTTTGAATTGGTCTCGGCCAACGTCAGGTCCCAAACTATCAGGATCCCATGAAACTGGAGGAGCTCACGGCATTTTGGAAGCAGATGGGCAGTCCATAAGAGGCAAATGTTGCATTCTAGAGAAGCAAAGAAGGGCAGTAACTCAGAGCACCTGCTTTGCTTGCAGAAGGTCCCATGTTCAATCTCTGACATCATCTGAGACCTCTGGGTATAGGGCAGTACAGTATATATATTCAGTAAGTAATAATAATCTCCAGACAGGGCTGAGGGAGACTCCCTGTTTGAAACCCTGGAGAGCTGCTGCCACACAAGGTAGACAGTATTTAGCTACATGGACCTAACTCAGTATATGGTAGCTTCGTTTGTTCCCATTTAAGTCACCCCTTTATCCAGAACCATGAGGACTGGTATCTTTATAATCAAGGCCAAGGGTAGGCAACCCGTGGGCCGGATGCGGCCCAATCACCTTCTCAATCTGGCCCGTGGGCGGTGCGGGAATCAGCATGTTTTTACATGAATAGAATGTGTCCTTTTATTTAAAATGCATCTCTGGGTTATTTGTGGGGCCTGCCTGGTGTTTTTACATGAGTGGAATGTGTGCTTTTCTTTAAAATGCATCTCTGGGTGGGGCATAGGAATTTGTTCATTATTTATTTCCTTCCAAAATATAGTCCGGCCCACCACATGGTCTGAGGGACGGTGGACCGGCCCACGGCTGAAAAAGGTTGCTGACCTCTGATCAAGGCCGTAGTTCAGAGGTAGAGCGCCTGTCTAAAACCCTGCTTGGCACAGACAGGACTGATCTAGATAGAACAGTTGGTCTGACTTGGTATAGGGCAGTTCCTGTGCTCCTTTTGAAAATCACCTCCTTTATTCAAAAATCCATGAGGATTGGACTCTTAACTTGATTTTTAGACACACAGTACCACAGTAGCAGAGCATGAAGTGTCGACAGTCCTAAGGTAGATGGACCAGTGCTCTGACCTGGTATGAGGAAGATGCCTGCCTCCTATCAGACAAGCATATTCTGAGTTTATAGGGCCTGGGGGGCTGGGATAGACCCTTGCAGATTGTCAGCTGTGGGGATACTCAGCTCAACAACTTTGGGCAAAACTGGATTTTCACTTTTTGAAATATGGCAACTGCCATGGCTGTTGGAAGCCGTCTCATAATGCTTTAAATGCATGGTGTGAATGTGGCCAATGGTGGAGGATGGTAGGACCAAAATAAAGATGGTTTCCAAGGGTAGAGGGGTCAGAAAAGATGATGCACCGTTCGTTCAAGGGACAGAAGCAAGAGTAAGGCTGCAATATATTTTCCCAGACACATATGGGAATTGGGCTGTCAAAACGGCGTCCGGGCAGATTTTTGCTGAATCGGCAAAATGTCTGGGGAAACCCGGCTGTATGTCAAGTAGGGCGATGTTTTTTATTATTATTACAGTGGTACCTCGGGTTAAGAACTTAATTCGTTCTGGAGGTCTGTTCTTAACCTGAAACTGTTCTTAACCTGAGGTACCACTTTAGCTAATGGGGCCTCCCACTGCTGCTGCCCTATTTCTGTTCTCAACCTGAAACAAAGTTCTTAACCTGAGGTACTATTTCTAGGTTAGCAGAGTCTGTAACCTGAAGCGTCTGTAACCCAAGGCACCACTGTATTACAAAAATGCTTTTTAAAAAATCATAAAATCAGGATTTTCACTTTGCGGAACCCTAAGCAAGAGAAGCTCGAGGTGTCACACCCAGGCCCCTCTCTTGATTTCCAGGCCTTTCCAGAATGCTGATTCTCCCCATGACCATCTCCGAAGAGCACAAGATCGACCTGATGTGTGGCATGGCTGGTGAGGAGGGACGGCAGAGGCTCTGGGGAGAAAGAGGAGGTGCCATGGCGGCGGAAGGATTCGTAAAGGGTTTGGGCAACGAAGGGCCCGCCATCTTGGGAGACCTGTTAGCAGCGGGGCCCGGTTCCCATTAGCTTTCTGCAAATACCTCTGTAACCCAAAACCTACGTGCAAACAACCAAAACCATGGCATGGTCTTACACTGGAAGAGGCTCATCTAGTGCCAGGAACTTGTGGGAGCCAGTGGGCATATTTGGAGTAATCGCTGTGGGGGCCGTGGCATGGCACAAAAGGGCCGCCACAGACGGGGTGTGTGGCATATACCCTGGTTACCCAGGCCTGAGGTGCATGTTTGCAAGGCCTACGCTGTCCCTGCGGTTGTAATCTTTTTCAGCTGTTTTTGGTTTTGAATTTTGAGTTGTTGTACCCCTGCCCGTGAGACCTGCTGGTAAAGGGCAGGTAATAAATTCAATGATACTAACGCACAATGCTTCCCACGGGGATGGGGCATGACACAAAATGGCTGCCACAGGGTGCGTGGCATGGGCCTAGCCAGGGTTTTTGTTGGGGGGGCAGCCAAAGTTATTGAGCTTTTTTAAGGAGATCCCCCCCCCCCCAGTTATTGAGACTTTTTGGGGGAAATCATGGGTAAATATATACCCCCAAAAGAGGATATTACGTGGAACAGGCTTTGGTTGGGGGGGGACAGGCTTCTCCAGGGGGCATAACCTCAGTTGACTGAGTACTTTCAATGGTTTTCAAATAAATGTGAGTATCTGGGGTGTGTGTATATGTTTTCAGGGCCCACTGTTCCCGTTATTGTAATCTGCTTTTACTGTTCCTAACTTTTATTTTTTTTAATTGCTGTACCTCCCCTGGGATCTGCTGGTGAAGGGCAGGTGATAAATTTAAGATAAATAAATGAACATGCCATGGGGGGTGTTGAAATTCCAAAAGTGGTTTAAATAACCCATCTTTCTTCAGAAGTGCAATGTGTATGCAATTAAATCAAGCTAGTTCCTCCCCAGCGCTGATAAGAGCATGGGGCAGCCCCACAGCATAAAAACTGACCGTCTCCCCCTTCTCCCTCCCCTAGGTGTGGCTGCCCTGGGCTGGGGCACATCCCCACACTTCCGCTGTGCCAGCCTCTTGGTGGTACCCAAATTCCTGGGGAAAGAAGGACGGATTTACATCCTCACCTATGTCTTGGCAAGGGTCTTTGATGGTACAATAAATACTCATATCTATGACTGCTTGAGAGAAATGTGTAAAATTAAGCTTGCTATATGGAGAAATTGAATGGAAAATTATTTTTCTTCTCTCGTAATACTATAAAACTCAGGGATATAGAATGGTACACAGTGTGTACAATACAGTGGTACCTCGGTTTACAAACTTAATCCGTTCCGGAAGTCCGTTCTTAAACCGCGGCACTCTTTCCCTAATGAAGCCTCCCTCCGCCGGTGCCCTTCCACTGTTCAGATTCTGTTCTTAGACCAAGGTAAAGTTTCAAACCGGGACGCTAATTCCGGTTTAGCGGAGTTTGTAAACCGAATCGTTTGTAAACAGGACTCTTCTTAAACTGAGATGCCACTGCCTAGGTTAGGTCAATGGCAGTGTCTCCGTATGTTCCTTAGAGTCTTACTGCCCTTCCCACCTCATTTTTCCTGTTCCCACCATGGAACTCTCATCTTCCTGCCCTGGTCTGTCATTGGATCCTTCGTCAGCAAATTTTTAACGGGGTGTTTCTATTAGCACAGGTTTAGGAAACCTCAGGCACCAGGGGCCTAATGTGGCCCTCCAGTCCTCTCTATCTGGGCTGTCAGAAAAAATAGTGAGACAATAGTCATGCTCACGTCATACATTTAAAGCACTCTTACACCACTTTTAAGAATCATGGCTTCTCCCAAAGTATCCTGGGAACCATAGTTTCTTAAGGGTCTGAGAGCTGACCTCTCATGGAGCTACAGTTCCCAGTACCCTTCACAAGCTACAGTTCCCACAATTCTTTGAGGGGAAGCAGCCATGGCTGTGAAAGAAGAGCGCTTTAAATGCATGCTGTGCTCTTACTGGATTTTGAGGGCCTAGTTTTGTACAGGATAAGAGAAAGGGAAAGGAGTAATGTAACACTATATAAATTTATGAAGGTTTTTGCAGTAGCTGGGCTGTAGTGTTTAGTTGCTACTGATTGTTGTTTTCCGTGCATTTTGTACTGAATATATTTTGATACGCCTCTATCCAGCATGATAATGTGTGCGCGCTTGCGTGTATATAATACAACTTATAATAAGGTTGTAAGGATGTCGTCATGCTGCAGTTTGTGTGGCTGCTGATAGTATGCAAAAAAAGAGAGTGTATGGGGTGAATGTAACCAATAAAGATTATTAACAGGGGCAAGTTTGACCATCCCTAGTTTTTCTTTCTGGCTGAACCAGAGGGCTACCCACAGAGGCTGTGGTAAGCAGCCTAACTTCTGGTGCCAACTATGCTTCCAATGCCAAGAAAGCCACAGCAGAGGCCTCTTCCCCATTCCTGGATGGTTTGGCACAAAGGGTCCCACTCCTCTTTCTTGCATGATGTTTGTCTCCTTCCTCCTGCCATACTCCCTCCTCCCCACCAGGTCCGGTGGCAAATACCCGTCACAACCTGGGCGAAGTGGTGCGTTCCATCAGCTGCACCGTGGAGATGCAGATTGACAATGCCAAGCGTGCCTGGAAGATTTCCCTGTCCCCTCTACGCAAGATTCTCAAGGACATGGTGGTGAGAAGCAGTATACTAGGTCACTGGGTGGGGTGGGGGTTGGCAGTACTGCTAGTGCCCCCGAAGGTCCCTGGGCATTCAGCATGGGAGCCTCTGGCAGGGAGAAACCCTGGTGTAATTGATTAATAATATGTTATTATCTATTAAATTTGTATACCGTCCTTCATCCGAAGATCTCCGGGCGGTTCACAGTACAGTGGTACCTTGGGTTACATACGCTTCAGCTTACATACGCTTCAGGTTACACACTCCGCTAACCTAGAAATAGTGCTTCAGGTTAAGAACTTTGCTTTAGGTTAAGAACAGAAATTGTGCTCTGGCGGCGCGGCAGCAGCTGGAGGCCCCATTAGCTAAAGTGGTGCTTCAGGTTAAGAACAGTTTCAGGTTAAGAACGGACCTCCGGAACGAATTAAGTACTTAACCTGAGGTACCACTGTATAAAAATGCCAGTTAAAAATGCAAAACTCACCATATAAACAAGAATGGAACAAAGCTATAGCCCCCGCCTCCGCAAATACATTTAAAAGGAAATAGGTTAGTCAGTCAAAGGCCTGGTTGTAGAGAAAACTTTTCACCTGGCGAAATAGAATGAAGGTGCCAGATGAACCTCGGGAAGAGCAATTCCACAAATAGGGAGCCACTGCGGAGAAGGCCCTTTTTGTGTTTCTACCCTCCAGACCTCACGTGGAATGAGGCACACAAAGAAGGGCCTCAAAGGATGATCTCAGGGTCTGGGACAGTTTATATGGGGAGAGGTGGTCCTTGAGGTATTGCGGTCTTGAGGCATGTAAGCCGTTTAAGGAGTTTAGGCAGAGGCTTAAGAAAGCAGCTCAACACAGAGGGGATAGTTTTCCAGGAATGGCTTGGCTTTGCAAGCTGGGGTGCTGCGAGTTCTCTTGGAGCATCTGCCTGGCCATTGGGTGTTGCTGGACTCCAATCAACTGCAGCCAGCATGGGATGATGGGAAGTGTAGTTCAACAATGTTCTTGTACTCCCATCAGCCCCAGCCAGCATGACCAATGGCCAGGAATAATGGGATATGTGGTCTGGCAACACCTGGGGGGCCACAGATCTCCTCTTCCCTAGATTACATGGACCACTAGTCCCATCCATCAGGTCATGCGACATGAGATTGGTGGAATGGGAGCCCTGGAATTTGCCCATTGTGGTAGCTGTCCCTGCTGCTTGGGGAAAATATATACGAAGCAATCTTTTCCATCTGTGGGGCTGCCATCTCTAGTCTACCCCCTCTGCCCCCATCCCTCTCCCACCCCTGTTTTCTTCACCAGAGGAGCGGCAAGACCCTGAGGTCCGAAACCAGGGATGTCTCACGTTCCTTCTCAGAGCTGAACGAGCAGGTGGCCAGCGAGGCAGGCCTTGGGATTCGCTCAGTGAGGTCGGCGGTGCACAAAGCCAACCCTTCCACACAGGAGATCTACGAGGCCAAGACTCGGATGCGCTGCACCCGTAAGCATATGGGAAAGGGACACGTGGGGTTGTGAGCACAGATTATTCTAAGGGTGGGCATGTGGATCAAATATCTGGTCAGCATCCCTTTTGCTTCTGTTCACCATCAGTTCTGTCCCGTTTCCACCTTTCTCAGAGTTTTATTTTATTTTTTTAATGCATTTAAACCCACATTTGACTCTGCATTCAAACCTGCATTTAATATCACATTCACACCATCCATTTAAATCCCTCGTAATCCACTTCAGCAGTCATAGCTTTCCCCAAATGTCTCTCTAACCAGCGGTTCTCAACCTGTGGGTCCCCAGATGTTGTTGGACTACAACTCCCATCATCCCTGAGCTCTGGCCTTGCTAGCTAGGGATGATGGGAGTTGTAGTCCAACAACATCTGGAGACCCCCAGGTTGAAAACTGCTGCAAGCCAGATTGTTCATTCATTTCAATGGGGCTACTGTAAGTAAAACTTAGGTGATGCCGCCCAGAAAATGTAAAAACATAGAGCATTAAAAAGTTGACAACATCAAATAAAAAATGGCAGTGGACACCAAGGAAGTTATTCCTGATTAATCCTAATCTTTCTCCTATATATTGGAGAGGGTGTATTATAGTTGGTACATTCACCCATGAGGGGTGGGATTGATTGATTGATTGATTGATTGATTGATTGATTACATTGTACCCAAGGAGCTCAAGGTGGCCTACATAGTTCTCCTCCTAGTCATTTTACCCTGTGAGGTAGGTTCAGCTGAGAGTGAAATTACTCAGATTATTGATCGGCAGATATGTCCATCTCTGACTTTTGTTCTACTAAATAGGACTCTCCTTCCTTGAAGGTTTTTAAGCAGAGGTTTCATGGACATCTGTCATGGGTGCTTTAGCTGAGACTCCTGCATTGCAAAGAGTTGGAATAAATGACCCGCGGGGTCCTTTCCAGCTCTGCAATTCTATGTTTCTATGATTCTAAGCATGTTCTTGAACAGAAATCTAGATTTTAACCATCAGGAGCTGTTGAGTCTTTTACTCTCGGTTACTTGTGAACTGGAAGATGCTGCAGAACATAAATATTGAACAGTGGTATCGAAAAGTTTGGCATTGTGTAAAAATTTAGGGCAACCAGGGGGCAAAGGATAAAGGCCCCATCTGAGAAAATATGGAAAGCATTTATTGACTGCACAGCAGAGCTTTCCAAACTGAGTCGAGACTCGTCAGTGTGTCGGCTGCAGTGTGCGGACGCTCCCCACTCTCTTCCTAGGCCTGGAAAGGGGTTAGTTTAACCTCTGGTTTGCTAGTAAAACTGAATTACTTGTGTTGCAAAATGATGCATGTCTAAAAAGTGTGTCACCAACATGAAAAGTTTTGAAAGCTCTGCTGTACAGGATAGCTCATTCAGTCGAGCGTGTGACTATTAATCTCAGGGTTCAAGCCCCACATTGGGCAAAAGATTCCTGCATTTCAGGGGGTTGGACCAGATGTCCCTCTGTGTCCCTTCAAACTCTATGATCCTACTCTTCAAACTTTTCAGTCCAGTTCCCACTTTTAAACATTCATTTGTGGACCCGTTTCTGAACTTTTCACCAAATATTTGCACGGCGGCAGTGCTCCTGTCGCAACCCGCCTCGGACCAGGCCGTGACCCATGAGGGGGTGCCGATTCACCATTTTAACACCTCCTAGACTGCAGACCTTTAAAGTCATCTCTTCGTCTCGGAACCTGTAAAGAAAAATCTAGCGAGGAAAACCCTGTTACAGAAACTATAAAGGAGAAAGGAAGCATTAAGTGTGAATAGCTGTCTTAAGCCTGTTACATTAATGACTTGCCCTTTGCATCTGTTTCGTTTGATTTATTTTCAGTTTGCATTTTCAAAGAAGTTTAGCAAATAAAATAGTAACAACAACAACACTGTCGACGCTTTCCTTTTCCCCCTTCTAGAAATTATAGACCAAGCCATCAAACGCTGCCAGAGCTGGTTTGCAGTTAAGCATGCATCTTGCATGCGGACAATTTCTGTTCCCTTCATCAACCACCTACTTTGCATTCCTATGAAGTTCAGCTTCCTCTGCCACTTTGCCAAGAGTGAGTTCCAGCCAAGGACAAGAGAAGAGAAGCCGCCGTGATAATAATAATAATAATAATAATAATAATAATAATAATAATTTATTATTTGTACCCCGCCCATCTGGCTGGGTTTCCCCAGCCACTCTGGGCGGCTCCCACAAAGACCAAAAACACACTAATATATCATACGTTAAAAACTTCCCTGAACAGGGCTGCCTTAAGATGTCTTCTGGATGTCAGGTAGTTGTTTATCTCTTTGACATCTGATGGGAGGGCGTTCCACGGGGCGGGTGCCGAGAAGGCCCTCTGCCTGGTTCCCTGTAGCTTTGCTTCTCACAATGAGGGAACCGCCAGAAGGCCTTTGGCGCTGGACCTCAGCGTCCGGGCAGAACGATGGGGGTGGAGACGCTCCTTCAGGTATACTGGGCCGAGGCCGTTTAGGGCTTTAAAGGTCAGCACCAACACTTTGAATTGTGCTCGGAAACATACTGGGAGCCAATGGAGGTCTTTCAAGACCGGTGTTATGTGGTCTCGGCGGCCGCTCCCAGTCACCAGTCTAGCTGCCACGTTCTGGATTAGATGTAGTTTCCGGGTCACCTTCAAAGGTAGCCCCACGGAGAGCGCATTGCAGTAGTCCAAGCGAGAGATAACTAGAGCATGCACCACTCTGGCGAGACAGTCCGTGGGCAGGTAGGGTCTCAGCCTGCGTACCAGGTGGAGCTTGAGGCCATTGCTTGTAGGGACTGCTTGTTGTGTGGCTGACGGGCTGTTCTTAAGCCTCTTGATCACAGCTCTGCTACCTAGGCTGAACTACAGTTCCCAGGGATCTTTGGTGGACAGGGGAAGGCATGCAGGACCTCCCTAAACCAAGGTTTGGCTTAGCACACCGTGTGAACCAGACCGGCGTGTTGGACTCAAATCCTGATCGAAACCACATGCTTTCCTGTAGAGGGTCCCTGTGGCTGGGCATCCCATCCTGTGAGTCCCCACCTGCCACCAGCTGTGGTACATCCCCCCCCCCACCTGCCTGTCTGAAGTGGTACATCCCTGCCACATCCTTGCTGAGCGCCTAACTCTTGTTCTGAAATGCAGCTTCACTCTCCAGCTGCTTTCTTCCACCTCTTCCTCCTCCTCTTCCTCTGCAGTTATGCACACTTGGTGCCGCGACAAGATTCCTGTGGAAGGGAACTTTGGCCAAACCTACGACCGGGTTAACGATTCCGTGGACAGTTTAAACCAGGACTTCACAGCCAGTTTAGCGGTCAAGGTGCGTATGGCAGGGGCGGTAGGGGTCTATTTATTTATTTAAAGCACTTCTGCCCTGTTGTTCAGCTGAAAAGACCCCTAGCAAGGCTTACAGATAAATAAAAACAAGCCATTAAAAAAATAAACAAATCCCAGACATTTAATAATAATAATAATAATAATACGCCACCCATCTGGCTAGGTTGCCCCAGCCACTCTGGCAAGCTCCTAACAAAATATCAGACAGACAATAAAATGACAAATGTTAAAGATTTCCCTATACAGGGCTGCCTTCAGCTGTCTTCTGAATGTCATATAATACGTTATATCCTTGACATCTGACAGGAGGGCGTTCTACAGGGAGGGCGCCAATACCGAGAAAGCCCTCTGCTGGTTCTCTGTAACCTCACTTCTCGCGGGGAGGGAACAGCCAGAAGGCCCTCAGAACTGGACTTCAGTGTCTGGGCTGAGCAATGGGGGCGGAGACGCTCCTTCGGGTATACTGGGCTGGGGCCGTTTAGGGCTTTAAAGGTCAGCACCAGCACTTTGAATTGTGCTCAGAAATGTACCGGCAACCGAGACTTCCGGGGTGGCGCCATCGGCAATGGCGGACTCCCTCTGAACTGGAGGGACCAGCTCCGCGCGAAACGGGTCTTTTCCGCTACGGCGAAGCGGGGACCCTTTTAGAAATCACAGGCGGATGAAGCCTTTGACCATGGGACTCGGCGGGCACCATTAGCGCCCCCCCAACCCGCAAAGGAACCCATTAACGGGCTCCGAAGCGAAGAGGGGGAAGTGGCGTGGTGCTGTGAGTCAACTGCTTTTTCCGTGGAGCGAAGCTGCATAGCCGTTGCCGGAGAGCGCTGCCTTTTTCCTGGGACAATTTGGCATCTAAAATAATCACCCGTGAGTACTTAAACTTTGAACAATTGGACTTTAAATAAGGACTGGCGAGCAGAAAGGAATTGGACTTAAAAATTTACTTCAATTTGGTACTGAAACGGGAAGGTCTAAACAGGAAGTCAGCCTTCCGTTTCTTTGTAGACAGAATAAAGCAAAGACAAAGTAAACTAGAGCTTAGAAAATCACTTCTAAAGGATTGGCTTTCATCATTTAAAATTGTTGAACCCCCCTTCGGTAGCAGGAGAAGAAGGGGGATCTTTTTTGGACTGTTTAAACCTGCAGAAGTGAGTTTAAAGTAAAGTAACTTTCCACCGTCCTGATCCTGGAGCGGGGTGTCAGGACTGACATTTGAAGCTCATTGACCAGAGACAAATGCTTTTGACAGATAGCTAAAAGAAGAGTAACATAGTGATTCCACTGTTTCCTTTCGCATTTTAAAGGAACAAATATTGACAAAATATCTCAAAAAAGAAACTTTGTTGCGAGATTTGTCCTTAAAAGAAAGAACAAACAGAAGTTTTCCCCCTAGAGGGAGATTGTGAGACTGTAACTAATTCCAGGGAGCTTGCAGCTGTCACAGATTACAATCGTGGGAAAGGACTTGTGACCTTGCAGGACAATGTATTCAGAAGCTCTGTTGTGTGCTCTCTGTAAAACAAATGCCCTACTGGATCAGTTAAATGAGAAGACGGATTTGTTGACTAATGCGGTCAGAACTTTTGAACAGGCAGTGGGAAACTATATGGAGCCCACCCAGGAACTAAATCAGGAGTGTGCCCTGACAGAACAGATGAGAGAAGAGGACGTTGCTGAATCTTGGGCGCCAGAGATGGAGGGAGCTGCGGCCCTGCAGGAACATGAGCTTTTGGATTTGACAAATGAACTTGGAAAAAACCAGATTTGGAAAGATAAAGTTTGGATTGGTTTGGAAATGGGGGGTTGGATTGACCCCCCTATGCAGGGATGTTTGGACTTTCCGAGTCTGGCAATGGGCCATGAGATGTTTGGAGCTGTGGGGGCTCTCAATTTTGGAGGGATTCTGAAACATGTTTTTAAATACCACATGGAGTTTAGTCCGGACTATGGAAAAGGGGCTGATTTGTTGAAAGGGTCAAAAACATTACCAAGCTGGAGTTCCCACGAGTAAAAGGAAAATATGAAGAAGAGCCGCGGAAGGGACATGGAAGAGACTTAAGGGCCTCGGATATAAGGTTACCAGGTTAATGCGCTAGATCAATGGGATAAAAAGGACTGACAAAACCCGGGACCAGGAGGAAGGGACGCTGGATGAAGATTGGATTGTTTATATTTCTTTTTTTATCATTAGGATTGTTTTATAAAATTGATGAATGTTAGAAAAATGCTGAAATGAAATTACTTGGCTCTAGCAAAAATGTTTAAAGAATTAGGTAAGAATATTATGGTTATGAGAAGTTGGTAAAAAGAAGATTTAAGTTTTAAGTTTTAAGGTTTTCTATAAGATAAGATGAAAATAGATTAAGGTAATGCAATGACAGAATATTATGAATTATGGAAAGGATTTGCTGCGATAATTATTAATTAGGATACAAAAAAAGGGAGGAGGAGGAGGTCAAAGAAAGAAGGTAATGAAAGTTGAGAATTTGAGAATGATGGGTTTATTTTTTCTTTTTCTTTTTCTGGTTTTTTTTTTGTAATTCTAAAACATTTTCAATAAATATCATTTAAAAACAACAACACAGAAATGTACCGGCAACCAATGTAGATCTTTTGGGACCAGCGTTTAGGACATTCCTTTCCTTTCTTCTCCCCCACCCTCCCTCCATCCAGGAAGAACACCAGACCATGCTGGTCGGTGCCAACCTCTCCCACAGACACCTGGTGGATGAAGTCAACGAAGAGGTGGCCAAGCAGGGCGAGCGCCTGAGCACCTCCATGTCTGTGCTTCGGGTCCTCCTCTCCTGCATGTTCATCATCGTCTTTGCCTCGTGAGTTGGGCTGGGGGCGCAGGCGGCACCTGGGTGGGGGCAGGAAACCTATTTGGATTGTGCCTGAGGCAAGCCTGAGGCCCTAGATTTGAGCACCCTTCGGCACGTTGGCAACCTTCATGGATTTTGTTGGACTACATTCCCAGCATGTCTGACCATCGGCCATGCTGGCTGGAGCTGATGGGGGCCGGAGTCCCTGTAAACACCTTGAGGGCCACAGGGCCTTCACCCCTGTTGTAGAAGCAGGAGCCAATAATAACAGAAACTATGCCTCTGGCCTTCCTACTGACCTTCCTAAGTCTCTGGGTGAGCGTTCAACATCTGGCTTTTCATTGACTGCAGCATGAAAATGTATTCTGTCATTATTCCGTGTGTGAAAATAAGATACAGTGGTGCCTCGCAAGACGAAATTAATCCGTTCCACGAGTCTCTTCGTCTAGCGGTTTTTTCGTCTTGCGAAGCAACCCTATTAGCGGCTTAGCGGATTAGCGCTATTAGCGGTTTAGCGGCTATTAAAGGCTTAGCGGCTTAGCGGCTAAAAGGCTCTTAGCGGCTTAGAAAAAGGGGGGGGAAAGCGAAAAAAATCTCAAGACTCGCAAGACATTTTCGTCTTGCGAAGCAAGCCCATAGGGAAATTCGTCCTAAGCCAAGGAAGGGGAATCTGTGTCCTTCTGGGTGTTGCTGGTCTGTACAATGGTACCTCGGGTTACATACGCTTCAGGTTACAGACTCCGCTAACCCAGAAATAGTACCTCGGGTTAAGAACTTTGCTTCAGGATGAAAACAGAAATTGCACAGCAGCAGGAGTCCCCATTAGCTAAAGTGGTGCTTCAGGTTAAGAACAGTTTCAGGTTAAGAACGGACCTCCAGAACAAATTAAGTTCTAACCCAAGGTACCACTGTAGCTCTCATCATCCCTGAGGGGAGTTCTAGTACCAACAAACAACTGGGGGGCTGCAGGGGCCCCATCCCTGCTTCACACCTCTGCAAGAGCATTTAACGTGATCCCTGATTGGTTGGGATGTGTGCCCAAGACAGGGGTGGAGAACCTGTGGCCCTCCAGAAGCTGCTCAATTAGAATTGTCCTCCCCTGCCCTTTGGCCACACTGGCAGGGAGGACTGGTGGAAGTTGGAGTCCCAACAGCATCCAGAATGCGTCAAGTTCCCCTCTTGTGCAAGAGGAATGATTGTGGTGTTCCACATTGGCTGTGGGACCATAATAAGCAGGTGTGCAAGGGGGATGGATTTTGAATTTCTACCGATGGTGGGTTGGACACCAAAGCTGACAACCAGCAGCATCCCTGACCCAGAGCTTTGCAGCCTTCGGCAGCTGTGATCTGAATGTTGAGGACTAGCTGCATGCTGTGTCATTGGTTGTTGTTGTTTTTAACAAAAAGGCTGCATCCCAGGCCTTGGCAGGAGCTTTTGCAGTGGGCTGTGATGGGTTGGGAGTGGAGCTCGGTGGGTTAGGCAGACAAGCTTGGAGTGTCTCCCCACCTCTCGCCACATTCTTTCCCGGCCCCATCTCCATCCTCCTTTCCCTCAGGGCGTTCTCCTACACAAACAGCTACACGCAGGACATTCGCTTCGACAATCTTTACATATCCCGCTACTTCCGGCAGATAGACGCCCGACGTCGGAAGCAGGTAGGAGCGGCCAGAGTTTGCCGCTTGGCTAGATGGCCGGGTGGTGGCGGTCAGCAGTCACAGCCAGAGGGGGTTGTGGTTGCAGGCGGCAGAGGTCAAAGGGCATTCGGGGGAAGGAAGCAGAGCCCCTGTGGGGTTCTCAGACCCGTGAAGGATACGTCCCTCAGCAGCCTTTTAGTCACAAGAGCTGAAGTGGAACCTCCACATCCAGAGGCAGTTTACCTCTAGATGTAATGTGCTGGGTGATGGCAACAGACAACAGGGTGATGACAACTCTTCCCCACTCCTACTGCCTCCTCTCACCCTGCGAACCTTGCAGAAGAAGCGGACACTTCTGCCCTTGCGGCGTGCCGAGCAAAGCAGTCTCATCGACCCCCTCCGCCTCGCTTTCCAGCCGCCCGAGACCAAAAATATGGTAAGTGGATGGGCTTTGGGGCAGAGACCTACGGAGATGGGGGTGGTGGGAGTTAGAGGGAGGCATTGAGGCAGGATACCAAAGGATTGGGATCCTGCTATGCTTTAATAATTGTGAGCTGTGTATCCAGTGCCAGCCTTACTCAGAGTAGGTGCATGGAAGTCAATGACATGACTCACTTAGGTCCATTAATGTCAGTGGGTCTATTCTTTGTAGGGATCGCAGGATCTGTCCATTTCAATTCTCTTAGACCGCATTCGCAGCATACCTTTGAAGCACTACGATACCACTTTGAACAGTCATGGCTTCTCCCCCACAGCTACAGTTCTCATTCTGGGGTTGGCCCTGTGAGTTTTCTTACCCCCGCACCCCCACTGCTGTTTTCATGCCAACTTCAGATTTATTAATAAGGCAACCAAATGATGGTTGTAGCCAAGCAGAATCATACTAACATAAAAATATTCATAGGAATTATACAGAACAAAAACAAAAACGTGACCTATACGATATATCATTATGCGTTTTTGGGTACCAGACTCCCCTACATTCCTGGATCCAGTAGATGTTAGAATTTAACCATCTCCTGAACCCCTGGATCTAGCAAGGGTTAAAATATAAACCCGGCCAGTCTCCTGATGAGGTAATCGCCTGGGAGATGAGCCATTAAGAAAACAAAAGGAAAGTAATGGGCCATTAAGAAAGCAATTAAGATGGCTCTGTGCCAGACGCAGGTGAGTGGGGCCCCTCCTTCAGTTCAGAGCTTGTTAGAAGAATGAAAACCAGGGTATGGAGTTTTAGCATAGGCTGGAATGCGATTGGGAGAAAAAAGGTTTCAGTTTGGTAAAGGCGGCAAGCTAGAGCCGTGTCTGATTTCTGTTGAAATCCAGGGCTGCAGCTATGGGGGAAACAAGACCCTCTTGGGACCAGGTTGTATATACGTGTAAATAAACCATATATCATAGAGATGCCACAGTCTGCACTGCGCCTCCTTTCCAAAGGAAAACACAGGTGATGGCGTATGTTGTGCCTGAAACCTCCCCTTGCACTGCCCAGAGATGTACAATATAAAGCAGGCATAAAAATCCAGAATCTTAAATCTTGAGGGAGACCACATGACCTTGTCCAAGTTCAGCAGCTTTCCCTGTCAGTTCTATATGTCCAGTGGTGCCCTCTTTCTTTGGAGAGGCAGCGGTGGAATAGTGGTTAGAGTGCCGGGTTCAAATCTCCCACTCCACCATGAATCTCACTGGGTGTGACCTTCAGCCAGTCACTGCGTCTCAGCCCAACCTATCTCACGGGGTTGTTTTGCGGATAAAATGGGGAGGAAGACAAATGGGGAGGAAGGAAAAAACATTCCTTTTTAATCAGGCCTTTGGTTGATCTTCTTGACACCCAACACTCTTTTAGAATATGGCTTTTGGGAGGGGGGTTAATTAGGTTACTGCTTTTGGTTTGATTTTATATGTTGTGGTGTTGTTGTGAACCACGCTGAGACCTCTGGGTATAGGGCAGTGTATAAGTTGAATAAATAATAATAATAATATTAAATGTGCACCTCACCTTGAGCTCCTGGAGTGGTGGGGAAAGGTGGAATATAAATGTAAACAAGTACCGTATTTTTTGCTCTATAAGACTCACTTTTTCCCTCCTAAAAAGTGAGAGGAAATGTGTGTGCGTCTTATGGAGCGAGTGCAGGCTGAGCAGCTATCCCAGAAGCCAGAACAGCAAGAGGGATTGTTGCTTTCACTGCACAGCGATCCCTCTTGTTGTTCTGGCTTCTGAGATTCAGAATATTTTTTTTCTTGTTTTCCTCCTCCAAAAACTAGGTGCGTCTTAGGGTCTGGTGCGTCTTATAGAGCGAAAAATACGGTAAATAGATTTAGCTGTTATTAATTGTTGCCAAAGCCGGACAACAAGTTATTTAACCTGACTCCTGTTGCTGGGGGTAGCCTCCTCCTCTCGTGATTTCTCTGAACGTTTTTCGCGTAGGTGTTTTATGCCGTTTACTGTAAGACACGGGCGATGTCCTCTATCCGGGGGCTGATCAGCCCCATATGTGTCACTGACCCACACTTATTCCTCCCGCGCACACACCCTGCTTCTTTCCAGATGTCAGAATTACTGGGCTGTTTGCCAGCATCGCTCTTCGTGATAATTGCCTGCGTCCTTGACTTCCTGCTGTATAACATATTCAGCACCATCAAACACCACTCCTTTGTGGAGTATTCTTTCCGCAGTAAGTTATATGACCCCGGAAGGGAGGTTCCCCCTTTCCCCTCCTCTCCAGCCCTGCCTTAAACATCAGCTGGATATTTAGAAAACATCAAACGGGCAAATATTTATTAATTTCCTTTATTTTAGTACAAGGGTGGGAGAACCGTTCTTCTGCTACAAGGCAAACCTGCGGTGACCCGAGAATGGGAATTCTCTGCTGCTGGCCGCCTCTATGCTGAACCATAAAATGAAATGGCATTGGTTACGTTTCATTCCGCCTCTTATCTCAGTTATCTGAAATAAAATAGCAAATTCCACAACGTATGCTGTTTTTATGCGTATGCAAGAATGAAAGAAATGAATCAAATGCTTATAACAGATTGTATCATAAGTTCATTGCAACACACAACAGGATCTGATTTCCTTGCCTTACTTTGATCTGTGTTGGTGGGACACGCCCTACTTTTATGCTTTTTTGGGGGGTCTTGCTCAGCTGGTGCCCTGAGCACGTAAGGTAAAGGGACCCCTGACCATTAGGTCCAGTCGTGGCTGACTCTGGTGTTGCGGCGCTCATCTCGCTTTACTGGCTGAAGGAGCTGGCGTACAGCTTACAGGTCATGTGGCCAGAATGACTAAGCCGCTTCTGGCGAACCAGAGCAGTGCACGGAAACAGCATTTACCTTCCCGCCGGAGCGGTACCTATTTATCTACTTGCACTTTTATGTGCTTTTGAACTGCTAGGTTGGCAGGGACCGAGCAACGGGAGCTCACCCCATCGCGGGGATTCGAACCGCCGACCTTCTGATCAGCAAGCCCTAGGCTCTGTGGTTTAACCCACAGCGCCACCCGCGTCCCTTGCCCTGAGCACATGCCTGTATGGCAATCCAGCACCACTCCCAGGCACCAGCAAGATGGTGCAGAGTCATTTTAAGAGCAGGAAGGTTTTATGAGCGCAGCGTTTGTTGTTGGAAAAGCGGAATACAAATCAACAGCCCTATTGTGATGTGCTCTACATGGGTCTGCTGTCAAAAATGACTCGAAAACTTCAGTTGGTCCAAAAGGCAGCAACCAGATTCCTTGTTGGGGTTCCATTTAGACCTCGTATAACCCCAGCACCAGTTCCCAGTTTGTTTCTAGGTCCAGTTCAAGGCAGTGGCATAGCATGGGGGCGGTGGCACAGGGCACAAAATTCTTAGGGTCAAAAAATTTCAGCACCTGGTGCTGCCTCCATACAGCTGTGTGCTTCTGTCACTGGGCTCTGTTGAAAATGGCTTCTCCGTGTGAAGCAGGAAGTGACCCCTACAGACAGCAAAACAACTTTTTTCCCCCCTCTGTGGCTGCAATCTCCTGGGTGACACGGATGTTGCTGGGCAGTTGAATGCGCATGTGTACTTCATCTGTTTCCCTCTCTCCCACACCCTCCCCACCTTGCCCCGGATGCTTGCTACCCATGCTATGCCACTGGTTCAGTGTGTTTATGTTGGTGTTCAAAGCCCGATATGGCTCACGCCTCAAATACCTTGAAAGACTGCCTTCTTCCCTCAGGCGCTGTGATAGACAGAGGGGCCCCTCTTGGTCGTTCCTCCGCCCGCAGAGCCCTGGGGTGGTGGTGGGCTGCAAGAGGGCTGGCTCTCTGGTGGCCCCCAAAACTCCCTCCACACAGGCACATGTCTCACGCCTTCATTACATGGCTTCTGGCAAATGTTCAGGACGCCCCTTTTCACCCCGGCGTTTGACACTTACTATTTTTGTGGTCGCAAGTTGTTTTAACTTTCTTTTTTTAAAACATTGTGTTTTAATGGGATGGCTGGGGTAAAGAGCGGGTGATAGCTAACTAGCTAAATCCCTTCTCCTGCCCCTCTCCAAAGGCAGCCACCACTTGGAGGTCATAGTCGGAGGGAACACCATGATGGCCCGTCTCCTGCGCAGCACCATCGGGGCCCTGAACACGTCCTCGGAGATGGTGATGGAGACAAACAACCTGCGTAAGTTGGGGAGGAGTCCAGGCAAGGGTGCTGTGCAGAGGATGGAGACTGTAAGATTGGGGGTGGAGGGTATTTTCTGTGCAGTCTTCCTGGAAGTGGGGAGGGATAAGGCCCCACGGTCCAGGGGTTAGCCTCCAGAGCTGCTACCTGTGAAGCACTTGCATATGGGTTTAAATATCTAGCGGCAGGTGGGTCCTGAGAACAGGGCCAGATTTAGGTTTGATGCTGCCCTAAGCTACTGAAGGTAATGGGGCCCTTTATATGTCCAGCTGTCCTGTGTCAACAACAAATAGTGGCTGTTTTTTGTGTTGAATATATGCTATATGGTAATTTATGGACCTAATAGGTATCGAAAGCCATTTGCGCATGTTGCCATGCAAGCAGTCCATGCAGAATGTAGGCACCCTATACAGTCATACTTCATGGCTATTGCCCTCTGTCAAAGCTTGCCCCTCTGGCCCGTCTCTCTCTTTCTCTCTCTTCCGCAGACTGCTTGCCGGAAGCGCATGGAATGAGCAAGGAGCAGTACGTGAGCTGCGTCACCCCGCTGGGCGCCCTGATCCTGCTGTGCTTTGCGCAGGTCTACGTCTTCCGCATCCGCCGCGTCATTGCCGCCTTCTTCTTCCCCAAGGTTGGGACGCCAGGCCCCAGATTAAATGCACACACACCCCCTGCCCAACACGAGAAATGTTCTCCGTTGCACCATGAGGGCGACCCGCAGTGCAGGATTTATGTATAAGACATGAGTTATAGCTTAGGGCTCCACACTCTTGGGGGGCCCCAAAAAAAAATTAAAGGGAAAAAACTGGATGTACATTTTCAAATATAAGATAAAAAACAAACAAAATAAAACCTACGGTACATACAGCAACAGTGTTTTGTGTTGTGTAGGCTCCTATGATGTAAGTAACGGGCCCCGCCTGCTAGCCTGCTCCCTAAAATATCACTGGTTTGTTCATTTCTATATACAGTGATACCTTGGTTCTCAAACTTAATCCGTTCTGTTCTGTTCCAAATCCAAAGCTTTCCAAAAGTAAGGCGCACTTTTTCCATAGAAAGTAATGCAAAACGGATTAATCCGTTCTAGACTTTTAAAAACAACCCCTAAAACAGTGACAATTTGTTGTTGACAAAGGACAGCTGAACATATAAAGGGCCCCATTACCTTCAGTAGCTTAGGGCCTCATCAAACCGAAATCCAGCCCTGGCTACCAGGGTGGGTGATGTCCATTTGCGGCCAGAACGGTCGGATGGCATAATAATGCTTTCTCTCCAGCCTCACGTTCTCCCTGCCACCCTCTCTCTCTCTCTCTCTCTCTCTCTCTCTCTCTCAGAGGGAGAAGAAGCGCATTCTCTTCCTCTACAACGAGATGCTCCGGCAGAGGATGGCTTTCATCATTGTGCAGCGGAAGCGCATCATCCTGCGCGTGCGGCAGCGCAAAAGACTGGTGAGTGGAAGAGCACAGGCAGCTTCGCTGAATTGTAGAGGCGGGAGGGAGCCCCAGGGGTCATCTAGTCCAGCCCCCTGCACTGCAGGCATTGCAGCTGAAGAATCCCAAACAGATAGCCGTCCAACCTCTGCTTCAAAATGTCCAAGGAAGGAGAGTCCTTCCCTGGAAGTCCGTTCCACCGTTGAACGGCTCTCGCTGTCAGAAAGTTCTTCCCGACGTTTCGTCGGAATCTCCTTTCTTGCGGTTCGAAGCCAATTGGTTTGGGTCTTCCCTTCCAGAGCAGCAGAAAACAAGCTTGCTCCATCTTCTATGTGACAACCCTTTAGATATGGCTCCCATGTCACCCATTGTGCTCTATAAAGACTAGGACTAGCCGCCTGAGAAACAGTTTCTAACCAAATGTGATTTTGGTTTTAAACGCAGTCTAAGGTAGTCTTTATGTGAGTACGGTATATTGTATTCAGTTATGGGGTATCAGAGTTTTTAGGGGCTAACCAGCCTGGGATAGCAGGCTTGTGGGTTTTTGAATGTCTGATGTAGATTTTTTCAATTTCGTTGTTCTGTATGGGACAATGACAATAAAGATTATCGTACTCCAGGTTAAACATACCCAGCTCCAGCCGCCGTTCCTCATATTATCTCGTTTCTTCTTTATTTCAATGTGCTACTGAATACAGTGGTACCTCTGGATGTGAACGGGATCCGTTCCGGAGCCCCATTCGCATCCTGAAGCGAATGCAACCCACGTTTGCGCATCTGCGCGTGCGCAGTTCACGATTCGCCGCTTTTGCGCATGCGCATGACATCATTTTGAGTGTCTGCGCATGCGTGAGTGGCGAAATGCGGAAGTAACGCGCTCTGTTACTTCCAGGTTGCCGCAGAGCGCAACCCGAAAATGCTCAACCCGAAGCTACTTCAACCCAAGGAATGACTGTAATATGTTTTTGATTGAATAAAAGGAAGGATTTTTCCCAAACAGGCTTGCTCCCAGTGTGGATTTGCTTGTGTGCACCTGTTCTCTGCCCCCAGTGCATCTAGCGCATGAGTGTTTCGGCAGTTCTGTGCAATCCATTAAATCTCTTCCCGAAGGCAACACCCTGCCCCCGTTTCCTGCCCACTTGAGCCCCCTACCTTTCCACCTCCCCTGCTGCACGGGGACCTCAGGGCAAGGCTTCCTGTTGGCTCAGCTGATGGGCCTCCACCCATTCCCTCCCACTGGGGACCACTGAGTAAACCAGCAGCCTAGCCGGGCGCTTTTAAGCACCTGATGACTTAGCAGGCCAAGGGTCAGATAGTTTCATTCTAGGAGCTTGGCTGAAAAACAAGGCACATTCAGGCTCCGTGACTATACGAAATGCTGGTTCAATTGGACCCGGGCCAATCTCTCTACCTGCAGGGGAAGGGAGGGGTGGCATTATTTTTTTTTAGAGCATTTGCACCCCACTTTTCAGCCCTAGAACGGCTTACCTACAAGCAGTTGAAACAAGATTGTCCCTGCCTGCAGGCCTACAATCTAAAAACAAGACACACAAAGGAAAAGGCGCAGGGAGGGAAGAGGGGGAAAGGAAACTCAACATGGATTCTCCTGCTTCAGATTGTGGGGGGCGGGGGGTGGGGAGAATGCCATTTTAAATGGCTCTGGAATCTGGATCCTAAAAAGAGACTGTTGAATGCCAACTTTTTGAAACGGGTTGTTCTATTTTTATTCTGGTGAAGGTTGTCAATTTTGTTATGTACCGGTAATTTAATGTTGATGTCCCCAGCACCCTCTAGACTTGGATATATTTCCAACCAGCAGTCTCCTTCCTTCCCCAGGCATTCGTTGAAGGATTATAAGAAATACACCCAAAAAAAGTCTGTGCTGTTCTGAAACTGGTGGCTAAAATCAGGGCTGTTTTGAAAGGTTCAGTCGGCCATCTTGATTCAAAATGGCGCCCAGTTGTATCCAAACAGAGATGAAGACTCACTCCTTTGATCGCAGGAACTGCCGTATGAAATCCTTAGCAAGGATATTGTAATAATAATAATAATAATAATAATAATAATAATAATAATAATTTATTATTTATACCCCGCCCATCTGGCTGGGTTTCCCCAGCCACTCTGGGCGGCGTCCAACAAAGTATTAAAATACAGTAGTCTGTTAAACATTAAAAGCTTCCCTTAAGAGGGCTGCCTTCAGATGTCTTCTGAATGTTAAGATGTCTTCCGGATGTTAAGAGGCATCCGGAAACATGTGGCTAACACCTTTCCCTTCAGTGGAAATTCCTGCATTGCAGCGGGTTGGACTAGATGACCCTTGGGGTCCCTTCCAATTCTGCAACTCTGATTCCATGATATAATGTAGGCGGATAGCTTCCTTTCTGGCTGGGGCTGAGCACCTCCCTCCCTTCTCTCCTCCCTCTGCAGGAGAAGCCCTTCCTGGACAGGCTGGGCCGCTGGCTCCCGTTCCTCCAGCGTTTTCTCCGCAAGTACTGCATCCTCTGCGGCCTGCCCCAATCCAGCAACTCCAAATTGTGCCCGGACCCCGAGTGCGGGACCCTCTACTGCCGGATGTGCTGGCAGGACATGGGGCGGGTCTGCTTTGCCTGCAGCCCTGAGGAGCTCCTGTCCTCCGACAACAGCAGCGAGGACCAGACGGGCTACGCAGATTGAGGCAGTCAAAATGGCACCCACCCCGCTTTTTTGTTATTAAATGTTTGGTTTGGTTGTTTGTTTTCCTAATCTTGGTTTTTCTTTCTTGAAATAATTTTCATTCGGTTTTACAAATATAAAATTATAACTATACAGTGGTACTTCGGGTTACGGACACTTCAGGTTACAGACTCCGCTAACCCAGAAATAGTACCTCAGGTTAAGAACTTTGCTTCAGGATGAGAACAGAAATTGTGTGGCAGTGGCAGCGGGAGGCCCCATTAGCTACAGTGGTACCTCAGGTTAAGAACAGTTTCAGGTTAAGAACAGACCTCCAGAACGAATTAAGTACTTAACCCGAGGTACCACTGTACAACCATACACATACACATTTAAGGATTCTTCTGAATCTCTAGACTTCTCACCATCCCCTCCATGGGTCTTATTATTAAACCTTCTCTACTGCATCTTCTCTACTGTCCATATTTTATATAACTCCATTACTTCCATAGTACCGTACTTGCTACGTACATTACAAGTGTTATTGCAGTTCTGCCAATGTTTTCATCTGCTTACAGCAGTCTTCAAGATAAATTATAAATCTTCCCCATTCTTTGTTAAAGTTTGGTCTTCTTGGTTCCTGAGATTTCCTGTCAGTTTCGCCATTTCGGCATAGTCCAACAGTTTAATTTGCCATTCTTCTCTTGTAGGGACTTTATCTTCTTTCCATCTCTGGGCTAATAGCATCTGTGTGGCTGTCATCACATACATAAAAAGTCTTAGGGGGTAAAGGGGTCCTTTACCTTTACCTATGATTTTTTATATTTATTTAATGTATTTATTTCAAAGATTTATATACTGCTTGCCCATCATAAAGCCCTCGAAGCAATTTACAAAAAGAACGAAAGAATAAAATAATCAGTAAAAATAAAAAGTTTTTTTAAAAAAGCTTAAAAAAAACCCAGATTTTAAAAATTGGCCAACATTCTACATAGCTGGGTAGGTTTGCTTAAACAGAAATGTTTTTAGCAGGTGCCGGAAAAGACCTGACAACCATAGGCAGGGAGTTCCAAAGGGTAACTTCTTACAAACGTGGGACGACGACTATGCGGGTGTTACGCGCGGATTGCAACAGGGCCAGTCCTGCAGATTGGAGCAGCGGAGTGGGCGTGTTTGGGGTAAGGCGATTTCTTAAGTAAGATGATGATATTTTTTATTGTTGTTGTTATTGTTATTATTCTGTTTGGCAACTCCTGTCAGGTCCAAAAATGCCATGCCTCGCCCTTCCCTCTGGGGCAGGGAAATCCCGAAGCTCTCCACTGCCCCCCTTCCCCGCTGCTGCTCGGTGCCAATACCTTTTCGGAAGCAGCGCCGCTTCCCAGCCTCGGAGCCTCTTCTTCGGCCGGGCGGAGAAGCTGGCGCCTCGCCCGCCCGGTGCGCCCTCCCTGGGCGCGTCCCGGCACTGCGCCAGCCGGGTAGGAGGGCGCGCTGCGCAGGGCGGGCGCGCCGCGGCTTCTCGGGCCGGGCTTTGGCAACGCGCAGCCGGGCGGAGGCCGAAGGTCGCTTGGGCAGGAAGTTCCCGTTCTCGGGCGGGCCCAGCAGCTGCGCTGCAATGCGAGGCGGGAGGGCGGGCGGAGGCGGCGGCGGGGCCGAGGAGGAGGCGGCCCCTGATCCGTTGCAGCCCGGCCCCGGGGAGGGATTTAGCCGGAGCCTTGGCTGCTGCCCTGGCTGCTGCTCCGGAGCCAAGCTGCTCCCCTTCCCGGCCGCCCCGATCTCCAGCTGCTCTCCAAGAGAGCGCCCCGAAAGCGCCGCCAAGGGCGCACGGACCTCTCCAAGGAGCCGGCGGTTGTTGCGCGCTAGGGCGCACCGTCGGGGCGCCTCTTCCCGCTGCTCCCCGGCGGCTGCGAGAGGCGCATGGCGCTGCTTTGGAGGTTCGGCGTACTTCTGGCTTCCTGCGCTCCCTTCGGGGTTGGCGGCTTTCTCCCCGGAGCGACGCCGGAGCGACGCGAAGGCGCTTCGAGAGCACGGAAGGATGGTGAGTCAGAGAGGCGTATGCCGTTTACCCCTTTCCCCGCCGCGCCTTGGGGCCGCCTTCACACGTTACTTCTTCCCAAGCGCGGGTCCGTTTGCAGTCAACTACCACGCAGGCTGACCCGGGAAAGCCGCGGCGGCGTTGGGAATCCCGAGTAAACACGCATGAAGATTTGCAGCATTAAAAAATAATAATGGAAGCATAGCTTGGCTTGTTTTGATCTGCTACAACAACCCTGCAAGGTAGGTGGGTTATTGTGAAGCTTCCTTATTTCAAGTCAGTCCATTGGTCCATCTTCTATATATCCACACTGGCTGCCTAGCAGCAGCAGCTCTCAGTAAAGGTGCTTTTATTGCCAAGCTTACCTGGAGATACTGGGGATTTAACTTGGAGCCGTTTGCATGCAGAGCAGGTGCTCACAATAATAAATCAGGCCAGCATCATTGCGTGTTGCAGAGAAAACAGCAGCTTGTCAGTAGTGAGGTGGAGCGGAATTTCCTGATGACTCAAGTTGCAGTTCTATTCATATCTGCAAAGAAGTCATTCCCTTTGGATTCGATGGTAAGTGGTGTTAGAATTGCAGCCTCTCTCTTCTAAGCTGTTATACCAGGGTGGGGAAACCTGTGTATTTCTCTCGCCAAATGTTTGCAGACTCCAGGTCCCATCATCCCATGCTGGCTGGAGCTGATGGGAGCTGGAGTCTGACATCATGGGCCATCCTTTGGACCTCTGTAAATGCATTTTTATGTGATCCCTGATTGGTTAGGACATGATTGGTCCAGGACAGGAGTGGAAAACCTGTAGACCTGCAGATGTTGCTGGACTACAGCTCCCATCATCCCTGATCGTGGGTGCCATGCAGTGTGCATGACCCTGGCATGCCCAGCCCCTTCATAGGAAATTTTGAGGGTGCTCAGGCACCCAGTGCCCCAGGGAGTTGGCACCTATGCCCCTGACCGTTGGCCAAACTGGCTGGGACTGATGTGAGCCAGACAACATTTGGAGTGTGGCAATTTCCCCATCTCTGCCTGTGGTTTAGTTTATCCCACCATGGAGCCATTGGCCAACCCTCTTCATTGGAGTATGTGATTGTCAGGCAAGATGAAGGTGCCTCTAAGCATGTTCAGAGGGCATTTGCATTAAAAGGTCAAGGTAAAGGGACCCCTGAACATTAGGTCCAGTTGTGGCCCACTCTGGGGTTGCGGCGCTCATCTCGCTTTATTGGCCGAGGGAGCCGGCGTACAGCTTCCGGGTCATGTGGCCAGCATGACTAAGCCACTTCTGGCAAACCAGAGCAGCGCACAGAAACGCCGTTTACCTTCCCGCTGGAGCGGTACCTATTTATCTACTTGGACTTTGACGTGCTTTTGAACTGCTAGGTTGGCAGGAGCAGGGATCGAGCAACGGGAGCTCACCCCGTCGCGGATATTCAAACCGCCAACCTTCTGATCAGCAAGTCCTAGGCTCTGTGGTTTAACCCACAGCGCCACCCGCGTCCCTGGCATTTGCATTGTCACACAGTAAATAGACCCATATCAAATATTAGAGGGGAAATTTCCAAAATGAAAGGGGAGGGGAGTTGCTGCTAAAAGATTTAAACCCCCCCCCCTTTTTACAAATTAAGCACTGAGTCATTTAGGCATGTTTTCATCGCGTTCAATGGGATTGCTCTCAAGTAAGTATGACAATAAGATTGCAGCCCTTAACTGCCCTGCCCTGGAAAATAACTGAAGTGAACACTCTAGACAGGTGCCTCTTTGAAAACGTGTCTTGCTCATCTAGAAAGCCGGGGTTGGCACTGTTTTCTGACTGCAGCCTTGGTTGTGAGAGTCTGGGCTTCCTGTATGGTGTTTGGTCTACTCCTCTGAATCAGCAGCCGAAAGAGCCAGTTTTTGCCCTAGTTCAGTGGCGGAGCAAGTGCATTGCACACAGGAGGTCTCAGGTTTCATCCCTGGCATCTCCAGGTAGGGCTGTGAGAGACTCCCTCTCTGAAAACCCTGCAGAGCTGCTGCCAGTCAGTGTAGACAGTACTGAGCTTTGATGGGCCTGACTCGGAAGAAGGCAGCTGCCTATATTCCTAGGTTCTCTCCCCATCTTGGGTGGAGGTTGCTGATAGCCGGAGAAGGCAGGTGAGGAGGATTTGGGGGGTGGAAGGGACGCTGGTGGTGCTGTGGGTTAAACCGTAGAGCCTAGGACTTGCCGATCAGAAGGTCGGCGGTTTGAATCCCCGCCACGGGGTGAGCTCCCGTTGCTCGGTCCCTGCTCCTGCCGACCTAGCAGTTCGAAAGCATGCCAGTGCAAGTAGATAAATAGGTACCACTCCGGCGGGAAGGTAAACGTCGTTTCTGTGCGCTGCTCTGGTTCGCCAGAAGCGGCTTAGTCATGCTGGCCACATGACCCAGAAGCTGTACGCCGGCTCCCTCGGCCAGTAAAGCGAGATGAGGGCCGCAACCCCAGAGTCGGTCACGACTGGACCTAATGGTCAGGGGTCCCTTTACCTTTACCTCCATTTTTTAACAGTGGTTTGAGATGAAATCAGGTGTACTTTCCATGACATGGAAAGGAATACTATCACCTGTTCACTGCTGCAGGTCAAATTGCTGTTAAAGGCGTAGCTGCAGAAGTTGGCATCGCTAGACCAAACATCCATGAGTTTGTTTTCCAACAGGTTTATGAAGCCAAGAGCTCTCTCCTCACCGTTAATCTCTCTAGCCTGTCCTTGGTTACTTCAGACACGGTTGGGACTACAAGGTTGCTTTTCAGAATTTATGCCTAGGGATATAAAGGGGATTTTGTGGGATCAGAGCAAAACTCCCATCTCTAGACCATTATCTTTCTGTTCTCCCAACAGTGGCTAGTCAGATTCCTCTGGAGAACTCCAAGAACGAAGGCAGTAGCACGGCCCTTTCCTGTGTGAGAGAGCTGCTGCCAAGCCAGATAAGCGATTCTGAGATTGATCTGGATTAAGGCAGCTTCCTAGGATCCTAAAAAGCAGAGCTGGAGAAACTGCGGTCTTCCGGATGGTGCTGAACTCCACCTCCCATCTTCCCTGACCCGTGGGCCATTGCTGGCTGGGGCTGATGGGAGTCGGAGTCCAGCAACGTCAGGAAGGCTGTGGGCTCCCCGTCCCTGCTTCACACCTTTGTTAAGTGCAGTTAACCTGTGATCCCCAATTGGTTGGGACGTGTGAAGGACAAAGGCAGGGAACCAGTGACCCTCTTAAAGGTGTTGGACTGCAACTCCCATCATCCCTGACCATTGGCTGCACTGGCTGATGGGAGTTGGAGTCCAACCAACCTTTGGTTTGGGCTGCTAAGAAATCGGGGGAGCTGGTAGAGGTTTTTACTGTACTCCTTAAAATCTACTCAACCCTCTGGAAGTGATGGGGGCATTGTATGTCCTCAGCTTCTAGTCCCTCTCCAATAACAACGCTCTGTTTACGTTACTGTGTACTCCTTGATCGGATGCAGTCTTCCAAGAGGATCCTCACTCTGGCTTTCAACTTATCCTAAGTGCTGCACAGAAATCCATGTGGTTTCTCCTTGGCCACCTGCTAAATTTTTAAACTGGTACCTCCACAATGGATTTTGGCTTTGCCCTTCTTGAGCTCCTGGGCTGCATTGTCTTCCAAGCAACCTTCTGGGGGCCAGATGTCAAAGTGAGCAGAGGAATACGTGCTTCCATCTGGCTAGCAGCCCCTGTGAGAACAGGATGTGGGCCTTTAGCCTGATCCAGCTGGGCCCTTCTGTTGTGCTTTTCATGGAACCGCAGGGTTGGAAGGTAACCCTGAGGGTCATCTAGTCCAACCCCCCTGCAGTGCAGGAATATGCACCTGTCCCTTACTGGGATCGAACCTGCAGCCTTGGCATTGTCAGCGCTATGCTCTCACCAACTGAACTATTTTATTAACCTTCACTCAGACAGTCTTCGCAGTTCTTAAATGGTGCAGCAAACAGGCAGTAGCTCATTGGTAGAGCGCTTGCTTTGCATTCAGAAGGTGCCAGGTTCTGTTCCCAGGATCTCCAGGTAGGGTGGGATGAGGCACTTGTCTGTAATCCCTGTTGAGCTGCTGCCAGCCCGTGCACGCAATACTCGGCTAGAAGGACCAACGTTCTGACTCTGCAGAAGGCGGCTTCCAAGGTTCCTGTTCCAATCAGCCCTACATTTTGGAATGATGGGGGCTGGAGTCTTGCGTTATTTCTAGGGGGAGGCCCAGAACTCGGTGGCAGAACGCATGCAGAATTACAGGGTTCAGCTCCCGGGATCTGGAAGCGACTCTTGTCTGAAATCCCAGAGAGCTGCTGCCAGCCAGTGTAGACAATACTGCACTTGATGGGCTGAATCTGCATAAGGCAGCTTCATAGATGGTAGGAAGGAGCTTAGTCCACCCAAATTCCCGGAATGCTGCTGCAGGCCAGTGTGATCAATCCTGATGTCGATGGACCAAAGATTGATTTAGAAAGACGTTTCCTTTTATCTGTGGACGTACGTCAGGTCAAACAGCAACCAGATACACCTTTACCAGGAAATGAGCCCCATCGAACAGAGGCAGGGGATGGTTCTGAATAAACATGCATGGGCTTGTAATGTTAGTCACCTTTTCTGCACCCCCCCACTCCCTGCTTTCAGCTCACCACCCTCCCTTTCCAGCACCATTTAAGCCCTTAAGCCTGTTTCAGCAAAGGCTCATTTGCTGCGCATCTCAATGCACTGTGTCGAGTGATTCAGCAGAACCCCACAAAGAAAGGAAGTCCTTTCTTTAGTTCCTTGGAAGGAGGGGAGGGGGAGAAGTGTATTGTGGCATAATCTTGCTTGTATTTCAGCTCTAAGGCTGAATTCTGCTCGTGCAAAAGAATAATAATAATACTAAAAAAACCTGTGCACAACACCGCACAGGTTTCTAGTCCATAAGATCTTCAAAGTCTGGAGAGGGACTCAGAAGGTAGGGCAGATCTAGGGGACCTGTGGCCCCCTCCAAAGGTTGGACCGCCAGCACTCAAGGTGCTGTATAGGGCTCGACCTCCCAGCCAGTATGACTAGTGGTTAGAGATGCTGGGAGTTGGGGAGCCCAGCAATATCTGGAGGGCCGAGGTTCTGTCCACGACTGTTTCCATGCCTTTCAGAAGCTGAACCAATTAGGCCTTGCAACTGTTTATAACAGTGTCCATTTGCATTATTCATTGAGGTGACGGCATAGCAAGCTTTCTCCATGGGGAATCCAGACTTTCCAAGATACCGATTTAATACATGGCTGGGCATAAAAGCTGATGGGGGGGAAAGGGCTTTCAACTGGATGGAGCAGAGAGGGAAGGGAGGCGGCGAATGCTTTGTTTTTTTGGCATTCCGTGTTGCGCTGGAGAAGAAATCTGTTTCCGTTTGCATTTAAAGGGGAACTTGTTATATCTGCACTTCCCGGAACAATCTGCAAACCAGAACGCCCTCCTTTGAAATGTGCAGTTCTCAAAATTTTGCAGTTCCGTCCTCCAGCTGTGTGAGGGGTCTTCAAATACATATACCAGGACACTGTGTGCGTCAAAATGCATGCATTAGTCAAAAAGCCATGCAGCAGTGCATTGTGTCTAGGAAAAGGTTATTTTGCAAAAATAATAGTTGAAATTGCATTCCAAAAAATGGGCATGAGAAATTAGCACTAAAATCAACAAGAATGAGAACCTCCAAGCACTTTTAATGTGATATGGCACCCTTTTATCATGTATGCAGTGAAACCATAATTTTCATGCCTGGCAAATCTGGAACTGGACTTGCTAATCTGATAACGCTGATCCTCTTGAGTGTTGCTTTAACCCATGTGCTATTGGATTCATTCTACGTGCCTATTTTGTAGTTTCGTTTTTCACCTGTTGTTAAGTCCCTGTGGTTTTATATGCGTTATATAGTGAAACGAAACCTGGGGGGGGGGGGGGGGGGAGAAATTGACGCTGAAAAGCTGGTGAATTTCCATGAGGGCTTGAAAAAAAAACCTAAGCGTAGATTTGAGCCGTGAGCCAAATTTAAGATTGCAGGAAAACACGAAACTGAGAGCAACCCCTTGCCCATTCCCAATTTCAGATGTTGGGACCCAGCGGCCATGGGATGACAGGACCTGTTCGTGGCCCGTCTCACCAACGATCCTGCGGGGCGGGCAGCCCGTCAGCCTGAAGGAGGCGGCGTTGGTGAGTTTCCCTGCCGGCTTTCCAGCTGGAGAGAGATCTGTTAACCGGGAGAAAGCTGGAGGCGGTCGGAAAGGGGGCAGTGGAGCAGCTGTGGTGACGCCGTGACCTCGAGCTGAGCTGGCTAAATGAGCTCATCGCGCTCTGCAACCGGTGCCACTTGCCTCCCCCTCTCCCCAAGCCTTCAGCCTGCCCTCCCAGTCCTATGCCTGACCCACGGATGCTGGGAGCCTTGGAGCATTTCCGGGTATTACTCCTGGGCAGGAAATGCTGGGTGGGGATGGCCGGGGTGGGGGGAGAGAAGCAGACACCCCTGTGCAACATGCTCGGTCACACACAACCCCCCGGTCCCCTTCACGCCTGCAGGAGGACAATGAGCTAAGCTGGGCGAGGTGCTTCCTGCCATCAAGGGGACAAAGGAAGCTTTTTTTCCCCTGCCCTAGGTTTGGCCTTGGTGAAGGGGGCACTTTTGGAAAGAGTTTAGCTTGCATGCAGAGATCTGGCCCCAGAGGGTGGTCTCAGCCTCTGGCTCTGGCTCACAGTGATACCCCTTCTTACTAAGCAGGGGCAGGTGGGATCTGTCCACACAGAAAACATGATGGGTTCTCTGTCGCCTTCTGCCAGCCATCACCTCTCTCCTTTTCAGGGGTCTCAGGGCTTCCCGGCTGGGCTGAGGGTTGTGCTGGAGGTCGAGGGAGATCGCCTCCTCCTGGACCTGGTACAGAATCGGTGAGTTTGGGTTTGCATCATGGGCAGAAGTGGCGAGCGCCTTCTAACCAGAAATCTCTAGCTTTGCCCCTGGAATTACAGTGATACCTCGGGTTACATAGGCTTCAGGTTACATACACTTCAGGTTACAGACTCCGCTAACCCAGAAATAGTACCTCGGGTTAAGAACTTTGCTTCAGGATGAAAACAGAAATCGTGCTCCAGCGGCACGGCGGCAGCGGGAGGCCCCATTAGCTAAAGTGGTGCTTCAGGTTAAGAACAGTTTCAGGTTAAGAACGGACCTCTGTAATGAATTAAGTATGCAACCAGAGGTACCACTGTATTTTGGCTCCTGCTTCGATACTCCGCAGCCACCATCACATTATTAAAACAACCCACAGGAAATAAAGCAGGGGGTCATGTCCACCATTTTATCCTCACCCCCTCCCCGAATCCTAGTGTAATCCAGTGGTTCTCCAAGGGTGTCGCGCAGAGGATGGCAAGTGTGGCAGGGAGATGCGAGGAGAATCAGAGAAACGTTTAAGCATTTCAGTGTAGTACAGGCGACGGCTATTTTTGCTGGTCCAATATGTGTGTGACTGCACATCCACACATCGCAACAAACCCAGAAGTGGCAGGGAAAAGGGGCTTGGGTGGGAGAAGGATGGGCTTTTGTATGCTCTGTCAACACGTGCAAGGGTCAGGAACGTAACCCCTGTGCAAAATGGCCATTGCCTGTATAGTATTTTTAAAAAATTATTTGCAGAATGTGGCTCGTTATCTTCTCAAACTGAGAGCAAAGAGTATCAAGCAATGTTGAGGACAATCCCATTTGCGATCTTTTTGTTTTCCATTGCATTTCTTACCGTTGAAAAGTCCAGTGTGGCATGAGCAAATGTTTATTCTGAAAGTGTGGCCTAGAGAAAAGAGTTTGAGAGCCGCAGTAACCCAAGATCCCTGCAGGATCAGGCCAAAGGGCCATCTAAGCGCAGTCTGATCTGCCTGTGGGGCTCCAGGGTTTCAGAGAAAGGGATATTCCCAACTCTGTCTGAAGATGCTGTTGGGGGTTGAACACAAGACCTTCTGCATGCAAGGCAGGTTCTCTGCTAGGGTCCCTCGCCTAAAAATCAGTTAAGCTTCCAGTCATCGTGGTTCTGATTCAAGGGGCGAATTTAAAAAAGGAGCTTTGCTGCCATCTTTTCCCTGCAACCTTCCTGCGTCCTCCAAGTCCACAGTCTGTCCCTTCTGATTTGTATGTCTTCCATCGTAGGGAGCTGCTGGCAGGCACCCAAGGACTCGTCTATTACCTTTCCAACGGGGAGAGGGCGACGCATCCGACGAGCACAGAGGTGGGCATCTGTTTCTCTGGCTCTGCACAGCCCATTCCTCTGCTGGCACCCATCCCTGCCGAGAGCCAGGGCCTGGGGAATGTTTATTCCTGGGCCCACCTCCTCTGCCAGCTGGGACTCTGCCACGATGCAGAAGTTTCAGCGGAGGTGCCAGCTCCAGGGCTGGAGAAGCAGGCTGGGATCTGAGCGGGCAGCGATTGGCCAGGAAAGAGAGACTGGGGTCATGGCAGCAGAGGGTTCACAGGAAAAAGGTCCAGCCTGTGGGCGAAAACTCTGAAAATGGTGGATTTCACGTTGGGGAAAAGGCAGCTGCCTCAGGCCTTTCATAGTACAACCACACGGTGTACCATTCTGGTTGTTGTACAGTGGTACCTCAGATGCTTCAGGTTATAGATGCTTCAGGTTACAAACTCCGCTAACCCAGAAATAGTGCCTCGAGTTAAGAACTTTACCTCAGGATGAGAACAGAAATCGTGGTGGTAGCGGAGGCCCCGTTAGCTAAAGTGGTACCTCAGGTTAAGAACAGTTTCAGGTTAAGAACGGACCTCCAGAACAAATTAAGTTCTTAACCCAAGGTACCACTGTATTCTCAAAAAGGTTATTGTGGAGCTGGGAAGGGTTAAGTTAAGGGTTATATTTAAAGCACTTTAAGCTGCCATGCTTCCCCCAAAGAATTCTGGGAGCTGTATTTTGTGAAGGGCGATGAGAGTTGTTAGGAGACCCCTGATTCCCTTACAGAAAACTACAGTTCCCAGAGTTTCCTATGAAGAAGAGGGAATGGTTGTTAAACCACTCCAGGAATTGCAGCTCCTTCAGGGGAGTAGGGAGGCCGCCTGACAACGCACAGCACCCTTAGCAAACTCCAGCTCCCAGAATTCTTCGGTGGAAGCCATAGAACGGCATCACAGTGCTTTACAACGTATGGTGTAGATGTTTATAGACTTGGAAGAGACCACACAGGTCATCGGGTCTAACTCCTGGCAGTGCAGGAATCCTTTACTCGACGCAGGGCTTGAACCCACGGCCCTGAGATGAAGAATCTCTTGCTGTACTGACTGAGCTATCCCGGGTCATGTGGCCACAGTGGTCAAGGGGGTGGGGCAAATCTCCTGTGAGAAAAGCAGGGGGCAGGGTTATAATGCCAAACCTGGGAGGCTGTGCTTATTCTCCCTGCTTTCTCCGTCTTCCAGGGCAATTGCTGCTATCGAGGCAAAATCCAGGGCTACCGAGACTCCTGGGCCAATGTCTGCGTTTGCTCTGGCCTAAGGTATGAGGAGAGGCTGGACAAGGCGAAGCTCTGTGGGAGGACAGAGGGTTCACCCCTGAGCAGATTCCTTTCCCTCTTGCGGTTTTCTGTGGGCAAAAATGTGGTTGACTGTTTTTTTTCTTTCTGCCCTGGCAGTGGTCTGCTGGTTGTGTCCAGCGACAGGAGCTACAGCTTGGAGTCCAGAGCAGAAGAGGATCAGGGTACGAGGGCCTACAGACTTGAGTCGGTCAGGCAAGAGACGGGGGAATGCGTGCTGGTCTCTCTGTCCCGGGGACAGTTCCGCCCGCGGCCACAGCCTGAGCGCAGCTGGCTACAAAGGGTACGTTTTGAACATCTGGGCCAGAGCATTGGCCCAGCCGGCCCTGTGCTGCTTATTCTGACCGGCAGTAGCAATCCAGGTGCTTAACAGTGTTTTTTGCCCCGTCTCCCAGGCAAAGCGAGAGGCGGAGCCTGAACGTGGATTCGTGGAGCTGGTGATGGTGGCCGACCAGGCAGAGGTGAGACAATGCTCCTATCCCCCCGCCCAGCCCTTCATGGCAAAGCCCTTAGCAGATTCCTTGTAGCTTCCCCAAAAGAAAGCGCAGTGGCGTCTCTTCTAAAACGGATCGCAAATGTGCAGTTTTACCTAGTGAGGGACATTTCTCAATGGGCCGATTCCTCAAGTTGCCAGATCTCAACGAGGAGAGGTTTCCCTGTTTCTCCTCGTTCCCTCACTGTCCCCATCAGAAACCAAATCGGAAATCTGCACTGAATGTTTCCAGTGGTTAAATCTGTTGCTGTTTGGTAAATCTATTGCAGCCGTGGTCCGTAGAAATGAGTAAGTCTGGTAAGATGACTGGTTGAAAGGGTAAATAAATCTTTAGGTCTTTAAGTCGTGACATACAGAGCTGCCCTAAGTATAGTCATACTTTGGAAGTTGAACAGAATCCATTCCAGAAGTCCGTTCGACTTCCAAAACGTTTGGAAACCAAAGCGCGGCTTTTGATTGGCTGCAGGAAGCTCCTACAGCCAATCCGAAGCCACGGAAGTCCCATCGGATGTTTGGCTTCCAAAAATAGTTCGCAAACTGGACGATCACTTCCGGGTTTGCGATATTCAGGAGCCAAAACGTCCAAGAACATTCGAAAACCAAGGTACGACTGTATAGTTTTTTACGTGTGGCTAGAATGGAGCTAAGAGGTTGACACAAGCACATGCTAACTTAGCACTGGCTAAACATGGAGGAGAAGCAGGAAGAAAGTAAAGCCTCGGTACATGATCTGCTCATCCACAAGTAGCCCCTGAAGGGAGGAATCAGTACAATTGCAGGAGTGAGGCCTTGTTACCATATAAAACACAGTTCCTCAGAGAACTGGACTGGTTGTCGATTTGCTACCAGCTCAAGTTCAAGCTATAAAGCCCTTAACAACTGGGGGCTAGTTTACCTGTGAGATCGCGTTGCCCCAGACGTGCCCACTTGACCAAGCTGTGTAACTGGCACGGCTACAAGTGCCACATAATACCCGCTCCATATTCGTAAGAAATTGATCTTTTCCTGTGGCAGCACCAGCACCTTTGGAACTCCCTGCCTCTTGACAACAGGCAGATGCTTTTGCTGGACTCTTCTCAGCGCCTGCTTAAAACATTTCTGCTTAGACATGCCTCCCCAAACACCTAGAGCTTTTTTTAATGTATGTTTTAGTTTATTTATTGCGGGTTTTATTTCTGTGCTTCATATCGTCGTTTTTAACCGTTTATGCTGATGATTCCTTCGTTTTATTCTTTCCGTAAACTGCTTTGAGGTGGGTTGTTGTAGTTTGTTTTGTTTTTAAACCGAGCAGTGTGTAAATCTTAGAAAATAAATAAAAATACAGGAATTCCAATGGAGATAAAAAGTAAAGTAGAAAAGGTTCGAGTAAAAAACACTGTGGAGGTGAGGGTCAGAAAGTCAACATACAAAGGAATGTAATTATTTGATTTGAAGGTTATTGTGAAAACGTTTGAAAAACTTAAAATATGTGTATGTATACTTTGGTACCTCGGTTCTCAAACTTAATCCTATCCAGGAGTCTATTTGACTTCTGGAGCCGTTCAAAAATCAAGATGTGGCTTCCGATTGGCTGCAGGAGCATCCTGCACACAAGCGGAAGTAACGTCGGACGTTCGGCTTCTAAAAACGTTCGCAAACCCGAACACTTACTTCTGGGTTTGCGGCATTCGGGAGCCAAGCCGTTGAACAACCAAGTTACCACTGTATATACCGTATTTTTCGCCCTATAGGGCGCACCGGCCCAAAGGGCGCACCTAGTTTTTTGAGGGGGAAATAAAGGGGGGGATTATCCCCCCCCCCGGGTTTCGGGCTGCAGGCTGCTGTCCGCAAGCCTTGGGAGCCCGAGAAGCTGGAGCCGAAGATACTGATGAGGCTGGCCACGTTGCCCGTCTCCAGATCGCCGTCGTGGTGCCTTGGGTTCTGCGGCTCCCGCTCCCTGCGAGGCTTCTTCAGCGGGGAGCTCCCCGACGGCTCGCCCTCGCCTTGTTGCGCAGCGGTGTCGCGCTTCCTGGGGCAGCAGGGCGGAGAGGGAGCCTCGGCCAGCTGCTTGCCGGTATCCCCTGTTGAAGAAGAGCGGCCACAGCCGCCGCCGCAGTGCCACGCCAGCCGATTAGCTTCCCAATCCGGCGCGAGGTTCCGCGGCGACGGGGGAGCCCTGCGCTCCGAAGGCAGCGCCGCCGGCTGCAGGAAAAACAGAGGCGAGGGAGGAAAGACGAAGTTGGAAAGGAAAGGCGGAAGCTGGAAACGCCTCCAGCTTGCAATCTATGCCCGACGGGATGCCCTCGTCCCAGCGCGCAGGGCCAGGAGGGGCGGCGCTGTGAGCCGCTCGCTGCCCAAGGCGAACGCAAGCGGGAGCAAAACACACTGTCCGCGCAAAACACACTGCACGTCTCCGGCGAAGAAGCAGCCCGGAGAACCTCAACATCCGCTGCTCTCCATCCCGCTGCCGATTGAAGCCAGCCCAGCCCGGAGCGCGGGAGTTCCCGCCAGGCTTCGGGATGCAGAGCAGGATGGAGAGCAGCGGATGTTGAGGTTCTCCGGGCTGCTCCTTCGACGGAGACGCGCAGTGTGTTTTGCGCGGACAGTGTGTTTTGCTCCCGCAGGCAGAAGTGTCTGAGGAGGGGCGTGGCCTGGGGAGAGTTCCGAGGGCCAGACAGAGAGATGCAGAGAGCTGAGCTCGGCCCCCAGTGTCTCAAGTCCCTTCCCACCACCTCCGCTTCTGTTTCCTTTTCAGTTCGAGCTGAACCCCGACCTTAACTGGACGCAAACACGGATGCTGGAGATCGCCAGCCACATGGACGGGGTGAGTGGCTGCCCTAGGCGGATGTGGGTGGCGCACGTGGGAATTGTAGTTTGATGACGTCCTTGGACTCCAGCTCCCATCAGCCAGCATGGCTGATTGTCAGGGATGATGGGAGTTGTAGTCCAAATCCTCTTCCAGGTTAGGGGAGGTTGGCGAGGCAATTCTGTGTTGGGTTGGCCAATGGTCTCCCCTGACGCCAGGCAGCTTCATATATATGGGGGAACTGTCTTTGCTTTTGCTTTTTAAAAGACATTTCTCCAAATACTTCAGTGTTTACCTCGCACGGAAAGTAATTTTGGGGAGGGCTCGGCAGGAAATTCACAGTTTAGGTTGCTGATTCCTTCAGTTCTGCCTTCTGGGCTGAGGACTCTTGAGGGGACATTTTGATGGCCGACGCTCCTGAGGGATGTTCCTGTCAAAATTCTAGTGGAAGGGATTTCCATAGGTCAGGAATTATCCCTGCTTGGTATTTGGAAGTCTTCTAAAAAAGAAACATCCTGGATTATACAGACAGGGCCTTTCAAATGTGCAATTCTTTGCGAAGCAGCTTTGACTGATGTGCTTGACACTTGTACTTTTTAGTCTGTATACTGCCTTGCAAAATTTATAATTATTTAAATGAATGAATGAATAAAAGCACTCACCCCTTTTTTCTCTCTTGCCCTCTGCCTTTTCCTTTCCTTTCCTTTTTTGCTTTTAAAAACGCGCTCTCTCCCATTTTCTTCCCCTCCTCTGCCCAGTTTTACCGGACGGTGGGTCTGCGGGTGGCTCTCGTCGGCCTGGAAGTCTGGAACAAGGGGAACCACGTTTCTGTCGACGGTTCCCCCCGGGCGGTTCTGGAGCGGCTCCTGCGGTGGAGGCAGGAGGAGCTGCTTCCTCGGATCCCACACGACAGCGTCCAGCTTATCATGTAAGGAGCCTGAGGGTTAGCCACCATGAGTCCAGTCTTGGCCGGGGAGGGCGGAATACAAATAAAAGTTGTTTTTTATTATTATTATTATTATTATTATTATTTATTAGGAAGGGCTTCAGAGAATCCCTAGAGGGGGAGTGTAGGGGGGGCTGACCAGGAGGAGTGCCAGGTGCTTGGCCTGGGTTATGGGTGCTGTGTGTTTGGCCAGGCAGGGGGTGTGACCTGCACTTTCGATGGGCAGGAATTGACACTAACCAGGGTTGTGGGCGGGGCCTACACTTTTGATGGGCAGGGATTGACACTAACCAGGGCTGTGGGCGGGGCCTACACTTTTGATGGGCAGGGATTGACACTAACCAGGGCTGTGGGCGGGGCCTACACTTTTGATGGGCAGGGATTGACACTAACCAGGCCTGTGGGCGGGGCCTACACTATTGATGGGCAGGGATTAACACCAACCAGGGCTGTAGGCGGGACCTGCACTTTTGATGGGCAGGGATTGACACTAACCAGGCCTGTGGGCAGGGCCTGCACCTTTGATGGGCAGGAATTGACACCAACCAAGGCTGTAGGCGGGGCCTGCACTTTTGATGGGCAGGGATTGACACTAACCAGGCCTGTGGGCGGGGCCTTCACTATTGATGGGCAGGGATTAACACCAACCAGGGCTGTAGGCGGGACCTGCACTTTTGATGGGCAGGGATTAACACTAACCAGGCCTGTGGGCAGGGCCTGCACCTTTGATGGGCAGGGATTGACACTAACCAGGCCTGTGGGCAGGGCCTGCACCTTTGATGGGCAGGGATTGACACTAATCAGGCCTATGGGCGGGGCCTGCACTTTTGATGGGCAGGGATTGACACTAACCAGGCCTGCGGGCGGGGCCTGGAAATATGATGGGCGGGGCTATCCCACAGCCTGCCCGCTTTGTGCCTGCCCGCTCAGCTGTGGCAGGATTCCCAATGTGTACTTGGATCTGTCTTGTGTAAAACCTTATCTCTTTTCCACCCCCGCTATGCACTGTTTTGGTGATCTTCTCTCGCACTTCTTTCTCCTGCCCTGTCCCATAGGGGATCTCCATTCACCGGGGGCTCAATAGGAACGGCCACGCAGGGTTCGATTTGCTCCCATCGCTCCGGCGGGGTCAGCATGGTGAGTACTGGTGCCCCTTGCTTTCTCAGAGACCAGGGTAGTGGCATGTTTCTGGAAAGCCCAGGTAAGCGGGTGCCTGTTGCATTACTGTCTGTTCCACGGAACCAGGGCAGCCTCATTGAAAGCCTCGCTTGGAGTTGCTGCGGAGCTACGCTTCTGATATTTTGGGGGGAGACTGACCCACCAGGAGTGTCAGGGTTCTGCATTTGTGTAGACGTTTGACCTAGAGTTTGCGTCTTTATGTTCATTTGTGTTGTTAAATGTTGCAGAGCTTTTTGTTCCAGCCAGATTTAATATCCTCCCGACCCAAGTGCTTTGGGGCAACAATGCTGGCACTCCTCTTTCCTTCAGGGTATTATGGTCTGTAATAATCAGGAGCTGGGATCTATAGACAGCTGTCCTTTTTAAGTGACTTAGATGCTGGAGCTCAGCAGGTGACAATTGGCCTTTTGCTGGCCAAACTTCCGGGAAGGTCAGTTCAGTTTTATGTTAGATATTTAATGGAAGAAAAACCCCAAGGTATCACTTGCAGTGGTTACATTTCTGCCAGTAACACTGGGAGCAAGAGAACATCTTGCCACCTGAAACTGTAAGGGCCTTTTTTCAGGGACTATTGTAGCTGTATATGATGGTTCTTACATCATGCAGTACTTCACAATCTGTTTTGCTCCGAGATTGTTTCGTATGGTGTGTTTCTTTTGGCCTATTGACCGTAATAAATTGATTGATGGATGGATACGCTTTTGGATTTTGGGGTGAATCATGGAGAAGTGGAACAAAACAGAAAAGTTCACAGTCCTGATCTGCTTAGCAGAAGTAGTATTCTGAGAAGAATAGTATTAAAGGAAAAACAAAGAATAAATGAAGTATATAATTTTTAAAAATATAAATAGGTATTCAGCTTTTAAATGCCTGCTGAAAACTTTTCTGTTTCATCAAGCTTATGCTTGACAAGGCACCTTTCCACAACATTTATCTGATTCTATTTTATTGTATGCTTTTTATGTCGTTTTACATATATAAGGTAACCTTCCGTAGTTTGTACATTAAAATTTTTTTTTGCTTGTTCATTGAACTACAGAAAGGGAAGAGAGAGTGGGGAGAAAAACAAGTACATAATCGAGATGAACAAATCTCTTTCTAGTCTCTCCATGCAATGCTCTTTCCAATAGACCGCAAAACAGTTCCATCTCTCCCCATGGATTATATATCCCATCTCATGTGTTTTCTCTTTTTCTGGATTATGTCTGTCGTTTTATCCATCACTGCCACCTCCACACATTCCTGAAGAGATGGTGAATCTGTGTCCTTGCATTTCCTTTCCCACAGGGTTTTTTGCGGCCCTTAACTAAAGATCTTTATTCTTTATGAGTTAGCAGTATACTGTATATGCAAGTGTTTTTATGGATGAATAAAGGAGGAGTTGTTGTTTAGTCCTTTAGTCGTGTCCGACTCCTTGTGACCCCATGGACCAGAGCACGCCAGGCACTCCTGTCTTCCACTGCCTCCCACAGTTTGGTCAAACTCATGCTGGTAGCTTCGAGAACACTGTCCAACCATCTCGTCCTCTGTCGTCCCCTTCTCCTTGTGCCCTCCCTCTTTCCCAACATCAGGGTCTTTTCCAGGGAGTCTTCTCTTCTCATGAGGTGGCCAAAGTATCGGAGTCTCAGCTTCACGATCTGTCCTTCCAGTGAGCCCTCAGGGCTGATTTCCTTCAGAACGGATAGGTTTGATCTTCTTGCAGTCCATGGGACTCTCAAGAGTCTCCTCCAGCACCTCCAGGTCACGAAGAGTCGGACACAACTAAACGACTAAACAACAACAAAAGGAGGAGTGTGAATTAGGTTGGCTTGCTCAAAAATGCGAACCAGCTGTCTTTTCTCCTCTTCCAGGACCACTCGGTCAGCCCCTTGATGATCGCCTCGACTCTTTCGCACCAACTAGGCCACAACCTGGGCCTTGACCACGATGGCGCTGGCTGCAGCTGTGACGGCTCTGGCCCTAACTTTCCCCCTGGTCGCAGCTGCATCATGGAGCCACTGACGGGGTGAGCCTCTGCATTCACATCGGGTCCCCCCCCGGGTGGCTGGGTGGACTGCGGAAATGCAGGGGGTTTGAGGACACCCCGCCTCTGACCATTTCCCTCTTCTCTGCCAGCATCATGCCTGGTCTAACCTTCAGCAGCTGCAGCCACCGGAAGCTCCAGCAGATCCTGCAGAGCGACCGAGTGTGGTGCCTCCTCGACGTGCCGGATCCGGGGCGCCTGGTGGATTCTCGCTGCGGGAACTTCCTTGTGGAGGACAAGGAGGAGTGTGATTGCGGCCTCCTGGTGGTACGAAGGGCACCTCTCTCCCCATCTTCCTCCTCACCTTATTTATTTATTTATTTATACCCCGCCCATCTGACTGGGTTTCCCCACCATTCTGGGCGGCTCCCATCATCACCATCATCACCATCATCATTATCATCATCATCATCATCAAGCAATAAATAATCAAACATTAAAAACTTCCCTAAACGGGGCTGCCTTCAGATGTCTTCTAAACGTCAGGTAGTTGTTTATTTCCTTGGCATATGATGGGAGGGCATTCCACATGGCGGGTGCCACTACCGAGAAGGCCCTCTGCCTGGTTCTCTGTAACCTCACTTATTGCAGTGAGGGAGCCGCCAGAAGGCCCTCGGAGCTGGACCTCAGTGTCTGGGCTGAACGATGGGGTTTGAGACGCTCCTTCAGGTATACCGGGCCGAGGCTGTTTAGGGCTTTAAAGGTCAGCACTTTTGCCCCGTGTAGCTTCCAGATGCCCTTGGTGTGTAGTAATAATAATAATAAATAATAAATAAATAATAGTTTTATTATTTGTACCCCATCTATCTGACTGGGTTGCTCCATTTATGAGAGGGTTGTGTTCCGAGGCACGGCACATTGAGGTTAAGTCCTCTCAGGTATGACTCCTCCATATAGAGGCTTCAGCACAGAAGCCTAGGCCGAAAAGGGTCCCCTTGAAGTAGAGAGTTCTCCTGTGTAATTAACAGAGAAAGCTGGAGTTTGTGTGAAGGATGCATCCTCTACGTTTTGCTGAGAGCCTGCTTTGGCTTTGCTCATCTCACTGCGGCCTGGTATAGTTGTGCACGTTAAGCCTAAGCGAGGATCTGGAGCAGCCCAGTGGGTTTTTCACTGAACTTATGCCTTTCTCCTTTTTCAGGAGTGTACAGACCCATGTTGCAATGCGAGCTCATGCAAGCTGATGCCCGGAGCCCAATGCGCCACGGGGGGAGCCTGTTGCCACGAGTGCAAGGTAAGTTGTCGGAGCAGAGGAGTGGGGAGGGAACATCCGCCGGTGGTTTCTCAGCCCTGCCTCGAAGGGGTGTTGCGTTCTCATTCACACAAGCCCTCTGATAATTTGGCTTTTAAGTGAAAGGGCACAGTTGCATGTTCCACCTAAAGATTTGTATATGTCATTGACCTGTGCAGGAGACCTGCTGGCCTGTGACTGACAAGGCAAGTTGGCCCCAAGTCTCTCTTGGGCCCCCTTTTGAGCCCCCAACTCTGATTTTGCAATAGTTATCTGAGGCCCTTCTCTGGGTGCCCCCTCCCTGAGAGGTCCCATGGGTGGCAACACGAGAGCAGGGCCTTTTCAGTGGTGGCTCCCCGCTTGCAGAATGTTCTCCCCAGAGAGGCCTGCCTGGTGCCATCAATACATACATTTAGACCCCAGACAAAAACATTTATTTTCCGCCAGGCCTTCAGCTTTTAATTCTCAGTAGCCTCTTTGTGTGCATGTGGTGTTCCAACCCTGCCTTTTAAAAATGTGAATGTGTTCCAGATTTTTCTCTTTTGTATGTTGTTTGAGTTGCTTTTTTGTGGCAAATAATTTTTATGAACTACAATAATTTAGGGGTGTGTTTGCAGCACACAACTCCTAATAGGCATTTTTATGATTTTATGACACCTCCTTGATGGCCAGAAACTTGATTTATTGCACTAATTTATTATACTGCTTAATGTTGCAATAGGCTTCCAAGCAGTTTGCAAGTATTAAAATCAGTTACAATGAGAAATAGCATTTTCGTGTTCCTAGCTTAATAATAATAATAATAAATTAAAATGTATATAAATATACAATAATAAGAGTACATTCATTTGAAAAAAGGAATAGACAACGGAATAGACAGGCAGTCCAAAGTGTTGGTATATATATGATTTTGGAATAGTTTTTTGTTTGTTTTTCCTTCTTTTCCTTTGAGTATATAAACTTTGTATACATGCTGAAAATTATAGTATAATAAGCCTTGTGATGTAATATGATAATGTTTACCGATGTAGCATAAGAACTTCAATAAATAAATAACATTCAAATAATAATAATAATAATTAATTGTATACCGCCCTTCATCCACAGATCTCAGGGCAGTTCACCACATAACTCTGATTCTCCTCACAGAGCTACAATTCCCAGAGTTCCCTGTGAAGGGGGATTGATTGTTAAATTGCTCTGGGAGAGGGATGACGGGGGTCTCCTGACACCTCTCAGCCCCCTTAACTAATTCTTTGGGTGGAAACCATGACGATTCGTAGCGCTTTAAATGTTGGGTGCAGCTGGGGCCAGAGGCGTGGTGAACCCCCTCTTCCCTTGCAGGCTCTGCCAACACCTGTTTCCCTCTTCCTACCGTCTTTGACCTATACAGCCTAGGGCCCTCGTAACTATGGGACCGCCTCTCCTGGTATGTCCCACAGAGGACCTTACGGTCTTCAAACAAAAACATCTTGGAGGTCCCGGGCCACAGGGAGGTTAGGCTGGCTTTGACCAGAGCCAGGGCTTTTTCGGCTGTGGCCCCGATCTGGTGGAATGCTCTGTCACAAGAGACTAGGGCCCTGCGGGACTTGACATCTTTCCTCAGGGCCTGCAAGACAGAGCTGTTCCACCAGGCCTTTGGCCAAGGTGCAGTCTGACGCCCTCCTTCGGTAATTCTCATAGAACTTTAGCCTAATGGTTGCCATTAATTTGATTTTGATTTGATTTTAGGATGAATTTTAGAATATACAGTAGTACCTCGGGTTACAGACGCTTCAGGTTACAGATGCTTCAGGTTACAGACTCCGCTAACCCAGAAATAGTGCTTCAGGTTAAGAACTTTGCTTCAGGATGAGAACAGAAATCGTGCTCTGGCGGCGTGGCAGCAGAAGGAGGCTCCATTAGCTAAAGTAGTGCTTCAGGTTAAGAACAGGTTAAGAACAGTTTCAGATTAAGAATGGACCTCCGGAACGAATTACGTACTTAACCCGAGGTACCACTGTATTTCAATTAATTGATTGCGATTTTATGTAAACTGTGTTATTTTTACTGTGTTAGCCGCTCTGAGCCCGGCTTCAGCTGGGGAGGGCGGGATAAAAATAAAATTTTATTATTATTATTCGTCCTTCGGCAGCTCCGCAGCGCAGGATTTCTCTGCCGGGAAGCCCAGAACGAATGCGACCTCCCCGAATACTGCGACGGTACTTCCCCGCGTTGCCGGGCCAACGTCCACAAGCAAGATGGGACGCCGTGTGGGGACGAGAAGGCCGTCTGCTATGGCGGGGTCTGCCCCAATTACTTGAGCCAGTGCCAAGAACTTTGGGGCCCTGGTGAGTTGGCGTTTGGGGCTCTGTGCAGGGGGGAGGTTTTTTTCAAGGATGGGTTGGGGCGAGCTCCCAAGAAGGCCTGGTCTGCTTCCTGGCCTCATCCGCACCATGCATTCAAAGCACGCTTACACCACTTTAAAATCCATAATTCAGAACACTTTAGAACATAAGAGGGGGCTCCTGGATGAGGCCAACGGCCCATCTAATAGCCGGTATCCTGTTCTCACAGTGATCAACTGGGGAAACTGCAGGCAGGATTCGAGCACACAAGCTCTCTCCCATTTTTCAGTTCTGGAGTCAGATGCAGGTCAGCACAAAGAAGCAGAGCCAGTGGTCAGTGAAGTTAGCTTTTTATCCAAGGAAACAAATGTCCAACTCTTCAACCCTTCCCAGTAGGCCTTGCCCCCCCCCCCCCGTGGAGCAGTTGCCAGGACTGGAAGTCCCTGCCTTCTGCCCTTTCTAAGGCTCCTCCTCTCCCCAAAGTTTCCCAAGTGTTCTCTATCTACCTCTGCGCACTTCTGTTCCGCTTCCCTCATTATTCTCACGGGATCATAGGTTTGGAAGGCACCCTGAGGGTCATCTAGCCCAGCCTAGTGCAGGACCATGTCCCATATGGGAATCAAACCTGCAACCTTGGCATTGCCAGCACCAAGCTCCAACCAGCTGAGCTATCTAGCTATACGATAGGTTCCTCAGTGTTAAATAACCACACATACACAATTTTTAGTGAACGTTCCCTCGTAGTGGCTGACAAAGATTTATATGGTTCTTTTGCCTGTTAATTTTTCCATTTATTCTCAAGCCATGACTATCAAAATGGCAGCATGCTGCTGCTGTCGTTGGCTGTCCTGACTCTCTCTCTCTCTCTCTCTCTCTCGGTCTCTCTCTCCCCTGGCAGGTTCAGTCCCTGTCTCGGATGCCTGTGTGGCCTCTTTGAATGGCAGAGGGGACCTGGAAGGGCACTGTGGTCAGCAAGCTGATGGTTCCTATTTGTCGTGTTCAGAGAAGTGAGTGCTTTCCCTGTAAGGATGGGGGCCGGTGAGGGGGTGTGGCCTATTTGGAAGGGGCATGGCCTGATAAGAGTTCCAAGGACCAGATCAAGCTGTCGGGGGGGGGGGGAGATTCTGTCTCCCAGGCCTGAGGCTCACCACCCCTTGCACAGGCAGACAAGACTAGCTTCCCTGGTTTTAGGCAGGTTTCTCTTTCCTAGTTCTACCTGGAAATGCTGCAGGTCAAACCCAAAGCCCTTTTAAAAAAATTGTAGTAATAATGTAAGCTCAAAGGTATAGACAAACAAAATCAGAACTGAAGTTACCAAACATGGGAGCAGTACAGAGGTTGTATTTTCCAAATAGAGAGGAGATAATAAAAATACAGTGGTACCTCAGGTTACATACGCTTCAGGTTACAGACTCCTCTAACCCAGAAATAGTACCTCGGGTTAAGAACTTTGCTTCAGGATGAGAACAGAAATCGTGCTCCGGTGGCGCAGTGGCAGCAGGAGGCCCCATTAGCTAAAGTGGTCCTTCAGGTTAAGAACGGACCTCCAGAATGAATTAGGTCCTTAACCTGAGGTACCACTGTAAAAGCAACAAAAGACATTATGGAAGCTTTCCATGAAAGGGAGAGTTTTCTTACATCTGAGTTTGATAGGTAATAAATGAAATCCCATCTGAACGGCATAGAAATATCCCGAGCCTTCCTTACCCATAGAAACACATGGGATATAGGAGTTATTTTCCCTGCAATGGCCGAAGCCTCCATATTATTGTACAGCGGTGACACTAGAAGTCTTGCTTTATTTCCTTGAAAAAACTTGAGGGCTGGAGACTTGACGTGGAGAGAGTAAAGACCAACCAGTGTGTCAAAGAGAGCCAGTGTGGTGTAGTGGTTAAGAGCGGTAGTCTCGTAATCTGGTGAACTGGGTTCGCTTCCCCGCTCCTCCACATGCAGCTGCTGGGTGACCTTGGGTCAGTCACACTTCTCTGAAGTCTCTCAGCCCCACTCACCTCACAGAGGTGTTTGTTGTGGGGGAGGAAGGGAAAGGAGAATGTTAGCCGCTTTGAGACTCCTTCGGGTAGTGATAAAGCGGGATATCAAATCCAAACTCTTCTTCAAATACTTGCAATCCCTTTCTGGCAGGGACGCCTTGTGTGGGCGGCTGCAGTGCCAACCCAGCAGCACCAATGCTGGAAAACAGAACAGAACGACCAGGGCTCCCGAATGCCCACATCACACCCCGACTCCTGTTGATGACATTCTGGATCTGGCCATGGTGTTGCCCGGCACAGGCTGTGGGGCTGGCAAGGTGAGTGGGCATCGTGCGGGCGCAGGGGGTGTATCTTGTTAGGTCCCCCCTCCGCGAGCTGCTGCTTGGAACACAATCCTCCTCTGAGATGGTCAGTTTGTTCCTTCTAGGACATATAGGACATAACATACAATTTGAAGATTGGGGGAAATTGTGGAGAATAGATTTAAAATTTACAGACTGTTCTCTTTTGAAAGAAAAGTATATGAAAATGATGTATAGATGGTATATAACACCAGTACAGATTGCAAGAATGTACAAAACTGGGTCAAACGTATGCTGGAAGTGTAAAGGAAAAAGAAAGGACTTTTTACCATACGTGGTGGGAATGTAGAGAAATTTAAAAAAATTGGGAAATGATGTATAATGAGTAGAAAATGTTTAAATTAACATTTGTAAAAAAAACCCAGAAGCATTTTTGTTAGGGATTATAGGAAAGACCTGCCAAGGAAAATAAAGAATTTATTTATGTATGCGACAACGGCGGCAAGAGTCTTAATAGCACAAGGATGGAAGAATGAGGAAATCCCGACAAAAGAACGCTGGCAAGAGAAATTGATGGATTGTGCAGAACTGGCGAAATTGACATGCAAACTGCGAGACAAGGACAACTGTGACTTTAAAGAAGAATGGGAACTTTTTACAAACTACTTAAAAAAACAACAAAATGAATTGGACTCCTTGGCAGGTTTTGAATAAACATACACAAATTTATTGATTGTTAACATAACAGACAGATAATTTAAGGATCTTTACAGTTTTACAATATGAAGAGAATAACATGTGTTGAAAAATCAGAGAGAGGAGCTGAGGGGAAGTCTTGGGGGGAGGGAGGGAGGGGGAAAATGGGGGGGGATGAAGAGGATATGTTTTGATAATTTGTTATGTTGAAATTCTTAATAAAAACTATTTTTTTGAAAAAAAAATGTTCCTTCTCTGGTTGCAGGTGTGTGTTGACCAACGGTGTCGAGATCTCTCCTCGCTCAAGCTGCCAGCATGCCAGTGCAACAGCCATGGGGTAAGTCGAAGGACTGGGGGGCAGAGCCGTAGTGGTCTGGGGTTGCAGGGTTTGCGTGGGTCTGTCGAAGACCCATTACGATTTCTGCAGCCCAGTCCCCGCCTCCAGCGTCCTAGAGCCAGCCAATCAGCATGAAAGGAGAGCTTTTTAGTCACCAAGAAGTCTTCTCACCCTTTGTGCTGACTGGAGCCAATCGGAGTGAAGGGAGGGGAGTCGGCCTCCCAGGGTCACTCTGGGGAAAAGGTGCTCAGGAACAGAACCAAGGGGGAGTTTGTTCTGTATATGCTCCAAAGCTAAGCATTTAGGAACACACTGAAATCACAAGGCGCTTCTGTTTCGAGAGAACGGTGTGTAAATTCTGTTGTGGACAGTGGGACTTTCAGGGAAAACGCAACTTGTTATTCTGAAAGAAGATATCGGAGCACTCCAAATTATTTGCCCATGAATATGCACAGAAAATAGTAGATCTGGCTGAAAGGCCACACAGGGAGGTTTTCATTGAATGTTGCAATGTCTCGGCCCAGTACAGTCGTACCTTGGTATTCGAACAGCTTAGTTCTCGAACATTTTGGCTCCCGAACATCACAAACCCAGAAGTGACTGTTCTGGTTTGCAAACTATTTTTGGAAGCCAAACGTCAGTCGGGGCTTCCGCGGCTTCCTGCAGCCAATCAGAAGCTGCACTTTGGTTTTTGAATGTTTTGGGAGTTGAACGGACTTCCGGAACGGATTCCGTTTGACTTCCAAGGTACGACTGTATACCTGTAGGAGCATCTCCATCCTCATCGTTCAGCCTGGACACTGAAGTCCAGCTCCAAGGGTCTTTTGGCGGTTCCCTCACTGTGAGAAGTGAAGCTACAGGGAACCAGGCAGAGGGCCTTCTTGGCAGTGGTGCCCGCCCCGTGGAACGCCCTCCCATAAGATGCCAAGTAGATAAATAACTATATGACTTTCAGAAGACATCTGAAGGCAGCCCTGTATCGGGAAGTTTATAGTGTTTGATGTTTTGCTGTGTTCTTACTCTGTTGGAAACCACCCAGAGTAGAATTCTAAGATTATTGTACAATCTTGGTAAAGGGTGTGGCAGTGATTATTGTGAAGGCACCTCTGAACCTGCCACTACTCTACTGTATGGGAGGAGGGGAGTTAGAAGCCAGGAATCTCCTCCCCATTCCCCTCACAGAACTACAATTCCCAGAGTTCCTTGCGATGATAGATTGCTAAACCCCTCTGGGAATTGTAACTCTGTGAGGGGAATGGGGGGGGGGGGCTGTTGCTTAACAACTCTCAGTCCCCTTAACAAACTACAGTTTTCAAGGTGCTTTGAGGGAATCCGTGACCCATTTAAAGTGGTATGATACTGATTTAACTGTTCTGCATGGATGGAGGCTGAGTTTCAGCAACCCCGTCTCCCATAGAGGCGGATTGGGGCCTCCGAGGGTAACCCCTTGATGGGCCACGATGTGGGGAAAAAGGGGAAAAAGAAAGTGCTCTGGCCTTTTCTGATTCTGCCAAGTCACCTCCTTCTGTGGGTCCTTCTTCCCTGTTTGCAGGTATGTAACAGCAAAGGACACTGCCATTGTCAGTCTGGCTGGGCTCCTCCGAACTGCCTGAGCAGTGGGTCGGGGGGCAGCATAGACAGTGGGTCGGCTGCTATGGAGTCAAGTAAGTAGCCGTGGGGCCCAGTGGGCTGGGATAAGTGCTGCAATTCTCAAAGAGGCTGAACGGTCAATTGTAGCTTTCTGGGGGGAATAGGGGTTGCTCCTAACAGCTCTCGTCACCCTTATCAAACCCCGAGTCCCGGGGATCTTTGGGAGAAGCCATGACTGTTTCAAGTGGCATCACAGGGCCTAGGACCCTCATACCTACGGGACCGCCTCTCCCGGTCTGCCCCACGGAGAGCCTCAAGGTCCATAAATAGCAACACCCTAGTGGTCCTGGGCCCTAAAGAAGTTAGATTAGCTTCAACCAGAGCCAGGGCCTTTTCAGCTCTGGCCCCGGCTTGGTGGAACTCTCTGTCTCATGAGACCAGGGCCCTGCAGGATCTGATTTCTTTCCGCAGGGCCTGTAAGACAGAGTTGTTTCGCCTGGCCTTTGGCTTGGAGCCAATTTGATTCCCTCCCTCTCTTTCTTTTTTCTTTTCCTTCTCCTCCTGCAATGAGGCATTTTAATGAGGCATTTTAATATTTTAATCTTTTGGTATTTTAATGTTGAATTTTAATTTTGTTTTAAGTTGTAATCATTCAACTTGTTTTTATTATTGCTTGTTAGCCGCCCTGAGCCCGGGCTTGGCTGGGGAGGGCGGGGTATAAATAAAAAATTATTATTATTATTATTTAAATGCGACTCGACAAACTTCTCGCATCAAAACCTTTGAAAAGGCCTTCAGCTATTTTTCTAGCCGTTAGCTTCCATTGCTGCCATTGATAACCTGCTTTCAGGTCTTGTTTTCGGGCTTCCCCATGGGGAATCCAGTTGACCACTGGGAGAACAGGATCCTGAAGCAGGTGACCCTTTGGCCTGATCCAGCAGCCATGCTGTTTTTATGTTCCTATCTGACACCCGTTCTGGGCCTGTTAACAACTCAGTTGGCTCAAGAAAGGCATGGTTAGCCAGGAGTCTTATTTCTATTACTTACTTCTATTTTATTTTATTACTTACTATTTATTATCTACCTAATCATCATTATTTAAATCATATTCATGTGTTGGAAAGCATGTTTTCAAAGCCTCTTCTGGAAGCCGTAAACGTTGCGAGGCAAGACAATTTTGAAAATAAAACATCAGTAACAGCAATGGAAAATGCCATAAAAGGAGGCAGACAATTGCTCTTCTACTTTCTTTTACAACAGTGATTTCCCAAAAGTGCTGTAGCCTGAGGCCGGCTTTTTTCCTTTTCTCTTCCAAATTAAAAAGCTTGAAGGTGCACATAATTCTTAGACCCAGAAAGCAGGTCCCAGTGAAAGGTCACACAGCCTTGAAGGACACTCATGCATATACAAACCAGCCACATAGTTGTTATATCTCCCTAGCATCCCTTCCAGACATCCTTTTTATCTTGCATCCCTGACAATTTGTGCTCCTGATGGCATCAGGATGGTTTTGTATGCGATCCTGCTCTTGATACCCTTTGCTTCTCTTTTCTGTCCCGCTTTTGTTATGTTCTAATAGCACGAGACTCCCCCCTCCAGGCGGCAATAATGTTGATAACATTGGGGAAGCATTGCAGAACTGCTCGTAAAAGCAGGATGGCGTGGGGGACGGTTAAAAATCCGCCATGAATGCGTGCTTTTTTCGTCGATGAGAAGAACCTAAGGAGATCCAAGCAGGCTCGTCTCGCGTTCTTAACTTTGCAGAACACAGCTGCAAAGTACAGCAGCCCCGGGTTGTCCCGAGCAAAGTCCTACAGAGAGCAGACCCCTTTGAATAACTCTGTCCAAATTGGTCGCGTTGTGGGTTTACTCTCGGGACTAGCACTGGATGCAAACCCCCGTCTGGAGGAACCCCCTAGTGCAGCGGTTCTCAACCTGTGGGTCCCCAGATGTTGTTGGACTACAACTCCTATCATCCCTGAGCTCTGGCCTTGCTAGCTAGGGGTGATGGGAGTTGTAGTTCAACAACATATGGGGATCCACAGGTTGAGAAAGGCTGCCCTAGTGCATCATTGCAAGAGGAGATCAGTATCCAGGCTAGATTCTAGGGAAAGAGAACAGCCAGAAGATCCTAGGAAGCGTGGATGAGGTCAGGGGCCTATCTAGTCCAGTGTCCTGTTCTCACAGTGGCCAATTGGATGCCTGCAGGAAGACCACAGGCAGGGCGTAAAGGAAAAAGCCCACTGTTGCTCGTAGGAACTTAAGAACAGCCGTGCAGCCGGATCAGGCCAAAGGAGAGCCATCTGATCCAGCATCTTGCCCTCACAGTGGCCGAACAAATGCCTGTGGGAAGCCTGTGAGCAGGACCCGAGTGCGAGAGCAGCTCTCTCCATTTGTGACTCCCAGGAACTCCCAGTATTCAGAGGGACATCCAGCCTCTGACAGCAGAGACAGAGCAATAGCCATTGTGGCAGGCAGCCACGCATAGCCACCAACAGCTTTGCCCTCCACAAATTCATCTAATCCTCTTTCAAAGCCACCCAAGTCAGTGGCCATCCCCGCCTCATGTGGCAGAGAGTTCCATAGTTTAACTGCGTGAAGAAAGACTTTCTGCTGATCGGTCCCGAATCGTCCAACATTCAGCACCCATGGACCCAGCTCTCATATGTTGAGAGGGGGAGAACAACTGTCTCCACCCACGCATAATTTTATAGATTCCCATCGTGTCACGTCTTTTCTCTCAGCTTAAGGGAGTCCCAAACGCTGCAGGAGAATTGCTTCAAGCCTATTGGGAAGGGAGGATTAAACCCCCAGCCCCTCTCCTTCTGCCGGGTGGGTGGATAGCTCCGTATTGTATATAACAGCGTAGGGCGTTCAGAGCTGGTGACTGAGTTGGGAACAAGGTCTCTTTTGTTAGTGGGAAGGCAGCGGGGGAATATACAGCCTGGCATGTGGCATTGTGGACCGTGCGTCTGCCTGGCACTGAATAACACACTGTCTCTTCTTCCCCCCACCCTCTCCTTCCCAGGGGGCAGCGCCACCTCGACCGCCTTAGTGCTGACGGCACTCTTGCTCGTCTTGGTCCTCTGCCTCGGGATCTGCTGCACCAAGCGGGTCCACAAGCGCCTCTGGCAGATCGGCAAGGGCACCAGCTGTCAGTACAGGTAATGGACGGCACACCCACCTTGCCCTTTGTTCCCTGCCCCGCTTTCCACCGGTGTCCCCGCGAAATGACTCCCCCACTTTTCCTCCAACATCCCCTCCAAATGGCTGCCCTAGCAAAGGTGTGAACCTTCCTTCCTCCCTCCCTCCGTCCCATTAAAGGCCAAAATGTGCCACCCAGGTGGCTCAAAGCCGTCATGCCAGGATCTCCTTTCCGATGCTGGTTTTAATTTCAGGACCACAATATCTTTCATAGCACCTCTGCAGATATGACCCTATTTGGATTCCACCCCCTCTTCCACCTTGGTCTTCATCTGAGTCGGTTTTCCAGGTTTTGGAGGGTGGTGGTCAAGGAACAGGGCCTTTTCAGTTGTCTGTGGAGTCTTCTTTCCAGCTAAGGTCTGCCTGCTGCCATCGTTCCGCTTTTATTGGCACCAGGCTGAAACTCTCCTCTCCTTCCAGGTCTCTTAGTGGAGTGTGATCTGTTGGCCGGTGGCCTACATGGTGGGAATATAACCTTGCTGCAGAAATGTTTTTAGTGGGTTTCTTTATGAGCTATCTGCAATGGCTCTATCGGAATGTATTATTTTTATGATTTGTTCTTTTTAATGTTGCTTGGAGACTTGTCTGCAGCAAGCAATGGAGAAGTCAAATAACTGTGGAGATGGGTTGTATCCCGTTTCAGCCCTAGTCGGAGTAGACCCGCTGAAATTATTTGTTTATTATGTTTTTATCCCACCTTTCCTCCAAGTGGCATGCACAGTTCCTCCTTCTCCCCATTTTATCCTTGCAACAACCCTGCGAGGGAGCTTAAACTGAGAGACAGTGTCTGGCCCAAGGTCACCCAGTGAGCTTCACGACTGGGTGGAGGATTTGAACCCTAGAATCATAGAATCATAGAATCATAGAGTTGGAATAGACCACAAGGGCCATCGAGTCCAACCCCCTGCCAAGCAGGAAACACCATCAGAGCACTCCTGACATATGGTTGTCAAGCCTCTGCTTAAAGACCTCCAAAGAAGGAGACTCCACCACACTCCTTGGCAGCAAATTCCACTGTCAAACAGCTCTTACTGTCAGGAAGTTCTTCCTAATGTTTAGGTGGAATCTTCTTTCTTGTAGTTTGGATCCATTGCTCCGTGTCTGCTTCTCTGGAGCAGCAGAAAGCAACCTTTCTCCCTCCTCTATATGACATCCTTTTATATATTTGAACATGGCTATCATATCACCCCTTAACCTCCTCTTCTCCAGGCTAAACATAAACATGATCTCCCAGCTCTTCGTCCAATACTCTAACCACTACACGACCGCAGGCTCCTTAACCAACATGACTAACTTAGGTCCATTAATTTCAGTGGGCTTACTCTAAGCAGAGCGCAATTGGATGCCATCCAGTAATGATAATTCCTGCCCTAACCTCCATCTGATTCCTCACACTGTGTGGACACCTGGCTATTTCTCTCCCCACGCGCCCATTCCGTGTCCCACAAAGGGACCTCTGTCCTCCCCTCTCCCCAATGTCACACACTGCTGTGGAACCCTAACTCTGCTCCCCTCACCCTGCAGCACTGAGACAGAGTCCCGGGTGCGATTCATCCGCCCAGCTGAACAAAGAGGGTAATACGGCTGATCCTGCAACAGCTGAGCTTTGATGTCATTTTTGGGTGTGAATGAAACGGTGGAGGCTCCCCCCCTTCCTATCTGGTGCTGGTTTGGTGCTTTGCCTGGGTTTGGTGCTTCTATACAAATATACCGTATTTTTCGCCCTATAGGACACACTTTTTCCCCCTCCAAAAATGAAGGGGAAATGTGTGTGCGTCCTATGGGGCGAATGCAGGCTTTCGCTGAAGCCTGGAGAGCAAGAGGGGTCGGTGCGCACCGACCCCTCTCGCTCTCCAGGCTTCAGGAAGCTATCCGCAATCCTTGGGACCCCGCGGGAGTTCCCGCCGGTCTCCCAAGGCTTGCGGAGAGCTGCCTGCATCCCAAAGCCCAGGGCGCGCTAAGAAGCGTGCTCCGGGCTTTGGGCAGCTCTCCGCAAGCCGTGGGAGCCCAGCGCGACTTCCCGCCGGGCTCTCTAGGCTTGCAGATAGCAGCCTGTTCTGGGGGTTGGGGTCGGGGGAAGCTCGGGCTTCCCCCGCCCCAGCCCCGCGCCTGGGGGGGAAAAATAAATTTATCCCCCCCCCCAAACGGTGCGCCCTATGGGGCGAAAAATACGGTATTTCTCTTGCGTGCGCTCTTCTCTCCTTTGGGGCGAAATCCAAGTCCCTGAGGGCTGCTTGTGGACTCTAGAACCTTTTGCATCTCGAGGGCCGCATTCCCTTCTGGATGACCTATTGGGGGCCGCATTGCAGTGCTGGGCGGAGCCAGAGGCAAACGTGTGTTGGTCTCTCTCTGTGTTGTGTATATGTGTGTGTTGGCCTGTAATATGTCCCCTAAGACCGAGGCCTCAGCCTTTCTGTTCTCCCCATCAGGATCACGCACCCTGAGCCTCGGACTTACAGCCAAGCCCCACCAGGGCGCCCCCGCCCCCCACAGTTCAGGCAGAACACTGAGCTCCAGCTCATGCCGACTTCCAAGGTAAGTGATGGGTTCCCACCTTCGTATGTGGATGGCGCCTGGCTGTGCCACCTGTGATCGCTGCATTTCTTTCATTTACTAATTCGTTAGATTATTACAATATCATTTTATGGTTCAGACCCCTTACTCACAGCCCCCCCAAGGGTCCCTATTTTTTCAGGGACGTTCCTGATTTGGAGAAGCCGTCCTGGTTTCTGATTCGATCCCGGAATGTCCCACTTTTCCTTAGGACGTCCCTATTTTCATCGGTGAAATGTTGGCGGGTATGGAGTTATCTAACCCTCCAAGCCAGGGGTCAGCAAACCTTTTCAGCAGGGGGCTGGTCCACTGTCCCTCAGACATTGTGTGGGCCCAGACTATATTCTGAAGAAAAAATGAACAAAGTCCTATGCCCCACAAATATCCCAGAGATGCATTTTAAATAAATGCACACATTCTACTCATGTAAAAACACCAGGCAGGCCCCACAAATAACCCAGAGATGCATTTTAAATAAAAGGTCACATTCTACTCTTGTGAAAACATGCTGATTCCTGGACCATCCATGGGCCAGACTTAGAAGGCAATTGGGCCGGATCTGGCCCCCGGGCCTTAGGTTGCCTACCCATGCTCCAAGCTGTCTGAAGGTAATCCTGTAAAGGGAAGTTTTTTAAAAAAATGTTTAATGTTGTGTTATGTTTTTATATATGTTGGGAAGCTGGCCAGAGTGGCTGGGGCAACCCAGTCAGGTGGGCAGGATATAAATAGTAAAATTATATCATTATGGAATGGGACGTCCCTATTTTCATTGGAGAAATGTTGGAGGGTATGTACTCGTAATAATGAGATTCCAGGAGAATTTGGAAGGGTGCTGCTTTGACAAAGTGGTACAATAAAGTCTGGCAAATAAGCACTTGGGGGGTTTTTTTGGGCGGGGGGTGGAATTGACTAACTAAACTTGGCCCAAGGTTTGAAGCACAAAGACCTTTTTGCCACGAATCGATACACCTCCTTTCTATGCACATGGCTAAAAATGAATAGAGGGCTCCCCTAACAATATAAAACCTTGTGGTTAACGCAAACTGCATATCGCCTTCCATACTAAGGGTAGTAACCATATGTTCTTTGGTTGTTATTTTGGATGTAAGGCCTAAACTTTCATCTTCAGGGCTAGGGTGGGATATTTAATTTATTTGTTGCATTTATACCTCCACCTTTTTCTTCACGGAGCCCAGGGTGTGGAGTACATGATTCTCACCCTTCATCATTTAATCCCCACCATAACCCTGTGAGGTAGGCTAGGCTGAGAGGCAGTGGCTGGCCCAGGGTCACCCAGTGAGCTTCATGGCTGAGTGGGGATTTGAACTCGGGTCCTAGTCCAACACACAGCTTACAACCACCACACCATGCAGGCTCTCGGCTACGTGTGTATGATGTAGTTATATGATAATTGCATTTTTGTTGGATGAGAGGAAGCTGTTTTAGTGCTGCAAAAGGAAAGAATAGGGTAAATTTTAGTGTGTGTTTTAGCAACAATTCCCTCCCCCCCAAAAAAAATATATATACAGGAGGTAGGTTTTCAAATTACTGAACTGAAGCACTCTCTCCCTTCCTCCCCAATAGCAACAATTTTATTTTATTTTAGCATTAACAAAAATTACCTCTCCCAGTTCTTCTTTATTATATTTATTACATTTTGTTTCTTTAAAAATTAACTTATTAAATACGATGGATCCAAACTGGGGAGTGGGTAGTTGTGCAGAGTCTGAAGAAAACTAGAATCTCATGAACTTCTTTTACGCACCATCTCCACACACCCAGCTGTCAAATTTTGTTTCCTGGTGATAACTTGTTAAGTTGTACTTTTCAGCCTTACGGACATTGCAAACTTTAATTCCAAGGTTGCAGATAAAACGTTTAGTAAATTTGTGTACCATGTGTGTGCATGTTTACATCTGTACAGATAGATATCTATATCTGTCTAGATCAGTTACAGGTTGCTCTGAAGTTTTCACTGATTATAATCGGTCCGTTTGTGTGTTGGTTGCCATGGTAACTATAGGCTTGGGGCCTGTCTCCTAGGCTGCTGCTATTGGTCATTGATGGTGGTGGGCTGTTGGGCTGTTGCCACGGGTGATTGGCTGAATTGTTGCTGACAGGTGGCGGGGCTTAGAAACTGTTGCTATGGCTGGCTGTGGGAGTGGTCAGTTACTCTTGGGAGGCGGGGCTTACAGGTCCTTCAATCCTGTTACATCCTAAGAGTGTTACCTTGGTTTTTTGTTGGTTTGGGTGTGTTTTTTTGGGGGGGGGGATTAGTGGGAAAAGAGAAGCAATTACCCTTTGCACCAAAAGAGATAAGTTCCCTTCCACCCCGCTGGCCCGGAAGCATTTGATGCTAAATGTAATATTTTAATATAAACTCAGCTGCATACACTGCAGACTAATTTTAATCATGAAGTGCCGTCTCAGTTTGAAGGGCTTAATTTTCCAGGCCTACCCTCCAAATGCTGAGTAGAGTTAAAAAACGAGAGAAAAAAGTTGGGTGGGGGGGCTTTGCAATGGAGTATGCTGGTAGAGGGCGTGGAATGGAGTGTCCCAGAAGCAGAGGTGTGGCTGGCTGGCTGGGAGCCTGAACAGGAGCACTCTTTCTTAGGAGCTGGGGATGCGCTGCAACATTTTTGTTGCTGCGCAACCCCTTTGTTTAATTTTTAAGTCGGAAGAGGGGGCCCGGCGCGTCCATAAGGGAGCTGAATCTCCCACAGGCCCCACTCTCCCTGTAAACACAGCCCTGAATAAAAGGCAAACCTTCAGAATGGAACAATTTCCCCAGAAAAAGGGGGAGGTGTTGCCCTGTGAGACTATATGGTATTGTGAAAGAGCAGGTAGAAGTGTACATAGGACTGGCTAAGGAGAAAGTCCCACAGCACCCTCAAGTGGCTGGAGGGTGTTATGACAGCTTGTGCTGCCTCCTTAGGCTTACTGCAAAGGTGGGACTCTGACTCCCATCAGCGCCGGCATCCAGTGATGATGGGAGTTGTAGTCCATCCACATCTGGAGGGCCGCAGCTTCCCCAGCCCTGCTGTTACTAGGCTTAAATGCTCTATAATTCACCAAAACCCTGTGCCATATTTGTAGAAACCTGGTTCTAAGCCAGAATAGATGTGACTTAACTAGGTTAATTAATTTGAGTGGGTTTGTTCTGAGTAGAGCATGGCTGGATATGACCTCTAAATGCTTATTTTTTTAATTCCTGAGGCTCAGTGGGATTCTTTAAAATGCGACTAGGAGAAGACCCCCTTCCTTAATTTTGGAACGCCCTTTAGTTTCTCCTTCCTAAGCCTCCCACACCAGGCTCAGGCTGGCTGGTGGCAGTTTAACCCAGTGGAGCTCAAGGCACTCTGTACGTGCTCTGGGACACCCCTTTCTTCTTACTCGCACGAGGTGTTAGCGGCAGAGCCTCTGCAACATGTTCTGGGACCGATCTAAGACTCAGAATTAAATTCCTAAATGGACGAGAAATTTTGGAGTGCCTGTTTCTCTCTCTGTCTGTCTCTCTCTTCTCCTTGCATGGTTGCATTTGCATGAATGTGTGTGCCTCTCATGTACCCCTAGCCATGCATGCCACAGGCCGGAAAGATAACACCCTCTCTCTCTTCTCTCTCTCTCTCTCTCTCTCTCTCTCTCTCTCTCTCTCTCTTTCTCTCTATCTCTATCTCTTCCAATCTGCTCTCTGGTTTCCTTGTGGCGCTGCCTTCCGTCTCTCTGCAGCCTGCTGCCCCCGATGCTTCTCGACCTGACCCACCATCCAAGCCTCTTCCGCCTGACCCGATCCCAAAGGGTCAACAGGTAACGGAGCGGGAGGAAGGAGGGGGCAGGGGCAGCTTGTCCCTTGACCCCATTGCATGGTCTTCTGCGACGGGAGGAAAAGCCGTCGGTCAATGGCAGGGCCTCGGTGTTTTGTGCAGGTGTCCCAGATTCCATCCCTGATGGCATTTCCAGCTAAGTGTTGCCTGAAACCCAGGAGAGAGGCTGCCAGTCCGTGCGGACAGTGCTGAGCTAGATAGACACAATGGACTAACTTTGGTATTTAAAAAAACAACCGTTTCCTGGCTTCCTCTTTAAATCAGAGCTTTATGCAGAACCATGAGGACTAACCACCCTACTAAAAAAGTTAGTCAATAAACTTAACCTAGCATGGGGAGGACAAGCAAAGGAGGATGCCTCCCCCCTCCCCAGTGTGACTCCCCTTTATTACATGCACAGCACAAGACAGTGACCTAACCCAAGCATACGAATCAATATGACTAATTTGACCCATCAACGCAGCTCCCTTCACCAACAAACGACACTGCAACCAAGCTCTGGGCCCTCCAATCTCTCGCAGTGCCAATGAAAACAAATAGATAGATAGACCTACCCGTGTGACACTGGCACAAAATCCCTGCCCAAACACTGCAATAGAACGAAAGGTCATTATTCTCCCTATTTCTCTCTCTCCCCCCTCTCTTTTCCCCCATCTGCGCAATGTCCGACAACAGTGTCTCATACTGAATGTCAACAAACCGTGAAAAGGTCCCTATGAATTCTGTGAACCACCCTAAGACCTTTGGGTATAGGGCGGTATATAAATTCTAACAATAATAATAATTAGAAAGTGGAGGTACTATATGTACTTTTCCATGTTCGTTTGTTTTGTAGCACAAGAAAATCTGTAATAAAAAGAATAATTTAAACTAGAAAAGTACCATGAGGACTAGAATCCAGCAAAATTCAACCACAGGTTCCCTCATCCTTGGTCTAAGCTGACTGGTGGGGCCCCTCCAGGTTTTCAGACAAGAGAGCCTTTTCCAGTCCTACCTTGAGAGATGCCGGAGGCTGAAACGGAGTCCTTCTGCATGCTCTGTTTCTGAGTCGCGGCCAAACCTTAAAAACATGTAAGGTTCCGGTCCTCATGGTTCTGAGCAAATACAAACATAGGAAGCTGCCTGCTGCTGAGTAAGGCCATCGTTTCCACCCAGCGGTGGCTCCTGAGGGTCTTTATCCAGCCCTGCTTGAGGATTCTGGGGATTGGACCTGGGACCCCCTTAATCCAGATCTGCCTTCCCTTAGTAAACAGCAAGGCCCTCCCATGCTTCTTCCAGAGCTGCTCCCCCAACATACAACACCCCCCAATCTTTTTCTTCTTCTTCTTCTTCACCCGAGCATGTCTTGTCTGTTGCTGTACCTCCTCTTTCTGCCCAGGCCTCGGTCCAGGACAGGCCAGCGCCCCCAACGCGCCCATTGCCTGCTGACCCCATTCCTAAAGATGCTCAGGTAACTGGCAGCATGGTGCCATTCCTGGTGGTGGTGTGTGTGTTTTTGGAAAGGGAGGAGGGTGGTCTGTTTGGGCAGGGTGGAAGGTGGATGGGAACAGCTGTGGGTGTTAATGGGAAGGTCCCTCCCCCAGTTCCCCTCCAAAAACAGGGAGCGATCCCTCTTCTCCATACTCCTGGGTTTCCCCGGACATTTTATCCGAATATCGATAAATTCCACCCAAAATCCATTTCCAAGGACGAATCCCAGTTGTCCAGGAAATTCCAGGCGTATGCCAGCCCTATTCCTCCCCGTCCGATGGGGAAGAATTTTTATCCCATAATTTTCACCTTACCTGGCTCTCGTCCTGGAGAGGGTCCTGGTGCTTTTTTGTGCTGCTTGCGCTTCTTGGAGCAGAGCAGTGTGATGTCATAACCAAGGCATTCTGGGAAGTGCCAAGAAAAAAACACACCAAGAACTCAGGCCAATGTAAGTTTCAATAGTGGGAGTGTCCCTACTCACAAATCAATAGTCAATAGTAACAAAAACTAATCCATTCAAAAGTATGTATTCCGACGAGGGTTACAAACTCAAATAGAGATTACAAACTCTAACAGAGATTACAAACTCAAACTCATAAAAATATGTACAACACAATAATTCATTACACAATTAGAGATAAGAGTTTATGAGTAGAGATAAGTTCATGTTAGTCCAGATTCATCGTGGAGGTCTTAGTTTCAATCCTTGAGCAGAAGTCAGAAGTCAGTTATGGATTAGAATCCAGGACAGTAATAATATAATAATAATAATAATAATAATAATAATAATAATAATAATAATTTATTATTTGTACCCCGCCCATCTGGCTGGGTTTCCCCAGCCACTCTGGGCGGCTTCCATAGAAACAAAAAATACAGTAAAATATCACAGATTAAAAGCTTCCCTGAACAGGGCTGCCTTAAGATGTCTTCTATTTCGATGTACTCACCTTCATCAGCTGGAAGTATCAAATATTACATGAAAGTACGTTTAAATTCTCAATTATCATAAATTATAATTTATAAAACAGTATTATATTATTAAAACAATTCCTTACCTAAATTTTAAAGGGTCATGTAAGTTTGAAGACTTTTGGATAAATATGTCCTGTTATGTTCTACGTTTCTCAAGGATAACAGCTGAAAATAATCAATATTAATAATAGTTACATGTGTTGAATCAAATTAAAAACTCTAAGGTTACAATTGACTATTGATTTGCGAATAGGGACCACTCCCACTATTGAAACTTATATTGGCCTGAGTTCGTGGTGTGCCTTTTTCTTGGTATATTTAATAACAAGAACTCCAACTTATTCTGGGAAGTGCGGCCGATGGGAAGCTCCCAAGAGAGCCTAGCGTTGCTGTAAGTGGGATGCAGCCTTCTTTAGCATCTCATGCGATACTGGAACCTTGCGGCCATCCAGGGACGCCGAATGTCGAGAGGTTTGGAGCAGACAAAAGGAAAGACTGTGGAACTCACTCCCACAGGAGGCAGAGAGGGCCACCGACATGGGTGGCTTTGAAAGAGGATTAGACAGGTGGATGGAGAGGAAAGCTGTTCCGCTCACAGAGCTACAATTCCCAGAGTATCCCCAGGAAGAGGGATTAATTGTTAAACCACCCGCAGAATTGTATAGCTCTGTGAGCAAATGGGGAGGTCACTTAACCGCTCTCAGCACCCATAACAAACTACAGCTCCCAGAATTCTTTGAGAGAAGCCATGGCTGTTTAATGGGCTATCCCCGTGCTTTAAATGTATGGTGCATATTAAAGATATGTAACCACTTGAAAGAAACAATTAGGCCTAGGATTAAAATGGAATTAAATTTATAAATAAGAAAATGTACGATAAGGAAAGCTATGTAATATGATTAGGACTGTGATATGGTTTTTTGAAACTCTGATATTGGAAACTGCTACATATAATTACTAAGAAATTCGGATGGAAGAGATTCAAGGAAGTCAAATACTATGTTTATGAAGATGGATGGTACTTAATTTTAATTAATTAAGTGGTAATATGTTGTATGTATCTTTTTTCTCTTTTTCTCCTATTTTTTGTTTGTTTTTATTATTGTTAATCTTTTTTTTTTTTTACTATGTTTATCTACTGAAAATAATTAATATTATTTGGGGGGGGGAATGTATGGTGCCAATGTGGCCTGAGGCAAATTTTAGGCACGGGACACAACAACCAGTCGGTGGTGTTTAAAACCCAGTGTACCACTTTGAACAGCCACGGCTGTCATTGTCATTCTGTCATGACAGAAAGACCAAGAGAAAAACGACAGAAAGACTAAGAGAAAAAGACAACAGAGACTTTGAAAAAGATCATATTATATTTGCAGAAACAAAGAAAGGCAATAGACTTGATGGCAGGATTTAAATAAACATTCACTTTATTAGTACCAGAAAATGTTTAGAAGACAGTGAAATAAGATGATGTCGTTAATTTTATTTTTACAGGTTTGATGTTATGTTATTAATAACCTTTTCTGTTGAGAGATAGCAAAGTGGATAAAAATAGAAACAAACCAGGAACGCAAGTTGGGGAGCAAGTCTTGGAGGGGAGGGAGGGAGGAATATATAGTAAACGTTAAGAATTTGAGATGTATGTAATGAATGAAAAAGAAAAATGAATAAAACTTTTTTTGAAGAAAGGACAGCCATGGCTTTTCCCAAAGAATTCTGGGAGCTGTTTTCTTGTCAAGGGTGCTGAGAGTTGCTAGCAGGCCCTTTTATTCCCCTTTTCCCAGGGGAAAGAAGTGAAACTTGTAACTCATTTACGTGGTTCCACTCTCTGAGCATAATTTAGCTTGACACCAGCCATGGAAATATAGATAATATTCGTTTAAGGGGCATCTGGTTGGCTACTGTGGGGAGAGGATGCTGGGCTGGATTGGCCGTGGGCCGGATCCAGTCTTCTTACATACTTAAGTTGACATCAAAGCAAGCAGAAAAATGAGAGAACCCCTGGCCATTTTGTAAGGTTAATTGAATTGAGTGGCAGCCCCCTCACAAAGATGTCAGGAAAAATTGCTTATACACACGTGTTATTTTTGCATTGTGTGTGTGTGTGGTGTCGCACCCACACACTTAATGAAGAGTCTAAAAATAAATGTTCTGCACCTCTCTGGCTTCCCCTCCCTTGCTTGCGTGAGGCGGTGCGCAAGCGTTTCAGCACGCATCGCAACCCGCCTCCCCTAATTCAGGCTCCCTCTGTTTTCCTCTCAGCCCCCTGCCAAGCCTCCACCACCCCAGAAACCGCTCCCTTCGGATCCCCCCCGGGCCGAACTCTGCGCTGTTCCCAACTATGACCCTCGGGTCCAGATGCTGCCATCGAGGTGAGTGGAAGAACGGGAGGCGGCTGGGGTGGGAGAGGCCGAGAGGGAGGTGGCTGCTTCTTTTCCAGCTGCGGGGAATTGGAGGAGAGGGGTGGTGGGCAAGACAAGCTGCTTAAACCAGGGCTTCCCAAACTTGGGTCTCCAGCTGGTTTTGGACTACAGTTCCCATCATCCCTGACCACCAGTCCTGCTAGCTAGGGGTGATGGGGGTTGTAGTCCAACAACAGCTGGAGATCCACGTTTGGCGAAGCCCTGCCTTTCAACGGTGCTGCAGGTGGTTTTAGATGTTCTCAATGCCATATTTACTTGAATGTAATGTGCACTTTTTTGGCCAAATTACGTTGTGAAAATTGGGGTGAGCATTAGATTTGATGGCGCATTAAAGGTAAAGGTAAAGGGACCCCTGACCATTAGGTCCAGTCGTGACCGACTCTGGGGTTGCGGCGCTCATCTCGCTTTATTGGCCGAGAGAGCCGGCGTTTGTCCTCAGACAGCTTCCGGGTCATGTGGCCAGCATGACTAAGCCGCTTCTGGCGAACCAGAGCAGCGCACGGAGACGCCATTTACTTTCCCACTGGAGTGGTACCTATTTATCTACTTGCACTTTGTGCTTTCGAACTGCTAGGTTGGCAGGAGCTGGGTCCAAACAACGGGAGCTCACCCCATCGCGGGAATTCATCCTAGGCTCTGTGGTTTAACCCACAGCGCCACCCGCATCCCTGATGGCGCATTAGATTTGCGTAAATGCGGCAATAATGGTTCATTTCATAGTCGCCTCGTACCCAATGTTGCTTGGGAATTCTATTATTATTATTATTATTATTTATTAGGATTCATATACCACCCTTCAATGAAAGATCTCAGGACAGTTCACAAAATAAAAATACAAGATAAAAGCACAAATAAATAGTTAGAAACACACACAAAAATAACCCCCCCACCCCAATGGAGTGCAATTTTGAATGGTGCAACGATTCAAAATGGCGTCCAATTGTATGTGCTGGCCAGTGGTCAGGGATGTTGTAACTTAACGTTATTGGATTCCGGCTCCCATCAGCCCCCAGTCATCATGGGCAATGGTCAGGGATGATGGGAGTTGTAGTCCGGCGACATCTGGAAGGCTCCTTAGCCCTGCTCTAGTGAAGTTAATTAAAAAAGAACTTGTTCCGACATGTACACCTCAGCGCAAACCTTTCCTTCATTTTCTGCTTCCCACGCAGGCCAGCTCCTCCTCCTCCTCCCATGGTGTCCGGCCCGTCATTACACATCCACAACATCTAACCCGGGCCAGGCCAGGCCCACAGACTCTTCCTGCGGCACCCCTCTCTGGCCGAAACGGGCGATGAGGACGACAACCCCAGCCCCTTCCTGGCACTCGCTTCGCTGGCTGCTTCGGATTTACGGGAGGGCGGCTTTGTACCCTTGCGAAGGCAGGGCTGTGTTTTGTTTTGTTTCCCCCCCTTTGCCCAGAAGTCGCACTCCTAGCTTGGCTGGAAACCTCCACCATTTTGGCTCCAAAGTCCCTGCTTTTGGTTTCGGAACCTGGACACAAGGAACTCGGGGGGGAAAGGGAACAAGTCTTTGCACTGGTGAAAAAGGAGGGCGAAGGTGTGTGTATGTGTGTGAGAGAGAGAACTTTTGTGTGTGTGTGTTTATGAGGGATGTCATTCCCTAAGGGAATCCTCCCCTCACGAATCTTGCCTGGAAATCGCCCGTTTTTTTTCTTCGTAATAAAAACGGACTGGTTCCACTTATTTCTTTCAGCGCCTCTTTATCCAAGCTGGGACTGACCACCAGGGAAGGCCTGTCTCAGGCTCCATCTGAAGGTGCTGCCATCTTTTAGCAAATGTACCCGCAGGGCAGGAAAGTTGCTACCCTGTCCCATTCCATCGGAGCAGCTGTCGTGTTGGGTACTTGGGCCACAAATCACCAGTTTGTGTTAGGATGCCGAACAGCCAGAGTCTTTATCGCACTGTGCCCGGTGTCCATGTAAGCAAAGAAAAAAAGTGGTGTTGGGTTTTTTCAAGGGGGTGTTTGGGAAGTGGTAGGAGATCTGGTTGCCCCAGCAGAAAAGAGCCTGAGTCCCACAGTCCCATCTGCTAAAAAACGCCTCTGCATCCCTGGTCGCTGTTGTCTTACAGTGGTACCTCTGGATGCGAACGGGATCCGTTCCGGAGCCCCGTTCGCATCCAGAAGCAAATGCAACCTGCGTCTGTGCGGGTCGCGATTCGCCGCTTCCACACATGCGTGTGACGTCATTTTGATTCGTCTGTGCATGCGCGAGCGGCAAAACCCGGAAGTAACGCGTTCCGTTACTTCCGGGTCTCCGCGGAGCGTAACCTGAAAACGCTCAACCTGAAGCATATTCAACCCGAGGTATGACTGTACTTAAGAACATAAGAAGAGCCATACTGGCTCAGACCAATGGCCCACCTAGTCCAGCATCCTGTTCTTGCAGTGGCCAACCGATGCTTCAGTGGGGAACTGGCAAGCAGGACCCGAGCAGGACTGTAGAGGCAAAGCGTAGCCATCCATAGCCTTGTCCTCCACCATTAATTGGTCTAATCCTCTTCTAAAGCCATTCAAGATGGTGGCCATCACTGCCTCTTGTGGCAGGGAGTTCCACAGTTAAACTGGTTGCTACAGAAAGAAGTATCTTCCAGTGGAACTGAACGTTGGAGGCCCAGAAGTTCTGGTGCTATGAGAGAGGGAGGAAAGCATTTTTTTTCAATCCACTTTCTCCGTGAAATGCATAATTGTATAAACTTCTATCATGTCACCTGTTACGTGCCACGCAAAATTCCCAAATGCCGTAACCTTTCCTCATTGCCTTTGGCGCAGCGTTGGCGACCCGCCTGCTTTATATGTAGCTGTAGTGAGAAATTTTATTTTGCATTCAGAATTCATTTTGCGTTCAGTTTTCTTTGGGGGAATGTGTTCAAATAATTATTCTTGCGCATCAAGCGGCTGATTAATCGTAAGCCTGTTTTGGTGAACCATTTTCTTCTTGCAGTGAGGCTGTTCTCTGAGAGGCAGGTTGGGGTCCCCCCCCTTTTTGACAAAAAATTGGTCATTCACCAAGACTCTCCTTTTGTCCTGGGTAGCTGAAAGACGCTTCTTGCCATCTGCTGATGCGCATGAGGAATCATTTGGACACGTTCCCCAAATAATATTGTTTAAAAAACCTTTCCCAAGGACTAATCGGTACATATTTGCAAAAGGCTTAAGAGCAGAAACGGATCTATAACCGATTGTTCTGCAGTTTTCGTCGCCCATTGTCCTTTCGTATTATGTTTGTTTCTTTGGAGTACATTAGTATATTTTCGTATTTGTGGATCTTGCCTCATGGTTGCGTTTGTCTTGGCACAAGGCATTGTGCTTTTCTGGAACCTAAGAGCCTTGTTGAAATAGGAACTGTGGGTCTCACTTTGCGGGCCAGAGCTTTGGGTGGTCTAGCTTGGACATAACACATAGTATCTGTGAATTTCTGGTATGAAGTGCCAAATTATATTTATTTATTCATTTTGTAAAATTTTACACCACAATGGGAGTGGGGGAAGTGGAACCTTCAGAGCAGTTTATGAAAAGAAAGCGATGAAATTGTCAATAAGAAACAATAGAAAGCAACTGTTCTGAATGTACAAAAAAATAATTAAAATCAGCAATAAGCTAAAACCGGGGTTAAAACATATGCCAAGTCTTGGCTTGTCTGAACAAAAAATATTTCAGCAAGCGCCAAAAAGAGTACAGTCGTACCTTGGAAGCCAAACGCCTTGGGAGTTTAATGTTTTGGCTCCTGAATACTGCAAACCCGGAAGTGAGTGTTCCAGTTTGCAGACGTTCTTTGGAACCTGAATGTCTGACGGGGCTTTCTGCAGCCGATCAGAAGCTGTGCCTTGATTTCCAAATGTTTTGGAAGTCGAACGGACTTCCGGAATGGCTTCCGACGTACCACTGTACAGGGAAGATGCCTGCGTGATATCAATCAGCAGGGAGTTCCAAAGTTAACTGGTGCCACACTGAAAGATCAGTTGCTTACAAATGCAGAATGGGCCTGTAGCAGGGCCAGTTCCGCAGATAGAAGTGGCGTAGATGGTGTAAGGGAGTTAACTGGTTCCAAGCTGGTAAGGGCTTTTTATACTGATAGGAACATGTTGAATTTGGCCCAGTAGCAAATCAGCAGCCGGTGCAGATCTCTTGAGCACAGGAGTTATATGCTGATAGCGGTCCCTGTCAGCAATCGTGCTGCAGCATTCTGCGCTAGCTGCTGCTTCCGGATCAAGCGCAAGGGAAGCCCCGCATAGGGTGCATTGCAGCAATCCAGTCTTGAATTAAACAGTGTGCATGAGCTGGTGCCACCAAACTTTATGTGCCCACCCCATAGCTCCGTGGTGTTGTCAAGAAAGCAACCTGTTTTGTGGACTCAGGACCCAGGCACAGGTGGATGGAGCAGGGGGGAAGTTGATGAAGTCCAGGTGGAATTTCTCCCCAGGGTCTCCTTCCCGCATGTCTCCAGGTGATGCCGGTGTTATTGATGCGTTTCTGGTAAAGGTGAGGCCTTTGGGGAGAGGAAGTGAAAGAGCTCGGCTCTGAATCAGGTGTATGTGATCATATTTAGGCATGCTGTGGTCCCATGGCAAGGCGAGGCCGCTCATGTTTAGATAAAATGTTCCCAGATTTGAGTTGATTGTGAGATACGCAGCGGTGGAGTTTGATAAGACTCAATTGTCTTGATAGGAAAGAGGGACTCTTTAGGTCTGATCTTCTTTATTATTATTCATTCATTTAACAAGATTTAGACATTTATTTTACAATTCTGTGATTCTAAGATTTACATATTGCCCGATCAATGAAATCATCTTGAGCAGTTTATGTAAAGGAAAAGTTGAAAGAGTCAGATGAAAACCAAACAACAAAAGCCAGTTGATGTAAAATTTACCAAAATACCAGTTATCTATCTATAGAGCATTAGAACCTTTTGGCTGCTGGGTCAGACCACGGGCCCATTAAGTCCAGTGTCTGTTTTTGCCATAGACAGCCAGAAAACAAGAGTTGGAGAACGTGAAACCGACAGATTAATCCATCCGTAGATATTTTGGACCCCTGACTCCTATCATCCCTGACCATTGTGCATGCTGGCAGGGGTTGATAAGGAGTCTGAGTCCTGCAAATGCCTGAAGGAGGCACAAAGTTGGATCCAGAAGCCCCCCCATCTCTCTCCCCCCCCCCCCCCCATCTCAGAATGGCCATCTCTGTTTTACCTTGGATAATTCTCTGTCCCTAATTCTGTGTCCTCCACTTTTTGGCAAGCAAGTTGTGGTTGCTTTGCTATGCCACTAGGTGGCAGCCCAGCCTAGGAGTCCATCACCCCCCAGCTAAACTTCTAAATACAGTTGCCTAGTTCGTTCCTAGAGATTTCGAGACTGGGCAGTGCAAGTAGTAGCAGAGGCTTCTGTTGCAAGGACCTCTGTTGGGCGTAATGTGTACGTAAGCTTTGATGGTAACACTGAGTTCTTTGCTTGGGGAGAGAAAAGGGGTGAGGACATAGCCAACACGGTGCAGCCATATCATCCTCCACAAAATTGCCTAATCTATTTTTAATTAAAAAAGAAACACATTTGTATTAACAGACTTTCCATAAATAATCAAGGTACAACAAGTGTCTGTTTTCGAATCATAGAATACAGGCCAATTACAGTCGTTCTCAGACATTTTTGTTGTAGGCATTGAGGGGGGGAGAGGGAGGAGAAAATAGATATAAGAAGAAGAAGAGGGGTGGTGAGGAAGACCGTAAACCTTCTTTCTTTACTTAGTATATAAGTGCTTCACATAGATAGGTGCCCCATATCCTCTTTAAAAGCCATCCAAGTCGGTGGCTGTCACTGTGGCAGTGAGTTCTGCAGTTTAACTAGGCCCTGTTTTTATAAACTTCTGCCATGCCACCTCTTCCCTGCTTTTTCTCTAAACTCGAGAGCTCCCAAGGGTTGCCACCCTACCTTGCAGGGGAGTCGCGTTTGTGAGCCAGCTCCCATCCCCCTCTATCCTCCAACCAGGCCCCAGGCAACCATGGTCACTAAAGGAGAGGGAGCAAGGCAGAGCCACAGAGGGGTGTGGCTTGAGGGGAAAGGGGCGTGGCCTGGGGAGAGTTCCGAGGGCCGGACAGAGAGCCCGGGAGGGCCTGAGGCTCCCTCACCCTTGTCTTAGGCTGCTGCTGTTGGAGGTGGCGTCTTCCTGGCTGCCATCGCCGCTGAGTTTCACCTCCCAGGACACATCCTGTGGCGAAACGTGGAGGTTGAGTCACGGGACGTGCAAGAGTTTCGGAAGGAGGCTTGGCAAGGGGGGTCGCTCCGCCACGCAACCCCTGTGTGAGCTTCGGCTGAAACTGAAATCGCTGGGGATCGGGGCCTGTTGCCTGCACTGCAATTGCGTGCTGACCTTGCACTTTGGCACAAGTTCTGTGTGTGTGTTGTGTGTGTCCCACGGTTCAAGCACCTTCTCTCGCCCCCCCCCCCGTGAGAACAAAGGTTCCCTTGTCCTGCCCAGCCACGCGGATCCATGTTTATGGGGCTTCCCAACCCTGTAATTTCTCCAGGTACGTGACTCTCAACAGGAGCCCCCGGCTGCCAGTCTACATCATGTGCTGGCTAGCTTGGGAAGGAAGCACGGCTGGCACTGGAAAGGCACTGCTGAAGCCTCTGGGTTTGGGTATATTTGGGGGATGGAGGGAGGGAAAGCTTGCCCATCAAAAAAGGCTTGTGTGTATGTGTGTTGGTAATGGAGCACGCCGCGTTTCGCACCCGGCTCCTTAGCCTCCTTACGTGATCTCCACCTGGGAAAACTATCAAAAGCGGGGTTTTTTAATGACAGGGCATCCTCCAACACCTGGAATTTCTATGGGCCGCCGGGCTGTGTTCCAGGTCCTGCGGGACGTGCCGATCATAATCGATCCCAACTTTGAACTGCCAAAAGAAATTATTTTCCTATGAGTCAAAGCCCCTATAAGGCAGGAATCTTTTTGCCCAGCATGGGGCTCGAACCCACAACCCTGCGATGAAGAGGCTCGTGCTCTACCAGCCTCTCCTAATGAGAGTATATTTCTTGCTTTGTGAATACAGATAACTCTCCTCTTATGCAGGGCTTCTGTTCCGGGGGTCCACACCTAAGTGCAAAAACTCATAAAGCCAGGAATCCCTTGGAACAGCTGATTCCCTCAAGGAAACCCCACATGGGTAGGTGGGAATAAATAAATGGAGAGTGGTGAATTCCCTTCCTTTTTTATTTATTTTCGCTCCCCATTTCCTTATTTATTTCCCGCCACCGATGCAAACCTGAATCGCGTGGGCAAAATCAGTGAGTTACCTATATATAAGACGGGGGGGGGGCATGAGTTATGCGTTGCAGGGAGAGGTTCAGAAAAAGGGGAGCAAAATGATCAATAATAATAATAATAATACAATTTTATTTATATCCCGCCCTCCCCAGCCGAAGCCAGGCTCAGAGTGGCTAACAACAGTAAAAGTAACACAGTTTACATAAAATCACAATCTCTTAATTGAAATACATTCTAAAATCAATTCATTCAAGGAGCAACTCCTTCCCTATTAGAAAAAGTTGCAGCATTCGAGACTTTTTAATTGAGACAAAAGGCAAATAAGTCACAACACGATCAACGTTTATAAAATGATGCCTGGTGATCGCAAGCGTAGACATTTGCTGCTGAGCTCAGGACCAGCTTATGAGCTTCCTGCGAGAATGGGAAGCTGGGTTAGATGGGCTTTGGGCCTCATCCAGTAGGCTCTTCTTACTTTCTTATGGGAGGAAGGAGACCCCAGCCCGGCTGCCCCAGTAACAGAATATGGGGTTACTGCATCCTATAAAGGAGTCGAGGAAGAAGGGAAAAGAGCAGACACACACACACACACACACGACTGTATTATTGCTGAGAATTTGGGCCTGTGGAAGAGAAAAGAAACTTTAATCACACTAAACACTTCAATATGTTGTGCTCAGGACCAGTCTCAAAACCACTCCAAATTTCCTGCTTGGCCTGGAGGATTAATTACGCATGTGAGCCAATGATGATAAAATGATGATTTGATGAGGAGGACAATTGAGTTGGGGGGAGGCGTGGAAAGGTGTCCCTGCGGCCTGGTTTATGGAAGTTTATGCACATGGTTTATGTGTCTGAAGGTCCTGGGCTGCCCAGACGACAAGACCCCATCTCGGTGTCACTGATGTGGCCCCGACGGAAAGCAGAGCAAGACGTTTGGCACCAGCTTGGCTGCGAGAGTTGCAGGAAGGAGGCCTACAAGGCGCCATCCAACCGTCTAAGGGGCTGCACTCTAGATTTGTGTTACTCCCCAACCTTTTCTTCTCCAGAGATATCCTACAAGGGAGCAGGTATGGATTCCCCCCCCCCCACCGGGGTTTACTCCCAAAGCCTTACTCATGAATCCGTATAGCCGCAAAGGCAGCAAAAGTTTAGGACCAGAATTTTCCTTCTCCTCCTTGATGGGGTCCCTTCCCAGGTCGACAAGCCCCATCTGCCCAGGTGAGATAGATGTATTACGATTTAAGTAAGGGATGGAGGAATAAGAAGGACCCCAATTGGATCAGGCCAATAGCCCACCTCGTCCAGTGTCCTGTTCTCACAACCCTTTGTTTTCGGAGTGGTCCTGGCTTCTGAGGTTGCCAGAGGGTTTTGGAGCACACCACAGATCCTCATCCTCAAGGTCCGTACAGTTAAGGCTATGGTTTTCCCAGCAGTGATGTATGGAAGTGAGAGCTGGACCATAAAGAAGGCTGATCGCCGAAGAATGGATGCTTTTGAATTATGGTGCTGGAGGAGACTCTTGAGAGTCCCATGGACTGCAAGAAGATCAAACCTATCCATTCTTAAGGAAATCAGCCCTGAGTGCTCCCTGGAAGGACAGATCCTGAAGCTGAGGCTCCAATACTGTGGCCACCTCATGAGAAGAGAAGTCTCCCTGGAAAAGACCCTGATGTTGGGAAAGATGGAGGGCACAAGGAGAAGGGGACGACAGAGGACGAGATGGTGGGACAGTGTTCTGGAAGCTACCAGCATGAGTTTGACCAAACTGCGGGAGGCAGTGGAAGACAGAAGTGCCTGACGCGCTCTGGTCCAGGGGGGTCACGAAGAGGCGGACACGACTAAACGACTGAACAACAACAAGAAGTGTAGCAACAAATGCATAAATAATCCCCGTTTTCGGAGTGGTCCTGGCTTCTGAGGTTGCCAGAGGGAGCACACCACAGATCCTCATCCTGCGCCGCCTTCTGGGCGTAGGAGCCAAACTCCTAGGGAAAGAGACCCCTTCTCCCCCCTAAAATATTTGAGGGGTCCGGGGCCCCCCAAGTTGATGGGCATTGCCATACAAATGGTGCTCGTGTGCCACGTCTTTGTGATCGATTACCTGGCCCGCCATTTAGTTTTTCCAAGTTGGCACCCCTACATATTTGTGTGAGGGGGGTGATGTCCCGAAATCGCGTTCTCCCCCCCCCCCGCAACCATACACCCACCCCAAAAAAGGAGTGCCATGCTCGTGAATATCTGCCCGTCGATCACGAAAGCACCGGAGCAGGGGCGAGCCGGCGACGTTGGCAACCCCTCCCACCCATTCATCCATCCATCCAGACTTCCGCCGGGTGAATGAAGCGAGAGATAGAGGAAAAAAGGGGCTTTTTCTCGGAGCGCCGCGGGCCTCGAGGGGTTAACTCCGAACTTCCCTCTCCTCCCCCGCCCCCCTCGCCGTTCTTTCTTCTTTTCATTCTTCCTTTAGTCCGAGTTGCTACTATCCGCGCCGAGCCCCGGCCGCTGATTGGTGGAAAGTTAGAGCTAGCCGCGATTGGGGGCGTGGCCGCGGCGGCAGCACTTTCTCCCCCGCTCGCTTCCCCTCCCCTCGCTCGGCTTCCCTCCGGCCGATCGAGCGCGCTCAGTCCGTCCAGTTGCCCCGACGGGGGGCTCGGCAGGGGCGGCGGCGGAGCGATGCGCCCGGCGGGGGCGCTGCCCTGGGGGCTGCTGCTGGTGCTTTGGGGGGCCCTGCTGGGCCGGCAGGTGCGGGGCCTCCGCCACAGCGTCTACTGGAACGCCAGCAACCACAGGTAACGCCGCCGCACCGAAAGTATTTGAAAAAGAAAAAAGAAAGATGGGGAGGGAGGGATCCAGTGGATCTGGGTCGAGGATCCCCGTTTAGGCCTCACCTGCGCCCCGATCCCTCCCAGAAACGCACCCGCCTGCCCCACCTCCCGGCCCCTGCGACCCTCGGGGGCCATTGCCGCCGTGCGCCCCCTCCTCCCACAAATCTTCAAGTTTTCTGGATCTTCGCTTGCGGTTTGTTGGACGGGACTCTTTTTTCTGTTGTTCGACTGGAGAGAGAGGGGCAGATTCCCCACTTGGTTCCTTCTTGCCTCTTACACCCCCTCCCCAAAATAAATGGGGTTCAGGTCCTGCGAGGCTTCGCCGGCCCTTCTTAAACTCGTTCTCCCCCGGGCAGGATTTGGTTAAAGAGGCCGGTGGGGTGGGACGTGGGGGGGGGGGGAGAGAGAGGGGTGAGGGGCTTGCCTCTCCTCCCCCACCTCCCCTTTCCGAGCTGGCTTCGTGTTGCGCGCTCAGCATCTCTTTGTCTGGCGGCCTCCCAGGTGCCGCCCCCCTTTCCCCCATCTCCCTCCATGAAAAATTCGCCTCTGCCCCCCTTCTTCTCTTCCCCGCCCCCCCCCAAGCTGGCCGTTGGAGGGGGTGTTGCTCATCCAGTTAATGCGGGGAGGAAGGGGGTGTCTCCCCTTTGAACTACCTGGCAGGAGAGTCTTGCCAGGCTATTAAAAAAGCACATTTTCTTAGGTTGGCGTGGCATTGGTGGCAGAGTTTGGCTGGGCTGGCGGAACCTCTTTAGGCCTGGCTGCTGCCTTGGCCTCTGTTTTCTCTCTCTCCCCAGAGAGTCTTGCCCGGTCTTGTGCCCTACAGGTGCCCGGAGGCTTGGGTGCCTGTCCTTGCTTGTTGGGCCTCTCTTGTGGGTGATGTTTGCCCTTGCTCCTGCCGACAGTTGCTTGGGGGGAGAGCTTCCTGGGGTCCCAGTGGCAAAAGTGACCCCTAACAGCCATTCGCTATCTGGGGGGCTCTGCCATGCTATAGGTTCATTCCGCCTCTTTTCCCCAGCCTAGAGTAGTTTAAGGCTCTTAGCTAAGTCAGGAGAGCGTGAGACTCATAGGGTTGTGTGGGTTCAGGCCCCACGTTGGGCAAAGGATTCCTTCATTGCAGAGGGTTGGACTAGATGACCCTCGGGTCCCTTACAGCTCTACAGTTCTATGATTCTGCGAACACCCTCCCTGCTGCCTGAAACCATAGAGAGCTGCTGCCAGTATTGCCCAGATGGAACAAGGGTCCGACTTGGAGTAATGTTGCTTCCTATGCTCCTCTGTAAATCAGCACTTTATTTGGAACAATGAGGGCTGGAATCTTGATTTATTTTTAGGGGACGGGCCAGAGCTCTGTCTTGGAGCCCGTGCTTTGCCTGCAAAGGTTCTCAGGTTCAATCCTCAGCATCTCCAGGTAGGGCTGGGAAAAGGACCCTTGCCCTAAACCCTGGTGAGCCTCTGCCAGTCAGTGCAGGCAATACTGAGCTAAGTACAACAATGGCCTGACTTCATAGAAGGCCGTTTCCTATGTTCTTGTATAAAACCTTGAGGACTGGGATCTTTATTTTATGGCAAGGGCTTGTAGGCCTGGAGTCTAGCGCAAAGCATCTGGTTGGCATTCAGAAGGTGCCAGATTCAATTCCCAGTATCTTCAGGCTGGGAATATCCCTTGGCGGAAACCCTGGAAAGCCACTGCCAGCCAGTGTGGACAATACTGACCTAGATGGACCAACTTCTTACAATCCCACGAATGAGAAAGAAGAGCCAACTCTGGATGTCTCTAAGGAATGGTACCCATGTCACATTTTTCCTTGAGAAAGAGAGAAACAACAAATTGAAAAAAACAAATACAGTGGTACCTCGGGTTAAGTACTTAATTCATTCCGAAGGTCCGTTCTTAACCTGAAACTGTTCTTAACCTGAGATACCACTTTAACTAATGGGGCCTCCTGCTGCCGCCGCGCTGCCGGAGCATGATTTCTGTTCTCATCCTGAAGCAAAATTCTTAACCCGAGGTACTATTTCTGGGTTAGGCTAGTCTGTAACCTGAAGCGTATGTAACCTGAGGTACCACTGTAAATAAAAACTGAGATTGGAAAAGGCCTGCTCACTTTCAAATACGGATTTTCAGCGCATTTGAGTTCCCTCTCCAGAGCAATGCTAACTTTCTGGAAGGCCTCCCCTTTGCTTTTCTGCTGTGCACTCTGCACATGCACAGGAGCCATTTCTGCCCGCCTGCCATTGATCCCAGGGTTGAGCTTGGGCCTTGTGAATGGGGCGCCTCAGCTCAGCACAATTTTAAGCACTCTGTGTTGTGTGGCAGTGCCCCGGCCCTGGCACTAATCTCCTTTTCTCTCTCTCTCTCCCTTTTACTGTTGTCAAGCTTATCCTCCTTTTTCCTTCCTCGGTGGGGCCCACCCGGGGAGGCGGAGGGGGCGAGTCGGGGCGAGTCTGGCTGGTGGGGGGGACGGGACACGGAGAAGGAGGGTGGGAGCTCAGAGTTACACGGGAACATTCCTGCTTGTTTTGTTTTCCCTGGCGTGGGAGAGTCAGGTTAGTTGGCGCTTGGGTCTCGGGCCTAGCCAGAGCGGCCTTGGGAGTGCCATGGAGGGGGGAGCTGGCTGCCGGCCCGATCAGAATTATAAATCCCGCGGAAGGATGGCAGGGTGAGAGGGAGCTCCGAACGCCGTTTGGGAGGCTGGGAAAGGCACACACACCCCCGGACCGTGCCAGTTTGTGCAATCTCAATCTGTACTTTTATTCCTCCCCCCACCATATCACTCATTTTCGCAAGAATGGGGTCACAATTCTAAGTGTTGGTGCTGACCTTTCAAGCCCTAAACGGCCTCGGTCCAGTATATCTGAAGGAGCGTCTCCACCCCCATCGTTCTGCCCGGACACTGAGGTCCAGCTCCGAGGGCCTTCTGGCAATTCCCTCACTGCAAGAAGCGAAACCACAGGGAACCAGGCAGAGGGCCTTCACAGTAGTGGCCCCCGCCCTGTGGAACGCCCTCCCACCAGATGTCAAAGAGAACAACAACTACCAGACCTTTAGAAGACATCTGAAGGCAGCCCTGTTTAGGGAAGCTTTTAATGTTTGATGTATTACGGTATTTTAATATTTTGTTGGAAGCCGCCCAGAGTGGCTGGGGAAGCCCAGCCAGATGGGCGGGGTATAAATAATAAATTATTATTATTATTATTATCATCATCATCAACCTAAGTCTGGCCTGTATTACTAGAGTATTACGAATACCAGAAGGCTGCCCCGTCCCCTTTGCTGGATCAGGCCGAAGGCCTTATCTCAGCCAGCATCCTGTTCCCACATTGGCCAGCCAGATGAGAAGACTGGAGGCAGCATTCCTCCCTCCCTGGCACTTCTAAGGGGAGCCCTGCAGGATCAGGCCCATCCAGGCCCGCATCCTGTCCTCCCAGTGGTCGTTCAGAGGCCCACAGGCAGGCTGTGAACCAGTGCTAGAAACTCGGGTTCGTACGCTAGACGCCACCTTCAACCCAGGTTGCGGTTGCCATAACGGGACGTCTGTTTGCCCAGGGGGTTGGGCTAGATGACCCGTGGGATCCCTTCCAACGCTACGATTCTGTGACCTCAACTACATTGCTTGCCCTTGCGACGCTTCGCTGGTCCCAGTGTGCAAGGAGGAGAAAGGCAAATGGGAAACGGAATTAGCTATAGACTAAGGCAGAGGCTTTTAAACTTGGTCGCCAGCTTGGCACCCAGAAATCCTTGTCTGAAACCCTGGAAAACTGCCTCTGGCCAGTGTACACCAGGGTTTCCCAGACTTCAGTTTCCAGCTGTTTTTTCCAACTACAACTCCCATCATCCCCAGCTATCAGGACCAGTGGTCAGGGATGGTGGGAACTGTAGTCCAAAAAACCTAGCCAGAGACCCAAGTTTGGCAAAACCCTGGTGTAGACAGTACTGAACTGGGTGGACCTAATGCTCTGACTCAGGATGAGGCCACTTTCTAACCAGTCTTGACGTTTGAGCCTTTAACACCGAACCATGAGGACTAGAATCTTGAGTAAATTTTAGAAGAAATGAAGGCCCAAGCTTGATCCCTGGCATCTCCAGGTAGGGCTGCGAGAGAGAGCCGTGCCTGAACTGATAGCTCAAGTCAGTAGAGCATGGGTAGGCAACCTAAGGCCCGGGGGCCAGATCCGGCCTTCTCAATCCGGCCCACGGATGGTCCGGGAATCAGCGTGTTTTTACATGAGTAGAATGTGTGCTTTTATTTCAAATGCATCTCTGGGTTATTGGTGGGGCATACGAATTCGTTCATTATTATTATTTTTTGAAAATATAGTCCGGCCCCCCACAAGGTCTGAGGGACAGTGGACCGGCCCCCTGCTGAAAAAGTTTGCTGACCCCTGCAGTAGAGCGTGAGGCTCTAAATCTCATGGCCATGGGTTCAAGCACCATGTTGTGTCAGAGATTCCTGCATTGCTTGGGAACTGGACGACCCTTCTGGTCCCTTCTGATTCTATGAAATCCTGCAGAGCTGCTGCCAGTCAGTGTAGACAGTATGGAGCTAGTCAGTGTTCTGACTCTGTGTGGCAGCTTCCTAGCTGGTTCAGCATCCTTGTTTCTGCAGTGATGTCTCTGGGAAGCCCCTGGGGGGGCAAAAACGAACTTGAATGGGGCAGAAAGCCTCCTTGCTTGTTGGAAGTGAGTATTGAGAGGCACCCTGTCTCTGATCCTGGGGATGGTTCTCAGCCATGCTGTCTCGTAGCCATCGATATAGACTTCTCCTCCGAGGATTTTGTCTAATCCCCTTTTAAAGCCCTCTAAATTGGTGGCTTTCACCACATCTTGGGATAGCTAATGCCGTAGCTTAACTCTGAGCCACGCGAAGAAGCAGCATTTCCTTTCGTCTGTCCAGAATCTATCTCTGCCCTCTCTCTCCCGCCCAGATGTAGATGTATATATTATCCACAGCTTGTATTAAAACTAAATTGTACTCTTTGAGAGTAGAGCCATTGGAAACGACTGGACCTCAGTTAGGTCACCGTCCATTTGAAGCCCTGTGGCGCCAGTCATGGCTTCCTGCAAAGGATTCTGGGAGCTGTAATTTGTTCAGGGTGCTGAGAGGAGCTACAGTGGTACCTCAGGTTACATATGCTTCAGGTTACAGACTCCGCTAACCCAGAAATAGTGCTTCGGGTTAAGAACTTTGCTTCAGGGTGAGAACAGAAATTGTGCTTCAGCGGCGTGGCAGCAGTAGGAGGCCCCATTAGCTAAAGTGGTGCTTCAGGTTAAGAACAGTTTCAGGTTAAATACAGACCTCCGGAACGAATTAAGTACTTAACCTGAGGTACCACTGTACTATATTTACCATCTCATCTCTCTGCGGTAGTTTATCTTAAAGTTTTAAGTGTCTATACGCTGATCGCGTTTACAAATTTTAAATTTATTGTTGTACAATGTTTTGATTGTTTGTTTTCCTTCTGGGGCTGTACCCCCAGGTGTGTTTTATAAGCTGGTCTCTGACCGTAATAAATTATCTATCTATCTACTATATTACCAGAGCTACAATTCCCGGAGAGCTTTCGCCGTCAAGGAGCTCTGGGAGTAGTAGCTCAGGGAAACGAATAGTGTTTCCTAAGAACTCTCATAATGAACCTTAACAAAATACGGTACCCATGATTTTTAAAAAAATTTATTTTTCGCAGGTAGGAGAACCATGACTTTTTTTTACAAATGGTATGGTAGCGCTTTAAGTGTGTGGAGTGAATGTGGACTTAGGGATGTGTAATATTTTAACCCCTTGCACTTAGAAATGGAGTGTGTCAGGCAGAAAGTTCCAATACTGCCCTTTCCCCTGAGATGCTAGCTTTCTAAGGACTGTACCGGGATAGTTTTGTACCTAAGAATGTTGAAGCAGACGCACATCCCACCTTCCCAGCCTGAAATGGCGCTGCTCCTATCCCAGACCATCACCCACTTACCTGGAGATAAGCCCCACCAAACTCTCTGAACTTCCTTCTGAGTAACTGTTCTAACAGGTACAGCTCGAAACTCTGGGATGTAAATTTGTAATGTGCAGGTTTGAAGTTTGGGCGAAGCTAATTTGACTGGCTTTTTGCCTCAGTGGAGCCGACTTGTTTTGGAGTAGGGCTGGCGCTGTGGGTTAAACCACAGAGCCTAGGACTTGCCGATCAGAAGGTCGGCGGTTCGAATCCCCGCGACGGGGTGAGCTCCCGTTGCTCATTCCCTGCTCCTGCCAACCTAGCAGTTTGAAAGCACAAAGTGCAAGTAGATAAATAGGTACCGCTCCGGCGGGAAGGTAAACAGCGTTTCTGTGCGCTGCTCTGGTTCACCAGAAGCGGCTTAGCCATGCTGGCCACATGACCCTGAAGCTGTACGCCAGCTCCCTCGGCCAGTAAAGCGAGATGAGCGCCACAACCCCAGAGTCGGCCACGACTGGACCTAATGGTCAGGGGTCCCTTTACCTTTACTACCTCTAGAAGCTTTCTGAAAGCCTCTGGTTGGCTGCTTTTGGGATTGAAATTGCTGGCATTGGATGGAGTCTCCTTGTGTTTCTTTTGCATTTGGAGTTTTGGATGTTAACATTTGCCTGCCTGCCTAAGAAAGCAGCGACTACAATTTGCTGATCCATTGACATTCCAGGAGATTCCTTGCTTTGCTGAGATTCTGTGCACGTTTCCTTGGGAACCCATGCTTACTTGGGAGTAAGTCCTGTTGAATTCAGTGGCACTTACTCCAGAATTACTCCTTCAAACCAAGAATTCTTGGGCTGCAACCCGCAACCTATTCCAGTTTTAGACTCACTATATTCATTTGGGTCCTAGGCAGAGGCTTTGAGAATTCATTGTTGGAGATTGTGTGTGTGTGTTTAAAAAAACTATTTCTTTATTCTTAAGAAAGGAATATAAATCTGCAAACTGTGGATTGCCTCGAGATTTAATTATCCATTGGGACTAACTGAAGTTCTATCGCAAGGGTAGCCAGAGTGGTGCCCTCCTGATATAGTCGGACTTCAACTCATGTGGCAGTGAGTTCCACAGTTTAACTATGTACCATGTAAAAAAGTCGTTTCTTTTATCTGTCCCAAAGCTTTGGAGGTCCATGAGTTCTAGTGTTGGGAGAGAGGGAGAAAAGCTCTTCACTTTCCCTGTTCCGAACATAATTATAGAAATTATCAAGTTGTGGTCCAGCAAATATCTGGAGGGCTCTATGCACGCTACCTCTGGATGGGCTTATTCTAGGCTTGAATTTGGTCGCATCCAACCCAATGATCCCAGCTGAGGTGGTGTGGTTGGGCTGCAGTCCTGTTCACACTTACTTGGGAATAAGACCCATTAAACTCAGTGAGATTTAGTTCTGAGCAGAGCTAAGAAGTGGAAGGGATCATCCAGAACATTATTGTAGAAAACTTGAACATTTGGGGTTTTTTTGGGGTGTGTGTGAAAGTGCAATATTGATATATATACATTTTTTATATTCTTTTTACGGGTGTAGGTTTCCTTTTTAAGCTTTGAATGAAAAGGTAGGAGAGACAATATATAAATTTGTGGTGGTTTTTTGCAAGCAGATTTGCACAGGGGGAATTCCAAAAGAAAATTCCCTCTGTTTCTCGTGCCTTTTTACTCCACTTCAGTCTCCATTGCCCCTGTTGATACATCTTCATCTTTCGAAACAGCCAGCTATTTGCTTGTGAGGCTTTAATGTTGAAGAACCCTTCGGTTGAGATTGTGTTTGTGTGTGCTAAAAATACAGCTCACTTCTGCAAGAGACAGTACATGTTGCTGCCTTCAAGAATGCCGCTCTGGCCAGCTATGCCAATGGTCTGGAGGACCAAAAGTAGTTGCGTTCTGGGTCTCTTCCGAAAAACTTATCTGCCCTTTCTCACTGCCTCTCCCCCTGCCACAAAGAAAATCCCTTTCAACTCTCACGTGCACCCTCTCTGAAACACAGCCTCAGACCCTGGTCCCCTCCAAACTACTACTACTAAATTTTTATTATTTATACCCGACCCATCTGGCTGGGTTTTCCCAGCCGCTCTGGGCGGTTCCAACAAAATATTTAAAATACAATAAAGCATCAAACATTAAAAACTTCCCTAAACAGGGCTGCCTTCAGATGTCTTCTAAAAGTCAGACAGTTGTTTATTTCCTTGACATCTGATGGGTGGGCGTTCCACAGGGTGGGCGCCACTACCGAGAAGGCCCTACGCCTGGTTCCCTGTAACTTTGCTTCTCGCAGTGAGGGAACCACCAGAAGGCCCTCAGCGATGGATCTCAGTGTCTGGGCTGAACGATGGGGGTGGAGACGCTCTTACAGGTATACAGGACCGGGGCCGTTTAGGGCTTTCAAGGTCAGCACCAACACTTTGAATTGTGCTCGGAAACGTACTGGGAGCCAATGTAGGTCTCTCAGGACCAGTGTTATGTGTTCTCGGCGGCCGCTCCCAGTCACCAGTCTAGCTGCCGCATTCTGGATTAGTTGTAGTTTCCGGGTCACCTTCAAAGGTAGCCCCACGTAAAGCGCATTGCAGTAGTCCAAGCGGGAGATAACCCGCACCATTCTGGCAAGACAGTCCCCGGGCAGGTAGGGTCTCAGCCTGCGTACCCAGTGGAGCTGTTAGACAGCTGCCCTGGACACAGAATTGACCTGCGCCTCCATGGACAGCTGTGAGTCCAAAATGACTCCCAGGCTGTGCACCTGATCCTTCAGGGGCACAGTTACCCCGTTCTGGGCCAGGGAGTCCTCCACACCCGCCTGCCCCCTGGCCCCCCAAAACAGTACTTCTGTCTTATCAGGATTCAACCTCAATATGTTAGCCGCCATCCATCCTCCAGCCACCTCCGGACACTTCACCACCTTCACTGGTTTCGACTTGAAAGAGAGGTAGAGCTGGGTATCATCCGCATACTGATGAACACCAAGCCCAAACCCCCGATTATCTCTCCCAGCAGCTTCATATAGATGTTAAAAAGCATGGGGGAGAGGACGCAACCCTGAGGCACCCCACAAGTGAGAGCCCAGGGGTCTGAACACTCATCCCCCAACACCACTTTCTGAACACGGCCCAGAAGGAAGGAGCAGAACCACTGTATAACAGTGCCCCCAGCTCCCAACCCCTCTAGACTAGGGGTCAGCAAACTTTTTCAGCAGGGGGCCGGTCCCCTGTCCCTCAAACCTTGTGACTACATTTTTTGGGGGAAATGAACGAATTCCTATGGCCCACAAATAGCCCAGAGATGCATTTTAAAGAAAAGCACACATTCTACTCGTGTAAAAAAACCCAGGCAGGCCCCGCAAATAACCCAGAGATGCATTTAAAATAAAAGGGCACATTCTACTCATGTAAAAACATGCTGATTCCCGGACCGTCTGCAGGCGATTGGCCGGATCTGGCCCCTGGGCCCTAGTTTGCCTACCCATGCTAGACGGTCCAAACAGCAAGGCCAATGATCAAGGGTGATAGGGTTTGGAGTAGACAAACAATGTCTGGCGGGCCCCATGCCCACTTGCATACATGTGCAGACCCTGGTGCTTTGAAGAATTCACAGCAGCCATGCGCTTGTATGCGCGCACCCATGCTCTTTGAAGCAAACACGCACACTCTTACACACTTCTCTTCGTACGCACAAACAAACACACTTTCTCACCTACATTCTTCTCTGTCCACCCACCAATCATGTACATGTCTATTTTTGGTGGTTTCTATGGGGTGAGTGAATGTGGCAACCCTCCCCTCCTTGTGTTCCCTCGCCCCACCAACATCTAGGTTGAGGACTCTGGATAAGAAACTAACAGCACGTCCTGTTTGGCAAACTCGGTTCTCACGTCTGTTTTAAAAGGGGCCTATTATTTGCCCGCTTCCGAACTTTGTACCCTCTCTTGCAAAACCCTCGCAGCCTTGGCTACGCTCTTAATCTGGGCTTGGAGCGCTCTTCTGTTTAGTCATTGTGAGGTGGCTGCTGTTGTTGTTTTACAAAGCTTCTCATGCAGGTAAGACAACAACAACTCCAGAGGTGCCGTTAACCTGGCGAGGGCGAAGGCATAACTCTGCCTCCCCCCCCCCCCCGAAACAAAAACCCTGGCTCTAAAACTGCAGAACTCTGGAAGAAATACTAGACAAGGTTCTCTGGGAAGTGTGTTTCCTTGGCTCTTGAAACCAAGGCTGCCCCCAAGCCTCAGACGGCTGAGATTTGGGGAAAAGTTTCCCGTATCTGAGAATTTGACACCTCGGCTGTCTTGCATCTCTCCAAACATTAGTAGCTGCGAATCCTAGCCAGACTTTTTGGACTGCAGGGCAGTGAGGCAGGCTTTTTGCTGTCGAACTACATTCCCTTGCGGGTTGTCTCTGTGGCGTGGTGGACCCGTGCCAGCAGCAGGCAGGCCTGAAGTCAGTGGGGGAGGCTCAGACCCCAAATTGGGGTTCCCTTTCCCTCTGTTTCTGTTCCTCCTTTCTCTCTCTTTGCCTCGATCCAGTTAAAGCACATAGCTGCTCCCCAAAGAATCCTGGGAATGGTGGTTTTTAAAGGGTGCCAGGAACTGTAGCTCTGTTAGGGGGTAAACTACAGTTCCCATGATTCTTGGATGGGGGAGGGTGTGACCACCTCCTCCCTCTCCTCCTCTTTGTCCGGCAGAGTTTGAAACCGACAGTTCTTAGGAATATACCGTATTTTTCTCTCTATAAGATGCACGAGACCACAAGGCACACCTAGTTTTTGGAGGAGGAAAACAAGAAAAAAAATATTCTGAATCTCAGAAGCCAGAACAGCAAGAGGGATCGCGACGCAGTGAAAGCAGCAATCCCTCTTGCTGTTCTGGCTTCTGGGATAGCTGTGCAGCCTGCATTCGCTCCATAAGACGCACACACATTTCCCTTTACTTTAGGAGGGAAAAAGTGAGTCTTATAGAGCAAAAAATACAGTAAAAAGAAGCTGCCTTCTACTGAAAGTCAAACCGCTGATCTATCTAGCTCTGTGCCATCTACACTGACCGGCAGCAGCTGCCTTCCTGGGTTTCAAACAGGAGACTTTCCACTGGGGTTTAACACGGAGGAACTTTGGTGCAAAGCAAACCTAGAGAACTCGTTGCTTCCCAAAGGTCTTTTGGAATTAGCTCCAGACCCACCGGTTGCCCATCCATGCTTTTTAGATAGAACATTTTACATGTGGATGGTTTTTGCAATGCTATCCTTGGCTTACATGGGAGTAAGTCCCATTGCAGTTAGTGGGACTTTCCTCCAAGTTAAAATACACCGGCAGTCGTAGACCTGAGTTGCTTGGGAGTGATAAGAAACCCTAAGATATCAGTGCAGTTTGAGAAGAGTCCTCCTGCCATCTTGATTCAAAATGGTGCCCAACTGTATCCAAACATAGAAAACTTAGTTCTGGATCTCAAAGACCACTGTGCAAAACTTGGTTCTGCTCTCGTAAGAGGTTTCCGAGTGTAAAGCAGACAGCCAACTTCCGAAACCACACCCTTGATAGGATCCACCCTGGATATTAGGATCCTCCTGGGATGTGGGGACAGTTGGGTGACTAAATTTCCAATAATGGAAACAAGTAACACAGACCTAGCTTGTTTTGAATGTCTGCGGGTGCTCTTGGCTAATTGGTGAAAATCAAGGTTGTGTAGACTTTAAAAATAAATAAATCTGGTTATATAAATATTTGACTCTGTGTGAAGTTTGTCCTCTCCACACCCTGCTTACTTAGCAGTTCACGGTTGAGTCAAACGAGATGCGGGCTGTTCCGTTGTGGGGTGTGTGTGTGTTTTTCTCTAATGCTGCTACCAGATCCAAATTTAATCAGAGTTGCGGTGATAGGACGGAGTCCTTTTTGTTGAAGCTCCGCCATCCCCCAGTTGCTTTTCCATCTGTTGGGGAAAAGATACTGATGTCCTCTATCTTTTCCCTATAGTGGGAGAAAAGCAAAGGGGGTGATTATCCCCCCCCCTCCAAAAAAGCTGGGAAATTGTCAACACCTCCTCCCACTGGGTCCATTCCTCCAATCATAAGAAGGACCCGGTGGATCAGGCCAAGAGCACATCTAGGCCAGCATCCTGTTGCACAGTGGATCAGTGCATTTGGCTGTTAACCAGAAGGTTGGTGGTTCGAGCCCACCCAGGGATGGCTGTGAGCAGGATTCCTGCATTGTAGAGGGCTGGATCCCTTCCAGGTCTACAGTTTTGTGATTCTAAGCGGGACCCGGGCACAAGAGTCCTCTGAGCTCCTGTGCTTTCCAGCAACCGGTGTTCAGAAACATACCTGCTTTGATCCATGGAGGCAGCAGAGAATAGGCTGGTAGCCATTGATAGCTGTATCTAGGGCTGCCTAATACAGTGGAACCTCAGTTTCCGAATGTAATACGTTCCAGAACATCGTTTGACTTCCGAAACATTTGAAAACCGAAAACTGAAAGTGGAAGCCTCAATTTAAAAGGGAAACTCAAAACGGAAGACGTTCGGGTTCTGAAAAACGTTTGAAAACTGGACCATTTACTTCCCAGTTTTCAGCGTTCAGGAGCCGAAACGTTCGAAAACAGAGCCGTTCGAGAACCAAGGCTTGACTGTACCTGGTTTTCAACATCACGATATATCACCAGCTAAACATTGTGCTGTGTCGATATATCACAATAAAGATGGAGCTGGTTTTCAACTTTGTGATATATCACCATCTAAACGTTATGATAAACTGATTTATCACAATGTCTGATATGAGAATAGGGAAGTCTTTTAATGTTTAATTATGATTTTATAGATGTTGGAAGCCAACCAGAGTGGCTGGGGCAACCCAGTTAGATGGGTGAGTTATAAATGATTTAAAAACATTTCTTTTCTTTATAACTTTGAAACTACTAATAAATATTATTTTTTTTAAAAAAATAAATGATTTAAAAACAACAAATACAATAATAATTAGCTAGCTCCACGGTTCTTCCCATGTTGTGATTTTTGCATAGCACACACACAAGCAAACATTGTGATTCGCGATATATTGCCAGGTGAAAAATTATGAAAGCAGTATCATTTTATGGACTTCAAACCGGTTTGGCTATTCAAGTTGTTGACCATCAGTTTTAACTCTTTGCTGCGTTAAGAATCCAGTTCAGAAACTTCAGCAATAAAGCGAAAACAGAAGCTGCCAAGAGACAACCCGCGTGTTTTCCCGCAACTCGCCCACTCGAGCCCTTAATTCCTCCAGGACAGCAAGCAATATCTAATCTCATCGATCTTCACAACAGTAAAATAGGTCATTGGTGCTCCTAATTAATGAGCGGTGATCCTTGCCTTTTCCAGGATCTCCACCCTGGCCATTTCCGATCCGTCCGGTTTTTTGCGCAATCGGTGCACAACGGCAGCAGCGCACTCCCCACGCATCAAGGAGTCGTGGTTTTCTTGTGGGGATTCCTCGTTCGCCACACGGCCAGCCTGCAATATTTTGGACGCAGGGGTGGGGTTAAATGCCATTCCAAGCCCATTCAGATGTCATATCCGCTGTCAGTAATGATTTGCTATGTGCCCGGGCCTGTACTTAACAGTAGGGGAAAGTTGGAAGCTACAGTGGTACCTCGGGTTAAGTACTTAATTCGTTCCGGAGGTCCATTCTTAACCTGAAACTGTTCTTAACCCAAAGCACCACTTTAGCTAATGGGGCCTCCTGCTGCTCCCGCGCCGCCAGAGCACGATTTCTGTTCTCATCCCGAAGCAAAGTTCTTAACCCAAGGTAATATTTCTGGGTTAGCGGAGTCTGTAACCTGAAGCGTATGTAACCCGAGGTACCACTGTATTCCTGAATACTCAGACTCCACTTGTGTTTTTTGTTGTTGTTAAAGGTTGTGAAGAGTGACATCTATGGCGCAACCATATTTTGGAATACTGTGTACTGTTCTGATCACCTTACCTCAAAAAGGATAATCTTAGGGTTGCCATACGTCTGGAATTTCCCGGACATTCCTGGAATACTGTAGTCGGAAGGGTTGTCTGGGCAGAAATCGTTCTTGCCGATTTCTGTAAAAAAATATCTCAAAAATGGCTAAAACAGTAGGCCTTGTGGAAATCCACCCAAACTGAATGGAGGAAGTTTCAGGACAGAATCCTCTTCATGAAGCGCATGAACTATGGAACTCACTCCCACAAGAGGCTGTGACGGCGACTGATTTCGATGGCTTTAAAAGGGGACTGGGCAAAATTCACAGAGGAAAATGCTATCAAAGGCTATTAGCCACGATGTCTACGTTCTGTCTACGGCTGGGCGATACCTGCTTTCCAACATCACGATGTATCACCACGGCGATAGAGCATTGCATCGTGGTGTTGAAAGGGAAGGAGCATTTGTGAGGCACCGAGGTGCAACCGCTGCCGCCACCAGCTCCTGGCGCTGGGAGGAAGGCAAGGCCCACCTGCGATTTACCGCCAGGTGAAGGCGCCATTGTCCTGACCCTCAAACCGGTTCCGGACGATGTACTGATGAATAAGGCCTGTCACGTTGAAGAGACATGTCTTCTTCCTGTTTTTGTTTGTTTCAGGCGTTTGCATATTAGTTTCAGATTAATCTGTTTGGCTGTGCGGTGCTGTAATAACGGGAGGCCTTTATGTGGCAGGATATTAAAACGGGGAGTCAAACCTGAGGAAACGAAATCAACTCCTGTCAAAAGCATCCACCGCCCAAAGAAGCCCAAACTCAAATGTAATAAGAGCTTGACAAAACAGGTCAATCCAAATGATAAAACTGGGAACGTTGTTGTTTAATGTGTTTTTAAAAACGCCGTTTATCTGTTTCAAAACAGGAGCAAAGTTTGCTACAGTCGCTGGCTTGCTGGAACTGTTGTTAGCCGCTCTGGGCCCGGCTTTGGCTGGCGAGGGCGGGATATAAATACATTATTATTATTATTATTATTATTATTATTATTATTATGAGGTGGTCTTTTGAGTGGCTGGACTACAGCTTCCATGGGACCCAGCCACCATGATGGAATAGCCCCAGGAGGTGATAGGAGTTGTAGTCCAGCCCTGTCTCAAAAGACCACAGGACTTTGGTTAGGATATTCCAGGAAACCAGTGGCTCAGGACCTGGGGGTGATGGGAGTTGTAGTCCAGCAACATCTGGAGGGGCATTGCAGGCATGTGGTTTGAAACAGGGCGGGCGAGACGGCCTCCCGCCTGCCTGAGGATTTATTCTTTATTTTATCTTTTTTTTATTTTAATGATATTTATTAAAGTTTCAAAAAATACAAAAACAGAAAATAAAAATAGAAGAAAATACAAAATACAGAAAAAAGGATAAAGTTTTTAAGATATAGCAAAAAAAATAAAAATAAAAGGAAACATACAAAATAAAAACAATTAAAAACACATCACTAGTTTTCCATAACATATCCTCCTTTCACTTATTTCCCCGGACCTCCTCGTACCTCCCTTTTTTGTATTCCAGTTCAGTTTGTTAGTTCAGCAAGTCCTTACCATTAAGCTTTTACCCATTTATAAAACCTTTTTCCGTATCTCTTAAAGCATTACAGCTGGAAACCACTTAGTTTCTATCCAACATCCTTCTAAAATTCCTTAATTTTACAATATTTCTGTAAATAGTCTTTAAATTTCTTCCGGTCTTCTTTCACCGACTCTTCTCCCTGGTCTCGGATTCTGCCAGTCATTTCCGCCAATTCCATTATTCTTTATTTTATCACGCCCTCCAAGGAGCTGCATACATGGCTTTCCCCATTTTACCCTCGCAGCAACCCTGTGGGGTAGGCTAGGCTCAGAGGCAGTGATGAATCCTCGCGCCCAGTGAGCTTTGTGACAGTGTGGGGGATTTGAACCCGGGCCTCCGCCGTGAAGCGCGCTGGGTGACCGCAGACCCATCATGGTGTCTCAGCCTATCCCGCCTTGTAGGGTTGGGCTGAGGAGAGCGGGCAAAAAGGAGCAGTTCAAGAACGGATGGGAGCCAGGAGGAGCTCTGGTTGTGGCTCCTGGTATTGTTTTGGTTTCTTCACCAAGTGGCCATGGCAGTGTCACCCTGAGGCATTGTGGGAAATTTAAAATGGTGTCACCTAAGGTGTGCTTGAAACCTTTCTTTTTTAAAAAAATAATAATAAATTATTTGTTTTTTAACATGTCATTTTCAACAATTATTAAACATACTTTTATATCTTATACAATTTTTTGACTTCCATCAATCACATCTGAAAATTTTCCAGTCTTTTCACTTAATATACATTTCTTACTTTCACTATTACATTTAAATCTCATAACTAATATCTCTCTTCTTTGCAATATTTCATATGTTTCTCCTTACAAAACTTCTTGTAGTCCTACTAGCGTAATTTGTTGATTACAGTTGCTCTTCAAATAGTTCGTATATTTCTTCCAATCTTCTGTAAATCTCTGGTCCCGCAGGTTTCGAATCCTTCCTGTCATTTTGTCCAATTCTGCGTAGTCCATTAATTTTGTCTGCCATTCTTCTTTTGTTGGTGAAACCTTTCTTTTTGAGGGGCAACTAGGGCAGGCCTTAGCAGGCAGCTCTGGCAAATGACCAAAAGTGTTGTGTGCTGGTGCCAGGGCTGAGGAGCTTTTCTCGGAGAGGCCGGGAGGTTCTGGCCTGCTGTGGTTTCCTTGCCACAGGCGGCCATGTGCTTTTTGGGTGCAGATTGGGAGTGCTGAAGCGCTCTTGACTTGAGCATCCCTTCATACCCCTCAGTTTGGTCCATGCCTTGAGTTCGAGTTCTGACACTTTGGGTTCCTTCAGGCAAACATGAAATGTAGCAACTTTTCCTTTAGGGAAAGATGTTTTGTGGTCACTGACAGAGCACCCAGGCACCCAGGGTTTAATACCTGGCATCTCCAGGGCTTGGAATGTCCTCAACGGCTGCTGCCAGTCCGTGTAGACAATGTTGAGCTGGTATAAGGCAGCTTCACCTGTTGCTTTTAAAAATCAGCCCTTTGTTTAGCACCATGAGGACTAGAATCTTGCTTTGTTTCATGCGGATGGACCATAGCTCAGGTGCAGAGCATCTGCCTTGCATACTGGAAAGGTCCCAGGTTCAAATCCTGGTGTCTCCAGCTAGAGCCGTGGAAACTCCTACCACAAACCCTGGAGGGCAGCTGCCAGCCAGAGCTAGACGGACCAAAGTTCTGATTCCTAGGTTCCTGAGGCTGCCTGTGAACGTGTTTTTTTTTTGACATACCGAAGCCATTCCCGCCAAACATGCCCGTTACTTCCTGGTGGCGCATTGCAAGGGGGTCATGTGCCCATGCGTGGGTTTTGGCTGCCACATTCCCCGACGATGCATCACTCCTAGTCGGGGGTCCTTTGTCTTGGGGCTGGGCTCTCGGCCCGTCGCCCTGGGGGCTCCCCGCTGACCCTTTTTGCTTCCACTCACGTGAATTAATCGGAGCTGACATCTGCTTGTTTAGCAGAGCTGGGCAGCTGGATCGAAGCAGTGGGTGGGGGGCGCCTGCAAAGGCTGTGCCCCCTCACTTTTTTGGGGGGTGCTTTTGGAGAGAGTCCTTTCCTGTACATCATCAAACCTTGGGCTTTATACTAGGATAAAGAGAAGTCCGTGAGGGATGGATTTGTGTGTTAAGATAGAAACTTCTTCAGGATTGCTAGGTACAGGTTTCTGTTGTGAAGAGTCTTCTACAGACAAATGGTTTTGGTCAAGAATGCGAAAGAAACAGGATGATACTGCTGTGATTGAAAAAAAGGGAGGTAAAATAAACCACGGGACGTGGGTGGCGCTGGGGGTTAAACCACAGAGCCTAGGACTTGCCGATCAGAAGGTCGGCGGTTCGAATCCCCCGACGGGGTGAGCTCCCATTGCTCGGTCCCTGCTCCTGCCAACCTATCAATTCGAAAGCACGTCAAAGTGCAAGTAGATAAATACTTCCCAGCGGGAAGTTAAGTGGCGTTTCCATGCGCTGCCCTGGTTCGCCAGAAGCGGCTTAGTCATGCTGGCCACATGACCCGGAAGCTGTATGCCAGCTCCCTCGGCCAATAAAATGAGATGAGCGCCCCAACCCCAGAGTTGGCCACGACTGGACCTAATGGTCAGGGGTCCCTTTACCTTTAAAATAAACCACAGGATTAAGAGCGTCTAGCTGCATAAAATCTGTAAGGCAAGCTCAGAAAGAACTTGCAGCAATATACTGTAGTCCAGAAATCCCTCACAACTCCCCTGAGAGTGATAGCACCATTTTGCAGAATGAGGGTGCCCGCTGCCCCCCTGTGTGACTCCCTGCTCTAGCCCAAGATCCTTCTGAGGCAGGCAATGCTTTCTCAGTGCTGAAATCAGATGTGTCTGGCTTGTTTAGTCATGCCCAATGCTGCTATAAAGTACTTGCCCTCGGAGGAGGGTGCTGGTTGCCCCTCTGCACGAGTGCCCGCTATGCTTTTTGGCTGCTTTCACTCAGGCACTGCTAAAGCGATGGAGTAATTCTACCACATTTCAGCGTTGGATGAGAGGTAAACCTGTTGAAGAAGGTGTGTGTGTGGGGGGGAGATTACAGGCACCTTCTTTCCACGAGTGGGTGTTTTCTGCCTCATGGGAGCTGTGAATTATATTTAATTAACTTTGGGAAAATCCCAGCATTTTCCCTCAGGGACTTTTCGAACGTGTAAACCACAGCAAACCTGTGAAATGCTTTCTTTTTCGGAACGGGCAAAATGCTTTTTTTGCAATGCTCAGAGTGCGCCGTCTGAAGACATTTATGTAAGGCAGGAGTGGAGGGAACAGTGTTGAACTACAACGCCCATCATCCTTGACCATTGGGCCTCCAATCCAAGAGGCTCCTCTGTGCCTAGAGCAGGGGTGGGGAGCCTGTGGCCCCCCCCCCCGGTTGTTGTTGCACTCCGACTCCTATCAGCCCCAGCCAGCATGGCCAACAGTGGGGGATGATGGGAGTTGTAGTCCAGCAACGCCAGGAGAGAGACAGATTCCCATGCCTGCTGCAGACCTAAGGCAACACTGCTGTTGTCTTCCGACTCCCATCAGTCCCACAGCCAGAATGGCCCAGTGGTCAGGGGCAGTGGGAGTTGTAGTTCAGGTTGCTGGCCTTTGATGTGGGAACTTGAGGAGTCATCGGCCACACCTTAAATAAGGGCCTGGGAGCAAACTGGATGCCAACGCGGATTAGGAAAGGCTTGGCATTCGTGTTCTCAGCATCCGGTCTTAGCTGAAAGGAGAGTCGTGGTGTTCTCCAACTGATGGAATTTCTGACGTGTCTCCAAAGAACTCTCTGATAATCTTCTCCGTCTTCTGCAGCTCCCCTGGCTTCTGTTCACTGCATGCTTTTGGCCTATTTTGCCCATGAGAACTAGAAACGTAATTGCTGTTGGGTGGTGCTTTGTTTTTAAAGAAAGCTGATTCTTAGGGATCTTCCTTTTGCACCCAATACTACACTGGGTCACTTAATCAAAAGCAACCTTTTACCTTTTCTGTTGTCATTGCTGTTTTTTAGATGCCAGGCTCGTTTTAATCCGGGTTCTTCTCCTTCCAGAAAGTGCCCCATCTAGGAAGGGGCACAGAAAAAATACATATTCTTTTTTTTAAAATAATATTTATTACTTTTCCAACAATTTAAACACTACAAAAAAAGAAATAAACAATACAATACAAAAACAATACCTAACACTAACACAGTAAACTAACAAAACAAAACAAAAACAGTTTAAAACACATCAAACAGTTTCAATATCTTATCTTTCATTCGCTTATTTCAATGACCTCCTCACACCTCCCTTTTTGTATTCCACTTCTATTAATTGTTTCAGCAATTCCTTTCCATCTTCCTCTGCTTTCTATCCTTTAATTATCTTAACACATTCTAACCTTATTTTTCCCTTTAATACTCTATCAGTCTATTTATACTTAATTCCTTATAACATTTCTACTAAAGCCATATAACTTCATTCCAACGTTTTCCTAACATTCATTAATTTTACAGTATTTCTGTAAATAGTCTTTAAACTTTTTCCAGTCTTCTTCCACCGACTCTTCTCCCTGGTTTCGGATTCTGCCAGTCATTTCCGCCAATTCCATATAGTCCATCAACTTCATCTGCCATTCTTCCCGGTGGGTAAATCTTGTGTCTTCCAATACTTCGCGATGAGTATTCTTGCTGCTGTTGTTGCATACATAAAAAAAAATTCTATCCTTCTTTGACACCAATTGGCCAACCATGCCCAGGAGAAAGGCCTCTGGTTTCTTCAGAAAGGTATATTTGAGTACCTTTTTCATTTCATTATAGATCATCTCCCAGAATGTCTTAATCTTTGGGCATGTCCACCAAAAGTGAAAGAATGTACCTTCAGTCTCATTACATTTCCAACATTTATTGTCGGGCAAATGATAATTTTTTGCAAGCTTGACTGGTGTCATGTACCACCTATAAATCATTTTCATTAAATTTTCTCTTAGGGCATTACATGCCGTAAATTTCATACCTGTGGTCCATAACTGTTCCCAGTCAGCCATCATTATGTTATGTCCAACATCTTGTGCCCATTTAATCATAACTGATATGCCGAAAAAATACATATTCTCTCCATCTTGCCCTTAAGACTCTACCCAGGCCACATCTCTCATTGACTTTGTTTTGGCCACTCTTTAGTGCTTTTGCCTGGCTGGAATGTGTCCTCGAACCCTGGTCATGCCTCTTCCTTGCCAGGATGTAGGAAACAGAGGGGCATGGGCAAGTCTGTTCGTAGCAACTCACCAGCCTACTGCCCAAAGGTAACATTTACCACTGTTGCTCCTTCGGCTTTTGAGCATGGTCCCGCCCAACCCTGCCACACTGCCCCCAGAAAGTTGCCCTGCAAGGAATGTGGCCCTCTGGCTCAAAACTCCTCCCTATCCCCTGATCGCTTTGGCCGCTGACTGATTTGCTTCTCCCCATTCGCAGATTCCTCGAAGAAGACTATGCCGTCCAGGTCTCCATCAACGATTACCTGGATATCTACTGCCCACACTACGAGCAGCCTCTGGCAGCGGGGAGCCCAGAATCCTTCACTTTGCTCATGGTGGACATTGAGGGCTACCGGGGCTGCTACGAGACGCCGGGAGCCTTCAAACGCTGGGAATGCAACCGGCCCTACGCTCCTTACGGGCCGGTCCGCTTTTCGGAGAAAATCCAGAGGTTCACCCCTTTCTCGCTGGGCTTTGAGTTTCAGTTGGGCCATGACTACTACTATATCTGTGAGTTGGGCCTTTGGCAGGCATGGATGGGATGGTTCCGAGTCGACTTGAGGGCCAAATTGTACAAGGTTTTCTCTGAGAGAGAGTTATGAATGGGATTTAGTGCTGCACCAAACTTTTTTTTAAAAAATAATTTTTTATTTGATTTTCAATAATCTATATAAAAACCCATTCCAAATCCGAATGTCAAAATTACTCTGAATCTCCTGACTCCCCCCCACCCAAATCCCTTCCATGGGCCCTATTGATCCTATTTTCAACTTCATATCACATTTTTTAATCTTTCTAAATTATCCATACATACTGTTACATTACAACTGTGTTTAAAAAAGATCTTGTCTTCTTGGTCCCTGAGCTTCCCAGTTACTTTTGCCATTTCGGCAAAGTTTTAATTTACAAGTTTTGAGATGGGGTTTAAGCAGCACTTTCTCTGTTACATTTCTGTGTGTGTGTAAATTTTTTTGGGGGGGGGGTTAAAAATGTATTTATTTGTATTCAAATTTATTTCTTGATTTAATAAATTTATCTCACGCTGTTGATCCAAAGGCCACATAGAGGGTTTAGGATATGGTGTGTTTATCTGTTGCATTTATATCCCACCTTTTTCTCCAGGGAGCTCAAGGTGGCAGCAGTATTCAGAAATAATAGCCCTGTTTGGACAGTGGCTAAGCTTTGGGTGCTCCTCTGAACCCTTTCTGGTAATCTGTGAACTTAACCTCACCCATTCATTGTTATGGCATCTGTGACTGAGCCCTAACCCTGCCCTTGACCGCCTATGTGGTGTAGTGGTTAGAGGGCCAGACTGGGGCCTGGGAGACCCTGGGTTCAAACCTCCACTTGGTCACAAACTCATTGAGTGGCTCTGAGGCCATTTCTCTCTCTGCCCCACTGGGTCGTTGCAAGGATTAAATGGAGGAGGGGGCAGCGACACCTTGTTCCCTTCCTTGAGCTCCTTGGAAGAACATAACGAGAGCTGGATCAGGCCAATGGCCCATCTAGGCCAGCATCCTGTCCAACCAGATGCCTCTGGGGAACCTGCAAGCAGGATTCGAACACAGAAGCCCTCTCCCGTCTTGTGGTTTCCAGCAAATGGTATTCAGAAGCCTCCAACTGCAGAGGCAGAGCTCAGCCACCGCAGCCAGTAACCATTGACAGCTTTCTCCTCCGTGAATTTGTCCAGTTCTCTTGTAAAACTATCCAAATTGGTGGCCATCATTGCCTTCTGTGGGGGCTACTTCCGTCGTTTAACCATGTGCTTCCCCCAGAGGATTATGGGGGCTGTAGTTTGGTGCTGGGAGGTTTGACTTTCTTGCATTCTAACCTCCCTCTCTCTTATCTCTGGGTCCTTTCCCTCCCCATAGCTATCCCCACTGCAGAGAGTCCCGGACGCTGCTTGAAACTGCGGGTTTCAGTTTGCTGCAAGACAACCAGTGAGTCCGTCTATTGTCTGTCCGTCTTGTTCAGGCAGGGATGGGGGGAATAATAGGCATCAGCAGGGACCCCCCCCCCCGGTACAGAGAACCAAGTAAATAATCCACTCAGAGAAATAAACTGACCTATGCACACCTGAATTGTTCAGCAATCGCTTCTCCGATAAGGACCAGGAGAAAATTCTGAAAAGCCAACCTGGAGATCAGGGATAGGAAAACCTCAAGCCAAATGTGGCCCTCGAGACCTCACTCTCTGGCCCCTAAGACTCTCCCTAAGCCACACCCCTTCACTGGCCCAACCCTCCCTGAATGTTTTTGCCTGGCTGGAATATGCCCTTGATCTCTGTGTGTAGAAACTAGTCTAGTGTACCAAGGTAAAAATTTGCATTTATTGCCCCCGCCTCCTTTTCCCTGTGGCCCTGCCCACTACTGGTGTGCGGCCCCCGGAAGCTTGTCCAGAATGGAATGTGGCCCTCCATCTCTGCAAGTTTCCCTGCCCCTGATTTAGATAATGGGTGTTCCACTTTAGCTAGATCTGCTTTCCTTAAATGTGTATATATTGAGGGGGAAACTCGTCAAGGACCGGGAGAGGACGTTTGGTCCTGTCTGCGCCTTCTGAACTGACCCGTTCGTTTTTATTCTAGCCGTAGAGCCTGTGACGGAGGGTCCCAAATCTCAACCACGTGGGAGAGGCAGCTCCGAGGGTGAGTGGGGCTCGGGCAAGGGGGTAGCAGCAAGGCAGTTGGTTGCATTTAAAGCGCATGATTTTAAAGAGGCATCCTCAGTGTGCCTTGTGCTTTACTGAGGAATATGACAAACAGAGGAAAGTTCTCTTCTCCAAAGAGCTTACAATCACACATTTCTCTGTCCATGACAAAGACAGAGGAGGTGATGGGAAGGCAGCTGAAATGTACACTGACTGAGTAGATCTAGCTGATGTGTTCTTAGGCTTCAATCCAGTCAGCGATGACAGCGAAAAGGTTGCCAACTGACCCTTAAAAACCAGCCTAACCGCTCTTGTGCCTTGAGCAAAATGGGGGGAGCTCCAACTGGCCAGCGAAGCTTTTATTTATTATTGTTATTCTTTTCATTTATATCTCACCTTTCCCCCCAAGGAGCTCAAGGTGGCATATTTATGAATCTTCCCCTTCCCCATTTTATCCTCACAACAGCCCTGTGAGGTAGGTTAGGCTGAGAGGCAAGCATGGTTGGTTGGGGATTTGAACCCTGGCCTCCGAGGTCCTAGGCAAACACTCTTGACTTTTACACCACACCGGGAACACAGAGCGGGAGCTTATCTCCCCTCAGGCTAAAAGTGTGTGCAGCGTGGCTCAAGCTGGTGTTAATAGGTGTTGTTAAAACTTACAGGAAAGTTGGCAACCCACTCAGGTGTTTTGCCAAAGAGTTCACACACGCGGAAGACAGTCTTGAGGAAGGAGGGTGGTGGGAAAGACGGAGAGAGAGAGAGAGAGAAGATAAGCACCAATTATTGGTATTCCAAGATTTGGCAAATCACCTTTTTGGGAAATAAAATATTGCACAAGCTGGAGGTTTTCAGGGGCCAAAAAGGCTTGAGGTGGCCTCCTTGGCATTTGATCCAATTTTATTTTATATACAATCACCAAGGCTCCAGGTAACCTCAGGTCTATGCGATTGTCTCGATCTACCGCTGTCTGAAGTTATTCTTTATCTCCCTTTTTGAAATAAAAACATGTACCTGTTTTGATTCAGACCACGGAGCCTTTTGCAATTATAGGCCGCACACCCTTTTCCTCTTGGCATGTCTTATTATTGACGCAGTAAATCACACTGCTGTATGCTATGCTTTTTTATTGGCAATTGTGACAATGTACCTTTTTTTAAACAACTAATGTTTCTTCATTTCTTGAAACCTGTTTGTTATTAGAGTTCATTTTAAGAAAACTGGGGGAGAAAGGAAAAGGAAATTAGAACTAGGCGGGACTTTGAGGATGGAATTGCAGAGATAAGGGGTAGCGAGGGACTCTCATCATCCCTGAGCATCAGGCAATTGCAGCTGGGGATGGTGGGAGTTGGCATCTGAAAACATCTGGGGGTTCATGGGCATCTGGGGGTTCATGAGTTCCCGCTTTATACCTTTGTAAGTGCATTTAATATGGTCCCTGATTGGTTGGGCCGTTGGTTGGGCCGAAGGTTCTCCACATCTCTGCCTATTTGGTACCTACTGGTACCTCCCATCATCCAGCCAAGGGCCTTCTGGCAGTTCCCTCACTGTGAAAAGTGAAGCCACAGGAAACCAGGCAGAGGGCCTTCTCGGTGGTGGCGCCCACCCTGTGGAATGCTCTCCCATCAGATGTCAAGGAAATAAACAACTACAGTCATACCTTGGGTTAAATTTGCTTCAAGTTGAGCGCGTTCGAGTTGCGCTCCGCGGCAACCCGGAAGTAGCAGAGCGCGTTACTTCCGGGTTTCGCCACTTGCGCATGCGCAGAAGCTCAAAATGACGTCATGCGCAGAAGCAGTGAAAAGCGACGCGCGTGTGTGTGCGTGCAGACGTGCCATCGCTAGATACGTTTACCTCTAGATGCGAACGGGGCTCCGGAACAGATCCCGTTCGTATCTAGAGGTACCACTGTGCAGTGGAACCTCGGTTGTCGAACGCTTTGGAAGCCGAACGATTCAGAACCCAAACGCCAACAACCCAGAAGTGAATGCTTCCATTTTCGTACGCACCTCGGAAGTCAAACGGCTTCCGAGGCATGTTTCTCCATTTTTTAAAAAGGAATTTGCCAACTGGCAATTGCACCTCGGTTGTCAAACGTTTTGGAAGTCGAATGGTCTTCCGGAACGGATTACGTTTGACAACTGAGGTTGCACTGTACACTGGATGCTCGGGTTGCAAACGTGATCCGTGCGGCTTGCACGTTCGCAACCCGCATCTGCGCACGCGTGGGTTGTGATTCGGTGCTTCTGCGCAAAGCACGATTTAGCGCTTCTGCGCATTCGCAACCGCTGAAACCCGGAAGTAACCTGTTCCGGTACTTCTGGGTTTCGGTGATCCGTAACCCGAAAAAAACACAACCTGAAGCAGCTGTAACCCAAGGTATGACTGTATCTGACTTTTAGAAGACGTTTAAAGGCAACTCTGTATAGGGAAGTTTTTAATGTTTGATGTTTTATTTTGTTCTTAATATTTTGCTGGGAGCTGCCAAGAGTGGTTGAGGCAACCCTGTCAAATGGTCATAACACACAACAACAACAACAACAACTCCCCATTTTTTTCTCTGTTCTCCCTGCACAGATGCCGCTGTAGCCCCCGGACATAGCTCTGCCCCTTCCTGGTCCAGCGGGGCCTGCTTGGGGCTGGCTCTCTTACCCTTCCTGTGGCTCTGACCCCACCCCCACCCCCAGGGCCGGGGACTCTTAAGAGGCTCCAGGCCGGGGTGAGGAGCGAGGGCGGCGCTTGGTCATCCTCGTCCCCCACTCGCAAGGATGCTGGATTCCTCACTTGGCACTTTAGAACTCAGAGGCAATGTACTGGTGGGCCTCCTTCACAGCCGGACCCCTTGCTCCCCAGAGACGAGCTGAACTCCCAGATGCTGCGTCAACCCAGCCAAAAGGGGCCAGGACACCCCCATAAGTCTCAGTAGGCCCACCCCCTTCTCCGTTTGGATCCGCTGAGGCAAGAGGAAGACCTTTGGCCTGGAGGTAAGGCTTGGAGCAGGCAAGGTGGTGGTGGGCCAAGGGGGAAACCTTTTGGCTAGACTACTACAATGCTCTCTGTGTGGGGCTGCCCTTGATGTTGGTCCAGAAGCTGCAACTGGTGCGATATGCGGCGGCTCAGCTGCTCGCTGGGGAAGGATATCGGCAACACATTACCCCACTGTTGAAAGAACTACCCTGGCTGCCAATTGGTGATGAGGCTAAATTCAATGTGCTGGTTCTGGTGCAGAAAGTCCTCTATAGCATGGGACCAGGATGCCTGGAAGATCGTCTTGCCCCTTATATAACCAATGGATCACTGTGCTTTCCAGGTGAAGGCCACCTGTAGTTATCATCTTATTAGCAGGTCTTTTCCCAACTCTCTGGAATTCTCTCCCAGTGAATATTAGGCAGGTGCCAGGCACTGTTTTCTTATCGGCACCTTCTGAAGACCTTCCTGTTACAAATATAAAGATCCTAGCCTGCATCTGTATTGGGATTGTTTACAATATTTTTGTTTTGTTTTGTTTTATCCCTTGCTGCTTACCGCCCTGGGCTCCTTTGGGAGGAAGGGTAGGAGAGAAATCATATAAAGAAATAAGAGTTTAAATAAAGCCATAACAGTAGGACCATGAAGGATATTGACTCTGGCCCCCTCATTAATGCAGGATCTACAATGCAGGCTACAGCTACAGCAAGGATGGGAGATCCTGCAGCCTTCCCAGAGGATGTTGGACTCTGGCTCCCAGCAGTTCCAGCATAGCCAATCGGCAGGGATGTTGGGAGCCCAGCAACCTCAGGGTAGACCAAAGGTTCCCCCACACTTGAGTTGGAACCATGAGGACTGGAATCTTACTTTTTTTCTGGAGGAATTGAGGTAGCTCAGTGCATTTGCTTTGCAGGGTTTCTGGGTAGAGACGCCTGCCTGAAACCCTGGAGGGTTGCTGCCAGTCAGAGCAGACAGTATTGAGCTGGGCAGTCCACCATCCTTGACCAATGGCCATGCTGGCTAGGGCTGATGGGAGTTGGAGTCCAGCAATCTCTGGGAGGGCCACAGGTTGCCCGTCCTTGATATACAGTGGACTCTCGGGTTGCGAACATGATCTTTGCGGGAAGCACGTTCGCAACCCGCAGCGCTGCGCATGCATGGGTTGCGATTGGCGCTTATGCGCAAAGCACGATTTAGCACTTCTGCACATGTGCAAGCGCCGAAACCTGGAAGTAACCTGTTCCGGTACTTCTGGGTTCGGCACGGTGCGCAACCCAAAATCGCACAACCTGAAGCGTCTGTAACCCGAGGTATGACTGTACAGAGTGCCTTAAGAGGTGAATGAAAAGAGTAGGATTTTAGAGTTTGGAGAGGTCTGGAGAGGCCATGTCTCCTGACCTCATGCTTGGCGCAGGGATCTCACAATGTTCAGCATCCTTGATGGCCGTCCACCCACCCTCTGCTTAAATAAATCCAGGGAAGGCGAGTGTGCTGGTCTCGGGGGCTAACCGAGAGGCAAGGTCCAAGTCCAGTCCGAGGTCAGGGGTCCGGTATGGAGGCTGTCCGTCAAAGGCGAGGCGGGGTCCAAGGCAGGGAGTCGGGTGAGGTCAGGAACTCTGGCAGAAGAGCAGGACAGGGTGCAGGCAGGAACAGGTTACCAACAATGTTGTTCCCGCAACCTGGGACTGGGGCTGACTGGCTTTTATCTGCCCCGAGGCATAGGGCGGCCGCAGTCCACAGGTGACTCGCCTCTCCTGGCCTGGAGGCGAGCACTCCTCCTGCGGGAACTTACCATATTTTTCGCCCTATAGGGTGCACCGGCCCATAGGGCGCACCTAGCTTTTGGGGGGGGGGAATAAAGAAAAAAAAAATTATTTCCCCCCCCCCCCAAGCGCGGGGCTGGGGCGGTTGAAGCCCGAGCTTCCCCCGACCCCAGCTCCCAGAACAGGCTGCTATCCGCAAGCCTTGGGAGCCCGGCGGGAAGTCGCGCCGGGCTCCCAAGGCTTGCGGAGAGCTGCCCGAAGCCTGGAGAGCGAGAGGGGTCGGTGCGCACTGACCCATCTCGCTCTTCAGGCTTCAGCGAAAGCCTGCATTCGCTCCATAATACGCACACACATTTCCCCTTACTTTTTAGGTGGGAAAAAGTGAGTCTTATATAGCAAAAAATACGGTAGTTCCCTCCGCCTCTCTGCCCTGAGCCTCTGCAGCTCAGGAGAGGCTGGAGGGTTACTGGACCCAGAGGCAACCTCCTCTTCCCCTGACGGGGCTGAGAATGGAGCACCAGAGCAGACTCAGCTGGTGCCTGCACCTGAGGATCCATCACAGGTGAGGACCCTTCAGGCTCAGGCCCCAGCCCCGGCTCAGCAGGTTCTGGAGCGGGGGACTCCTGTGCAGTCTGGGATTCCTCAGGTTCAGCCTCTGAGACCGAATCCCAGGCCATCACAGCGAGCTCGCCGCCTCTGGAGTTGGCCTGCTCGACTGTCCTACATCTCTTACACGTTAGGACATTTAACTTGTTTAGATACAGCTTAATTGCATCTGCTTTCTGGTGGCGCACAGGTAACTCAACAACACGATAAACATTTATCCAAAAGGCAGCTTAAAACTGTAAGATCAGAATTCGGTTAAAATGCTTGCTGGGATTTGTTTTGTTTTTTGAAATTAAAGAGGCTCCAGGAAGGTCAACAGGGGAAGGAGGCCTGTTTGATCTCGGCTGGGAGGGAGTTCTATAGAACTAGCGTCCATGATACAGAACGCTCAACTGCCGATGGATGCAAACTGTGCATATGAGCCATGGAGGCCTACTAACAGAGGCTCCTCCAAGACCAGGGCTGGCATATAAGGATTTTGGGGGAATGGCTTCATGGGTCGATTCTCCTCCCCTACCCTGGGGGCTTTTCCCTCCCTAAATATTTTTTGGGTATACAGTGGTACCTCAGGTTACATACACTTCAGGTTACAGACTCTGCTAAGCCAGAAATAATGCTTCAGGTTAAGTACTTTGCTTCAGGATGAAAACAGAAATCGTGCTCTGGCGGCGCGGCAGCAGCAGGAGGCCCCATTAGCTAAAGTGGTGCTTCAGGTTAAGAACAGTTTCAGGTTAAGTATGGACCTCCGGAAGGAATTAAGTACTTAACCTGAGGTACCACTGTACCTGCAAGGACTGAGGTTCCACCCCATGCCTCTTGGCAGTCTCTCCCTCTTCTTGTTCGATGGTGCTGTTTTGACTGAGTGTAGGGACCAGCGCTAACCTCTGAACTTTGGAAATAGCCAGTGGGTAGGTGGGGTGGGGTGGGGAGATAAAGCGAGATTAAAACAAGTGGACAACAAACAGCCGCAGAACTGCTGAGCTACTGGCAACAGGACATTAGGAGGGAAGGGACAAGGCAGAAAATTACAGAACAAATCACATAATCTGCGGAGGCGGTTCAAAATCAAATAACAGAACCATGAAAATGTCAAAAGCCAATATGAAAGACCGGGAGGAGGCGTGACCATTCGTGTCAGCAAAGGGCACTAAAAACATGGGTAGTGTCTGTGTATCGGCCGCAGCTCAGGGACAGAGCAGCTGCTTTGAATGCTGAAGGTCCCTTTGAATTGGCCCCTGCCCAGAAACCTGGAGAGCCGCTGCCAGTCAGTGTAGACAGTATGGAGCCAGATAGACTCTTGGTGTAAGGAAGCAATCATATTTTTGTCAACCTGCTGGTGACAATCAGATAAATTGAATTTGAGGGGGCAAATCTCTGGTTGTGTGCTAATGTGGGGAGCTAAACAGAGCACCCATGTTCAGAAGCAGTCTATCTTCCAGGCAACAGAAGGAATGGTCTGACCCAGCCAGACCCTTCTTAATGTCTGTACATTCCTCAGTGGGGAGAGGAAGGAACTCTGCACATGCTTCAAGGCAGCCTTTGCATTAATGGTCATGTCATGTGTTCTGGGAGGGGGGGGTCGGTCTGAAGCCAGGTTGTGGGGAAAGGCCTTGGTAGTTGAGCCCCCCTGGTCTGCCTCTTAACAGGATCTCTCTTGTTCTCTTCCGTACAGGAGTTGATTCTCCGTGGTGACATTCCTGTCGGAGGTCAGGTTGACCGTTTCTGGTGACCGCGATGGTGTCGGAACGGGGATTTTCCAGCTCGCCAAAAGGACTCAGATTTGGTTTTTGGGGGAAGTGGCATGGAATTGGGGGGGAGGGAGAGAGACTGAAATATCTCTTCCGCAGCGCAGCAAAGGACTCACAATATTTGTGTCCAGGACTGTTGATATGCCAAAGATGGGGAGAGACACTTTGCAGTCCGTGACACTCAAAGCCAAGCTGCTTTAAAAGAAGGGGAGCAGCGACTTCTCCCCACACCTTGCCCCTGTTTTATGTCTCTGTCGAGCTCGGCTTCTCTCTCTCCCCTGCCCGGAAGCAAAAAACTGGACTGTGTCAGCCCCCCCCGCCCCCCCACCTTGTGTTCTCGGCGAGAACGACGATGTTGACGCCTGCGCTTTTGTCTTCTATGAAGACGCTTCCTCGGCGTCACCCATTCCTGGTTTACGACTTCTTCGTTTTAAATATGTTGGGGTCCATCCCCCCCCCACCATTAATTGTCAGTGACTGAGCCAAACGATAAAATTGTTTCGGAAACTCGGCCCCCTTTCTTTCTGTTCCTCCTTCCCCACCAAAGAGTCAGAAGGAACATTGGGGGAAGCCTAGGATAGCGGGATGGCGGGGCTGAGAGAGCTGTGTGGCTGGTGGGATGTGGAAGTCTTCGGCTGCTGGGCTGGGGGTGCAGGAGCAGCAGCTGAGATTTCGTATGGGGGCGGCAGGGAACCTCAGGCCCGTGAGCTGGATGCGGCCCTTTGGGGGCCGTCTCCCTCTGGCCCTCAGAACACTCCCCGGCCCACGCCCCTCAGTGCCCTGGCATCGCACCCTCTTTTGGGTGCTTTTGCCTGAACTGAATGTCCCTTGGACTTTGACCACGCCCTTCGGTTGCAGGATAGAGAAGGTTTTGTGTCGGTGTGTGCTAAAAGCAGCCTACTGTAAAGGTGAAGGTAAAGGGACCCCTGACCATTAGGTCCAGTCGTGGCCGACTCTGGGGTTGCGGCGCTCATCTCGCTTTATCGGCCGAGGGAGCCGGCGTACAGCTTCTGGGTCATGTGGCCAGCATGACTAAGCCACTTCTGGCGAACCAGAGCAGCGCACGGAAATGCCATTTACCATCCCGCCGGAGTGGTACCTATTTATCTACTTGCACTTTGACGTGCTTTCAAACTGCTAGGTTGGCAGGAGCAGGGACCGAGCAATGGGGGCTCACTCCGTTGTGGGGATTCAAACTGCCGACCTTCTGATCAGCAAGTCCTAGGCTCTGTGGTTTAGACCACCTGCTTATTAGCCTAGCTGAAGCTAACCCACAGCGCCACCCGCGTCCCTTGCAGCCTACCGTACAAAGGCACAATTAGCATTTGTTGCCCCACCCTCTTTGGCCACTGGCCCGCCCACCATGCGCCCCCCCCCCCCCCGCAAGTTTCCTAGAAGGGAAGGCGGCCCCCAGGGCTGATAAATATTCCCCACCCCTGTTGTACAGGGGCTGCTTCCAGAAAGTCAGGGGGTGCATTAGGCAAGAGATCTGAACTTGCATCCCTTTGGTTTTAGGCTGGGGAAGGGCAAATTGGTGGGGGTGTTTCTCCCCCTTGGATGCTGGCAGGTGCGCAGAATGGTGGCAGTGAGAAGCTTAAGGGCTGTTTTGTCATGAAATCCACCATTTTCTCCTTCCAGTTGTAGCCAGATCTCTTCCCCGCTCCTGTCCAGTAGCCTTAAAAAAATGGAATTAGCAAACAGAGGTCATCTGAAGGGGATTGGACTCTTTGTAACCTGAAGAGGATGGGCCATAGCTCAGTCGCAGAACATCTCCTTTGTGTGCAGAAGGTCCCAGGTTCAATCCCCAGCGTCTTCAGGTAAGGCTGGGATTGTCCCCCAATCCAGGGCCGGCCCTACGATGAGGCAGATTGAGGCAGCTGCCTCAGGCGGCAGGTGCTGAGGTGCTTGGAGGGGACATAGCTGCAAATGCCATGTGGTCTACTGCCCTCAATTGCAGTGGAAGACACTTTCTTCTCACCAGCGTCGGAGTAAGATTCAACTCCCGATCAAACTAGCTTCTATATGTGCCTTGGGGGAGGGCGCCATTTTGTTTTTCGCCCCAGGCAGCAAAATGTCTTGAGCCAGCCCTGGTTCCTACTGTCTGAAACCCTGGAGGCCGCTGCTGGTCGATGCAGGCTTATCGAGCTAGACCCAATGGTTTAGCTCGGTATCAGTGGCAGCGGCGATTGCAGGTGGTTCTTTGCTGGAATGGGGACCCTGAAACATTGCTGGACTTCGGCTCCCATCAGCCAGTGGCCAAGAGTGGTGGGTGCTGGAGTCCAGCCACATCTGAAGGTGCCGAACTACAACTCTTGCATTGCAGGGAGTTGGACTGGATGGCCTTAGGGGATCCCTTCCAAGTTTACAATTCTGCAATTCTATGACTACCATCAGCCCTAGCCAGCACGGCTGGTGTTTCAGAGATTACGGGAGTTGTAGTTCAGCAGTTTATGGAGTACCAGTTGGCGGTGGTGCGAAGGCTGGTGCATGTCTCTGTCCCAGCAGCGATTGCAGGGGGTCTTCCGAGAGGACGCCCCCTCCTTTAAGGCAGGCACCAACGATGCCAACTTCTGAAATCGGGCCCAGAACTCTGTGCGGGGCAGAAAAAAGAGGTCTCTGACGTCTCTTTGCTTCGTTGGCTCCCTTTTGTTCTCTTCCGCCTCTTCTCCCCCAGCCGCTCAGTACCGCGACCTTACAGGCGGGTGGGATTAATTGCAGTGTTTGATATTGAGATGTCAGGAAATGTCACGATGGAAGTTTTAATTACGGACCGCCTGCCAGCAATTAGTGTAGATGCCACGGCGAGCCGGGCCCAGTGGGGGAACGGCGCCGGCACCGTGGCAACGGGTGACCCAGCCCATGCCAATCGGTTTCGTGTGCCGCCTCGCAGGGGCAGTGGGGAGGTCCCAGCTTCTGGGGGACAATGGAAAGCCCACTTTTGGGGGGCGAAGGACTCTGGGTTGCCCACTGGTCAGACGCAACGAGGCAGCCCACCTGCGGTGGCAGATTTTGAATGTGAACTAAGAGTGGAAGCCAGGCAGGTCTGACCCATGGGGCCCCATCCACCAGGAAGATCTCCTGCGCAAATCCCAGTTGACGTGAACATGTGCCATTATGCATATGCTGGTGTTCTGCTTCTTTTTCTTTTATGAGCACTACCATATTGTTGCAAAGAATTGCTTTTGGGCAGAACTTAGCTTAACCCTCCAAAGCTGAGCAAGCTTTCAAGTTCATTATTTTATTATTATTTATTAAAGTTGAATACCGCGGTAGATCTCAGGGCGGTTCACAACATAAAAATGCCATTTATCAGCAACACTGGGCCCTGTTGAGTTTCAGGGGCTTCTGTGACCTGTGTAGCCCCCTCTTCCATGCATGGTGAGCGAAATTAGTAGGAAATTAGGTTCCCATCTGCATGGTGTGCCCTATGTCTGCTCTGGGGTGTGGCGTTTAGCCCATGGGGAAGGGCCGTAACTCTCTGGTGGAGCTTCTGCCGAAGGCTTCATTCGCAGTGGTCTGATTATGAGGCACCTTTCTATTTAAATCAGCCCTTTTTATTCAAAACCATGAGGACTAGACTCTTAACCATTGTATTTAAGAAAAGGGCCATAGGTCAGCTGTAGAGCACATGTCTTGCATCCTGAAGGCCCCAACTTTGATCCCCAGCATCTCCAGGTAGGTGTGGGGTCTCTCCCCTGCCTGAAACCCTGGACCACCGCTGCCAGTCAGTGCTGACAGTACTAAGCCAGATGTGTCCTGGTGGCCTGACTTCTTCCTGAACAGGCAGCTTCCTGTTCCTGTACGCAGGTTGCATAATCCATTTTCCCTTTCTTTCCGCAGAATTCGAACCCCTCCCACCCCTCGGCCAAACGTTAATAATTTACTTAATCCTGTGAACACGCATCTCGGAGCCGATATCCATCCCGCCAACCTGTAACGCAGGTGATTTTACCGCTTCCCCAATAGCGCATTAATTCTATTGCCTGATCAGCTCTCCCCGCCAGGAAGCTTCCCCTGATTTTTTAACCGGGATCGATTTCCCGAGCGCTTCTTGCCTGCTGATCCTCAATTGGATTGGGGAGGGGGCTGGAGAGGCCGTTTGCGCCCACGCACGGCACAAAAGCGGCCAGCCGCCAGCCGCATTCGCCTCCCCCTTCTCGCCGCAGACAGCCGTGCCCCCACCCTCCCCGGCTCGCACGCTTGTAGGATTTATCCCTCCTCGCCCCCCCTCCCCCGGCGCCTTCGGCGCAGCGCGGTATAACTCTGGCTGACGTTAACGGCCCCTGCACCAACGCCACGCCTAAACGAGGCAATTAGAACCCCCGCCGCAAATCAAGGCTGCAGAATTAGTGTCGGCCGTAAAACGGCGGCAGGTGGCATCGCTAGGAGCCCGGGCAATTGCCGGCAGAAGCCTGCAAATCAACGAGGGGGGCCTGCGCCGCACAAATGTGGGTGCGGGGACAGATTTGTGTGTGTGGCTTTTCCTTCCTTTTTCTTTTTTTACTGCCCCCTGATTAGAAAACCAGATCCCCCATAAACCTGCTTCATAGGGAAAAAGGTCAGCGGGAGAGGAATAAGGACTGCAACGTCCTTGTCCTCTAGGGGGCGCTGGGGCAATAATAATAATAATAATTATTATTATTTATTATTTGTACCCCGCCCATCTGGCTGGGTTTTCCCAACCACTCTGGGTGGCTTCCACAAATTCCAAAAATACACTAAGATGTCACACATTAAAAACTTCCCTGAACAGGGCTGCCTTCAGATGTCTTCTAAATGTCAGATAGTTGTTTATCTCTTTGGCATCTGATGGGAGGGCGTTCCACAGGACGGGTGCCACTACCGAGAAGGCCCTCTGCCTGGTTCGCTCTAGCTTTGCTTCTCGAAATGAGGGAACCGCTAGAAGGCCCTTGGTGCTGGACCTCAGTGTCCGGGCAGAATGATGGGAGTGGAGACGCTCCTTCAGGTATACTGGGCCGAGGCCGTTTAGGGCTTTCAAGGTCAGCACCAACACTTTGAATTGTGCTTGGAAACGTACTGGGAGCCAATGTAGGTCTTTCAGGACCGGTGTTATGTGGTCTCGGCGGCCGCCCCTGTCACCAGTCTAGCTGCCGCGTTCTGGATTAGTTGTAGTTTCCGGGTCACCTTCAAAGGTAGCCCCACATAGAGCGCATTGCAGTAGTCCAAGCAAGAGATAACCAGAGCATGCACCACTCTGGTGAGACAGTCCGTGGGCAGGTAGGGTCTCGGCCTGCGTACCAGGTGGAGCTGGTAGACAGCTGCCCTGGACACAGAATTGACCTGCGCCTCCATGGACAGCTGTGAGTCCAAAATGACCCCCAGTAAATGATGGCAGCCCCATTCAGTCCAATGGAGCCCTGGGCAAGAGAATTTCGGTGTTTCCTGGCGGCTCTCTTGGTAAGATTGGACGTAGCTTATCTAGCCTGTGGGTTCAGTGCCCAATGGCATCTCCTGGCTGCTCCCTGGAAGCTTTGGAGAGACGCTGGCAGCCAGTGCAGACAGTATTGACAATGATCTGACTCAATCCTGTCTTCCTGTTGTGTTGGACCCTGCCACACTTTCCCTCCCCCCCCCCCCCGTATCGGTTCTGCCTGCAGTGGAGCGTGGCAGCCTAAGCATCGGATGCGTGCTCCGGGGGCGCAGGAGAAGGGGGGTTGCGTTGTCGAGTGTTGTGCAGCTGCAGCAGCCAAGGCCTGCCACGGCATGTTGATTTCACGGACCTTTATGTACAAATGCGGCTCGGGTTCCTCTGATCCCGCTCCAAGCGGCTTTGGAGGAGCTTGGCTGCCGCTGCAAGTCGTCCCCGTTCCCAGCTGCCCACCCCGCCGAAGATGCAACAGGTGACGCCAGGCCAGGATCTGGCCCGTCAGGTCTCCGGCAAACACCTGCCAATCAAAGAAGCACAAGGAAAGTCCCATCTCCACAGCTGGGCCACGTGGAGGATAAGAGAGCAATTGCGAGAGGGCTCTTGGGCCGGGATCGGTGCCAGATTTACGTATAAGCTAGACAAGCTATAGCTCAGGGCCCCACTCTCTTGGGGGCCCCCCCAAAAAATAAAAGGGAAAAAAACTGGATGTACGTTTCCAAAATATAAGATAAAAAACAATTACTTTGATAAAACACATATTTTGTTACAGTGGTACCTCGCAAGACAAATGCCTCGCAAGACAAAAAACTCGCTAGACGAAAGGGTTTTTTGTTTTTTGAGCTGCTTCGCAAGACGATTTTCCCTATGGGCTTGCTTCACAAGACGGAAACGTCTTGCAAGTTTGTTTCCTTTTCTTAACACCGTTAATACAGTTGCGACTTGACTTCGAGGAGCAACTCATAGAACGCGGTGTGGTAGCCTTTTTTGAGGTTTTTTAAAGACTTTGGTGATTTTTGAAGCTTTTCCAAAACTTTCCCGACACTGTGCTTCACAAGACGAAAAAAATCGCAAGACGACAAAACTCGCGGAACGAATTAATTTCGTCTTGCGAGGCACCACTGTATGTGCAAATGGCTTTAGATACCTATTAGGTCCATAAATTACTATATCGCATATATTCAACACAAAAAACAGTGACAATTTGTAGTTGACAAAGGACAGCTGGACATATAAAGGGCCCCATTACCTTCAGTAACTTAGGGCCTCATCAGACCTAAATTTGGCCCTGGCCAGGATCTTGTGGGATTCTCTGAGGAGCTGTCTGCTTGGCCACTGTGGGAACAGGATGCTGGACGAGATGAGCACTTGGCCAGGAGGATATAAAGCCTAGGGGTGCTTACGTGGCCCCCTGGGTTTTCCTCCTGGCCCAAAAGTTCCTCCCCATTTCATTTCCCCACTGTGCAATATGGCAGGGATGGAGACCGTATTCCCCCTGCACAACCCACCCTCCACAGTGTTGTTGGGCTACAGCTTTCGCCGTCTGTGACCATTGGGCATGCTGGCTGAGGGTGAAGGGAGCTAGAAGCCAGCAACATCCAGAGGTTCCCCCATGCCTGTAATAAACTAGACTTGCCAGGAGTCAAGGGTGGGGGAACCTTTCCTGCCAAGGGCTGCATTTCCTTGGGGGTAATTGTTGGGGAGCTGGGAGTGGTGCATGGGGGTCTTCCTCTCTCTGTCTCTCTGCCCCCCTTCCATTCACCTTCTTTCTGACACCCTTTCCTTTCTCTCTCACACATTCACCTTTTCTCTCTCACCCCCCTGGGCTTCCCCAAAAGGTTAGAGCTGATCACTTGCAGTAGAGTCCCCTCTTCCTTCCACCACCCCACTGGTTTTGTGTCTCACTTCCCGTCGATGTGAAATTATTAAATTATTGCATTGATGCCCCCACCTTTACTCTGATGAGCGCCATGCGACATACAGTTCTCGAACGTAATCTGTTCCGGAAGACCATTCGAGTTCCGAAACGTTCGAAAACTGAGACGCAAAGGGCTGTCTGCAAATTCCGTTGAGAAAATTGAAAAAACACACAGCGGAAACCATTCGACTTCCGAGGCGCATTTGAAAATGGAAGCATTTACTTCCGGGTTTTCGGTGTTCAGGTTCTGAAATGTTCGTCAACAGAGACATTCGAGAACCAAGGTACCACTGTACAGTATATGATTCTCTCGCCATTTTTTCCCTGCTCTCACAAGAACCTTGTGAAGTAGTCTAGGCCGAGCGACCAGGTGACTGGCCCAAGTTCACACAGCAAGCTTCATATCTGAAGAGGAGGGAGAATTTGAACTCAGGTCTTTGTCAGATCTTTAGTACAGCATCTCACATTAGGCTGAGGCCCTTGGGTCCTAAGTTGCCCACCTGTGGACGCTGCAAGGCTCTGACCGAGGGCATAAATTATTGGGTGCAACTCCCCCTGCCCTGCGCTCTTCCTATAGGGCCCAGCCAATGCTACGCTTCCAGATTTCTGTTCTCACTTGGTGTGCTCTTTAAAGAAAAGGAAAAAAGATGATCATATTTGAATATCCCTGCCCTGAAAGGTAAGAGGGACACATATTCCAAGTACTTTGGAAATTCAACAGCCCATTGCCACCCCATACAAGGACCAAATAATACCCTGAGGCAGGCGGTATCTCTTTTTATCAGGAATCCTTACATGCTGTGATCATTAGCAGGTGAAGTTGTTAACCAGGATAATTTTCCAGTTCCTGTGTATCAAATTGTTCTTAGGCCACATTCACACGATATATGCACAGAATTATTGATACCACTTTAGACAATCATGGCCTCGGCCCAAAGAATCCTGGGAATTGTAGTTTGTTGAGGGTGTTGAGAGCTGCCGGGAGACAGTGGTACCTCGGGTTACTTAATTCGTTCCGGAGGTCCGTACTTAACCTGAAGCTGTTCTTAACCTGAAGCACCACTTTAGCTAATGGGGCCTCCTGCTGCTACCGCGCCATCGGAGCACAATTTCTGTTCTCATCCTGAAGCAAAGTTCTTAACCTGAAGCAATATTTCTGGGTTAACGGAGTCTGTAACCTGAAGCGTATGTAACCCGAGGTACCACTGTATTCTCTTCCCGGGGCAGTTTAACAGTCAGTCCCTCTTCACAGGGGACTCTGAATTGTAGCTCTCTCTGAGAGGGATAGGGATCTCTAAGCATCCTTAACAAACTACATCTCCCAGAATTCTTTGGGGGAGGAAGCCATAGCGTTTTAAATGTATGGTGTGCATGTGACCTTTAAAGATGCAGTAGCGGGGGTGGGGTGGGCTGGTTTTTTTTAAGGCATCTCTTCCAACTGTGCCAAACCCAGAGTAGCTTGGCTTACAACACTCAGATTTATTCTAGAGCATGGGTAGGCACACTAAGGCCCGGGGGCCGGTTCTGGCCCAACTGCCTTCTAAATCCGGCCCTTGGATGTTCCGGGAATCAGCATCTTTTTATATGAGTAGAATGTGTCCTTCTATTTAAAATGCACCTCTGGGTTATTTGTGGGGCATAGGAATTTGTTCTTTTTTTCTTTCCCCAACATATAGCCCCGCCCCCCACAAGGTCTGAGGGACAGTGGACTGGCCCCCTGCTGAAAAAGTTTGCTGACCCCTGTTCTAGAGGGATTCCAGCATCTCAGATATGGTACAACCTTTCCATCAAGGTGTTCTGGGATGCTTTGAACAGGCAGCACTCCCAATCCAGCCACAGATTTCCGCTCCTTAGTGCTGCCGCTGGTCAGCAAAGGGAACTGCAGGTGGCTTGAGAAGGAAGTGCCGGCATCACAGCCCAGAATCCTCTGGTTCCTAGGGGTCAGGTGACCAAGGGTGGCCAATCCCATGCCATGGACTGCTATAAAGTTCCAGGGCTTGTTGCTCTGACCTCAGTTCAGGGTGCTTTGGTGTTTGGAGGAGGTGGTTACGAGGGTCTCTCAGAGTGGGTCTCTGTTAAACTTCCTCTCGGCCTACCCTGGCCTGCGATATCCTTTTAGCCTTACTGGAATTGCCTTACTCTCTGCTCTTTGCTTTTCCTCCAATGGTTGGAACCTGATTTTGCTCAAGTCTGGGACACTTGCCAGTGCAACTGGCAAAACCTGAGACTGTCCAGGAGGACGGAGCCTGTGGCAGGGGAGGAGCTTGGTTGTGGAAGGGGTGGAGCCTGAAAGACCCGAGGGCGGAGCTCCTAGCAAACTGTTTCAAAGCAAGCAACAGGTAGCTTGGGTTGCTATATTTTGAAGAGCAGAAAAAGGGGACACGTTTGCCGACTTCTGCTTTTAACTATGGGTCGCTACGACGAGACTCATTTTACATACCCATGGAAAAGAGGCCATGTCCTGGAAGAAGAGGACATATGGTAATTCTAGCAGGGATGCATAAATTTGTCAGTTTGGGCGGCTCTCACTTTCTCAGTCTTCAGTTCACCACATTTCTAGGTAAGTGCTTTTTTGTTTTGTTTTAAAGGATGTTGCAAAATTCATTATGGGTGGCATCATGTCTCACTCAGAGTAAACCCGTTGAAACCAGAAGGGTTTAACAATCAATCCCTCTTCCAGGGAACTGTGGGAATTGTGGCTCCACAAGGGGAATTGTGTGTGTGTGTTTGCGTCTCGTAACAAGTTTCAGCACTCTTAACTAACTACATTTCCCTTATTTGGGGGGGAGCCATAAGTGTTTAAAAATTTACTTTGCTTATTTCATAAAATTTACGTACCGTTTGATGGTTAAGATGTGGTGCCAGGCCTTTTTTTCAACTGGAACTCAGTTCCGGCACACCTCAGGTGGGCACTATTGCCAGTCTAAGAGAACAAGAAGAGTTCATGGTGAGTTCCGGCACCTCTTTGTCTAGAAAAATAGCAGTGGTGCTACATTTAGTGCTTTAAATATATGGTGTGAGTGCGGCTTTAAAGACCCCCTTCACCCACCACCCCTCATAAAACCATCAGTCCCAGAGCTGGTGGGTAGAGGAAGGCAGCAGTAGCCTTAGTACATTTAGGGAATTTCTGGACTGGATGGTCTGACTGTATAAGGCAGCTTCCTCTGTTACTGTGGACACTGGTTTAACTAAATCAGCTTTCTAGGTTCATATTTAAATTAATAATAATAATTTTTATTTATACCCCGCCCTCCCCAGCCAAGGCTGGGCTCAGGGCAGCTAACAAGCAATAATAAAAACAAATTGAATGAATACAACTTTAAAACAAAATTAAAATACAACATTAAAATATTGAAACCTCATCGCAGGAGGAGAAAGGAAAAGAAAAAAGAAAGAGAGGGAGGGAATCAAATTGGCTCCAAGCCAAAGGCCAGGTGGAACAACTCTGTCTTACAGGCCCTGCGGAAAGAAATCAGATCCTGAGACAGAGCGTTCCACCAGGCCGGAGCCAGTGTTGAAAAGGCCCTGGCTCTGGTTGAGGCTAATCTAACTTCCTTAGGGCCCGGGACCTCTAGGGTTTTGCTATTTATGGACCTTGAGGCTCTCTGTGGGGCATACTGGGAGAGGCGGTCCCGTAGGTACGAGGGTCCTAGGCCGTGAAAAAGGTAAAGGTCCTTTGGACGGTTAAGTCCAGTCAAAGGCAACTATGGGGTTGCGGTGCTCATCTCACTTCAGGCCGAGGGAGCCGGCGTTTGTCCACAGACAGCTTTCTGGGTCATGTGGCCAACATGATTAAACCGCTTCAGGCGCAATGGAACACCGTGACGGAAACCAGAGCGCACGGAAACGCCGTTCGTCTTCCCGCCACAGCAGTACTCATTTATCTACGTGCACTGGTGTGCTTTCGAACTGCTAGGTTGGCAGGAGCTGGAACAGAGCAACGGGAGCTCACCACTGTCGCAGGGATTTGAACCACCAGCCTTCTGATCGGCAAGCCCAAGAGGCTCAGGGTTTAGACCACAGCGCCACCTGCATCCCCTTGTCTATTTCTAGGGAAAGGGCTGTAGGCCTGTCGCCCACTGGCAGAACACCTGCTTTGCATGCAGAAAGTCCCAGGTTCAGTCCTTTGTGTCCTTCAGACTCCTCGTCTGAAACCTGGGAGAGCTGCTGCCCGTCAGCATAGACAATACAGTGGTACCTCTGGTTAAGTACTTAATTCGTTCCGGAGGTCCGTTCTTAACCTGAAACAGTTCTTAACCTGAAGCACCACTTTAGCTAATGGGGCCTCCCGCTGCCACCGCGCCACCGCCACGCAATTTCTGTTCTCATCCTGAAGCAAAGTTCTTAACCTGAGGTAATATTTCTGGGTTAGCGGAGTCTGTAACCTGAAGCGTATGTAACCTGAGGTACCACTGTACAGAACAAGATGGACCAAGGCAGCTTCCTATTTAAATCATAACCTTGAGGACTAGCCTCTTACTTGGTTTTAAGGGGAAGACCATAGCTCAGTGCTAGAGCATTTGCTTCGCGTGCTGACGGCGCCAGGTTCAATCCTTGGCCTCTAGGTAGGGCTGTGGGAATGACTCCCCCATTTGAAACCCTGGAGAGACGCTGCTAGTCAGTGCAGACAACACTGAGCTGGGCGGACTGACTCACCAGAAGGCGGCTTCCCAGGTTGTTCCCATCTTGGCATGTTTGTGCCTGGATGCCTGGTTTCCTCTCCCCAGAGCTCTGAGCCACCGCTGCTGGCACTGTTGCCTGCCACTTCTGCCTTCCGCTGCAGCGAGCGAGAGTCACGTCCGAGGAGAGTTTTTATGGTTTTGCCTGCAAGCTGCACAGCCGGGCTGACGTAGGCCCCAGCAGCAGCAGCACCTCCTCCTTGCTCTTCCCCCGAGCCTCCTATGCAAGGTTGCTGCCTGGCCTGATTTTTCCTTTTTTGCCAGGTGAAACTCGCCAGCCACCGTATACTGTAAGGCAAAAAAGACTCAATTTCAGGAACCGGCACAGGGTTTTAAGATAGGGAAATAGTAAATCCAGATTTATTTATTTTTTCAGGAGCAGGAGAGCAGGTGTGGATAATCTTTTCCGGCCTGAGGGCTGCATTTTCTTCTAGGGGGGCCACATAGGGGCAGAGGGGAAAGTGGCAGTGGGTGTAAATCTTACCTTCAGTGAGCTAGTTTCTATAAATGCACGTCCCTCTCTGATCTCCATCCAGGCAAATAAGAAGTATGATCATAGTTCAAGGGCACAGTCCATCCAGGCAGAAACACTCAGAGAAGCTGTGAAGCGGGGCTGGTGAAGGGGAAGGCCTGGGGGAGAGTCCCAGGGGCCAGGTTGAAAGGCTCAGAGAGCCACATTTGAGGTTCCCCACCTGTGCCAGAGAGCATCATGTCTAAAATATGGCAACCAAGGGCTCAGGCTTAGCTAAGAATTTCTTCCGGTTGGTTGCAACCCCTGGATATACAGTGGTACCTCTGGTTACGAACTTAATTCGTTCCGGAGGTCTGTTCTTAACCTGAAACCATTCTTAACCTGAGGTACCACTTTAGCTATTGGGGCCTCCTGAGGTAAAGTTCTTAACCCAAGGTACTATTTCTGGGTTAGTGGAGTCTGTAACCGAAGTGTTTGTAATGCGAGGTGTTTGCAACCCGAGGTACCAGTGTATAGCAATTGTACGTGTGTCCCAAAGCTGAATAATAATAATAATTTTATTTAAATGCACCCATCTGACTGGGTTGCCCAACAAAGAGCACTCTGCCCATGTTCAGAAGACCCTCAGCAAGATCCCGAGGTGCATAAATTAAAACCTGGTTTGGGAGGCAAACTCAAGAATGTAAGAGCCAGCCAGATTAGACCAACGGCCAACTTAGTCCAACCTCCTGTTCTCACAGTGGACAACCAGATGCCTGAGGGAAATTGACAAACAGAACCTGAGGACAAGAGCGCTCTCCCCTCCTGTGGTTTCCAGAAACTGATATTCAGAAGAATTATTGCCTCTGACCGTGGAGGCAGAGCACAGCCTTCAATAGCTGTCTCTTCCATGAACTTGAGTGCCGCCATTTTAACTATGCGCTGTGTGAAGGGAGTTTATCTGTCCTGAACCTTCCTGCGTTCAACTTTGTTGGTTGCCCACAAGTTTTGTTATGAAAGAGGAAAGAAAAAAGCCTTTCTCTCCATTCCTTGCATGATTTTAGAAACCTCCACCATGTCACCTCTTACTCGCCTTCTCTCTAAACTAAAATACCCCACTTGACGCTGAAACCTTGACATTGAAGAAGAGGTTCGGGGCCTCAGCTCTGGCCATCCTTGACTGCCCAACATCCAGCTTTGTTGTAATGTTTTTTGTCTCCAATAAGAGTTTTTGTCTCCAATAAGACACGGGTGGCGCTGTGGGTTAAACCACAGAGCCTAGGACTTGCTGATCAGAAGGTCGGCAGTTTGAATCCCCACAACGGAGTGAGCCCCCATTGCTCGGTCCCTGCTCCTGCCAACCTAGCAGTTCGAAAGCACGTCAAAGTGCAAGTAGATAAATAGGTACCGCTCTGGCGGGAAGGTAAACGGCGTTTCCATGCGCTGCTCTGGTTCGCCAGAAGCAGCTTAGTCATGCTGGCCACATGACCCGGAAGCTGTACGCCGGCTCCCTCGGCCAGTAAAGCGAGATAAGGGCCGCAACCCCAGAGTCGGCCACGACTGGACCTAATGGTCAGGGGTCCCTTTACCTTTACCTAAGAGTGTGTATTTGGGGACAATCCTCCCTGTCGCATCTTTCAATTGGGTGGTGAGAGTCACTGGTGGCATTCCTGCCTTAATGTGCAGATTTGAAAGCAGGGTTGCACACAGCTCTTGGCCTCGTGGAGACAGACAGGCAGTGTGCCAGCCATGGATTGTGCCCTTTTCAGATGCTGGGCATGCCTCCCTGATCTTGCCATCCTGGAGAAGCAGGATTCTCCTAGTACAAATGTGGCTCCCAAACTACCTTTTGGCTTGAAAGGTCCAAAGCCAGAAGTCCCAGGCCAACTGGTGCTGGAGGAAGCCAGCAAATTTAGAGACTTCAGGAAAGACCTGGAGGTCTGGCAACCCAGCCAGTACAGTGGTACCTCGGGTTAAGTACTTAATCCGTTCCAGAGGTCTATGCTTAACCTGAAACTGTTCTTAATCTGAAGCACTACTTTAGCTAATTGGGCCTCCTGCTGCTGTTGCACCGCGGCGTGATTTCTGTTCTCATCCTTAAGTAAAGTACTTAACCTGAAGCACTATTTCTGGGTTAGCTGAGTCTGTAACCTGAAGTGTATGTAACCTGAGGTACCACTGTAATGGCTCTTGCTTACCTGGAAGGAGTGTGCATATGTAAAAACCTTTGATTTTTGCATGGCTTCCTATAGCAAAGATTAAGAGGTGGTGCTGTCGCTCTGCCCACTTTTTGATTTGCCTTGCCCACCCCGGCATGTGGCCCCTGGAAGGTTGTCTGTGAAGGAATGGACCACAAAAAAAGGCTTCCTCGCCCCAGGTCAGTTAACCGCTCTCCCTGATAGGCGAGCTTCACCAGTTGAATTGCTGTCTGGCACCCAACTGTTAAAAAGGGCCAGGAATATTCCTAGGGAGATTTTTTTAAAAAGGTAGGGAATCTTTCTCTTTCTTTCCCCCCTCCCCTCCCCTTCCCTCATCGGCTGCGGATGAGAAATGGCCTCAATAAAAGCTAATTGACGGCGGCTCCTGGCAAATCGAATTCTTCGGCCCCCGAATCAGGAAGATGGCTGCTTGCCCCCACCAGCCCGCGGCCGCCCAAATTGAATCTATTAAAGGTAAATTACGCCATGATGCTCCCTCCCTGCTCCCCACTCCTTCCTCCCCTCCGTCTCGCCTTTTTCTCTCTGCCTCGGGGCTTCCTCTTAATGCCACCCTGGGGAGACGTCTGGCCCAGAATCTGTAAATGAGACAGAAAGGGAAGGCAGGTTGGGGAGGAAAAGAAGGGGAAGGCGGTTGTGGCATATGTGTGTGTGTGTGGTGGGAGTACTCTCACAGACAAAGGGCTCCCTGTGCTGTGAAGCAGCCACCCAGAAGCCTCTGGGCATGAAGGCAGACCTTTGTTTTTCATCCTTATCTCCTTCTGCTAGTACTTCTGGGGGTAGACTGCTTCTTCCTCTGGAGGCTCTATTCAGGGACAGCAACTTAAAAGCCTGTGTGTGTGTGTGTGTGTGTGTGTGTGTGTGTGTAAGTAAGTATAAGAAAGAAAGAAAGAAAGAAAGAAAGAAAGAAAGAAAGAAAGACGGTTACAGTGGTACCTCGGGTTGCATAGGCTTCAGGTTACATACGCTTCAGGTTACAGACTCCGCTAACCCAGAAATATTACCTCGGGTTAAGAACTTTGCTTCAGGATGAGAACAGAAATCGTGCTCCGGGGGCGCGGCAGCAGCAGGAGGCCCCATTAGCTAAAGTGGTGCTTCAGGTTAAGAACAGTTTCAGGTTAAGTACGGACCTCCGGAATGAATTAAATACTTAACCCGAGGTACCACTGTACAAGCAGGGAGCAAAAGCAACAGCTCTTCCCCACTTATTCATCCCGTCACCTGCTGTTCGGAGATAAACTGCCCCTATACATGGAGGTTTAGCTATTGGGCCTTTTACAGCTGTTGGTGCATTTATTTATGTACTTTGACATCAGCTTATTTATTTGATTTCACCTTTAAGACCCGCTCCTTGTAAAATGTCTCTCGGTCATTTTGCGATACCCTTCCCAACAAAAAAACACCAACGATAAAAACAGTTACACACAATTTCCATATATAAGAGCAATTCTCCTATGTAAAACTAAACTTCACATCCGATACGTACATATAGCATTTCTATGGCCCTTCTCTTGCAACAGACGTGGGAAGGTGAAATAAAATAACGGCAAAATTTAGTGTGGTCTTTAAAAGCGTCTTCCTAAGTAATATGCACACACGTATAGTTAGGAATTTGCTGCAGCTTGCATGGGCTTTTCAAGAGGACTGGACAAGATCATGGGTGGAAATAAGGCAGGATGTGCCTCTGGGTACCAGTTTCGGGGAGTAAGAAGTGTGGAGAGTTGTTGCTGCGCTCGGGTGCTGCTTGTGGGCTTCCCATCAGGGCAACTGGTCAGCCACTGGGAGAACAGGAAGCTGGACTGGATGGGCCTGATCCTGGAAGCTCTTCTTAACGTTCTTATGAATAACAATGAGAGAGGAGCGCATTTCTTTATGCCCTTCCTGTCCTTTGCTTTGGCATGATCCATCTGCAGGGCTTTTCTCATGTTCCAATGGGTTTACAGTGACGGAGGGTTCTCGTAGAATCGGAGAGTTGGAAAGGATTCTGCGGATCATCTAGTCCAGCCCCTGCAGCTGTCCCTTGAACCCGCAACCTTGGCGCTGCTAGCACCGTATTCTAATATGGTTTATTAGAGCAGTGGTGGGCACGAGGGTGCCAGCGTATTCGGGGAATTGCTTTGGGGGCAGGAAGCCTGCATCAGGCAAAACTCTGTTAAAAAAAGACTGGGAAAACGGGAGGCAAGAGAAACCGAAATGGACATACAGTGGTACCTTGGAA